CCAGTGCAAGGAAGTCTTAAAGGGATATTCCAGAGTAAGTTTAAGCCATGGTCAAACATCTGAATACTTAGTCAATATAAAAAGTATAACAATTAAAACTTGTTAAGCATCTTGAGGTAATATTTGTTATAAATTGGCACAGTAAAAATAAAGATTTTTAGATTTATTGACTAATTGATTGATTAAGCGATCATCTTAAGTGGTACAAGCAGAATGATTCCAACCATATGCTGCAGAAAACTCTTTGTTTTGCCCTTTAATCAAGGATTACGTTGCTGGAAATATTTGCTTTAATCTGACAAGCAAATAATAACTTTGTATCAACAATGAGGACCAAAAAAGCACATTTTATTCATGATCATGTAATTTTGTGTGGTTGGGTTTTCTAACCTTGAAAAGTTGAACTCCTACAAAATAAACTTTTGGAAAAAAACTTGACTATTTCAAACTTAGCTGTCACACTCCCCCGTCAAATATGAGCCCAGGCTGCTTAGGGATTTTTTCGACAACAGAACACATCTCAAACTGAACACAGCGCAGATCACAGCTTCAGAGGGGAGTAAGAGAATTGTAGCAGGATTATGCACCTGGCTCTGCCACGTGAATGTGATTCCTGAGAAAAAAAATTCTGTCAAGTGTTTATTCTGCCAGGATACCACCAGAAGGTTGTTAATATTCAAGTCTTTGGGCATGTGCAACACTCATGTAATGGATTTTCTCTCCTTGTGATTCAGGCAGGCCTTTGCATATAGCTGAGGGACTTGTGATCCAATGATGGGTGACAGCCAAAGATAACAAAAAATCCTCCTATAATTACTGCTCAGATATTGCCAGCCAGCGCTACTGTGGATTAGTCTTCCAGCAGCTGTGTAACAGTATGTAAGGTTGTTGCTAAAAATAGAAAAAAAAAACAACCTTCCCTTATTCACACAATTTGCAGCTTGCTCACTTTCTTGCCCCTCATCCCCTCCCTTCGCTCTCCTTCCTTCTCCCTCTCCCCTTTCCTCCCTCGCTAGCACATCCGAAATCTCAGACATGCAGCACAAGCTTCAAAGAGCATAGATAACTGGGGGGACGCAAGACTGACTGCATTTCAACACAACACATGCAATGATAATGTCATTTTCACAACCAGAGAGTGGCATTTAGGTTTACTTACCCCAGAGCTCTTACCTTTGCCGTGACTGACACGCCAAAGGGCTCTGCGGTTTGACTTGAAGTCGCCTTAAAGTTAAGTTTGAATGCAAACAAATTTAAGAAGAAAAACAATAATAGCCCTCAGGTTAATGTACACTAAATTTACAACAAAGGCTGAATATATGAGTACATTTTTAGTAGCCTAAAAACAATGAGCTCAAAAAAGGCTCAAAGTGCTTTCCAACATTGAAACAGTCGTGCCCTTTTCTGTTGATGTTCTGCTGTTTTCCTCTGCTCCTGCTTCCCACCAATCTGGTTTGATGTGAAATGAGTACTCATCTCAATTTTACATATCAGAATAGCTTTCTCATCTGAGGATGTCTGGTTAAAACTGAGGACTCCTACAAACAAACAAACAAGCAAGCAGAAGCTTTCAACTAACAAGAAGGAATTTAAAGAGGAACATCTCCTGGAAGGATGCTGTTTCAGAAAGCTTCAGATCTATCCAAAGAAACATTTCCATGCTGAGAAGACCAGCTGCCTTAAAGCAGATAATTATTTATTGATCATGAGCAAAGTCAAACTAAGAAAGATCAGCTCAAGCCAAGGAAACTCACAATCCTGCATCATACAGCAGCTGAACAGGGGAAAACATCAGTTCCCGTAGCAAAGTGAACTTGCCCAGCAGATACAAGCATGTATCACATAACAGACCTGCGATAAATCACATCTTGCTACACTTTATATCAGGTCAGCCATGGCTTAAAGGTGCTATTTTCTTTTTCAGAACTCCTGTGACACCTTGTAACAGAGTGCCCGAGGCAGACTCTCTCCAGCTGTGAGGTTTGATCCTGAAGAAAAGAGAGTTACCAAAGAGCGTCTTCAAAGCTCCAGCACACATGCAGACGCCAAGTCTCATATACAAATAATGCATGTATGCTCCCACATAGAAGGGGTTGATGGGAGGCTGTGGGTGTCTGGCACTAAATACTGCAGGGAAGCCTTTCAAATACTGATTGAAAATAATTCCCATAAAGTACATAGCATAATTTTGAGCAAACATCATCTATTTTTCATTGCATCTCAGCAGCCTCAGACATATTTGCAGAGATGAAAGATACAAGATGTAATTCAGATGGTTGTGGCAGCCTTAAATACAGAGCAAATGGGAGTCGGTTGTAAATAAAATATGTTAAATACGATGACTCTCAGTTAACAGAGAATAAACGCCGCCACACAGTTTTTCCATCAGGCGAATAAAGAATCTGCCCCGTTATATAATCCACCTGAAGTGGAATGAGTCTGCCTTTTAAAGATGTCATTTTGGTCTGCTCATCATTTCGTTTTCCTTCTAGGTCCTTGGTATGTACGGTCAGAGGGAGATCAAAGGTTTGCATCATGCGCATGAAATGAAAAGAAAGCTCCACTCTTGCACACACACACACACACACACACACACACTTACATATTCGCACCTGGCATCTCCCTTGTGCATGAAAGGAGCATCACAGCCTATCAGCATTAACACTTTGACTTGTCAAAGTGCATTACACCAGATATGATTTAATATTGATGTTTACCACACAATGAGACACACTGTAAAAGGCTGTTAAACTGAGTCAAAATGTCAAACCCATACATTTGAAAAACTCATAATGAATGATGCTGCATGAAATAGAAATTGCGTCATTTTTCACAGTGATTTCAGCAGAGGAGACAGAGAAATATATTATCCCCCCGTACAAAAAGATAAAAGAGAAGCATGATTAAGGAAAAAAAAAACTGTGAACTGAAGGAAAAATTACACCAGAAGTTGCTCTAAAAGAAAATGTCTTAAGACAAGAGTTATTTGGTGAAACTAGGACAGCCATCTTCAACTGTTGCCTCCCTCAACTCTTTAATTTTGCATAGCAAAACAGCTGGATTGAATTTCCTGAGTCTTTATCCAAATGTTCCACTTAAAAGACTTTCTTTGATGCCTTTTTAATTTTTGTGTCAAGCATTAAACACAAAAGAACTTCAGTTTCAAAACACTGCATGCACCCATGTCTAACTTCATCAGGATCTGAGGATGTTAATAAAACTTTTATGGCTCAGTATTTTACAGACTTTAAAGTTCCTGTCAACACTCACTGGCTTGCATGAGCTGTCCCTGACGCCCAAAGACCTGGGAGAAAGGGCTGCGGTTACAGGTGAGTGTCTCCTCCATGGCTGCGCTCCTCCTGATGGGATGGGAGAGGTCCTCGGTCTTCAGTGAAAGAAAAAGTGCTCTGAGAGTCAGCCTCCGAGTGAGGAGAGGGTCGACTGTTGCGCTAGAGCTAATCCTCTCACTCTCCCTCTCTCAAAACTGACTGCTTATTTACTGCCAGAGCCACCTCACGACCTCTCCTACGCCTTTCCCAGAGCTGTGATTTGCTTTCCACACAGCTGCCTCCCTGCTGACTGCAGATCAGTCCTGAGTCTGGTTGCCTCAGATGCCGTCAGAGTTGCTGCTGCCTCTTGGCTGATGGGAGATCTGCGTTTGGGTTTGCTCTCAATCTGCTCATTAGTGCTCCAGAGTGGCGCTGCTTCAGTCAGAGAGCACAGCAAACACAGCATGAACAAAGCCAGGGAGAGAGAGAGAGAGAGAGAGAGAGGGAGAGAGGAGGAGAGAGGGGGAGAGAGAAAGGGGGCGAGAAAGGGATGAGAAGGAGAAGCCTGCTGCAGAGAAAGAGACACTCTCTTTCCCCTGACAAAAGTGTGAATAGAGATGACAGTGTGTGTGTGTGTGTGTGTGTGTGTGTGTGTGTGTGTGTGCGTGCGTGCGTGCGTGCGTGCGTGCGTGCGTGCGTGCGTGCGTGCAGAGCCTCTTCTGACACTGCACTGTTCCCGTGGCTGCTTGTACTTTTTTGGCTCCTCATCCTCTTTTATCTCCTTTTTTTAAACCCATTCTGACCCCTCTGTGGAGATTTGGCAGGATTATGTGTTGCGAAATGGACAAGATACACAGTAGATAAGAATGATAACATCTGTCTGAGGCAGAAGACTCTATGACAAATTCATTTTTAGGATGCTGTCAAACGTGCAATAACGCAGATACCAGGTCTCTCCATGTGGCCTGGGGTTTGTTTGTTCTGAAGAAACCACTTTACAAGTCAGAAAAAGAGAAAAGAGGATTTTTGCTCCCTAAAAAACATGAGCTGAACTAAAACACAATCATTGTGACTTTTTTGACCAGTTGTAGAGATAGGTGGACTTTGCTTCTCAAACAAAACAGGAGGACAAATAAATGCAGGTCTGGAGTTTGATTCTAATTCCTCTTTTTTTTTCTTTTTTCGCCCACCCTGTGATCCACTGTGCATGTTTAATGCCTGGCTCTGACCCAACTTTCCTTCAGGATAATAAAGTTGAAAATATTTCTTCCCCCTTCCCTACTTTATTTTTATCACCCAATTACAGACAGAAGAGACTGATCCTGCGTCTCTCCATCTTCTGGGTCTCTCCATCCCCCTCACTCACTCACTCACTCACACACTGTCAGGTGCTTGCAGGTCTTATACAGCTCTTTGCTTGCGCAGGCATAAATAAACAGCACATTTATGAGTCTCTCTGAAAGCACAAAACACGGATCCTAAACAGAAAACCCCAGCACGGACGTGAAATTTGGTTTCAAACTAAAGGGGCCAGTGGATCATTAAAAATGGATCCGCATTCTTTATTAATGCCCTCATTAGCACATCTATTCTGTTCCTGCATGAGGAGCACACAGAGAGGGAAGAGGAGACATGTGCAAAAGTACTTTATCACAGTATCCTGTTTGTGTTAGTGCTTTCGCACGGTGTTGCTCAGAGCAGAGTTTGTTGCCTTTGTTATATCAGAGGTTGAGAGGTTTCCTTAAAACATAATCTTACATAAGTTGTAGACGACCGGGAATTAGAGGTAGGCAGACACCTTTAAGCAAATGCTAATGCAGATTTGAAAAAAAAAAAAAGAAAGAAAAAAAAACTTTCTTAAGGTTAAGATTTAGTTTTTCCCTATTGTCGTCACTGCAGCAAAACATAAACAAAAATAAAAAATAGAGGAGACAAGAGGAGGGTTAATGTTCGCTTATTCTAAATGTTTATTATGCCTGACATCCTAACCAGTCTCAAAAAGCATCATTGTCAAGTCTGCCAGAACAAGCAGAGTCAGAGGTTTTGTGACTCCACTCTCCCATGTGTATTCACCTGAAGCTCTGTTATTCCGACAGCTCCCTGTCATCTTTTCACGCAGGCTTCACCTGTACATGCAAACGCCATCTTTAGCTCCAGATGACATATTGCATCATTCAAACTCCGGGCTATTCATCTTTTTGTTGTCTGAAAATGACATACAGTATGGCTCTCTAAAAACCGCCCAGGAGGGAAGAAACAGCACACGGCCACTGCTCTTGGATCAGCCTTAATATTATTTTTATAAAACTTAATGAAATGAAGAAGTAAACGAGAAACAGATCAAAGTTTCCTCCTCAGACTTTGGGGAATACTGTTTTTGTTTTTCAATCATCTCTGATCATGTGTCCTCACTTCTCATCATAACTTCCTGTGAGAATTCAACACGGCCCCAGGCTAAGATCCTGAGCCGTGCTCAGCATATAAATGCAGCAGCGCAGTTTGAAGTTATTGCAGAGCTTCAAGCACAGAGCTTGTGAGCTCTGGGAAATCCTTTACCTCTGAGCTGCGGTTTTGTCGCTTTGGTACACTGTCAAAACTGCTAACTAAAAATCATCACCTCAAGGCTCATCCCCTAATCTCACAGGGTGGAATTGGACTTTTTAGAAATAATTTCTAATTACCACACAGAAGGAGCATGACTTAGACAACTTTTGCAATAATTAAAGAGATATTGTGACCATATATACAGGAGGGACCCTTTAAGTCTGTGGCTATCTGTGGCTATCTGCCGCCTGTGAGCAGGACCTCACATATTTTGGTATCTTTGCTATGGCTCTTGTTCTCATAAACTTGCCACTTTTTGTAAGTAGCCACCCCGACCCTTGATACTATAGGCTTGTAGTGAATAATCTAAATGTTTATGTAATCCAGGCCTTAAATATTTAAAATTAGTCAAGGAGTTGTTGGTTTAAGTTTAACACAGAATTTTTTTCAGTGCATTATCTGAAATCTTTCATCGTTGTTACATGTTTCCTAAACCTTAAATTTTGCAGGGAAGAAAAGTCCCTGATGCTCAGAGCTATGTGTAAGAAGAGTAAAAACCAACTCTGTTGTGTTGACTCGTCACAGAGGTACTAAAAGCTTGTGGAAATTGTGAATATAAGCATCACCAGTGGGAGATGGAGCCTTTACAAAAGAAAGCACAGCAGACCAAACCAGCTCACTCCACCTGCTGCTGCGTCCCCTGAATCTGCGTTTTATTGCAGTGTTGGCAGCAGCCATGACACAGTGGGGATGCAGGGAATACTGTGATATGTTAAAGTTGCAGACAGATGTATGGCACTACTACTGCTTTAAAAATGCATTGGCATAATACTGAACATTTCAAAAATTCTGTTAAATTATACATTTAGTTAAGCACATAAAAGAATTGACCAAATTCATAATTGAATCCATGCCCTTCATGCACTGTGCTGCATAATGATAAAGAATTGAGCTGGGTCAGAAATGGCTTTCAATCTCTAAGTAAGTGATTTAGAGCATGCAGTCACAGGCCAAGACTCTAAAAACAGAGGCAATGGTTGTTTCACACTATCTTACTGATCTACATTTGGAGTCTGCAGACTAACGAAAGACGAAGACTGCAAACAGACTGCAAGCAAAAAATAAACATGAAAAAACATGCCAATAATTTGATTTGGCAAATGTTAAATCAGGAAGTAAATGCTTTTTAGTTTTAACACTCCACAGTAAGTTTTCTTCTTTGCTCTGACCCAAAAACAGTCATGCCTCGTTTATCTATCCACCCCATGCTTCAGTGCATTAGCACAGACAACAGAGTTACCAGTCAAAGCGAGACTCAAAATTCTAGACTTTGCTTGATATGAGGCAAACTCACTGCTGAAATTAAGATTGACACAGGGGTATAAAGACATCGTACCCAGTCACAGCTTACTTTTGTTTATTTCATTTCATGCTTCATTAAATAAAGCACATATATATATATATGTATATAAATTTGTTTAGCATCAAACTGATATCACTAACTGGCCAATTGAACTATTTGTTTCTTTATTTTGGGGAGTGTGATTAGCTGAACAAGCACTATGATTGGCCCTTGGTATAACAACCAAATAACATTCAGGAAAAAATAAGTTTCATTCATGTATTTTTCTGAGGGTCTTTATTCAGTGTTTAGCACTCTCCCCAAATTAACAGCTTCTCAAGTTAGTCAAACACTCTTGTTTCCAACAAATGCTGCTTCTCTTCTTTCAATCTCAATTCAATTGTTTGCAACTTTTCCACCCATTCTTCATCTCTGTGCTGGTTCTCTACGCACAGATTACAGATATCTACTAATTAAAACTGTCTCCACAAAACTGTGATTGTGCCTGAGAGTGGGTTCTTTGTTTGACCTCCAACACAGCCAGGATTGCTCCTTGTTAGTAAAGTATAGCTGGGCTGTTGCTGCCTACTAACGCACTAAGGTACCACACAAAAGTAACTGAATTTATACCACTCCACTTTTCAAGTCTTGAATTGATTGAAGAGTGTAGTTAGTCATTAACAAATAATGGCTCTCATGAGAGAGACATTATGGTATGTAAATGGAAGCTAAATGAAAAACACATTAAGCATATTTAGATAAAATGCTTTAAAGCCCCATTTTTGAACCCGTTGACACTTTCTTGCCCTGCCACTTTGGAAGCTACTGTGATGATTTTTAGCTGCTCTTCGTGAAAAATTAGGTTTGCCTGCTCCTGTGTCACAGCATTGTCTGTTAGATTGGATCCTTTTATCCTTTTTCTCTCTACAGGAAGTACCGTTTGGAGTTGCACCTTCTGACTCTTGGTTTTGCCGCTGGGTAGTTTTTCTCAAATCTTTGTACTTTTCATAGTCCTCAATATGCAAGATAAAAATAGAACAAAGAAATGTGAACAGTTAATAGCTACTCCATGAAAATGATTTTCTTCCATCGCTGAAAACAGGTCACAGGTTGGTGCCTCTGAATAGCTTTGCATCTGAACTCCTTTGCATTCAGGCGGAAAATGCTATGAAACTGGTGTTTAAGAGTAGGCTTTAGAGACAGCATCAAAAGCTTTGTCACTGTAAATGGATGTGGGAGTGAGAACGAGAGGCAGAGGTTTTAAAAGAGCATCACCACTGAATCCACTTCTGTAGTTCTAGAGTGAGGAAAGTGTGCCACCACCTGGACATTTCAATGACTTACCACTAAGGTGTACGTATGTAGGTCAGGATTCAATTGTTTTTTTTCTTCTTCCATCAAAAATTATGACAATCTAATTCCCCTATAAATAAATGCACAGATTTTACACAAAGAACCCAACCACAAAAATTTAATTAATTTAATCATTTATCAAAGAAAATCTCAAACAAACTTCACATTAAACTTTGACATATTCCATTTTTAATACTCACTTGGAAAACCTTTAGTGCAAATCATAGACAAACCATTCAGAGATTGATAACATGAATTTGAAATTAATAAATATGCACGACTCCATTTACACCTCAAATTGCTACAAGCACTTTTCACAGTTCAATAACAGTCTCCAAAAGACCTGGGACATCCTACACTTTGCTGTCAGTCTCAAAGAGGAAATATAACCAGCAAGAGCTGAAAAGGCAAAATTTGTTAAATAGAAGTACCATAACTTTGTCCTTCAGATAGAGGCCACTGTAAAGTTTTAATATGCCTTGATTAAAATAATAAGTTAGTTCATTCATTCACACTGATAAATCTACCCTGTTTAACATTGGACAGCCCATCCAAGTACTCTCAAACCCTAAATTAAACAAATACAATTCATTACACCCACTCTGAGATCAGTGACGACTTGCCACATATAATTTGATGGTGTCACCATCGGGCTCCAGCAGAATGACCCCATAATTTATCTTACATTTCTGAAATGTGGTTTTTATACATGCTGGAAATCCATATAGATTACCACACATACAAAACAAAAGAAAACACTCAACAACTCTTATACAGATTGTAAGTCATGATGAAGCATTGACACGACTGATGACAAAGACTTAAACAGACGGTCCTATACTATGATTATTAGTTTTGAATGAGAAAAGGGAAACAGACTTACATTTCTGTTAAGTATTCAGTGAAACAAGTGCAACATAAATTTCACAACAAGCCTGACTACTGTCACTATTTCAGGATTTAAAATGAAATGCAGAAAGGCCAAGTCTCCCTCCATCATTGTCAGCGCTGTTTTGAATTCAATCCTTCTTTTAAAAGTGCCTGTGGTGGATCAAAGCAGCTCCGAATGTGACACAGTATCTTTGTTTTGGAATCCACTGGAACTACATCACTTACCCTAAAGTTAGAAATGTATTTGCGGTGGCCTATTTACCCAAAAATCTGATGCATAATAACAGTGTGCTGCACAGGGCAGCCCTTTCATGATAAAACAAATACACACTTTCAGCTGCTTTTTAACACCAACTTTTGGAAAAAAAAAAAAAAAAAAAAAAAAGGTGAGGCACAGTCTCACGAAAACAAATTTTATACTCGGGAAACATCAATCTATGTCTTTCCATGCCACCTCTCTGATATATTTAGTTTATATTATATTATATCATAAAGATTTGATGGCACAGTTTTCTCAAAACCTTAACACAAACAGCCAAATACTGATAAATGTGGCAAAATCACATAACCAGATTATATACACTTTGAATTAGCAAAGCCTGCAGCATTAATTCTACCAATTTTACATTCACGGTAATTATGAGCAAATTACTTCTGAACAGTAAACAACAACGTTATTATCATTGACTAGACTTTCTGACAGGTAGTTTAGGTTAAAGCACAATGTTACACTGTACTACAGAAAGCATTACTTTTTGGTTTGGAGGCGTTCGTCACGTGTCTTTCATGTACTATAATAACTCTTTTTGAATCAAACCAACAGCTCGACAATGGATTCAGTATTTAAGGCCTAACTGCATAAATATAAACCAACCTTAATAAATCTAAGTGTGGTACAAGTTCACAGCATGCAGTAAAAGTTCAAAGCAAAAGGCCACAGACAACAGAAAGGAAAAGTGCAAATGCATGCTGAAAATGATTGCCACCTGCCATTCCCTCTGAATATCCCGACAAGTATGAAATGAGAGAAGCCTTCCAGCTTACATCCTCCCACTTCCTCTCCAATTTTTGACATGTCGGAGTCAGATTAACTTCAAAGTGCAAATCTAAGCCGGTGACAGAAAGTTTCGAAAAGAAGCAGAAATTTACAAAAACTTCAAGCTGCTACAAAAGCATTCAAATACTCTGTTTAACACATTCACTCACCGCAGTATTCTTATTCCTCTGTTTTACATGTCCAAAATTCAGTCATCTATTGTACAGTATGTTTCAGTCTTTGAGGACATGGTGTTTACAGTGTGTTAAGCCGTTTTCTCTCTTTAGTATCACAAGAATACAGGTATGCAGGTGGAGCTCCAAACCGAAGGGTCCTGAAAACAAGCACAAAAATGTTGGAGTGATCATTTTTGGATGTTGTCAACAATAAGGCGACCGCTGCATTCATTCTCTCAATTAAAGAGGTTTGATTTACCACGGTCCATTAGCGGATCGCAGTAGTTTAACTTTTCTCTGGAGTTATTCTCCAAATTCAAAGTTCATATTGATGCAGACAACATCCTTTTATCAGGATTGATTATTAGCTAGGGTACCGATCCCTTATAGAAAGACAACCCTGCAGGATCCTTTAACATCTATGCTGTAATACTAATCAAATCAACATCATCAAAGACATCACTACACCATCATTTTGGAGGACAACATCAAAGTGCTTTAACTACCTGAAAATCCCTGGTTGGCTGCTCAGTAGTCCTCAGGCTGTGGGACTCTGCTCATAGCTGTTACCGACAGCTCTGGTTGCTTCCTCTCGGCTCTGATTTGGAAGCAGCTCACTCTTCTGTGGTGAAGTCTGTTGTGGTTTCACGATGGTAATTTTGATGGGGATCCCTTTAACATTATGCTGCACCCTGCTATACTGACGCATGGCGGGGTTGAAAGTGCGAACAACGGGAAGTTCACTCAGAGTGGGAGTTTCTTGTTTTGGCTGCATGCTCTCTTTTATGATTATTTTACTTCTCTTGTTGGCAAAGACAGTCTGCACTGGCAGGACAGCAGGTCTTTTAGCAGAGCCAGTAGTCCGGAGTCTTGTCTTATGCTGAGGTGGGGCTTGTTGTTTCTCCCCCACCCTTCTATGCAGGTGCCCGTCGTTTTCCTTTGTCACAGATATTCCTCCGTCTTTCCTCTTCTTCACCTCTTTCGGTTTCTTGGGGCAGACTGCCATGTGTTTGGTTCTGCTGCGTCGCATTGTGAACTCCCTGCTGCAGTGTGGGCAGACGAAGACCTCCTGCCGCTCATCCACCTGTGCAGGTGAGATTTTATTTGATGAGGGGACGACTGACTTACTCCTCTGTGGCATAGCCCTTTGAACCAACTTCTTCTTCTTTCTGTTCAAAACCTTCAGCTTCATCTTGACTGTTGACTCTTGGTGATGTCTGGACCTGTTTGACTGGCTGGATCTGTTTGAAGCATTAAGTCCATTAGTGGAATTAGTGGTAGACAAAACTCCGTTTTGAGTTTTCGCAAAATGACGTAGAGGGATGGGGTTCTTTTTGGGTGTATATCGCCTTTTATCACTTGCATTTGCACAAGCAAGGATATGCGTGTGCAGCTCTGGCATATTGTCGAAGCTTTTACCACACTTGGTGCATCGGATAGCTGTGCTGAAGGTTTGTGGGATATTGTGGGTGGTGAAGTTTGTGGCAGAGGCTGCTGAGCCCGTGGGTGATCTGTTATGGTAAGGAAATGGAGGAGGCTTAAAGCTGGGGTAATGTTGATTAATGCCAAGACGAACATCAGGCCCTTTGATTTTGCCTCCATCTGAGGCCATGATTTTTATCGTGGTAAACAGCTCTTCAGCAGCAACATCGACTTCACTCTCCTCTTTTTTCACCACTTTCTCAGGCTCCTCTGGTACGTCCGGCTCTGTGGTCTCCACGTTGGCCTTTGTTGAGTTGTTGTAGTTTTGAGGTCTAAGTTTCCCCTTCTCCTCTTCTGAGTAGGAACACTGCTGGCCGGGATGCAACTCTTCCTGATGCTGTTTAAGGTTACAAAGGTAGACAAATTCTTTTGTGCATACACTGCAAACATAAGTCTTGCCAACACCGTGGAGGCTTGATCGATGGTCAAGCAAAGCAGAGGGTTTGCCAAAGAGCAGCACGCAGAACTCACATTTGTAGGGCCATTCGTCAGCATGGTCACCAACATGATGACTCAGTTTCTTCATTGAATGGAAAAGCTTATCACAAACATTGCAGATGAAATTTTTAGTAAAAGTCTGTTCCTGTGCATCACTTTGTGTGACGTTTGAGGGATCATCCTTTTCAGCTTTTTCAGACAACACTGGACTTTTAATCGGGATTTCAGGAGTGGAAACACAGATGTCATCGGCTCCCTCTTCTGCTGAAGTCTGTGGCTCTGCATCAACAACTGACTCCGAACCAGCACCTGAAGCAGCTACTGCTGGGCAAGTCGGTTTTATGGAGGCGGTCGTGGACAGAGTCACTGATTCTGCAACGGAGGACACAAGAACAGTTGGGTCCACAGTTTGAGGGCTGGGCAATGACACAATCTGTTGCTGCTCTATGTGATTGACAAACATCTGTGAGGGTGCAGGGAGCTCACCAGTGTTTTCTTGTAAAGTAATAGCTGTAGGAACTACATTTCCTGGGGCTTCGAGAGCTATTGTGCACTCTATCAGCACAGTGTTGCTAGTAATGTTGTATGAGTTGATAAGGGAATCATTTAAAGTTATAGTAGGAGGAAATGGCACCTCTGATATAGGAGTGGACTCAACTATAGGTGGATTGAGAGCTATTTGGTCAGTGAGAAAGACATGGCCAGGAAGATTTAAAGCCGGGTCGAGGGATTGGGTGAGAGTAACGAGATTTGCTGAATTTGTAGCGGCAAATGCAGTTGTTAAATCACACTCTGAAGAATTTAACGCATTTTCTGCACAGATTACCAAAGGCTCAGGAGATATATTCGGGGTTATTACCTGGACCGGCTGGCTTGAAGGGTTGGAAATAGGGGGCTGTGGTGCTAAAACTGTGATTAATGAAGGAGCAGGGGGGAGCAGGGTGTGCGGGGCTGGAGAAGCAAATGCAATAGTGCATGGTGAAGCTGACTGCAAGGCGACAGATGTAAGGGAAGTGGGTGAAGGAGTAAGAGAAGTAGTGGGTAAGGCAAGCCCATAAACAAGTCCTTCTGCAAGGGGTTCAACTGGGGTCATTACATCTGGACCTGTAACTATTGTGAAGTCTGTGACTAAAGGGGTCTCAGGATTTTCTAGACTTACAGTTTTCATTGAGGCCTCCACTAAGCATGTGTCTGCTTTTCCTTCTTTTAGAACCCTGTCTGGAACTACATTTACTGTAACGTCACATTCACCCAGGGTCTTTTTTTGCAAGCTTAAATCCAGAGCGGCATCGGCTAAAGCTACATCCTCATTTCTCTTTACTGTATTAGACAGATCCAGTGGCCGCTGGTTGCAGGAATTACCTCCTGTCATGGGGGGCCAATTTTCAGAGAAGACAGGCTTCACCAGGGGCTCCTCCACAGCCGGAGTTGTGTCATCCTTCTCATTGGCTGGTTGTTGCTCAGGAAAGCCATGTGAAGTCTCCAGCAGTGCTGTGCTCACAGCATCACAATCGCTCAGATCTAATGTTGGTGTTTCCTCGTTATACGCTGCGTTTTCTTGTGGGGAGCTTGGTGGCGATCCAGTCCTTCTTTTAAATTTGCCAGATCCTGTAGGCAGGACAGAGAGGGAGACAGGTGAACAAGGCTTCTGGCCGTCTGAGATGAGGGCAAGTGTAGGTTTAAGGCCATCCTGCTTCTCCAGAAGCTGCTTGAGCTTTGGTGACAAAAACACTGTTCTTTCCTTTTGCACAATGGTGGACTCTGTATTCTGAGGGAGCAGATTCTCTATCAAAGAAGATACAAGGGTTGATGAGGATGAAGAAACAACCACCTCTGACTCCAGTTCTGTTTTTATTTGTGGTAAAAGAGGTGGTGTTGCAGTTCTCCTTTTGGCTAATGGTTGACCAGATATCTCTTTACCTGAAACTGGGTCTAGATTTAAAACCTGGCTTATTTGGGAGGGGTCTAGAATCAGGGTATCCAGTCGAACTAAAGCTGAAGATCCAGACTGGACTTCTGTTGTGTCACATGTACTGACTGTACTTGTTGACACTATCTTTCCATCAATGTAAAAGCTGAGATTTTCTGAAATGTTGCTAGAGATATCCAGCATGTATTGTTCAGTGTGTCCTCCTTCATTTCCCTGAACAGCTGCAGGTACTGAACCCTCACTGAGCTCTGCACTGATTTCAGATGTTGTGCCAAATGTCCTTTGGGGATTGTTTTCATCGGGGAGGTGAGCTTCTTCTGGTTGCAGGTGCTGCTTGTGGATCCTGCGCTCATGCCGCCGTTTGTTGGTATGTGTGGTGAATATCTTTTCACAATAGTTACAGGCATGATGGTCGTCTGATACTCCCTCCTTGTCTGGCTGAACAGTGTTGTCTCCAGCTGACAAAATGGAAGTACTAGAGCTAGTCGGGGATAAAATATGAAGCTGCATGACACAGCCCTCTGAATCCAGAGACTTGGACTTCTCATGCTGCAGTTGACCCAGATTTGAACCAACAGACATATTGCTATTGGTTCTGTATTTGTGTGGCTCACCGTCTGTCAGTGTGTGAATATGCATGTGTCGCTCCAAGCCTTGTTTACTGGCAAAATGTCTCTCACAGTGTTGGCAGGGAAAAGAGTTCCAGTTTTTCTGAGTATCCTGGTAGGGAATCTTATGGAGATCTGATCCCAGTGACTTCATTGTGTGTGGTTCCAAGTTGCCTTCCTCTTGATGAATTTCCTCTTCTTCTCCTTCCCCTTCCTCCATATCTTCATGGTCTCCAAATTCAGTGATGTACAGTTGAGGAGAGTTCTCCATCTTTGGTGAAGGATTAATCCAGTTTACTAAGAAATGTCTGTTACACAGGATGTATGACAGCTGTCACACCTATTAAAGAAATTAAAAGGAATTTTTATTTAAATAAAAAAAAAGAAGAAGAAAGAAACATGTAATACAGCTTAATGCCACTCATGGTCTTGATCAAATTTGTTTAAACATAAATATGTTCACATTTCAAAAGTCAAAACATTCACAGTTTAGGCTTGAATGGTAACCAAACGTTTAAAATGTCTGCTGTACAATATTTAGGAGGCATATTCTAACGAAAGGCAGACACGCAAAATTGTGTAATGATTGACTGGTACAGTATTACAATATACAGATATTGATGATTATCATTAAAACCACAGTATATTGTCCTATAGGTGCTCATATGATGTGTTCCTTACAATCCTTTTATGTTTCATTTGTTGTAATTCAACATTACATCAATACAACACACATCTTTTTGTCACACAATCTTACCATTTTAAGTCATCGTAGAGATGAGGGTAGGTTCTGATGAACACCGGAGCTTTGCTTTCTGTTGGAGAAGCCAGAAAACAGGAAAGCCAATGTTGAAAACAAGCAAACAATGACACCATTTCCATCAGGTCAGATCTTAAATGGTAAGGTCTCTCAAGTACATTGATGTTATATGCTCTGCTAACACAGAGCATGAGTTAATAAGCCCATTCCTTATAATGCAAAGTATGTTGTCTCGTAATATCTGTTTACCTACAGTGGATGCAGTGGAAAAATACAGGTACCATGTCATTATAAAAAGGAACAGCTACCTCATGGCATGACTTTCTTACTCTATCATATACACTTATGACACACATTCACCCTTTGCTTACTCGAACATACAACTTTTTGATTTGGGATTTTTATTATTATCATTATTATTGGAAATCTTGCAAAAAGAAGAGGCTAAGTTTGGGGGAAAAAAATCTTGTCATCACGCACTGCATAGCAGGACAAAATGGCAGTCTCATCATGTGTGCAAAAAAATTAGTCCATTTCTTCCACCTGCTCCTCACCACTGCATCCAAATTCAACATTCAACATCATCCACAGTTTAGAAGGTTTCATGTCGTGCAGAAATGTTATTTTTTTACCACGAAATAACAGTCCTCCATGAGCAATCTTCTTACACTGGAAAACGAAGTGAAATGTAAACACAGACCACTATATCTTGTGTTTATGCATGCTATCTTTTTATTGCTTTTGAAGAAGGATGCCTTGAGTTCCTGTTGCGCATATATAAGTATATCAGACACGACATTAAACTACCAGAAGCGAAAATGAGTCCAACACCAATCAAAGGCCTAACTACAGACTGAATTATTTCAGCCAGCTTCGCTGTGTTCAACTTCTCTTTGCACCCCTCTGCTCCTTCACAGGCTTATTTTTATACTTGTCAAACGTTAAAAAAAAAAATCTCTTAAAATAAAAGTAGGTTTATATTGTATTTTCACGTCAACCCAAATTAGCTTTGTGGTGCGTTCACGGACGCAGCTGCTTCACCTGGTCTGATGACGCTCCCTCCTCGTCCTTGCACCATAGCTAGCTGGTCACACAACACGTCGTCACAGACTGTTTTGCTACACTGACTGCCAACTTGTCCACAGAGAGGACAGCTTACTTATCCAATAATACACTTACAGATATCAGGAATGCGGATCAAAACCCTATAACCACCACAGCACTTAGACAATGTTTCACTTACCGAGTGGAAGAAATCTGCTTTTATCGCCATTTGAGCATGAACGTTATTCAGATAGCTGCGACGCTAGCTAGCAAGCCTCTGCTACATGTAGGTGAGAATGTTCGACGAGACCGTGACGAACACAGAAAAATTGACGTAAGAGTTAAGATTTATCAAACCGACATTTTCCTGTTGGCAGCAAGATAAACTGTCCTGCAGCTGATTAAAGGATTCCTCTTGTAATGGTTATGAACAGTTGAGTGTTTTCCTCCCTAATGTACCAGCATACTTCTGCCGTTTTGATTGGTCAAAGACTAAGGATGTCAAATTTGGACCAATTAGGAACAGGGTTGTTTCGGAGCTGGAAGATAAGCAAACGGCAGCTGTCACCTTAGACCAAAGTGAACATTTGACTATGATCGTAAATAAAGTAAAGTTATTCTACAAAAATGCGCTGATCTTACTGGAAAATGTGGGCAATATTTGTTTGAGATTAAACAGGTATTTGTGCTGTGTTAATCTTTTTGTGGAGAAAAAGAGAAGAATAAAATATTTACCACTGGAACTAGGGATCAGTACCTTACATACAAGTTTCATTCATCTCTAAGGTTCAAAGTTTAATCATTTCCAAATTCACCAAAATTAGATCCAAGGCAATTTACATAAATTAAATTCATCCAGATTATTAGTTTGGAAAAAAAATGTATGCACGCAAAATAATTCAAATTTCCATGATAATTTTATAACTTTTTGAGCTGTTCATTGCAGTGTATTAATTTTTCCCGTAGAGGGCGCAACATAATAAATTCTCAGTATAAAGCAGTAGGATGATTATTACGGTGCACCGAAGTTGATTACACTGAAACCTTTTAGTTTTTGTTGTTATAAATGATAACAATGGCAGATGTGGTCATCAATAAGTAGTAGTAGAAACATTAGATATTTATTTGAACTGGCTTATGTATAATAATAATTTGTTATTAATACATGTAAACTTTGAAAGGTAAGGGTGACTTTAAAATAATATTTTGTTTCAAATTGCATATATAAATACAATTTCTCTGGGGTGTCATGTATTTTGCAGAAACATTTGTTTTGTTCACTGATAAATCAAATTCTAATCTATAGCCAGACCATATGTTAATATCTTGAATCTCCATTGTCATGTCTGTTTCACAGCTGCTGAGAAAACAAAGGCGCAACCACACTGACAAGTTGAAGATTTATGCAGTATGTGATCTCGTTCCCTCACCAGTCCTCTATTATCCCCAACAATTGGCAATTGAATCACAAGGCACTGGTTCATACTTTAGGGCCTATAGTTCAAACCTACACCGATAGAAACCCCACTGGTTTCACATGTCGTTATTTCCACCCCCAGAATCATGCAAACATAGAAGAAATTCATTGAGAATATCTGTAGGAGGTCACCAGATCCCACTTCTACATCTAGGACATTGCACAGCACATGGGTGGTGTTCTCATGGCACATGCATGGTATGTCTGTTGTTGAAATGCAGTATGTGGGCTGACTGGTGTTTCACTATCAAGCTGCATGCCAGACTTCTGTGAGCTGTTATGAAAGATTACAAACAGCAGGCCGTTTCTCTACTCAGGCTTTCTTCATCTCTGTACAAGAGAGTCAACATCCTGAACTTTGTTGTTAAGGTTCCTAAATTGTGCTATATTGAGATGATGAGAATTACAAACAATAAGTTCAATAAGCAGAAGAAGAAAAAAAAGCTCTCACACATGGTTGTTTTACAAGCTGACCCTGATCAGGTTTATTTATAGCTTTCATGGAGTCTCTCTGGACATGGGCATGGCACCAGCATGTCTTTTAAAGTTAATGGCAATTGCAGCTGTGAAATTCGGATGAGCACCTCACAATTGGGTCCACTGGTCAGACATATATGTCAAATCATCATCTAAGCAGGTGCTGACTGCCGGGAAGCCTTGTTGCACATGTGTCTTAGCAGTCAGAGTGTGACACATGATAGAAGAGATTTACCAGAACAAAAGGCAACTTTGTACAACCACATACTGTCAGAAACTATCATGGATTGTAAAAATAGGTTTTTCGTGGTGACAGCAGACACTCGTGAGCTATACCACTTAGAAACTTTTTTTTTCTTTCCTTTGCTTTTGGCTATCATTTATTGCATTACATAAATACATATTACATAGAAGAATGATGCTATAGTTTTTCCTCTTTGTGTAGATCTAAATGTCCACCGGTAGTTCTGAAGAACAACTTTGAAATCAAACAGGAAACTGAGCAATTGTGAAACTAAAATGAAGCAAAGTGTGGCCCAGATAACATGCATGGTAACGTATCCTGTCGAAGTGGGCGCCGGTTCGTGCCAATGACTCTGCGCACAAAGAAACATTCACCCTCCACATGAACATAGAACAACAGATAGAAAGAGGGAGAGAGGGAGAGGTGGTTAACAATGTGTCTGTGTATCACTTAGCAGGGCCTTGGCATAAAACAATAAGGACCCCTATAGAAAATGTGTGCCACACAGCAAAGACAAAGCCTCGCCTGTGATCCAGCAACAGGTCATGCCACTGGAACAAATCAAAATCACTGCTTCATGTCATGGGACGCCAGCTGTGCGGGGAAGATGTAAATGTGAACATGTTGGAATACAAATGCAAACTGTTGGGTGCACACAACCATAGCTTACTGTACTGTATATTTATGTTCTGACAGTACATGCACACACACACAAATACACGCCACACCCATGCTAATAATCCCCTGAAGTCCAATAAACACTCCTGCCCTCCAAGATCACTGCCCCTACCCACTGCAACACAAACACATGTTAAGGGATGCACCCTAACCCCATATAGCAGCATGGCATATATAAATATACACCCTACACACTCACATACCAAACACACACCCCTAATCATTCTCCCCTTTTGCACTCTTCAGCTACTTGATCTAATCAGTTACACACAAACAGCTTTAGCTATTCCTTGAATCATCCATACTGTATTCAACCACACACATAAACCCACTTTCTATGCCTGTTACCCTGCTTTATCTCTCTCCCTCTCCCCTCCATTCCCACTGCTCCATGCACCCAGCTGTCTACAGCACTCAAAACCCACGGGCCTATGGGCTGACACTTATCACATGACATCACAAACCCCCTGTGCTCTACTGGCTGGAAATTTGGCACTCCTCGCACGCAAGAAGACCTATGGCTCCTGTCAGCGTGATGGTGTAGATGTCAGGACTATGAGATTCATACTTCAGAATATGTCTGAGAAAAACACTGCGTGTTTACACTACTGTCCCATTGGTTATATTGTGGAGTAATGAAACACTGTTAATTTTTTAACATGTTCTATTTTTGTAGAATAGTAAAACTAGTAAGTCCCTTCTTTTATCACAAATCAGTGAACATTTTGTTCAAAATTTTTAAAATACAGAGTTCTTCTGAAGTAACATGGAGTCCAGGTCATTTACTGTTCCTGATGTTCCTGTAGCAAAAAAGAAAAAAAAGTTTCTGGCACTTTCTATACATAGGTAAGCCCCACGTGCTTTAGCCTCCAGGCAAAATTATAGACATACAGGCTTGTGAACCACCCTAAATTGTACATAGATGTGAATTGTTTGCCAATCATTATCTCAGAAGAATGCAGCCTCAAAGATGATTAAATGTGTCAGAAATCAACATTAAGGCAAGAGGGGTAGATTGAAGTATTTGACTGATTAATGTAACTCACCTAAGGTGCTTATGCTGCAGCTTAAAATGGCCTCAATGAAGACCAGAGTAGGTTGTAGAGTACTGGCTCTGCTCAAGATATTTTGCAGTGCAAACTAGGTATTTCAATTCTTCACCAGCACTACAGTGTGTCTTCAAGTGTGTTGTGTTTTTTTTTGTTTTTTTTCATTTATTGATTGGCACAAGTGCATTTTTTTCCTGGGCAGCCACCCTTCCACAGAAAGAAATATGTACAGCAATCATGAGGTATCCAAACAGCACCTGCACATTATCATATTTAAGACCCAGCAGTTTTTCAACTATTTTGCCCACTGACACATTTTGTGTCAATTGTTGCGCAAATGTTTTTTTGAAATTCAAGATTCATGATTTGAGCGTTTTGTCATCAGTTTCTGCCGTAAATGAGTACACAGGTATTGAAAAAGGTGTTTCTCTCCAGCCCACAGTGCAAAAATACAGAGAAAATATTAAAAAAAAAATAATAATAATAATAACTGAAAAACTGTAATACAGTAGGAGTGTGGTTTATGTGTGTGCATCTATTGTCATGCCTACTGCGTCTATGTATAGATATATACATTCCTATACACATGTACCCTATACATACACATGCATACCCAATGACCAGAGAAATGATTCTGGAAAATATACACTGTCCCTAACAAAAACTATTATGTTGATACAAGAACAAACCACTTTTTTCCCTTTTCTACTGTAGCACTTCAGCAACTGGAGAACCTAAATCACAGCATCCCTGCCACATTGTGCAATTAAACAAGATTAAATGCAAGTTGAAAAGAAAAGTAACATTTGTAATCAAGCTTTTTTTTAAATTATGGCAAATTAAAGTCAACAGGTCCATAGTTATAGCATGGCAGTAATTAGAAACATTAGCTCTCTAACTGTGAGACTGATGTTTGTTGTTGAAGCAGCTGGAAAGCTGGCAGGTCGGCAGTAGCAGGGCAACTGCGGCAGCAATCTAGAAAAAGCTATGGGATGAGGGGGCTTAGAGACCTCCAGAAAAGATTGTGGTTAGAGACTGTAATGGGACCACATGATACAGAGTTAATAACACACATATAGATAAAGGATAGAAAAGGAAAGAAAGGAGCTCAGTTTAGCAGTTCCCCCAGCAGTCTGAACTCATAGCAGCATAACTAAAGCCGGACCAGGCCTTAACTAACTGTAAACATTGTCAAAATGAAAAGTTTTGAGCCTACCTTTGATGTGCCTCTGAAAAAGGTAGAGTAGTTTCTTGAACTGGGATAGGGCGCACTTAGCCTATGTTTAGTGCATCTGCCCAAGTAAAAGAGGTATTTTCAACCTATATATTTACCATGGTGTTAACAAACCTACTCTACAGATGAATCTGTCATTTAATTGGTATAATATTGACAAGGAGTCAACACTGGACCCTGTCCAGTGTGTGTGTGTGTGTGTGTGTGTGTGTGTGTGTGTGTGTGTGTGTGTGTGTGTGTGTGTGTGTGTGTGTGTGTGTGTGTGTGTGTGTGTGTGTGCAAGTGACAAAGTCCTTTGCCAAAAACAAACAGATTAGAATTAGCCTCATGTTTAACACGTCTGTGTTTTGGGAAAACCTCACTTTTTTAGCATCATATATTCTGAGCTCTCTTCACACAGTGAGGTTCACAAAATTGTTGAGTGGGCATAAATAGCTTGTAAGCAAACAAAATGATGAGCTCAGACAACAGGTTTCTTCTGTGTGTGCAACTTTCCTCTCCAATATAAGTAACCTGGAACCTCTAGTTCCCACTGTATGGAGAAAAATAAATAAAACACATTTTCCTCTGTTGTATCGAATTATTCTGGTTTGGTTTTATTTAGAAGGGGAGACTTTTCCTCATCCAGCTGTCTACTTAAGATCGACCCTTCAGTTCTTGTTCCTCTTGACCCCTTTGACTCAGACATGTTCAGTGTACTTACACTTACCAGGCACTTCATGAGGTACACCTGTTTAACTGCTTGTTAACACAAGTAGCTCAAGGCAGCAACAAAATGCATTTAGGCATGCAGACATGGTCAAGATGATCTGCTGAAGTTCGAACCAAGCTTCAGAGTGGGGAAGAAATGGTATTTAAGGGACTTTGGAGGTGGCATGGTTGGTGCCAGATGAGCTGGTTTAAGTGTTTCAGAAACTGCTGATCTACTGGGATTTTCATGCACAACCATCTCTAGGACTTACAGAGAATGGTCCAAAAAAGAGAAATTATCCAGTGTAAAGCAGGTGTGTGGATGAAAGTGTCTTGTTGATGTTAGAGGTCAGAGGAGAATAGGCAGACAGATGAAAGAAGGGCACCAGTAAGTCAAATAACCACTCCTTACAACCAAGGTATGCAGAATACCATCTCTGGACACCCAACATGTGTACACAAACCTTGAAGTAGAAGGGCTACAGCAGCAGAGGACCACACCAGGTACCAATCCTACCAGCTAAGAACAGGAAACTGAGGCTGCAGTTTACACAACTTTGAACAACAGAGGACTGGAAAAACATTGCCTGGTCTGATGAGTCAAGACATTCAGATGGTGGGTCAGAATTTAGCATAATTAACATGAAAGCATGGATCCATCCTGCCTTGAATCAATGGCGTGCTGGTGGAGGAGGGAAGGTGTGGGGGATATTTTCTTGGCACACTTTGTGCCCCCTAGTACCAACTGAGCATCGTTAAAACTCCACAGCCTACCCAAGTATTGTTACTGACCATCTCCATCCTTCATGACCACAGTGTACCATCTTCTGATAGTTACTTACAGCAGGATAATGCACCATGTCACAAAGCTAAAATCACCTCAAACTGGTTTCTTGAACACGACAATGAGCTCACTGTACTCCAGTGGCCTCCACAGTCACTAGATCTCAACCCAATAGAGCAACTTTGGGATGTGGTGAAACGGGAGATTCATTTCATGGATGTGCAGCTGACAAATGTGCAGCACCTGTGTGACGCTATCATGTTTACATGGATGAAAATCTCTAAGGAATGTCTTCAACACTTTGTTGAAAGTATACTATGAAGAATCAAGGCAATTCTGAAGGCAAAAGGGGGTCTGACCCAGTACTAGCAAGGTGTACCTAATAAAGTGGCTCATGAGTATATATAGTACATTATGTTTTCCTTGGTACAGGATGGGACATAACATGACCCAGAAAAACACAAACACAGAAGAATCTGCAGGGCCTCCCCACTCATCTCATATTTATGACAGCACACCGCATGAGAAGAAGGCTTTTCTGCTGATTTAGATAATAAATAAGAAGACAGACCTGTGTGTGTGTGTGTGTGTGTGTGTGTGTGTGTGTGTGTGTGTGTGTGTGTGTGCTGTTTAAACCATGCATCATGAATCTGACCCAGTCTCTCTGTGATTCATACACTTTTATGGTGTTTTAATAGCTGACTCTGCTGGTCCGTTTTTTCTAGAGCATGACTGTTATAATAGTTTAAACATGTGTTCAACTGCAGGCTAAGTGACTGAGCTCTCTGTTAGAGTATCTCTAAGTGTTTTTATGTCTAAATGCACATGATCGATGCAGGGCCCACCCAGGAAGTGACTCCACCCTGTAGCGATGTTCAAAATTCCCCCTTGCAGGAGGAGAGAGAGGGAGCTGCTGGCGAACAGCTTCACAGCTTCACCATAGCCTCTCCATCTGCCCCTCTCAAAAGACTCCATTGTTCCCAGCAGTCTGAGGCAAGAGAGTGAGCTAAAGAGAGCTCTGAAGCTCGCCGGTGGGGCAGAGGCTGGGGTGGTGGGCGTTGGGTCTCTGCCTAAAACCACACAGAGCAGAGGAAGCCAGACACAGAGCATCTCTGTGCAGCTCACAGCCTTCTGTTGGAGCCCTGCCTCAGCTTAACAGCAGTGTATGAAAAAGTGTACAACATGGCATAAAAACTCACCTAACTGTCAGAGGGCTCAACTGACTCAACGGTTTGAGGCCATATGTTCCTCCATATTTGGTGTTGTTTGCCTCCTCACTGAAAAGGAGGTGTGTTTTTTTTTTTATGTGAAGCGTTACTTGAACAGGCCAATCAGAAAGAAGTGAATGCTGCCCCTGTGGACACTGGCCGATGAGTTGCACTTATAAAAGAAAATAAGTGTCATGAGATTTTAATTTTCACAAGTACTTTTCCCCCGACCCAAGGCTGAATACAGTGCAGCTCAAGAATGTGTTGACTCTAAGCGTTGCTAACTATAATAATGTCATTAATAGAAAATGTCCATGGCAAAAAGAAAAGTACACTTGAAAAGGCAATCCAGGGATATTTCACATCCGAAGGCCAAGCTTTCAGTTAACAATTAAGCAACACATTTTATGGAGTGTTTTCAGTTTTTTATTGAAACAGTATGAACATGAAACACTGCAATTAAATTAAAAGGGTTCAAACAAATTAAAGTCCTAGAACTGATAAAATGTGGCAAAGCAAAAGGGAGGAACCAAAACACATGTCGTTGCAAACATTTGCAGTGTCTAAAGCCTATTCATTAAACATTACAACACTCATTCAGTGCACATATTAAACGAGTTTGTAAAGCAAGCAGGGCTAAGCTGAGACTTCATTATTTGTACACCCATTTAGCACACTTACAATTGCAACAATAACAAAATGGGGCATTGCTGCCTAACACTGTGCACTACAACTAAGTGCAACTTTAAAATGTCATCCTCTGCACTCAGTCTGGGGTTAGCTAAATATAAAGACTGGAGGCTGTTCTGGTAATCTAACTATGAACAGAAGTACTATGAATACATTGTAAGGACAATGCTATCTCTATGGCTAATGACCACTGGCTATGAAAGCCTTCATAAGGAACAAGCCAGAGGTCCACAAAGCTGTTCTTTTTGGAATGGGTTGGCAGTTAAAAAGTACAGTCAATTCACATTAATAATGCACTTCAAAAGTTAAAATCCTCCTAACTACTGAGAGAATACCAGAGACAGTGGCACAAACCCTTCTGCTAAATTTCACAGATATGTATTAGGTTTTTATATGTCAGTGTTAAAGTGGGCAGAATGTCACGTTACTCTTGCAAATGAGGGTGCCTTTTCTCCTCTGTTATCCACATGCTAGCCCTCAGAGTTTAGAGTGTAATGTTAGAACAACTTCTGCACACGGTGCTTCATACAGTTGGCCAACATTTGAGGGTTTCTGTGAGAAAATGTTTTAACTAGTGCTCAGGGGGGCTATAAATGTCTGATAGCTTTTACAATAGCTTAAGGCTGCCTGTATGTACTGTTCATTTCATAATATCAAATGCTAGCCTATGCAACTGCAACATATGAGAAAGTCTGTAGCTGTATACTATGTAGTCCTCTTGAATTGTATATACATCCTGTGGAATTTGTTACAGTCTGTCTGCTTTCCTTCTCCCATTGTCCTTCTGTGTTCAATTCACTTTAATTTTGGCAGTACTCTCCTTTTGAGGTTCTCTTAAACTTCCATACTAATCTAAATCAGTCACTCTGTGAAAGAAGAGAGATTGAGCCCCAAGATGACAAATAATCCCCTACATTTTTCCCCCTTTCTCTCTCTTTTTTTTAACAAATGCATTTGAAAAGGCCTGAAATTCTTTGTGACACCCCGCCGTCACCTTGTTTTGTTCACGCTGAGGCAAGTAGGGGGAAGACAGAGCTTTTTTTTTTTTTTTTTTTTTTTTTGTCAGCGGCTCCAGGAGGGTAAAGGAGGTGACAGGAGGAGATGAGGATGTTTGCTCATGTACCCCTCTTGGCCCACATACATACAGTACATACATAAACACACACGTCTCCTTCCCCCTTCTTTTTTTGGCAACAGTCCAGAGTCCTGGTTAGATGAGTTTAGTTCTGGTATCATGCTTATTTTCATGATCGGATATGACGTCACGGCTCAGTAGTTCAGAATTTCCAGAACTTTGGGCGCTCCTGCTGCTTGGCCGACTTTCTCCTCAAGGGCTGTAGGAAACAAGAAAGAAAAAGTAAAGAAAGAGCCAGAAAGTGGATAAAAAAGCATGATTGAGTTAACAGTGGGTGGAATATCTGACAGATTTGAATCTTAAGTTATTCATTCGTCCATGTAAACTTGAGTAATTTCATGTCTTAAAACTACTTTCTACTTTCAGGGGGCAAGGACAACAACATAGGTGGAGAAAGGTAAGATAAAATAAAAAGTAGGTAGGGGAAAAAGCTTGTTTGCCGATTAAAGATTAAAGATGTAGGTAAACATACAAAAAAAGAAACAACATAAGCTTAACATGAGGCAAATTTATCAAAACCTTAAAAGGAGGACATTATTTTGAAAGCCAGGTTGTTTTTTAGGTTGACAAGATTAGTTTTGTGACTACATTTACCCCTTTCAGAGAGTGGCTAGAGTCATTGAAGATCTCGTAATCATAAACTGTAAAATAAACAAGTTTAAAATCCACAAATTATCACAAAAACACAGGTGATTAACCCCTAAGAAGAAACACCAAACAGAAATGTTTGTGTTGCTGCTGCACCCCTGACAAACACAGATCCCTATGTTCATAAAGAGCTACTGGTCTAAAAGCAGTCTGCCTGATGACCATCAGCCACATAGACAGACACTGAGTCAATAAACAAGCTAATATCATGGCCAAATGCAGCCACATGTCAGGATGAATACTCAAATTTTCCCATTTAGGCCATGAAACTGAATGTCAGAGAAAGCAGCAACAACCTTTTTTCTTTCTTTTTTTTTTTTTTTCAGGGGGAGGAAACATCTGTTACACGTTTTTGAGTTAGGATCATGATGGGCAAGGTGTTAACAAGATTAGCAAATAGGATCAAACAAAGAAATTTACAGAAACCAAAACGCTGTCTTTTTTCGCAGGTTTTTTCTTGGCAGACCTGTGACACAAGAAACATTCATCATTAACAAAACATGCAGCTCATGACAGTGTTTTCAGAGGGGAGGGTTCATGGGGATACTGTGGAGGTTCAATATGTTCAACAGCTGTAGCACAATTTGTATAGGGCGTGTGAGGTCATCTGATCACACTGAGCAACTCCATCGCCAAGAGCCATTACATCACAGCCTGTTATTTCATCACAGGACGTGTCAGTGATGACTCAAAGCCCAGACTGTTTGACTCCATATTAGGAGGGAGCCAGAACTGATGACTCACTGCATAACATTAACCATCTGCACTCACAGCAAATCAAGTTTGGGGTGTGTTTGAATGTAAAATGCTGACTCAAGTAGAAGAACTTACGAGTATTTGCCCATCCTCCTCACCACGGCGATCACCACGGCAATGACGATGATCAATGCCAAAAGGGCGCCAATCACAATGCCAACTACCTGACCAGAACCCAGGCCTTCTGTGGAAAACAATAAGAGATGTTATCAAATCTCAGCCTGTGCTTTGCTTTTTTTTTCATTATTTCATGTTTTGTTTATGCCAGAGATTTAATGAGTCATTTGTACTCCTGAATTAAAATGAAAAGCCTAAATAGGACTTCAAGAGAGCGCTGCCAAACTCACTTCTTTCCACTCTAGACTCATGGGACATCTTCAGCAGTGAATTTGAAAGGAAGAAGGGATTTGTCAAATAACATTGTGTAATTTGCCACAGGTGTTGATATCTGCAGACAGCACACGGATGAAGTCTGCTGTTCTTCAAATATTTGCTTTACATCCACAACTTACTGAAAAATGCAGTGATGATTAGTTTGCTAAGAAGAACAATGGCATTAAAATGTGCAAAAGACCACCAGTTTTTGGCTTTTGGCCAACATTTCTGAGGTTTGGTCTGCTCCTGGACTCCCCTGGCTGGCTCTATTATATTCTTGAATAAATTTGCAGCAATTTCAAGCTCTTTAAAGAGTTCATTATCTGACTTTTTTCACTCATCAAATAGTCATTAGGAACCTTACGGTGCTAGATTTGGTTTTTAGATGAGATAATAGAATTGGGGAAAAGGTGGTCCAATCGTGCCATCTCCCCAGATAGAAATGCATAATTCTCCTAATTGTCATGTCACCCTCACCCTCTTCGCCTTCTACGACCACTCCTCCATCAGTCTCTATCTCAGCGGCAGCTGTTGCTGCAGGCTCTTCCTCTGCTTCTTCTGCGGGAGCTTCGGTAACTTCAGGAGCAGCGGGAGCTGCTGGAGCCTCTGTGTCTGCGGCAGGAGCGTCAGTGATAGCAGGCTCTGCTGCTTCAGTGGCAGGAACAGCAGGAGCAGCAGGAGCATCAGTAGGAGCTTCTGTCTCTGCCTCAACTACTTGCCCCTCAGTGTTGACGGTAACAGCTGGAGGAGCAGCCTCAGTGGCAGCTTCTGTTGCAACTTCTTCAGGTGCTGCTTCTGGTTCGGATGCAGGAACTTCAGTGACGACAGTGAGATCTTCTTTCTGAGCCTCTGTAACCTCTACAGGGACTACAGCAGCCTCAGTAACTGCGTCAACATCAAGTTCTGTAGGGATCTCTGTGGGGCCTAAGGGGAGCAAAAAGAGGTAAGAGATGTGTTCATATGCAGGTATAAATACAGGAATTCACACTGTTCCATCAGGACAGAATGGAGCTGACACAAAAGTTCCCCAGTCTGTCAGGATGTGTACAAAAAAATGTAATAGGTAAACGTTCAGATTCCTTCCTGACTTAAGGACGTGCTGACACGACCTCTCCTCTTTCTCACACTCTGGCGTAACACTCAGCCAGCAAATGGCTACCGTGACAGCATGATCACCACACCCCGTGACTATAAAATGTACATCCCCCCTCCATCCTGTCTTGAAGACTCTACGTTAGAGCACTGGCATGCCACATCCTCTTCCTCATTTCCTGTGGAGGCAGAGGCACGCTGCTGCAGCAGCTAGTGTATGGATCGGGCGTGAGAATGCTTGTTAACCCTCACACACTTAGCATGTGTTGTCATTAAAGGGTGGGGCTGCAGGGACAACGCCTGATTTTGGGAGAAACAACTGGAAGATTTATGACTATTCTCATGAAGGATGTGTCAACAATAAATCTTAAGCGCAGAAACAGAAAAATGTAGGAATTCTGTCCAACATCTAGCCTGAATATTGAACTCTTAAAATTTATGTATTTGAACGATGATCTTTAAATTCAAGTTTTGCTGTAAATCAGAGGCTTTCATTGTGTACTGAGCAACTGTATAAAGACATGTATTTATCCTTTGGTCTGTCATCAAGGTCTGGACTATGCAGCAATCTTAGTTCAACCTAATAATTTCCCTCAATAGCCTCAGCTCCATCTTCCCACGTACAACATCCTCCCAGCCACAACTGAAAGCTTAGCCTGGACAGCACTGCTTAAAAATGAAGGAGGTAGATTTCAGTGTGGCACTGAAATTATGGTCTACAGTTAACTTTCCACTGACAAGATGTTGGCCCGACATCGCTTCTTCCTTTTGGAAAAAAAACACACACACTCACACACACACAAAAAAAACTTTAAATCTTCATCTCCCTGAAAACTTTGACTCCAGAGACTAGGAGAGTGTCTTTGTTATTTTTCTAATCTTAGCGTCTGACATCATCAGGCTCTCTCTATCTTTGATTGTTCTTAAAAAACTCGAGAATACTTTACAGGGGTAAAAATAACCCTGAACTGCTGGATTTGTCTAACAACCGGCACAGTTATTCCTAGTCCTGTGTTGCCTGGTGTGTTCATTAGCAACAGGAGGGGTAAATATAACAAAACATTTGTTCCCACTATTGCAGAGCACTGAAGGGGCTTTTTGAAGGCCACTCATGCTGTTTGTTTGGAGCGTCTGCGAACGATGATAAAATGGTCTGTGCTTCACTGAGTATGGCTATGTCAGCTATGTGTAATTGCCCCTTCAACCTCTGTTAACAATTGTTTCATTATGTGTACAGTTCCCACAATTAGCTCAGAGTAGTATTTCCTCCCCACCATGCTGATGATCCTAAAAACAGCTGCACGAGTGAGTCAAAGACTGAGACTGCTGTGGTCCACATCCCCTCTCCTCTCCATTTAATCTACTCCTTGTCCACCTTCCTCGAAGTGACCCTGCCACTCCCTAAGGAGTGGTTTGTTACTGCTGAAACCTTTGAAAAGGCTGAATCCCTGCAGGGAGAAAGAGAGAGAGAAAGAAAGAAGGGGAGGGCAGATCGGAGAGTGAGAGGGTGGAGGGGAGCTCTGAGGGAGCAGGACTGAGTCCTTTTTGCTGCCTGATTTCACTGTGAACTCGGTCTTTGGTTCTCATTCTCTGCACGCAGCAAGAAGTGTGTCTGTGTGTAGTGCTTAGTCTGTGTGTGTTTTAGTGACCCTCTTTCAAACCTGAGGGGGGGTCCTAGAGTAGGGTTGGATCCAGAACAGGGCCCCTGAAGCTGGTGAGGATTTTTTTTTTCATCAACCTAGAGTTCAAGTAAAACCAAAATATAGCTTCTCTAAATTTGTGAGCATCATGAAAACTCAGACATGCCTTTGCTGTCTTTGCCTTTTTTTGTGTGTTTTATAATGATCGAACACACAAAACAACAAGGCTCAGGAGACATGGCCATGAAATTTAGCTCCATGCACCCCTTTGCAAGTAAAAGAAAAGCGGGGTTTGGAAGCAGCTCCAGTTTCTTTTCAGTCTTTCAGTCCTAGACTGAGGACCGTTTACGTAACTGCAGCATCAGCCTTATTATTCCAAATGTTTAGTGGTGCACCCAGGTCATTTTACCCACCATTACATCATTTAGACCACACGTGCTCCTTCTTGCATCCATTTCAATGTGGAGTACGAAATAGCTTGAAATCACCCTGCTATTTAACAATCGTTAACAAGTGGCAATGAGTTCACACTGCCATGAGTTAATTTGTGTGTAGATTGTGGCTATAAGCAAACCTATGGTCTCTCTAAAGACATTAAAGGGTTGGTTCCCTAAAATAGCGATTTCTGATTTGACATCTCCCGACTATACTAACATACTTCAGAAAGAAAGATATTGAAGGGAATCACAATGCAGAAAGAGCACAAAAGCAAACAAGTGGTAATGATACCATACGTAAAGAGAGGTTTCAGAGAAAGACAGGTGGGGTTTCAAAGGCAGACAAGAAAAAAGGATTAAAAGTAGGTGTAGTGTTGACGGACTGCAGCTAAATACTGGGAGAAGGAGGCAATAACCCCCCATGTTGAGCATCACTTCTGCCTGGCATAAATAAGACCTCCAGAGAGAGTTCAAGAGTGAGGGAGGGACACAGGGATACACGGTATGAGGCAGGAAAAAGAGGGAGTAACAGCTTCCATCCATTATGATCACAATCAGCCATCATACAGGCCCCCTGTTTGTGTGTAAGACAAAGAGACAGCCGCCAATTCACAGTCCTGTGTGGGAGGGAGAGGACTCGTGTGGATGGAGCAAGGGAGTGTGAGAGTGTCCACCTTTGGAGCTCAGGAATGTTTTTGCAGCGTTGGAGGAGGGAAATGTGAGCGAGATAGGCGCCCTGCCCATCATACTCAACTACAACTATGATGAGATACCGCACAGTGTTGCCTCCCCTGCTTGACCATGGGAGTTGGCTATGAAGATACTGGGCCGTGCCATGCACTGACTGGAGATTTAAAGCAGGAGAAAAAAACTGTTGTTTTCGCCTCCTGCTCTAAATTAGATGCAGTACATACAGCAGGTCCCATCTGGACTTTATTGCCAGGGGCAGACACTGGTCCAGACCTTGATCAAGTGGGCCTTTAATCTTGGGTTTAATAGGTCTGATTAAATTCCTAACATGTAATGAGTCAGGGCAGGGATGACAAGATGTGCAACCACTGTAGAAATGACAGAAATAAACACATCATGCATCGTGGCAAACCCTTTTACTTCTTCAATTCTTTCCAATTCAACCAAACAGTCCAGATAGAAGCAACACTGCTGATTTTGATAAATATATAAAGAAAACATCTGAATGTATCTAACCCCCCTTGACCTTTAAATCCAACTCCCACTTCTTAAAACACACACCCAGTTGTGTAAGTGTTCCTTAGTCAGCAACTTGACTTTTTTCTACTTTCCCCTGTACCGTACCTCACCCTACAACGCACATAGGTGCTACAGATGGGAGACATTTGTGTCAGCGCTCATTGAGGACACATATATACTAACAGAGACACACACACAAACACACAAAAACACTCCACAGGGCTAAACTCTTGAGCCTAGTTTGTCTTGCAGTATTGAGTCGTCAGAGTTTAGTAGCCAAGATGGTCTCACACTGCTTTGCATAACAGATGTTTCTCTCTCCGTGCGGAAAAAAGTATGACAAAGCATGTTTAATTTCTGTCTGAAAATGATTCTCAGTTGACACGAAGAAGTGCTCCTTCTCTCCAAACTGTCCTTCCCTACCCACATGTGTCTCATATTTAGAGCATGAGCGCAGTATTTGAGTCATTTCTAGAAGTGGGCATGGACAGAGGGCATTGACCTCTCCCTTCCACAGCCAGATGTGACGGGGATGTTATAAGAGCAGGGAGGCAGACAAAGCTCATTAAGAAGGAGACCGGACGAAAAGGGGAGAAGGGGAGGGCAGCGTGAGTAATAGGTGGAGGGTTTTACAGGATACATGGGGTTTGCTAGTTAAGTGAGCAGGCGCGAGGAGTCAAAAGACCCTTTTTGAAAAGCTTGGTTGTGGAGGGAGCCACTTTCTTTGTTTCCCACTTTCTTTGGGAGAGTAAGACGGCTGAATTGAAGTCAATTCTTTATGTCAGAGAGCTTCTTTTCAGAAAACAAACTTCTACAGGAATGAAGCACACACTTGGACTCTAACTAGTTAAGGTTTCTATTTAAAAATAGACCCAGTCCCTCACTTCTCCCTCCTTGCACCGACCCTGTCTGCTGGGGTCCAGACCCATCAAACTAGAAGGGGGCAGAGAGCTGGAGAAAGGCGGAGGACTGTGAAGAGATAGGGTAAATGTGGGAAGGGGAGGGGGATTTTAAGTGGTAAAGCTTGATACCCCACCAAAGATGGGTAAATGCCAAGGGGGAGGTCTAACAACACGCGGGTGAAAGAGGGTGGGGTGCCTCTTAAAGCTCATCACGTAGCTGGTGTTCTCTCTCTTCTGGTCTCCTGCTCCTCTCTCATCCATATGACCCTCTTAAATATAGAGCCTCTCTCTATTAATACACACACGCAAAGCAGCCCTGCCCAACAGCTCCCTCTGGACTGGGCCACACCCCCCTCTGTGCCTCTGTGCTGCTTCCACTGGGCAAACACTGCTGGTCAAGGCAAAGGAAGAGAGCAGAAAGAAAAGAAGAAAGGGAAAACATACATTCAGGGAGAAAAATAGGCGAGACAGGGCTGGGATGCAAAAAGGAAATCAAAAATGAGGAAAGCAGTCCGGGTTGAGAAGAGCTGAGAGATCAGGAGGAAAGTGAGAGGAGACAGGAGGATAAGCTTTCAGATAAATGTGTACGGTGTATGTTACAGTTTACCGCCCTCACCGACCCACCCCTCCCTCTCTATGAGCTCTGTTTTGGGAGCTTTCCAGAGGATATTCCTTTCTTCTCCTTACCAGTGCCAAGAATTTACAGACACGAGGCGGCAGAGCTTCTGCTATTACATCACATTTCTCCCACATGTCTTATAGCAAATCTAACTTTTCCTGCTGTCCAGAGCTCAGGAGTGGTGTGTAAAAGAGAGAAAAAAAGATCCCAAGACAAAGACAAGATCAACACAGACTTCTTCTTCAGACACTTAAGCTGGCCCGTTTTTTTGTTCAATTAACAAGCACTGTTTTTTTTTTTTCCATTAGTGTGATCCTCAGGCAGGATGGAACATATGGACCGCAGGACAACTGGCAACTTCAAAAGCGGTTTTCAGTTACAACTTCACAAAGAAAATATTTCTAAATTCGAATGTCTTGAAATTTCTTCACTTCAGAACTTAGTTACTTATTTTGTGGGTACACAAATTGGAGTTGAGTGTTTTAACCTCCTAAAAAGCAGCCTCCACAGATTTATTGTTCAATCAGCAGGGATTAAAGCAGACAAAGAGTGGTGTGGTGTGTGCACATGGAGGCAGAGGAAGGAGAGGGGACACAGTGTGCTAACAGCAGGACAGTGATAGCAGAAAGTTCACTTACTTGCATGTGTGAAGGCACAGAAAGGGCCAACTAGAGCCAACAGGAGCAGCAGCTGAACATTCATGGTGGTGAAATCGTCTCTCCTTCAGTCACAATCTTTAGGGGAGTCTCTCAAGGCCAAAGAGCAAGACACCGGAGCTCTCGCACACACTGCCTTGCACACGCCAGACACACACTAAGAAGCCTCTCCAGAGGGTAAGGGTTAAGGTTCAAAAAAATAAAAGGTCAGGTATGAAAATAAAGTCTGTAGGAGAAGTTTTTTTCAAAAGTGGCAGCCTGAGATCCTACTGGACTGAAGTGAAAAAAGAGAGCGGGCCAAGTTAGGGCTGGTCGCTCTCACAGCTGGAGGAAGGAGGAAAAGAGAGTTGGAGGGATGTAAAGTGGATAAGAGAGAAAAGAGGAGATCTGGCCACTTTGAGGAAGTGGAAGGAGAGAGAGAGAGAGCAAGAGAGAGAGAGAGAGAGAGAGAGGGGGACTGGCACACAGAAGGGGAGAGAAAAGAGTGTGTGTGTGTGTGTGTGTGTGTGAGTAAGTGAGCTTACAGTGGAGGAGGGGTGCTGGTACTGGTGGTGGGGCTGGGCGGGCTGAGGAGCAAAGGGGCAGGTTGGGTTGGGAGGAGGGTGTCTTGATTGGGGCAGTTAGGTGATTTCAGCCCCTCGTTGTCCAGCCCCGTGTCGGATGCGCTCTCCTCCCGATGCAGGGCCAGCCCCTCTGTTTGCAAACCCTGCAATATCTACAACACACACACACACACAAACACGCGCAAACCCACACTTGGAAATGCTGATAAGTGGACTGTTGGCGTGTTTATCAAGACAAGCAAGGCACTACGAAATGAAACCATCAGGTTTATACAGTCAGAAAAGTTGGTGAAGCAACAGGCTCTGTCTCGATGAATGGAGCCTAATGTAAACAGAGTTTGGAGCTGTTTTCAATAATCCCTGACCACAGAGTCTAAAGCCAAGAAAGTGTCTGCAGTACAGCACAGCTCCACTAGAAGTTACCCATCATAATGTTTGACAGTGTTTATACAATCAGTGAGGAGAACACAAGCTCCCATATTGACCTATTAAACCATCTATCTTGTTCTTGCAAAGAAAAACTACGGTGTACATCTGTGGCTGACAGACAGTAGCATAAGTGAGCAGCTTTTCAGCACATTTTCCGATTGAAAAGGAGCCGTAAATACAGTTAGAACATTGTGTTACTTTCACGCAGAGAGCATGGGTGGTCTGCTGAGTTTATATGCGATGGAGGGCAAACAAAGTGTCACTTGGTGCTAGGCTGACACCTGTTGGACAACAAGCTAATGGTGGTTACAGCACACAGCCAGGGAGGGAAAGAAATCTAAATGTCCAAAAAACTTGTTTTCTTCCAGTTGTTTAATGCCTAAAAATCACAAAGTTTGAATCATAACAGATTCCTAAAAGCTGGAGAAGATTGAAAGGTCAGCAGCAGAGTAGCTTTTTTTGTAAAATTCTGAACTTGCTGATGAAATAACTCGGGCAGATTCAATGTTAGTGCAGTAAAAATGCTCAATAACATTTTAATAAACACTGAAACAGATTTCAACTGCTGAACCGCCATACACAGATTATTCTTTGACACACAAAACGCCAATGGCATCTTTTTTATCGCTTATTTACAACAAAGTTAAGGTATGTACATACTGTGACTGCGGAAGGACAAATAACAAAATACTCTTTTCCAATCTGATGTTTTCTTTTCATCTGATGTCTGTTTTTCAGGGGAAAATGTAGGAGTACCATACTGCTATTTACAAGGACAACAACACACAAACATACAAGATATATATGCTGGTCACTGTAATACAGCATTTAATGGCAATAATAGATGAGTATTTTTCTTTTCTTTCTCCTCTTTTTCAATAATGAGACCTTGTTTTCACAATCCCAACCATTGCTGAGGTCCCATTTTCATTTTATACAAACAAATGACCTCTTTCTTTTGTGTATTTTTTTTTTTAGCTTTAGGGAAGTGTATGTTAAAGGAAATCAGAGAGGACTATACATACTTGTACAAGGACGAAATGAAACATCACTGTAAATAAAAAAAATCAAATTGAGCATTTCATTTTAGTCTCTGCTGAACTGTTATTTTTTTAAAGTCTAAACAAAGAAATAAAATGTTCACAGATTTCTTGTCTCTCTCTAAATCACAAGATGCTATCAAGTTTGGTGTTGTGCAAAAGCTGCTCTTCATCCATTTAAAGAGGCTTCTGGAAACCTCTGAACCTTTGCTGTCTAATCATAATGAATCTGCACTTCTGAAAGTTATAAAACTTTAAAAAAGTCGATCATATTTCAGAAAACTCCTCATTACTGTTGATTATGTCAAAATCAAGCCAGTCTTATTTTCATTGAATTTGCGTCTGTTGTTTGAGCGACTGAAAAAGCTTACGCCACAGTATTTGATATCAGATAGCTTATTAGTTGCTATATGAGGATTTCAAACCTTTTGACCTTAGTCTCAGGAAGCTTTGCCATGAGGGCATGACACTGACAGTAAAGTCACATACACTAATGGAAATGGCTTTGAGTTGGTCTGACATGGTATATAAATATAACACCCTGAGACCATGGAATAATGTGTTGTTCCACACGCAAAATAAAAACAACAAACTGAGCAGAATAATATTCAAACAGGTGCCTGATGAGACAGAACATGAAGATTACTCAGACACACTGTGGTGCATAGAGCTTTTTTAGGCGAGGGGAGCTTCATGATGCCCTTTTTAACCAGCAGGTGGTGCTCAACATGTCTGATTCATTATACACCATCCTTATTTTCTCCTATATACTGTATATCTTCTCCATGACAGTGATTGCGAAAGCCACAAAGATGCCCAGTACGAAAGAAAACAATGAAAAAGAAAAGATGAAATGGTCAGACCTGCTGAACGTGGGCCAAAGACGAGTGAAAGGGTGTTTGAAGAGGATATGGTTCCTCTTCATTTCAGGCAGTGGGGCTGAAATTTCCCGGATCTGTTACTTAAGTTATGGTTGAAAGCATAAACATTTTAACGATAATAAAAACAATAATATTAAAATAATTTACAGACAATTCGACAACACTTTGGTGACATGTAACCCTCCTAACACCGGAGAGGAGGGGGCAAAACAGACAATTTAAAAAGCTTCAGGTGTCCTTTTATGTTTGGTGACGGGTGTTTACAGTTTGGCTTGGTCCAATTCCAAGAAGTCTTAAATATTTAATGATTGTCTTTAGACTCTTTGTCCACTTGTAGCAGAAAAAAAGGCCAGCAAGATCAGAAAAATGACTTTTGCGTTTGTTTTCTGTTGGATTGTCTTCTGTCTTTTTCACACAGGTGAAGGGAGCAGGTAGGCCAGTTCCATCGCTCACCTGAACCCACATGTCTTTTTGCAGTCTCTCTGTTTGTACAGCAGCTCTGTTTAGACGATAGAGTCCCAGTCAAAATCGTCCTGGATGTCGTCTGCAGTGAGCATGCGTCTCACTTGGAAGTGTCCCAGAGGCAACCTGTGTTGTTGCTGCTGCTGGCTCAGCTGGCTAAGGTGGCCTGAACAAGAGAGGAGAAGCAGCAGTAAGACATGAGACGCTGTATACATACATACACATACATACATTTACTATACCACTGAGTGAGGTGCTATTTAAGGCAAGTTCATTTTTTAATAGAAAGAGTAAAAAAAGAAACTCAAGAGAAAAACTGTCTTGTCAGGATCACCAGCTGTTATCTGTAAAACACAAAAAAGTTGTAAAAACTTTTATTACCCAGCTGTGGTGACGTTTGGATGCTTCTGGATGTCAAAAGCCCAAAAACCGCAGTAATTGGAACTTAAAAACTATGTGAATGACATGGGATGTAATCCAGTTTAAAAACATTTGATACAGAGAAGTTCAAAATTACATGGTGCATTTTATGATCCCTCATCTGGCACAGCTCTCTCTTTCTCTCACCCTTGTCGGTTATTTCTTTTTACTCTTTTTATCTCAAGACATAGTTTAGGAGACAAGTTGTGAATTCAGAGTTATATTTGGATGAACTTAAATCATCATACTGTGGCTCTTACCCCTGCAGTCCTAGAAATATAACTCTAGATGATCTACACCCTGTAAGCAGTGTTTGCTATTTCCTTACAGATGGTTGTTGCCAACAAAAACCTGATCTTACAAGTTAAATCAACTCAATCTGTAGAAAGTAGTCAGGCTAATTTTATCCCTGCTTAATAACACTGTGGCAAAAAACATTATTGGTAACTTTCAAAAATCGGTTAACAGCTAAGAGGACAAATTTATAAACAGTATAATATGAATTTGAAGTGCAGAAACTTGTGTTAGAAATAGTGTTGACTGCTGTCTAAACTTGATGGTGAATGGGAATATTCAGCCGTGTGTTATTACCCCCCATAGGTAGGCTTATGAAAATGTAGTGTTGTCATGATAGCACTACTGACTGTCAAAGTAGAGCCACATAAATATATCGTTTTAAAATCATGATAAAATCAGTTTTAAATAGCTATTTTCTGTCATTTCATTCATTCATTTGATTAACAGCCAGGTAGTAAGTAGGACAGTATAATATAGGCCAATTCATTTTGCCTTGAAATCTCATACACCCAGATTGGTTGAAACAAGTGCTAATTACCCCCTTGGTGTCTCATTTACTTAAATAAAGCATCTTATTTGCAGACATGATGTTGAAATGTTTTCTAAAAGTTTACAGGAGGTCTGACAAAATGACTCAGACATCTCTCTTTAAAAAAACAATACAATTAAAACTTTAAAATCCTCATGAAACTTAGATATTGTTAAATTCAACTTCAGGCTATATGTGATTATATTTGGTACATGATGTAGGATAAAGGCATCATCATCATCATCCTCAGAAGCAGCTGAGCTGTCCTATCAAAGGACTCTGTACAGACCTGAAACAGTGCTGAACAGTTTCCTCTTGCAACAAAGAATAAAAATACTTTGAATGTAGGAGGACAAAACTTTGGCATCAAAACATAGTTTGGATATACACTTCTTCAAATGTAACTCTAACCAGTAGGAGGTGTATTTTTTCTGTTAAACAAAAACAGCAAAGTGTTTTAAAGGGTATCTGATTCTGAATCTGGAGGAACTTTGTCAAGTCTGAGAAAATTACATGTACAATATGATAAGTCATAGAGTGATCTAATTTTTTTTGTATCTGGGCTTCTGTAGCATCAACTTTGGCCATGATTTTTCAACTTGTGCTTTTTAGCAACCTCTAAACTAGAGGTGCACTGTGGAGTATCCCTTCATTGTTCATTCTCTTTGCTATCTAAGTTGTCAAAACAGTGACATAAATTTACCATCACATGCACACATATACATATATAAACACATTAAAACCTATATCTGTGTACATGTATGTGTATATAATAAATGACTGTAATTTATAAAATAAGCCAACCAGACTAAAACTGCTAATATCTGATTCAAAAACACTCTTCAAAAACTCTCTTTGATGTATCATGCCTTTACTTGTACCGTATCATTACAATCAAGTACAGTGTCACCTACAAGCAAATGTGCCCCTCTTTAACACATAGATCTAAAACTGCAAACACACACACACATAGCGCTTTCAGCCTCCTCTTTTTGTGACCTGTTAATAGATGAGAGGAGGAGTCACCTGTCATGCTGGGTGCCGTGTTACTCATGGGAGGCATGTGGGGGTATCCTGGAGGGCCCATCAGAGAGGAAATGCTCTGTCTCGAGTCCATGTACATGTTTCCTGTGGGGGAACAGACAAAAGGGCCATGACTAACCGTCAGATTAGTATTCTGACTTTCACACATGCGTATGAGTTTTTGAGCTTCTACCATGTGCATGGCTTTACCTCTGTCTTATGCTAAGCTTGAGAAATCCTTTTGAATGTGTTGTCAGTTAGTGGATATCACACTGGGGAAATATTTCAGTTTCTTCATATCTTTACTCCATTTGCCATGGAGCTGACAACATCCAGAAATCTCTTGTAAAGCTATAGTTGGCAAACAATGGCACAGCATGAAGCCAGACTGTGATTCGACAGCCCACATGCACACAGCAGCAACACGCAAATGTTGACTCAAAGAGATGGATACTATTTGTTGAAGGTGAAGAGTATCTTTGATCCTAATTACTATTCTTTTGTGTTTTATTTTTCTAAACTAAATTTTATTTTGTATTTTTTTCAATCTCTTACATCTAACTGCCTGTTTGGTCTGAAGTGACACAGCTTAATAAACTTCACTTTGTATGTCTGTATGTTTAAACTAAAAACAAGCTATCTAAAGTAAAGAATACAAAATAAAACATTTCCCAACATCATTATTTTTACTTTTGATACTTTGTTCTATTTCAAATGAGATTCATACTCTTAGTTCTCCTGGTGTTTTGCTGGAGTGTAAGGTGAGTACACATTGAAACACTGCTGTATGTACTCACCCGTGCTGATGTGGTGATTATGTTGGTTGTGTTGCCCGTGCTGATTGTGCTGGCTGGCCTTTGGGTGCATGGCCCCGTGCGGCTGAGCCGGGTGCTGCTGTGCACCTGGAAGTGTCGGGTGTTGGACCTGAGGTTGGGGGTGAGCGGCGCCCTGAGGGGGGATGACGCCTGTGGCTGTGAAAAACTGGTTTATGGAGGAACACAGGTCAGCCATCTGGGCGGCGTCCAGTGACCAGTTGTTCAGCTCAGCCTGCCGCATGCTCTCCTTCAGACCTAATGGAAGGAGGAGGAGATATTTGTGAATAACATTTGACAAACATGGCTGATGTTTTGTCTACAGGATGCAGTTTTATAGTTTTATAGTTCATAGTTCAATTTTCGCTTATAAGGTGATTTTAAATCTGTACCAATCAGAGGTAAAGTTGTTGCCATATAGTTCCTGCACACTCGTGTCATGTCTGGCTGTGAAGGGATTCTTGTTATTCTGTGCAAGAAATAAGGACTTCATATTTTATACTGAAAAAGATGGCTGCCGATGTCACGAGAAAAAATGTTGAGGTTTCTCGAAACATGAAAATTAAGTCTTGAAAATCTGTAGAAACAAGTGTTATTTTTGGACTTGTCAAGGTCAAGGTCAATTATTTTGAGAGTAATGAGATATTCTCTATAGACATGAGACAAATCCGTTAAAGAAATCTGCAATCAAATTTTAGAAATTTTCATAGTTTCAGTAAGATTGAAGTTTCTTGCAGTAAGACACCATTTTTATGGTAGCAGTTAAAGTAGAGCTTGTATAGTTCTGTCAGTTTTTTATGCAAAATGTGGAAATATCAAAGTACAGGTATTAAAATCTACTCAAAAAGGTATAAAAGACAAATGTTTCTCAATAACAGTAATATGAGTAAATATAATCAATTACTTTACAACTTAGTTAAACAACAGTGCTTCTTTATCTAAATGAGTCATAACTACAGTCCCATTTTAAATAAATATTCAAGAATTACACTTTCTTTACATTATTATAGATTGATATATAACAATCAGACAAAGGCAAATTGATTTTATTTATTCTAAATGACTGTCATGTCAAGTGAGATCTGAGACAAATATCTATATTTATGTCAGATCTGACTTTAATGGGACTATAATGTGAAGATGTTGTGGTAAATAACACATAGCACACCTGATATCCGTTTTCCTATTCCAACAGTTACAATTAGGCCTTTATTCAAGGCACTGCTGTCTGATTTATCTTTAAACTGAAATTCATTTGTCTTGTGTTTGGTTAGTGACAGAGACAAGAGGCTTGGTCCTTGCTCTTTGGAGGTGAGCCAGAGACGGTGGAGGATGGCATTACGGCTGCGTGAGGGGTCAAGCGCTGTGGGAAGAGAGTGAATGAAGAAAGAGAGAGAGAGAGAGAGAGAGAGAGAGGCAGCACAGACCAGTCCTCGTCATCCATCGTGTGTGGATGTGCCGGCTTTGTGCGCTGACCGTGATAAGAGGCTGTTACCAAGCCAGGGCCTAATTGGATTATTCACATCATACAATTGGGAAGGAGAGAGTGTGTGTATGAGACAGAAGGAGAGAAAGAGAAAGAAAGAGAGAGAGGAAAATAGAGAGTGGCAACCTCTGAGATGCAGGATAATGACTTTTATTAGACCAGTCCTATTACCTCACAGCGTATTATAATATTGTGCCTCACGGGCGGATTTATATGAAAGAGCAGTGAGGAATCATGATGGTTCAATCAAAGTAACTGATCTGCATCATGAGCATTTTAGCAGTGCTCAGTGTGTCCAATCAGGCTGCCATAGACAGCTTTATCAATGTTTATTTCAGAGGCTTTTCACAACAATTGCAGCGGTGTGTGTGTTTGTGTGCAGTATGTGTGTTACCTTGAAATGGGGAGAGGTCCACGTCAGCCCAGTTGTAGCTGGTAGCAATGCGGCAGCTCTCCTTCAGCCAGTCCAAGTTTGGGTACCAGTCTGATGACATGCCTTGAAGAAATAGCACACATGTGCACACATTACAAGTGTTACCAAATGTGAAATAAAAAAAATGCTAACATCATCAACAAGGTTTCATTTTCATAAGACATTATCCAGCAGGTCAAGGTGACTTCTTGAATGTGTCTGAGAGATGTTTCTCCTTAAACTGATATCAAAACAGAGGAAACGTCACTTGAGAAACCCAGTGATAAAGCACATTGTCCCTTAATTAATGACTTTATAGATAATTCAAGATTTTTTAATAATTTAATTTTAAGATTTTTAATTGGAAACTATTTAAAAGACAAAAACATTAGTAATTTATAAAATGAGTATGATAAGCTTGACTGTGGGTAATTTGAAAACGGTGATTCATATGCACAGGTGAAATCTGTCTCCCCAGTCACCACAAGATGGTGTGACACAGCAGCACTGCAGCTAAGGCTGTGCTTTAGAGAGAAAAAAGGAGATGCTTTTCAGCGCCTTCACCACCACAAACTATACAACAATACATTGTGCGGCCTGGGATCAAAGACAGAGGGATTGCTTTCATTCATCCTCTGCTTGGTTGAGGGGAATACTAACCTAGATAAATAATGTCTGAATAGTCCCTCTTTTGGCCTGAGAGCTGTGTTGCAGAGACACAAAGGAAAAAGGGAAAAAACAAAGAGTGGGAATATGAGCAGGAAAAGCCTCAGTGAAGCTTAGGAGATCCCTGTCTGTATCGGCTCTGCCTCATAATATCAAATACTCGGGGAGCAAACAGAGGAACGAGTATCATATAAATGCAGCGTGGCTGTGCAGAGACAAGCCTGTTCTGGTGTATTAAGGTAAATTACATTTACACCAGTGTGGCTTTGAAAGTCAGGAGAAATGTAATCCTTGTTAGGTTCTCTACAGCATCTGTATATTTCATACATGAAAGAGGAAACTGTGCCACACATTGTCACAGGAGCTGGTGAAAAGGTGTACAGCAGAGTAAAGTGACTGTTAGGATCGGCGTCCTGGTTTCTCGGGTAAGAGTCCTCCACCTCTTTTATATTCTTCTTTGATACAGAATGAAAGTATATTTGCAGGAAATGTTGCAAAAATAAACTAACACTCCCTGGGTGGACTGAGTGTACAAGTATAGAGGCTTTTTTGTGTACCTTCAGGTGTCAGTGTCGGGTGTACTCTGTGAAAAAAACCCTGCGTATACATCTCTCAGCTCAATTCCAGTTCACTCTCTGTTTCTGAATACTGCTTTCACACTCTTGCAGAATGACACAAGGTTACTCTTACCCTTAGTATAAGGATATGTACCTTTGCTGCCACCCTTGAAGGAAGATAAAAGTTGAAGTCTACGTAACTAGTAAATATTTCACAGTTGTAGCTTTATGTTTAAGTTTGTATCACACAAAAAGAAAACGTGAAAGAGACCATAAAACATTTTTAATCAAAGAACAATTTTACAAGTTTGTGAACAACTTAGTTAAAATTCATTTCTGTCATCTTTCAAATTTCTATCAATACTTTTTGTCATAAGGAGGTTGATTTCAAAGTACAGTATCTCACATTAATGGCCATGTTGTAGACTAGAAGGTTTTAAATACTCTGAGGTATACCATATCACATAAAGGATGAATTTGTTAAATCAGTTAACATCCATTAAATTACTCTGCTGGTTTAGGGTTTGATGGTCTTCTCTGTGCTGTCCTTTATAGTATTTGACCTTTTACAGTGTGAAATTAGTACGTCTCTGCCCACACACAGTTTTTAACACCCCGCATGCATACTCTTGAACATTGAGCATTTAACTCACCTGTTGTGGGGCAGGTCTGCCCAGTATGACTCTGGTGGGAGAGGGATGGGTGCTGCTGAGAATGAGCAGGGTGCTGTTGGTGCTGTTGGTGCTGGCTGTGGTTGGAGTGGGGGGAAAGGTGCTGCTGAGGGTGGTGGGGGTGGTGCGACACCTGACCGTGGTTGTGTTGGTGATGGTGGCTGCTGCCACTTCCCGCACCTGGAGAGTGCTGATAGGAGCAGGCAGTCCGGGCCTGCTGGGTGGACTCACTGGGTATACCCATCAAACCTAAAAAATAAACAAAGCACAAATCATTACAAACACGGACATGAAAAAAAAAATGAAACCCTCTGAAAACTGCACATGGCAAACTAAAAATATGGCAAACATTTGAGAAGATTAAACCCTTCATGACAAGACAGGTCAATATTTAGTAATGAAGAAAAGTAGGGTTTAAAAATGACATAAAAGCATAAAATTAACATTACAAAGGATAACACAAAAAAGGACAAAAAAAACCCATTTTGTCAAAGAAGATAGTCAAAAAGTTTTATTTACACTCCTGACTTCAAAAAAGAACCACTGATTTCAGTCCGGTGGTTTTTCCGTCTCTGGTTACAAAAATGTCTCTCTTTGACACTCACACAAACACCTGGTCTTCCTTATCAAGGTGTGCTGTTTCTTCTCACTGACAGAGGAAGAGATTCTGGTCTCTGGCAATTTTTCTAAGGCACAGATTTAACCCCACAGTGTGTTTCATCTCCTTTACTTCTCATCATGGATACAGACAGCTGCAAAAAAACTGTAAGGTAGGCAGCTGCCTTGTTAAATTTCCGGGCAATGCTGGTTGTTGTCTTCAGCTACAGGGTTATTCTCAGATGTGTGCTCTTAGCTGCTTTTGAGCCATGGTTCTGCATATTTTCAGGTATAATAACTTGAGATTTCTTTCTACTTTTATAACGTGTAGTTTGAGAAAACTGTTATTTAGATGAGGGGGTTTGATGCATTTTCTTCCAGCTCTATATTTCCTCTCTGATTCTGCTTTAATATCCTATCGCGATTTTAAGATTAAAAAAGCCTCAAACTTGCATTTTTTTGTTGTAAATGTGGAAAAGCACGATTTCATATTATTGAAATTTGAAAGGATTATAAAGATTTCTTTAAGTAGAGCTTCATTATGTGCTTATGAGTAGTTGCAGTACTACCAACACATAAACTGAAGTAAGTTTGCTGAATATGTTTTGCATCAAACCCTGCCCACAGTCAAAGCAGTGTGTCTCCTTTCCTCCAGACCTCTCCAAACAGGGCTAATCTTCACCTCCCTTTACTGTAATAAACCAACAGTTGATGAGTACCTCTTGAAAACTTTTCCTGGAAAACTCTATCCCTTTAAAGCCATTTGATGTGATGTGCTGTGAGGAAATAAGGAATTACTGTGTGACACTTGACTGTGTGTTGCAGTTACACATTGACTGTAGGACTGATTTATTTCTAAATTGCTTGTTTTGTCTCAACATTTTCTACTAAGATCTTTCTGAAAATGATTGCAAAATAACCTGAGTCAGTGTCAGTGTGGTGTGCAGCCTTGGACTCACTCTTGTTTTTCAAAGGAGACTATGAACTGCTCTCTGAGTGACGCATTGTGACTCAAACTCTGAAATACAATGACTGCTGACATGGTTTCCCGCTTAGTCGCACACTTATGGGCCTCTTTAAAGAATTGGCTAAATCTTTTTTCCATCCTCTTCTTCATCGCAGTCTAGGTCTCAGTGTCATAGCTTTTTCCCTCCCTACTTGTTACTGTCTTTTCTTTTCCCTGCTTGTGCAGCCATGACCATAAAATGAAGAGGACCTTAACGGAGGATGAATCCAGGCAGCAGTTGCAAAGCTCAACAGAGCGCATCAATCTCCTCCGCTACAGAGCGTACGTAGATGTGTGTGCATATAGGGAAGGTGATAGGAGGGTGGTGGGATAGAGAGGGTCCAAGAGGGAGGAGGCCTGGTGACCTGAAAGCTTCAGGAAGCAATTAGCAAGATGCTACACAAACTTTAGAATCAATCTAATTAGCTGCTATCAAAGCTGCAAGAGCCTTTTGCTCTGCTCGACTGCAGATGTGTTTGTGTGTATTTTTCTCCTTCCGTTGAATTCTTCCTCTTAATTGCCTTTACTCATTTGACTGAGCGAGCCGTTGGATGCAGATATGCGGAACAACAGATTGTTTGTTTATTAAAACACAATAGAGTAGGAGTAGTGTTTGGTGGAGGTTAATACTGGAATGCTTTTACTGCTATGAAAGAAGCGTTAAATTCTTTCGGTTTCATTAGGAGCTTAAGTCTGGCAGTTAATTACTTGCATGAAGCTTGACATAGAGGTTTACAAGGTTTTTCTGTGTACTTGTCATTTAAGTTGTTGTACAGGCACACGCATGCACTGTTACTAAGCATCGCACAACATGAAGGTCAATACCAACCTTGCTGTGAGAACGACTGCTCAAAGACGCATTTGTAGAGACTGCGGAAAGAAGCGCTGAGGTCCTCAAAGTCTGAGAAGCAGAGCTGCTTGTCCCTTGACTCCGGGACTGGCAAACCATATTGGGGCTGTGGGGGAGGAGGGGGAGGTGGCGGTGGCTGAGTGGGCTGCTGTAGGCTCAGGGATTGGGATGAAGGCTCTGAGTGGCTACTTACCTTCAAGAGAGACAGACGGGGAGGAAGAGGGGGAGAGGACAGACAGACAGATAGGGAAAATCAATGAAGGAATTGGTTCAAGAAAAACACATTAAAGGCTGAATTCAACTGCTTGGCTAGATCAACACTGCATCAAAAACACTCCAGCCATTCTGCACGATGCGATTCCTCAACACTGGGTGGGTTGGAAAAAAATTGTCATTAAGCAAAAAGTTGGTCGTTGCTCGAGTTTCCAAAAGACAAAGTAAAAAATCCTCATTATCCCCGGGATTTTGTAGCAGACAAAAATTAGTGTTCTTTAGAAATGTTTATTCTTGTTTCAAGTAAATAAGATGCTAAATGATTATTTAGGGAAAACTGGTCTTAATTTTTTTAACTTAAAATTTAGCCCTTCAAGTAAATACAAAACAAAAACACTAAAATCACCAGAGCAAGTACTGAGGACAGAAACAGCATGAGTAAACTATTTCAATGTAGTCCACTGGATTTCACTGTAAAAATTCTTAAAGAGACCATTATTTAAAAATCCCCCATTACCTGCGCATAAATTTCAGAGGTCCATCTGCCACTTAGTGGGTCAATATTTGTACCAAAATAGTCATGTAGCTAAAAGTCTGACAGAATTTTCATGTTATTACAACTTCTTACTCTGCTGTCTGCATGTCAGAGCATCAGAGTCCAGCTGACAAACACAAACACACACAAATTCACAAATTCAATTTTCCCTCTGTGGATCAATAAAGTATTATCTTGTCCTGCTCCATTGTTTACTACAGTGAATGTCAGCTTCTCCACTGAAATAGGGTTTCAGGGATCAAGACTCTATGACAGAGCCACAAGCTGAAGGCCTATTCCAGTGTTGTTTTCTATGAAAGGCCTGATGGGTATTTTTTAATGAATGCACTCTCTGCTTGCCCCGCCTCCCACTCCGCATCGGTGTACATGAGATAACACACATACCAATGATGACATGTGACCACTGTTTCACAACAAAAAAGTGTTCACAGCAAAAGTCTAATCAAAATCAGTCTGTGCCTAGTTGGTTTTTTGAGTTCCTTGTGTTGTTCTCCTTTTATAAGTTTCTGCAGGTGCAATTAGCAGCTTTGTGAGTTAGCATGATAGAGATATTAAAGATGCTGCCACCTGTCATTTAACATACTGGAAAACTTTTGTCTTGAAGCTGATTCTAAATGAAGAAACCTGAAGTAGGAGGACTGCACTGTGAATTTAAAAGTAAAATACAATGATTATCACATTTGGTTGAAGGAAATTTTATTCATTTTCCAATGTTGCTATTCAAATTCAGTTTTCACATTAATTCCATCAAGAAGTCATTCTTTAATTTAGTCATTCACAGTGGTGATCAAGTCAAATCCAATTTCATGCAATAAAAAGTAGACTTTCACTGGAACTCATTTCTTTTCATATAAACACATCAAACAAAGTACAGTGTGTCAAATCTCTTTCTTGTATTGTGAATGCAGCCTGTCTCCCTCCACCTTCTATCGTCTCATCCCAGCTGTCATCCTCCTCACCATCCACCCAGCAAACACAAGCAATATGCTGTGATCAGTGTGCCTCCGCACATGCAAGCCAACTTCGCATGACACATCCCCCCACACATCCACCTCCACCCAGTAATGGCTGCCTTTCTATCAACTTTTCTTGTGTCTTTGAGAAACCTGCCTGTGATGCCACCAGTAATCACAGTCAGTTAGGAAGGTATCACCTGCACCAGGTAATGAGGCAGAACTAACCCTGATCCCACTGGACTAGACCACAGATGAGGTCTGAAGTGATGGAGGAGAAGGAGGGGGAGGTGGAGGGGGAGGGGGTACAGGGGGGACGAAAACAAAAGATGGCCTCTAGAAATGAGAGGTTAACGAGATGAGATTGCACTGACCTTTGCTAATGCAGGTGGGAGGTGAACGGGGAGAAATGATTGATGGTGAAAAGGTGAGCAGCTGTTGCAAGGGAAAATAATGAAGGGTTGGGATTTTGCAGCTTTCAGGTGATATTGGATCAATTTTTTTTCAACAAAAACCTGCCTTTAAAATTGCATTACATTTGGCTCAGAGAGACAACTAGAAAAAATACTGCAAACATCAGATTTCTGTCATTTTTATCCAGTGTGTTTGCAAATCAAGGTGGTGCAGCAGCATGGAGTAACCACATATATCAAACCAACTTATCTCCTTGGAGTACGAGTATGGAGTATGAAATTGTAAATGACTTTTATTGAAACTAGGAGGGAGTATAATGAATATCAAGAGTGGAAAGGTTTATCCTTTGTGGAGCTTGATCCTTAAGAATTTCAGGTTAACCTTTACACAGTGGGTGAAGACATGCAGCTACGGGTCAAGGTCAGGGGTTGAACCTTTTCCCACTGCAACAAGTCTGTCGCCTCTGTACAAAAAGCACACATTTTAACCAAATCGGTCCCTGAATTAATTTCCTCTTTAATAGAATTTCTTTTGAGGTCGGCCTGATGGAGGAACTCCAAGGCTGACAGGGACACCACAAGCATTAGGACTTCTTTTCTGTGGAACATGAATGTGCACTTCTAGTATAACAGTTGAACAGGACAAATGTAAGAAAGACAAAAAAACCAAGCTTTCATATTCAGCCAGTAAAGAGAACATTTTTCAAGCGGTCTAACTGTTCAAGAGAAGCATGAACAAATGAGTAAATGACTCAAAAATTGAACAAATGACCTTTAAGAATGTTTATCACACTTTTTATGACTATTTTAATGTAATTAATATTACTCATTTTTACTGTTTGTATTTTTTGCATAGCTGCATGCTTTCATTTATGTTAACACATGAATCTGCTCAAACAATTATCTTACAAAATAAAATGCATCCATTCTAGTATGACACCATCTTAGTCCAAGATCCAAAAATGGGAATGCCTGTTATAAAGCAAGTGTTGTTTTTTCTTTCTTTGGTAGATTTTCCCGCTGTCAATATCAGATCTGACTTTTCGTATTTTCACCTGAATCTTCACAGCTCACATTAAGAGGTCCAATCCAATTAGCCAAAAGTCCTTCCCATGTTGAGAACATGTTTTCTACAATTGATAAACATTTGACAATCGTGAAATAATTGTTTTCTTTAAAGCCAAATCCCTCCACATGGGGCAGTTGATTTTCTGACAGAGTCCCTTCATTAAAAAAAGGCAACTTTTCATCATCGCTCTCCCACACACACACACACACACACACGGATTGAGAGCAGAGGGACCCTGTTTCATGAAGGATGAGGAGTCATTTCAACTCTGGCCAAATATGTCTCAGTGTCTGTGGTTTGCCAAGTCTGGAATGCATTTTACATTGGCCAAGACTGCAGGCATGAAAACAGTGGACAGCATAGGACAACCTTGATTATATTTTACATTTGTATGGGAGTGTGTAGAAAAGGACACAGAAGGGGCACAGCACAGGTGTTAAAGTGATGGGCATCAGAATTCATCTACATTTGATCTCGTTGTATGATCCCCTTTTTCCTTTAAGTTGTTCACATGAGAATAGCCAGGCCAGGATGACTCTGATGTTTTCTGACTGACAGACAAAGCCTCTTCTATCAACTCAAACCAGTATTTCCCACAGGTTTAGAATTAATTTGTGAAGTAATTTGGGCTGGTCAACCCTAAGGGGTGTGAGACTGTGACAACAGTAATGATAGTTGGCTGCAGAGCCGAATAAGAGCATATGAACGAATCATTTAAAAGCATGAAATTGAGTTTTCAATCAATCTGTTCTTCTAAACACATTTCCACAACTCTGGAAAAACTTTGTAATTAATTCAAAAGTCTTCACGGATGGATGCAACTTGATTTGTTTGCAAAGTTCAAATAAGTTCTAGAAAAGAGAAACACTGACTGAAGATGTCCTTTTGACTCTGTTTGATCATGCATCTCAAAATTTAACAACAGCAATCAATTAGGTTAGTTAGCAACATTTTTAAATGATCTAGTAAGTTAGCATCACTACATTTGTGGTTTTTACAGACAAAACCATCAGTGTGCCTGTTTGTTGATGGAATTCATTCAGTTTTTCTTCTGTGGAAGGATTCATATCGGCCAGAACATTTTTTTTTTGTTTGCAAAGTCTAACAAAAAGAGCAGCAAACAAGTATCTTGACAGTACACTGTCGATGCAGTATACATGCTGTATGCTGGTTACCACCTCCTCAGTCTGTTAAGGGTGCAGCACACACCTTCTGTACCCACTGAGAATGTGTGGACCGGTGACTGAATCATCCCGACTATGTCAGTAAAAAGAGCACACAGACATATAAGAGACATAATTTGAAGTTTGCATGCAGGCAGTTTAAGATTTGCCATTTCAACTAAGACAGAAGAAAAGTGGGAGGAAGCTGTCCTGAAATAAAACCAAGTTTGCAGCAGCTTCAGGTGGGCTGATGTCCTTGAGCAGACAGACAGCAGACAACAGAGACAGAGAGAGAGAGAGAGAGAAAGAGAGAGAGAGACTCTCCTGCAGCAATCGTTAGACTGACACTCAAGTAAAGAAAGTCTTACTGGTGTGTAGCTGTGGACGTTACCGCCGCTGCTGACGGCCGTGTTCAGGTTGTTAAGGTTGACAGATGCCAAACTCTGCTCTGAAAGACTGTTGCTCAGGCTGCCACCCAGACTCCCAGGGCTCTCGCTGCCTTCAGCTTCTGGGTTGTAAAGTGCTACCTACAAAAATACACACGCACACACACACATACACATTAACACATGATGGAGTTGGGGTTAATTTGATGATAAAGGAGTTCATACAAAGCCTAACACTTGAGCTATCAGGATAACCTCTTTTGAAGGCAGTGAATACCTCCTTTGCTATTCCCGGTTAGCTCCTTAGTTCATCAGCCGATTTATATTGAAGCTTAAATAAACATCGCCAACCTCAAAAAGTTACCCATGCACCATTAACCTACAAGACAACTCATGAGGAAAACAGGAAATGAAGGTGCTGGTCCATGCAGTAAAGTGCTGTTGCACAGACCCTTAACTAATGATTTTTTCTTCCTTTAACATGCTCATTTTGGTTACAAGCCCTGACCTCGAGACCACCTGTGAAACCTGAAAAATGCCTTAATTGTCTGCTGGCTCGCTGCCAGCCTCACTGCTTCAGAGGAAGTGCGCTGTATGTTGTCTTGCGGTGACAAACACAAAGCTGTTGAAGAGAAATGCCTCAGGATTATGTTGAATCATGCTCCTCTTGTTTTGTTTGACTGTCAGTACATGTGAAGAACAGTGCCAGCTCTGCCTTCAGGCTACATTTAATTGTATAGACAAATGTGAAATTATAGCCCTCGGCTGAGACAACAGTTAAAGGCTCTCTTGAGCAGTGCGCTACTGTGCAGAGCGTGTTGTAGCAAAAAAAAGGAATATTTTCAGAGGTAAAGATTTTCAGGAGCAAAGATTTTAGGTGTTACTCTTCATTCTCTTTGACATCTAAGGGGACCTACATTTCTCTTTCTTCTCTTGTTGTAATATTAAAACAGTGTTTAGGAATTTGTAAAATATCCCTTAAAGCGCAAATGAAGAAACAAAAATAGACTTATATAATCTTTAAAGCCCATGACGTTTCAAATTTCATATCTAAAAAAAGAGTTTGAGAATGCAACTAGCTAACACAATGTCAAAATGTAAAGATGACTTCATCCACCCACCTTAGGGATAACATTTTTGTTATCCTTATTTCCTAGTTTCACATTAAAGGGATATCTGTCAGAAGCTCAGGCTTTCTCTCCAATGCACACAGAAAAAAGCAAATGTGATACAGCAGAGGGTCTGACACACTGCTGTGCCTGCAGGACGCCACCTGTCTGGATGTGGGTGGATATCATTGACGTTGGCATCAGCATTATTACCATCAAGGTCTTCCTCTCTCTGCTCTGAATCATTTTCTCTAAAATTAAAGTAGTGACTAAAATGTGAAAAGCTTTTGACTCTCCCGGAGTAAAACAGAATTAGTGTAAAGTGATGAAAATAAGGTCAACTGGCTGTTCTCTGGTGCTCATGCCTATGACGAGATACACTTAAAGTGTCCTGACAGTGAGACTGCAACAATAACTGGGTGATGAGATATTCTCCTTCGTAAGAGATGTTGTTCACCTCCTGTTATCTATTGTTAAATCTATCTTTATTATTAATACAACATGATTAACTTTTACAGAGTTACTCAGTAACGTCATGGAGAGCATCAGTAGAACTAAAATAGAAACCCAATGGTAGTAAAAACTGTTCACTGTTTTATCACATATATAAATTGACCAACTGTGCTACAGTGGCTAATATGGAGTTAAATTTTAGCTCCAGCAGTAAACTAGATAATCTTTTTACTATATCAACGTGTAACCTTCGTATGACTCTTCGAATCCTTGTAAAACCTGAAAATATCAGAATTAAAGCCACAACAGCCACTTTACTACCAATTTTAGAAAAGAAAATTAAAAAGTAGCTCAACACAGACCTAAACAGACACAAATATCTGCTACCTCTGCTCACTTATGCTAATATCAAAAGGTCTGCCTCATACAGTTTTAAATCCTATTTAGGGGTCCGAATCTACAAGATGGATGCCACAGCCTGTTTTATACAGAGGGTATAAAAATGACGACGACATATTTGGTAAATTGACTGTACTTATGAAGCACACTATTCTAGGTCTCAAGACCACTCAGAGGATGGTTTAATCCCCAAACATTCCCACGTCTTCAAACAATAGCAGAGGCAACTGTGTAGAGTGCTCATTAGCTTTTACTAATCCATTTATACACAAACGCCAGGCTGAGCCATTTGACAGCAGGTTAAGGTTCACGACACTTTGACATGTGTGAGCAGATACCAAACCACCAAACTTATGAATGAATGAGAAATGACTGACTCTACCTCTGAGCTGTTATCTTCAGTAATGATACTAAATTTTATTTTGATCCATCACAATTTCCTGCTTCTGTTATATATCAAATAAATCACAGTAAAGATGTCATAGTGTAAGTATAATTCAGCTAAACCAACAGCTGAATACTGGAAAAAGACCAAGGCTAAAGTATTGTATATAGATAAATTCAGAGGATGACTTAAGATCTATAAAAGGGCAGGATGGAAAACTGAAGTAAGCCGTCAAGTCCAGACCTTCACATCATGTCCACACCAAACACTTAAAAGTTATGTGAGCTGCTGCTGTGGGATGAATTTTCTCTTTAGTCGGGGTCAGACAAAAGGTCACGACCACACATCATCACCCTGTGTGTGTGCGTGCGTGTGTTCTGTGTGCTGGTTCAGACAGGCATCAGAGCTCCCAGTCACCGCTTGATCTCTGACCCTCATACAGACAGTCACACCCAGTCAGCATTCATGTGTGTGTCTGTGTCTCTCTGTGTGTGTGCTATTGCGTAAGGTTGTGTGTTAAAGCCACAATCTGTAAAAAAGTCCACACCACTGATGTTGAAAGAGAAAAACAGAGACTGGGTCTGCTGCAGTTTTCAGTCTAAAGCGTCATATAATCACTTGGTATTTGTTTTAGTCTTTAAAAGTTCAACACATTTTTTTCTCAGCTGCAACTAAGAATGACTCCCTCTCCTGACTAATTCATCCGTCAAAAATAATCATCACACATGATTAAGAGATGAATATTCATAAGACTTAAATGGTCACTAAGAAACATCTTCCTGAGCTTTATCAGTTTTTTTTAAACTTGTGCATGCAATCTGAGAGGATCCTGAAGCATGTCATTTCATTAATACATAATCTTAATGTTAGTCAGTCCATTTAAGTCAAACACATGGCTCACTTGTCCTAGAATTTCATGTGGGGACTGAAAAACAACTCAGACTTATAACCTTTTTATGACAAACACACAGTAAACCTTGCAAAGGAGCAAACATTGAAATCTGTCAAGAATCACTTTGAACTTGTGCCATTATGAGAGTAGCAAACAGGGTCAGCTATGAGTACATGCTTATAGTCAAGGTGGTTTATCTAGCACAATAGAGACCTCTAGCTTGTGGGATGGTGTGCTTTGGGGTCTCTTTATCAAACCTCTATTCTGCTCCACAACAGCCGGTGTCTCACCTTGTTAGTTACAGCATTAATGGCCAGAGTAGGAGATGTCCCTCCTGACATGATGCAGTCCATTCTCAGAGACTCAGACTCCAGGCTGTAAGGAGTTGATGCCTGAAAATAGAGAAAAGGGGGAGTGACAATGAGGCTGAAGTGATTGAGTAATTTATGATCTAGTAGATAATGATAATGCCAAAATAATCTGCACAACTAGAGGATCAATAGAAATGTTAGCATACCTTTGTACCTGTCAAAGTAGAAAAGCATCAAATTAATGAAAGCTGAATTCAATTTAGCGGCCTCAGTTTCCTGGGGCTCATTAGTGTGCATGCTGACTCACTGTCACACTGTCAGACCTTATTGGGTCACCTAAACACTACAGAGCAATCAGTACTGTTATTAGGAACACCTGTGCTTTGCTGCTTTGACAGGTTTAGTGTCTGCCATTAATGCTTTGTGTTTGCACTTAGGAATCAACTGGGTTAAGAAGGTAAATGCAGGGTGATTGTCTGGATGTTGTGGTGGAACATCAGCTGAGAGAACTGTTTACAATGTACAACCAAAGGCTCACTAGGTGTCTTTATGCTATCAGACACTGTTCATGGTTTCAAGCAGGTGCAATCATTATCTTGTGATTCTGCTGAAGAGTTTGAAGAGTTAATGTCTCACATGTCAGAAGTTCATTGACTGGCTAGGAGCAGTTGATCAGGTGACGTCACTTATGGCACCATGTAAACCACATCACTATGCACAGGCTAGAATCCGCCTGACTTCAAAATGAGTTAAACGGCATATTGAAGCCAATTAGTTAAATTGGCTTCGATATGCTGACCTTAGACTTCAACTCAATTAAAAACAAGTCATAAAATGCACACATTCAACTTGCGCATGGCAAGACAGAGAACACTGATTTATGACTTTCTTTTGTTGCTTTAACTTTCCTTGAGAAAAAATAAACCAATTTTACACCAATTTTGATATATACAGGTTTGTGCTTGTGCCAATTTGGTTTCTTCAATTACAAGAATGTATGTACTCAAATGTCTTAGCCCTCACATTCCGTTCGGGGTCAAATTTGACCCATTTTGACTTTTAACAGCAGTAAAAATACCCTAAACATCATTTTTTAAGCCTGAAACTTGATGACTTTTCCTGAAATAACCCAAAATACATGAAATTAATTTAAAAATATTCATGTGTATTTTTGTTTATGTGCTACAAATTTTTCCCCTCTAAGGCTGTTATGGGTCAAATTTGACCCGTATCTATATTTAGATGGATTTTAGATCTAGCAGTGTGGGACAAGTGACAAACAGTAACAACAGTGTTCAATATAAGGTTTGTTGTTCAAAAAGATGTATTCAAATCATTATGAAACTATCATTACCTTGACAGAAACACACACACACACGCACGCACACAGACATACAGTCACACAGACACACCTAGACAGAGGTCAAAATGACTTAACTAGTCAAGAGAACTTTCTGTGACAGAAAGCTGCTCTTTGAACTCTTTGAAGGGGCAATTTTGACATATTGTGAGGGTACAGGATTTGAACAGTATGTGAGGGTTAAAGCACAGTTGGTTGATTAAAATAAGTTGATTATAATTACACACCAGGGAAAGTGGTGAGATTCCAGGGTACAGAATAAATAAAAGTAATAGGCGTGTTTTTGATACTTCAATAACATGAAAAATACCAACACCAACCTTTTTAAACCTTATCCAGCTACACACAGTTTCTCATCAGCAAACCCTGGGGCTATGGCCTAAAGGGTTGTTGGGAGTTTTAATGGCTTAATTCACAGCAGAATGTGTGTGTGTGTGTTTTTCTTATTCTTTGGCCCACTGTTTGTCAAATCCAAAGACATTGTCAAATATTGGTAATGGAGTATTGCCTATGAATGATTATGTGGCAGTATTTCCAACACAGAAAAGGAGGGTGAGAGTAAATATTAATTCTGAAATTAAACAGGAAAAAGGTCATAACAGCCTTTGACTGAGTACGTTCATGACTCCTCACTACACCTTCCTCCTTACTGAGCATGACCACGATGCACCAGACTCCAACGATGTGAAATAATCAAGGCACACTGAATTTAAATTGCTGGACACTTAACAGCTAAAGGAGGTGGCACATCATTTGCAGTTGATAAGATAAATCAAACTATTCTCATGCATTATTCATTCCTAAGAGGTTTGCAGCCGCAGTTCATTTTCTGTTGTCCTCACATGGAGCTAAAGTTGGGTTAAGTGAGAGTGAGGATATGAGGAACTATTCAGAAATCGATGAGGGGCTAAATTGGAGCCTGCAATGTGACAAATAAAAAAGAGGCCAATATTTTTTGCATGTCTGACTCCTTTCAGAGTTCAAGACAGCTTGCCTGCCTCCCCAAACTGCTTACAGTAAGAGGATTGGTTGGTAACAATGCAATCTTTAATTTATGATAAACTCCCTGTGAAACGGGTTGTCGGTTCCCTGGTAGAGGCACTTAAAAAGTAGACAACAGAGAGGTGACGAGAGGAGTGAGGACGGCTTGTGGAGGAAAGGAGGAAGAATAGGGAGAGAGATAATTGTTTGCTGAAGGACAGACAGAGAAGCAGACAGAGGCACACAGGAAATGAAAGAGAGTGATTATGCTAAGGGCAGCGGAGACGCAGGTACTGAACTAAGTGTACACTGCCTGTCCACACATTTATACAATGCATTTGTGCAGCCGACGTTTAGCCTTGCTGCCAACTTGAAATCTTTTCATTTGCACAGCAGCTGTCATCAGGAGACTTTAAAGACTTTGACTGTGTAGCTGAGGTGCGACAAAACCCAAATGAAAACAGTACGACATATTTAGCTCACCTTCTTTTTTTTCTTTTTCCAGGCGGTACCCACGCTATTAATCTTAGCACTTAAAACCTCCCTGTTCCTCTTTAGCCCATGTGACAGCCCACAGTGTGTCTGCCAGCGATGCAAGTGAGGCGTAAGAAAAGGGGTCGAAGGGCCCTTCCATGTAAGACGAGATGACAAGGCTCTGAATTAATTAATGTTTGTAATAAAAAAATGGTGAAGAAAATATGTCTAACGGCAGCTCCGGGGCCTTCTGTGGTAATTAACTGGAACACAAGCCTAGAATACTCTCTCTCCTTCTTCCTCGTCTCCTTGCTACTCATACTTTTTCTTTCCTTCCCCCTTAGTTTGACTTTTCCCTCTCTGCTCGCTCTACCTTGATGTCTTTCTCTGTTTTTTTTTCCACACCTCCCTCTCTATCTCCACATTTCCCCTCTCCCTTTCTGTTTTTTTTTTTTTTTTACCTCGATTCTTCCTCCAATGAGTAACTGTGATTGTGCACTTTGCTGCTCCATGCCTGCATGAGTTCCCTGGAGAGTAGAGGGCTGAAGCAGTGATACAGGCAGGGAGGGAGAGGCAGGGGGAAGAGTGGCAGGCAAACGGATAAACAGACGTGCAGAAAGATAATGATCGAGATACACAGACAGTGACAGAGAGACAGACACAGCATGAGAAAGGAAGCAAGATGACCAGTTGTTCTGCACGAGCATTAAAGACTCTGCAGGTTTTCTTTAAACAAGCACAGTTGAGTTAGGCATACATGTAGTAAAAACACCTTTGCTAGATGCAAACATCTACAGTATGGTAAGAAAAACAGGAACAGCATCTCCATCCTTAAAATACAGCACAAGAGTGAAAAGGACTATACTCATTATGTCTTCATCCAGCAGGTGCCACATCCACATCACACTGACTGATTTCACTAATTGGTTGCTTAACCTTGACTGTTGTCATACTACTAAAAGCCTTGCATTGATACAGGATGTCAATGAGGAATCACCACATGCGTGAATTACTGTGATCGTGCTTTTAAATTTCAATTTATATCACCTCAGAATCTTTTATCTGCAAGGCATGTGGGCATGTAAGAGCTGCAGGTGTTAATATCAAATACCTGGAGCTTCCTAATCCTTTAAAAAAGGAAGCTTATTGGATTGGGGACTGTGTGAAGCTAAATGTTCAAAATGCATCCTCATTAATCTTTTTTATTGTTTCAGCACAGCTACTGACCCACATACACATGGCTTAGGTAACAATCAAAAGAGAACTTCATCTGTGAAATTTTGATGGTACTATACCATAAACTTGATAGTTTGGTTTGGCTGTAGTTCTGAAATTTTAGTTTTTAAACCAACACTTTTTATGAGGTAATAAAGAAAATAAATGAACACAGATGGAGGTGACATTGAAACACATCAAGGAGCTCACAGCTCTTTAATCCAGATGCTTTGATTGATGACTGAACACCAGCCACACTCTTGGGGTTGACACAGGGTTACTTATATTTATAGCCTCAGACGTTGTCAATAAATTTTGCCACACCACTTTTCATTAAAACTTTTGTGTTTTGAAATCAACCCCGTTGTTTTCTGCTGCTGCATCTAAATCCAGAAGTCGATAAGTTAATCATCTTTCTTGATCTACTAAAACCTATGATCAGCCCTACAGTGAAGACTATGTGCTGGATTTTCTTGCATTGTCATGTTGCATTGTCAAGGGCAATCCTCCAGTAAAATCAAAGGCAATATCTGAGGTAATTTAAAGCACTTTACTCTTTTGAAATGAAAACACTGTTTGTAAGTTAGCATGCTCATGTTAGTATCACAGTGTTTTGCTTTAGTGCAGTCACAAAGAGTCACTAGCATGGCTGTGAACTTTCCCTTTAATGCTTTAAAAGCTCTTTGTTGGCTGTAAACTATCTTTTTTTTAGCCCTACCAAAAAAAAAAAAAAATCAACTTGGTTTGCTCTTTGTCTGTCCTAACATCATAATGTCAGATCTTGTAAAAGGGAAAGTCACATTTTTTTTCACTGTTTTTTTTTATTTAGCTCACACTTTTTCATGAATATCTCTTTACTGTAAGCAAAAGCAGACACATGTCTGTCAAGACTTTTGGTGACACTGATCTCAACCTAAAAAAACAAAAAATAATAATTTATTTAAGACCTAGTAGATCAGAAATTGAGGGTGATATCTGAGTTTAAGGTGAACTTAGAGATGTCTGTGGAGATGTTTTTTTGCTTGGGTGGTGTGCCACTACATTACATAGTCTAGCTTCAATGTTGATGGGAGTTTTCTTAGGCTTGTTGAGTGCACTTACCCTTTCTCCAGAGCGTGGCCTCTTCTTTGGCCTGCTGGGTACAGTGTCTTCTTTAGGATTGGTGTCTATGGCCCAGTAGGAACCCTAGAGACAGTGAGAGAGAGAACCCAATAAAACAAAGCTTCATTAAGCTGTCTGTATGATGGTAGCTGAACCGTTTGTGAATTTTTCCTGCAATTTTCTTTTCAAATCTTGCTCTAATGGAGTCAGTAGTGGAAATGGTCCTCGAGTGATCCTTTTAAAAACCAACATTATACATGGACCTGAATATATAATTACAAAAACTTGTATTGTCCAGGTGGAGCTTAGGTAGAATGAATTCATGACTATAATTTTTTTATTTGAATATGTCAAATAAACTCAGGGGTCTGCTCTCAAATACAGCAAAATTACATGAAAAAATATAAATTCATGGTTTAAAAAAGTAAGTTAATACTCTTGATGGTGACCCGCTGAGTGATGCAGTTTTTTTTATTTATTTAAAGTCTCCTTATTCAATAACAATTTCATTGGCCCCTGATAACACAAATTAAAATGTGTCATTATTCCAAGTGACATATTTTACACGTTTTTGCCTGTTGTTTTATGGAAGATCTGAACAGCGATACCATATCATTTTATAAAGCTCAACTCTTCTGAAATCAGTGAAATTCAGCCCTTTCTTAAACACAACTTCATGTATTCCTTTTGTGGACACTTACAACACACAGTATTTCCTGTTTTATGTTTGCATGTCAGCATGCACTGATTACTTCTAGTGTACTACTGTATTATTGTCGCAAGATGTACAACTAAAAAAGAAGTTCAGGCACTGAACTCTGCTGTAAATCCAACAAAACTAACATATTGTTATTTCAGTTTTGTGTCTTATCAGTTTTTCTCTGTTTAGTTTTGCTGTGGCTCACATTCCTGCTAACCCCTTCTCAAAAAAAAGAAAATCCATTTCAATCCTTCTGATACCAAATCTTAAAACAGAGCAGCCTGTGAAATAAACACATACAGCAGGAGAGCAGGAAATGTATTGCTTTCAGGTCCTTGATTTCCTCCCGGTCTGACTCTTTCCTCTTTTCATTTTTCTTCTTCCCTCCCAAGGAGGTCCAGAGCTGCAGCCTGAATTCGGGAGGTTCATCTGAGCTACACATGCCCACACATACACAAACACTCTCACCATCTAGCCCCTCAAACCCCCCCAACTTGCCTCTTCTCCTCCCCCTGTCTCTCAGTCCCACATCACTGAACAGTACACAGCCAATTAACGTTAGCACATGCATGATTTAGCTTCTCCCACTCTCTATGGCTTCAAACAGAGCTTGTACATCCAACCTCTCAACACAGACACACACACTCACACATGACCCCCTCCCACCTTCACAACCGCCGCGCCGAGGTATCGACCACTTCGATCCGCGGTCTGAAATAAGGTGCTGGTCAGGTCCGAGTCGAGCTAATCAGGGGGGAGCCGCTCTCTTTGTGTCTGACTATAGGCCTCCACTAAAGCCCAAGGATTTGTTTTGAATTATTTAAACCTTCTTCCCCCTAATTCATTTTTCAATGGCTCCAAAATCCCCTCAGCCTGGAGAAACACCTCCTCTGCCGCCCCTTGAACAAAATGAGCAGAGTTTTGAGAGCTTGATGAAAAGTTTTTGCATGTCAGGTTTTGTAAAAGTGGTAGACTGCTTCTTGCATTTACACTACAATAACTTAAAAAGTGAACTTTTTAAAAAAAGTCATATCTGGCTAGGCTTGAGTGATCAACTGTCGTTATACACTTCCTCTGTCTGTGACATGCTTTGGATTCAGCTCAAACAATGGCTTTATAAATTGTATTTTAGGTTGCTGGAGTGTCTGTGGCAACTCTGCTTCCTAACCACAGAAGAAGTGGCGTTGAGACATATCTCAAGTCTTTTAATCGTGTGTGTGTGTGCTTGCGTGTGCGTGCGTGCGTGTGTGTGTGGAGAAAAAGAGAGTGAAACAGGGCCTGATAAAGCATAACGGATGCGTGAAACGGCCTTGCATCTGAAGGAGTGTACCTACATATACTTATTATTCATTACTCCCTGTACCACATTATTACTTGGCAGAATCAATAACGGGAGAGGCACAGAAAACAGAGAAAGAAGCATTAAGCATTCAGCTGGTTATGGAGCTACAAATTGCTTTTAAGTGCAGACACCGTGTGTGTGTGTGCAACAAGGCAGAAGTGCATGTGAGTATGGGTGTTTTCGGGTGCACTTATGCATACTTGCATGCACAAATGCAGCACAAGGGCGACTACACACGTGAAAAGTAATCGTCGTCGCTTCAACCTTATTTGTAAGCTTGCTGGAATCGGCTTGCTTTTACACCATGTGTCGTTCCATAATTCAAGTTCAGCTTTTCAGTCGCATTACATTGTTCAGGAAATACTTACTTTTCCAGGGTCGTCTTTGGAGCGAGGCACTTTGAGAAAACACTTGTTCAAGGACAAGTTGTGTCGTATAGAATTCTGCAGGGAGAGAGACAGACAGACGCAGAGAAAGAAAGAGGAGAGGAGGGATAAACAGGACATAAAATGATTAAAGGTTAACTCAAGAATAAATCCACTTTTTCAAAGATGTTAATTACATTTACAGTCACTTTATTATTCTACTGACTACTTCTGATCCCAGATGACTTTTTAATGTAGTTTTGTTGTGTCCTTTTCATCACAGGCTCAAAAACTGAGGACCAAAACCATCTGAGATACATCGAGGCTGGCATATCTTCAAAAGTATTAATCTATTATTTCTTTTATTAATGTAATACAAAAGTCTTTCTCTACCAAACAATTTCAGAATCTAAAAATCACTTCAATTTTTAACAAATAGCTTCGATCTAATAGCTCCTTTTACATGACACTTTTATCTAGTGATGCAAACGACAGGCTGACCAAGGTCACTCGTCAGCAATAGATCTACTTATCAGTTAACCAAATTATATGTAATTTAAATTCTATTGCAAAATAATGGTCATAAACTATGTCTGTCGCTTAAATCCAACATAACCACCTGCCGGCAGTACCCAGGACTGCAGCTTTTTTTAATGGTTCCTGCTATAATGCGACAACAGTTTTCTACCTGGATATAAAGAAGTGCAGACTAGCATCTTATAACTTGGTGTGGTTGGGAGGTATTTTGATCCAGGAAATTGAGATAAAGCCATAGACTGTATATACTATGAAAAACTTGGTTCTGGCTTCCGCCTGTATACGGATTTGAAGCCAAATAGCTCTCGGTATTTCCGGGATTTTTTCATTTCCTGAAACCAGCGCTGCGCAGTAGCGATGCGCGCATTCAGCCGCGCAGTCGCCGAGGGTCACTGTGATGACGCTCGGCTCAAACAGTGTATCCCCCGGTAGAGCTACTCAATCCCTGAACGCCCATAGGCTGTATCAGGTGTCAATCATAGAAAACATGAACCCACTAATAACTTTAAAAACAGCGCTTCACAGAAAAAAGAGGACTTAAGCATAAACCAGTGTTACAATAACTACATGTCAACATTACAAGCAGGGGGGAGAAAAAATTATGTTTTGTGTAATAAATTTCTAAAGTTGGTCCACAGCCCCATAAGCTTTGCTGGCGGAGGCGGGATTTATGACCTATACTGCAGCCCATCAACAGAGGGTGCTGTTCTCGGAGTGGCTTCACCCAGCGAGGAAGCAGACTCTGTCCACTCTATATAGTCTATGGATAAAGCTGTGAGTGGGTTGTGTCAGGATACACTTGCCTGCAACTGCAGGACCACAATGCATAATGAGTACAGATCTGTGGACGCTAACCTGCCTCATTTCCACTTCACATAAATAATAAAACAGACTTGTAATCAAGTAGAGCTTTTCTAGCCTTTTCTGACCACTCACATGTACATGAATGGTGTCCACATCTGTAAATACATGTAGACACCAAACTAGGAAGTGATTTTTGTTTTATATGAATAGACGCCTGCTGAAAAATGTATCCAAGGGGGAGAGGCTAAATTACCTGATCACAAACAACTGTCATATATTTTCTGTCAAACTGATAAAGACTCAATGAATTTAAAAAATAAATAAATAAATAAAATATTTTAGCAGAATACCATCACATAGATTCACAATGTATTAAAGCATGTTCGTATTAGATACAAAAACTTCTGACAATTAATGTTTGGTGATTTATTAAATCAAGACTATTTGGTCAGTGAAAATATTTCAATTTCTATTAAGACGACTTCAAAATTACCTTAGCACCACTCTATTAAAAACATCTCACTCAGCACTATTTTTGGTTTAACTGTCTAGTTTCGCCTGTTCACTGTTGTAGAGTCAAAAAGATGCTTCAGGTCACAGTTACTAAACAATAAAAGTAAAAGCAGTCATGCTGAAGATGTAGACAATTGTATTTATTTGAGCTGGAGTGTATTCACTCCATCAGATGCACCTGAGAGAGACTGTCGGTTAAAAAAGATGTCTGAAATGTGTTCATTGTGGACAGAGGGAAAGACAGAGGAAGGCAGTGATAACAATTAGTCAGAGCTGTCAGAGGGTAGTGAGTGTCAAAGGTTGTGGGGTGTCCCATTCTGGGATGCAATGGAGGTTAAATGCGATTATCAGCCATTTTAGAGGCAGATAAAAAAAATCATAGTTCGAGCGATAATCAGGGGAACCTGACATTTCCAAAATTTGCAGCCTCTCCTGTTGTTTGTGTGTATGTGTTTATGAGAGGAAAGGAAAAGGAAAAGAAATATGGAGAGAGAGAGATAGAGAGAGAGAAAGAGAGAGAGAGAAAGAGAGAGAGAAGGCCCACAACAGCATAGGCTAACCTGACATGAACCTGTTCTCCCTTCAGGCTCCCGCTCTCCACTCATCTGCTGCTGCTAATTAATACCACTGGGGAGGAGGAGGGGAGAAGACAGAGGGATGGGAGGTATTTCTCTGCTCTTTCTTTCTCCTGAGCTCTCACTGGCTTTGTTTCCCCTGCACAAAAAAAAAAAACACCTTCTCTCTCTGTCTCCAGCATGCCGTATCAGCCCGCTCCACCTCTGCCTCGCCCTGCTCATCGTGCTGGAGAAAAGCTCCAACAATTTTCAGCTGCTCTACTTGGCGGGTCACTGGCTGTTTGTGACCGTCCATCAATGAAACGCATGGCGGTGGGGTGGTGAAAATGTTAAGGAGGGCTGCCACAAGTTCAGCACATAAAGGCAACCATCTGTTCGAAAAACTTTCCTGAGGGAAGAAAAGCTGGATCATTCACACCAAGTCCTTCTGTCTCTTCAGCAGCCATCCTGAGTGCTTCTAACTTTGTTACTCATAACCTACTGATTCTATTTTAAACAGCATGATCATTAGCATGCATTTTTTTACACAACTGCGCATCTCTGCCAAATTTACTTCACTATGTATGCTTGTTCAATCTCGTTCACACAGGCATTAATAATCTTTTTTTTTTTTTCTTTTCTTGAGTCAGTGTCGTGAAAACATTTTATTCATTATATGTATATTCTTTATAGGAGAAGCACTGAAAAGTAATAAATCTGCATGTGGTTCAATGATAATGAATGAATTCAAAGTTTGTTTCAATACATTGGGGCAGACTTGTAAAATGGAAAACAATGTACTTTTTTTTTTTCTCAACAGATGAAGTGAACAACTTTTAAAAACCATTTTTTTAAAATCAACAAGCAGGTTAAACCAAGGAGATCTGATGAGCTATTTCTGATGCATTTCAGGTAGTTGAGAAAAAAGAGGAAAGCAGATTTGATGCTCTAGTTGAAAGTTCTGATATAGAGCTGCACTTGCAATATAGATATAGAGATGTCAGATAACTACAGGTGGGAGCAGGGCTGTCATAGCAGTGAGCATGCTGCGTGCTTGTGCCTTTAATACAGAATGCTTTTCCTGCATACACCAAATACTTAGTTGGTATTTAGTATTTCGACCAGGTCTTAAAATATATTACAAAGGGGAACTGGAACATTCTCCTGGTAAAAAATCCAGGCCCTGTGTACAGATTTTGGTTTTTAATGTAGAAAAAATAGCTTTATACCAAAACAATAAGTGTATGGATATAGATCATTCAACATAGAGCTCAATCAAAAGAAAAATATGGAATTGCCAAAGTTTCAGTTCTATTACTGGTAAAGAATTATAAAAACAGAGGTTGATTTGCTGCAAAGACAAGTCATTTTGGCTAAACAGCTGTATGCAAATCAACTGCATGTCCTAATAACACAGTAGTTTTAACACGCTCAAGGTCTGATTCACATGTTTAAAGACTATAGGCTGTTTTCTGCTACTACCCACTCTTTAAAATCACTCTGTACACTCATTTTACATTGCAACATTTTGAGGCAATGGTGTGGATGAACAGTTATAGCTTGCAGCTGAAAGGGCCACAGGCTTGTCACACAGTCCTACTCCCAGCTTCAACCCTCTGCTGCCCTCCCCCAGCCCTCTTCCTGCACATTCTTAGTTACACTACCAATCAAAGTAAAAATGGCCCCAAATATTAACACATTTTAGCTTTATTGATATGTTTACTATCATGATTTCAGCTGGTAAACCACATAGCTAAGCTTACAAAGAGCACCTGTGGTCAGAGCTGTGTCTAAAGCAGTAGTCTGTTCATCATCACTGCAGCAGGGTTGTTTTTTTTAACAGCAAATGTTGTCTGTGCCAATACACCCATCAATCCTGCTCATCTTCCAGTGAAATTAACAACCAATGCCACAGTGCAATGTTTTCATCCCAACCATTATCTCTGATACCTTTGCATGTTACTGCATCAATTATTGCCAGTGTTATACCCATACATGTTGATTTCAAGGCTTTCTAAACTAGAATATGATGAAACTTAAAAATATGAACACTTAGCTATCCTATGTACACCAACTAGTCATAACATTATGAACACCTGGGCAATCTAATGCAACCCAATATAAGAGCTCCACCACAGTCTACTTTCAGGAGGTTTCTAAACTTTTACTGTTGACATGATCAGACCGGTGATTTTTGTGCTTCATATTTATAATTAAAGATGGACTTTATCTGTTTAACTCCACTAAATTTAATTCAAAGTATGATTATTTCTACTTTGATCACTGTGACAATTTTTTTATATACCTACAGAAGCCTCAGTAACTTTCAGTCCATACACCATGAGTCCACAGACGCACACAAAGAGACTCTATCTTTCAGTCTTTCTCTTTTCCACCCACACATCCCCCCCCAAAAGGTCAATGACACATAAAAAAGCTTTTTTTTTCTTGTCAATGGCAGAATCTGGACATAAAGAACTCAGAAAAAGAAATCAACAGCAATTTCATCACTCAGATACCTGCAAGGACGTACATGTTTGAGAAGAGCTGTATGTGTGCACGAGTTTCTTCCTGTGTAAAAATGTGCAATACGAAAAGAGAACATCTCTTCCTCTATGTGGTTACAAATTTACAAATGCCAGTTTTCTTTTTTCATAATAAGGAAACAGAAATCTCTTCTCCCTGAATGGGAAAAGTCATCATCAATAAATGTACTGATTAGCGGCGTAAGCTGTGAAGTCAGATAATGAGAGCCACTGCCGTGTCCTCCCTCCACCCACTCTTCACCCTGCCTGATTAATGAGCTTACTGGGCCGCGCTGGGGCCATGCCATTCCTGCCCAGTAGCTGATGGATGACACAGTCACAGGAAGTCATGTGTGAGTGTGTCCGTTTTTGTTTGTGTGAAGTGTAGGACGGACACTGAAGAAGACTGCAGGTACAGGCTCTCTAACTTTAGCATGAGTAGATTGCATAAATAAATACACAACATAAACACTTGCTGTTTCTGCTGCAGGAAAATGTCTCAGTTAGTTAGTGTTAACACTCTCTCAACAATCCAGACAAAGTAAAGGAAAAAAAGCAATATGAGTGGGACCTTGTTAGTCCTTACATTGTATAGTGACAGAAAGCCTGAAATGGTTTGGTGCCACATTACCTCCACAGATACACTTAGAGAGAGTGAGAGAAAATCTGCAGGAATACGATGTTTGTATCATTTTGAGTGTTCGATGCACCTGCATCAATTCAGTTCCCATAATGCCTCCTGATTTTAAGGGTCACTTTTAGGTGTAAAATGCAGAGCAATTTCAAAAAGGTCTAACATCTATTCTTATGTCATATCACTAAAAAGCCTTACGCATAGATGTGCAGCATGTGTTAGATAGTGTTTGCTTGTGTATGTGGGATCAGGAGCTGCTGCTTCTTAACACAGACTGCAGCATCCTGCTCTTGAAGAGGTTAGTTATATAAGACCAGCTTGATAAGCATGGATGACTTCTTGACAAAATTCAATGCGATATAATGTGATGTGTGACAAAAAGTCAGGTTTTGGAAACATGCTTTCAGGGTGGAGAGGAATGACAGAGGAAAGGAGCGAAGACCCCTGCTGTTTGAGTGTGTTAATGTATGTGCGGATCAGCCGGAAAACGGATCAAAGACAGAATGACAAGTTTATAGATTGACAGGAAAGGCTGAAGAAGTTAAAAAAAGGTGTGCAAAGATGAAAAGGGATGCACGATGAAGGAGCCAAAGAGATATTCTGGCCATAGGCAGGAAGCTTGCCTTGTGTATGTGTGTGTTCTTGTTTGCCAAGGAAACAGGTCACAAAGAAGACTGTAAGGATTTGGGTCATGGCAGCTGAGTTAAACACAAAGGGCCAATGTTGGATGTCATCTCCTCCAAAATGTGTTTAACATCACACTGTTTGATTAGCCAAGTGATAACACAAGTCCCATTTTCACAGAACAATGCTGATGACACTGAAATGGTTGGTTGTAAAGTTGTGTGGGACCATACAGCAAGTAGTGCACTATTCCACTACTGTTTTGTATATCTAAGTTAATGTCTAGTTCCTGTTGTACATACTTAAAATTTTTGGTAACATTTTATGTTTAAAGTTTGTATATAGACAGCAAAGTTCACCAGTCAAATTTCTTGTATGTGTGCACATACTTGGCCAATACAGCTGATTCTGATAAGAAAGTCCCTCTGTTCGATTGCCGGGGTGTCAAAAAATCGCATTTTCTAAGAATTAAAACATCAAAACACCGTATACAACAACTCCAAGCTTTAAAACCTTTCCATGAAAAACAGAAGCGTAAGGGCTTGGAAATGTTATTTTGATGACACTTTAATTTCTTGAGTGATAATAAGGACCTGAATAAGCACAGTTTGGGTATTTTTCAAGAGAGGTTTTATCAATCCCTTCCTTTCCCCTGTGCTCTCCTGACTGCTATAAATACGAGAGAGTAAACTTGGACAAAGGTAACGTCACACTGCATGCACCCACCAGGACTTGGCCACATTGAAGACAAAAATGTGATGATGGTACAGAGGTTGTTTGCACAACTTGTAAAAATCCTCACCCTCACAGTCCTGATCAAGCGGACTGATAAACTAGACTGGACTTTGAAGTGCTCTCCTCTTCATAAATAATACCAAAGGATGTCTCTTTTTTACTTTGATGCTCTTAATTAAGTCATGGGTTTATGATGTTATACAGAAATAGGTCGAATGTGAAGCGAAGTTTTCAGGGGCTTCACCGCAAAACTCAAGTACCCACATGTAAGTGATTACAGCGATTGTTTCTGGTGTTCATGTTGGCTGCAAGGAAATTCCTTTTTGAGGGAATTTAAAGTAAAAACAATGGGGAACAAAACCTACAGCCCCGTTATTTCTGTGAAACAATGCATTTAAGGGGAAGCTAAACCTAAAATGAGACTTCTGCGATACAAATTAAACATAGCATAAAAAAAAAATTATGAGTTATGCAATTGACTTCTCTAAGGGAAAAAGTTTTAGGTTTGAATTCAAAGGGGAATAGGCTTTGAGGCTATTACATAGAGTGGATCTGCTGAGTAAGAGTAGTCTTACTTGCACTAAACTTCTGTAAACTGAACTTTTCTTTTTTCTCATCAGTATAACATTTGAACCCTTCCAGCTGTTCACCTAGCTCAGGCTCTGTCTTTCTCAACAGCTCAAAGAAACTTCACCACAACATAAAAAAAGTCAAAGACTAGGGCTGGAAAAATAATATATTGTCCTGTCTAACAGCAATATAAACCTGTCACAAATAAACAGTGAAGTTGTTATGCCAACACCGCGTTACATTTGTGATATTTTGTAAAAAGAAACTAATTCACTGAATTAATGTGCTAAAGCTATTGCTATGAGAAGCAGTAATGTTCAGTAAGTTAACACTCAGGGACAAAATACAGTCGAGCTTATGTTCACAATTTCATAGTGCTTGACGAAAAAGGTCTACAAATATTTCATCTGAATAACTTTAGTTTGTAACTGTCATTGTTGATATATCTTTTCAACAAATCAAAACCTTCAGTCTCTAAATAAGGGAAAAAAGAAAACCCTTTGACACAGTTCATTGTGAAGAATCTAAATGTCTCAACAAAAGAGGTGGGATTATATCTTTTCTTTAAATGTTTTTTTTAAGAGTCCAAAAATAATGGAATCTGAAAGAGTAATCAGTAAGAACTAGAATCAAAAGGCAGGACTGAAACAAGAACCAGAGACAAAGTTGATTCAATTGAAATGGTACCCACCTGTAGTCATCTCATAGCTTATTATAACTTATGTATCTGGGATTTTGCATAAAGCTAATACATAAAATGATCAAACAGGAGTGCTTACAACCTTAAGAAACAATTTTACCCATTAGTTTACATTCTGCATTAATGACATGTTATACCACTGTGGTTTTAGGAAGGCTGGGCCTCAGAAAGCTGGAGCTCTTGTTAGTAAATGATTTCACAAACATGCCTTGGGAAGCTGTAATAAAATGGCCATGAGTCTCTACTTTGCAGGTAATAAAGGGACCCTTGTCTGGTCTTGTGTAAATCCTGCTGAAACCCCTGCTCAACTGTGAGTCTGCTGGGAGACAGAGGTCAAAGGGCAAGAGGTTTGCAGGCCAAGGTATTCGTCTATGGAGGGCTTTTGGAGTTTAGCGTGCAGCCACAAATGCACACCCACACAGCAACATTCAGGAGAGTCTGTCCCATGCCCTTCAGGATGAATGTAATGCAGCATCAGAGAGAGAGAGAGTCCTTGTGCGCACAGAACAAAAGATGGAGACAGAGAGAAACGGAAAGTGAAGGAGGAAAGATATAGCAAGAGAGGATGTGTGCAGAGGAGAGATTTTATTAACTTTCAGCTGAACCCATACAGTGCATAAAGAGAGGGTAAAATGTGGGAAAGTTTGAAGGTAAGTCTGGGGAGGAGTAGGGAGGAGAGAGAGGGTAAGACGGCACAAAGTAAGGAAGAACTGTAGTCGTCTGGGAGAGGGAGTGTGGGGGTATGCACACATATGGACAGGTGTCTTAGATGTGAAAGTCTCCTGGGTTCTGAGCATCATTGAGATGCCTTATTATATCCTGATGGTGACGGAGTGACAGACACTCAGTGAGAACGCAGGGCTGAATACAAGCCAGTGCTTCAAACCACGTCTAATACATATTCATTTCATTTGATGGACCCTTTCCCCGCCCTCTTCACTCCCGCACTGAAGTGTTCACACAAGTCAACGATAAGATGAGGGGTGTGTGTGTGTGTGTGTTTGTGTATGTATACACTTGTGTTTGTGACTAGACATGTGTGTAACTGTGTATTTAAGAGATTCCTCAGTTTGCTTTTGGATGCACCTGCACATGAGTGTGTATGTAGGCAGGTGTGTATGCAGCTGTGCACAGTAAGAAGTTATGCACACACCTGTTCATTCCTGTGATTGTCTGTGCATGGAAAAGCATGCCTGTTTTAGAGCAGGAGTATGGCGGTACCTGCTTGCAAATGTGTGTTTATGTGATGGAAAGAGGATTGAGAGGGCATAAGTAAGCGTGTGTGTGTGTGTGTGTGTGTGTGTGTGTGTGTGTGTGTGTGTGTGTGTGTGTGTGTGTGTGTGTGTGTGTGTGTGTGTCTTGCACAAAGATATCTCAGGCAAGTTAGAAGCAGGGTTGCTGCTTTCTCTAGGGATCAAGCAAGAAGCTCCAAAACAATGACAGCACACTTTTATTTAGTGTATATCCTGTAGGCCTGTTAAAGCTAAATGTGCCCAAAATTTGCTAAATCACTGCTGAGTTATGTCTACTAACTTGAGCTTGATGCAGATAAATATGTCTGGTGTTTGGTTTATGTAGGCTCCTGTTTTCTGTTTTTTTTTAACAGTGTCAGCCATGAGTAGAAGCACTTCCACTGCCTCCTCACTGCAGGGGGTACCTGTTTGGAGCTGCATTGTTGTGCTCTTGTCTGACTGAGGAGCTGGCCACATCAGACCAATGGTGTAACCCCCTCCCACAAGTCATACCACATTTAAATCAACATGCTAGTCCTGGTGGGCAGAGAGGGAAAAAAAAAAGGTCTCTCTGTATTCAAATGATCAAGTTGTATCTTGTATCTTGAAGGGATTGTTTCCAGTGGCTGTTTCTCATTAACGCTTTTGTTCAAACCAACCAGATGCAGGTTTTTATAGTGAAGTGTATCAATGACTTGAATTTGAATTTCCTTAAAGCAAATTCCACTGTGAGACCAAGCTTTATGTTGTTTATGTTAAAACCCCATGAATAGACTGGGGTGTAAGAATCCCCACCCTTTTGCCTGTAACTCTCTGATGCTATCCTGCTATCCTGGGGCCTCTGCTAACAGCTAGAAAGCCACAAGCAATTCAGCAGCTGGGAGATATGAAGCAAAAACAAAATTCCTTGAGCAAAAACAGATAAAGAACTGAGTCTTAAGACTGGCAGGCTCAGCTTCTAAGCCCGGCCAGATGGTTTTCCCCATATTTGCATTTACTGTTGATGCGAGTGGAGGTACCACTGGAGCCCATCTCAAATACTACTGGTCAGGCAAAAGCTGATACAGAGAGCGCCCCCTGTCCTCGCCACAGTTGTCAAGGCATCTCTGCTGCGATCTTTACAGCACAGCCATGTGTGCAAAACTCAAGTACATTTTGAGTTTACTTGGATCCAGAAAATGATCTAAAAATAATAATGGACAATTTAACTAACTAGACATTGTACTGTACTTGTTGTACAATGTGTGTATTTCTATGATGCATGAAGTCTGTTGCTTTGTGTTGACCTGCTGAAACAGGGAGTGTCGTCAACCTGTAGGGATGAACATTGTATTGGTACCACTAGTTAAAGTTATATAACCTCCAATATGAATGTGGCTCATTGGGCTTGGGTTTGCCATGTTATACGTTAGCACATTATCAAATAATACATTAATAAAAATAATTCATCAGATTTTTGTAGCGCTTTTTGTCAGTGACCTCAAAGCACTTCACATTGGATACATCATTCATTCACTCACACAGTCACACCTTGGTGGTGGTAAACTACCTTAGTAGTCACAGCTGCCCTGGGGCAGACTGACGGAAACGTGGCTGCCAGTTTGCGCCTACAGCCTCTCCGACCACCACCACACAACACTCACAATCATACACCAGTGGAGGACACACTGGGAGCAAGGTGGGTTAAGTGCCTTGCCCAAGGACACAACATATAGACTAGGGATAGGACGGGGCTCAAACCGCCAACCTTCCAGTTATTGGCCGACCGCTCTACCTCCTGAGCTACTGCCGCCTCACATTATCTTTGAGGTTATGATGTAGAATTTTCTAGACAATAAATGTCTGTATTGAATTGTTGTAATTCTTAATGTTAATAATAAAATGATACAAAAGCATAAAACAAGTGTATTTTTCCACTGCAATGGTAAGGGTATTAAAACTTGAAATGCATCCTTTTAAGCTACATTTATGACAATGTTTTTAATGTGCAACAAATCTGAGTTAACTATGAACAATTATGGGATTAATCACATTTTAAAATGTTTATTGCATGACAGCCCTGTAAAAGCAGGCCACAGAATGAAAAGCTGACAGGACTGAGTTGAAATACTCTTTTTGTAAACCAGCTCACCTCCAACATGTCATTTAGGGTAACTTCTCGGATACAAGTCAATGCAGTCTGATTTTGTAAAACAAGACAGCATAGATAACTTTTTGGTCTGCTATAATCTGCCACACTGGACAATTTCACTGACTTAAACAAACAATATTTACGGCAGATATTTTCATATCATGCAAAAAAAAATAGGTACAAAGTAAGTGTCAGAGCAGTAAGAGGTAATGACAGCCCATTTCCTGATGCTGGATGTCAAGCAGAGCACTGTAACAAAGTGACGACTTCTGTCAGTGACTTTTCAGGAGAAGATGCAAGTGAGTGGGGGAGAAGGACAAGCAGACAGGAGTCTGCTTATGTACCCTGCATCCCAATAACATCTGACACCCTCCTTCGCCAATTTTACACATTTTTTGTTGAAATTATGTGCAATCCACTACAAGTTAACTTTTTCATCAAACAAAGACGAGCCATGTAAAGTTGGAAGTGAATGCTTGTTTCATATGTAATGATTTTGCACTAGTTAGGAGAAAGTTGAATTCAACACATTGCCTCTATAACTGAAAATATGTGTTATTGCTGATTTTTACTCAGCTTTTTGACAGAGTAACCAGACTGTTTTTCACACTTCTTTGGCAGATATTTGGTTGTACAATTCAGCTTTTAACTGATGTTACGTTCATGGTTGTGAGTGGTCAGTGATCTCTACTAGAGGACCTCAAGGAACTTCTCCTTAGGCATACTGGTTTTACATGCACACTGATTTCTTAAACTATAACTGTTAGCATGGAGTATTCAGGTGCCTCAGTTTCACTTTTTTACTCTAAAAAATACTCTCCAGTATGGTCTTATGGATTAATACAAGAAAGGCCTGTGTCTCTTTGCAGGATACAAACGGGTCGAGCAAATAAGCTCACTCTCTGGTATAATTGTTGCATTCCACAGTGTTAGGGAAACCAGCCCTAAGCCTATTATTAACCATATGTGAGTGCTACAGGCCTGGCTGGTTAGAAAGGGAGACGCTGTGCTGGATGGGTGCCAAATCATGGAGGAGATAGCAAGAGAAATTCTGCGCTTTTAATTACGAATTTAATCCTGAGACTGCTATTAGTGATTAGTATGTAATTAAAAGCTCTAGCAGTGTTACACATACGAGTTTAATTAATAGCTGTACGTACGTGCATACGTGTGTGTGTGTGTGTGTGTGTGTGTGTGTGTGTGTGTGTGTGTGTGTGTGTGTGTGTGTGTGTGTGTGCGCGTGCGTGCGCTGGTATGCATATGTGCATCCAAGTTCTATGGGAGGAGGGAACTGACATTTTGTTAATAATCTCGAAGGTTCTGTAAAGTATAGCAACAGTTCATACCACAAATGGAACACAATGGTTGCCTCATTGAAAAATGTCATCCTATGCAACTATATATATATATATATATATACTGTCTTTACCTTCCATGTAATTGTGGAAGCATAACCTGATTCCTGCACATGTTATCTCCACAGCTGATGTACACCAAAAGACATTTTTATAAGCTTTATATTTTCTGTCCTGTATTCAGAAATATCTCAGGAAACGTTTAAAATTGACTCCACATTTATTGGACATGCATTTTGTTACCTTTTATCATGAACACCATAAAGCCTCACCATCATCAGTGAGTTATGGAAGAGCCACATGTTTGCACCTCTGTCTGCTTTTAATCCTACATCTTTGAGATTGCTTGAAAGGTTGACTAACTTGATAAACAAAGTGTTACAGGCTCTGAAAGAAAAAAGAAATAACATTTTCATGGTCACAGATCACTTTGATTAACAAGGGAGCTACTGTATATAGTAGTACACAAGAATTTCAAGCACCTTGTCATCAGGGAGACTTTTACCTTGACAAAACACAAATACACATATACAAACATCTGGACAGCAGGCTGGTCTGATATGACATGTAAGCTGGGAATGCTGAAACAATCATGTTACCACTATACGTATAAGTAACCACCAAGGCAATGAGGAGGCTCAGTTAAACCCTTTTTCCTGACACAACTATACATCCTGGAAAATATATACACATAAGCATACTCTAAGGCCAACTCATCACTTTGTGCACAACAGAGGCATCACAAAATGTAACTGTACAGACTCACAAGCAGCACTGTGTTTTCTACAGATTTTCCTCAGATTGTCTCTGGGTTGAATCACAAGCTCTGCACTGCTCTGTGGTGAAATTTAAGTTGTGCTAATAAGACAGAGGAGCATGAGCAGCTCCAGCCACATAACATCTCCCAGCAGCCAATGACAACAGTCTTCCTCCACATACCCACAAACACTTGACTGACACTGTGCACAGACCTCCGCTGTGCTCAGCCGCAGATCTCCCACAGAGCAAGCAGGGAGGATTGGAGCCAGAATAATGGCCCAGCACTGATTCATATCAGGTGATTGTCTGTGACATGTGGTGCTAGCCAAAGGCCAAAGGCCATGGTGGTAGCACTGCCCTTTACAATGTCGCATTAGGCCTTGCTAATTCGCAGGCAATTAGCCTGGTTGCATGGGAGCTAGCCTGAGGCGATTGGGGTCGCAAGAGAGCAGCTTAGTCATGAGCTCAGACTGCGACACGCAATTTGGTAAGGGTACAGGTCTAGACCGCATTTCTCAGGTGGGAAATAATGGGAGACAAGGCCTGCACATTTCAATAACAATATAACAGTGAGGTGAATAAACATTCCCCATCATTATTTTCTGCCTGAATGGGGAGCAGTTTCAAATACAGATTATAATGCTTGTTAAATAATTAATCTATAATTGTTGTTTGATAAATCATGTGTTATGTTTAAACCATGCAAAAATTTTACTGAATCCACGGCAAATAATTTGAATACCCAATAATGCTTAGTTTAGTTTTTTGCTTTTGGATTAACAGATGGACTAGACCAGATCAGACTACACTGTAACAAAAAGAGTATAAAAGGAAAAAGAAAGTGTATTATAGGAAAAACATAAAACTCTTTATAAATAACTTATTTAGAAAGGCACTTTTTAAAGAGGAAGAATTCCATAGGTCTTAGTATAAAAATGCATTTTTTTTCTATCATCAAAAACTTATGGGTCTCCCTCTTAATAAGTAAGAAGCAAAACATGAGACCTTAAACTGGTTCTAGTCCAATACTTACAGGAGCGTGTCCAAGCTTTTATGACTTAAGTGACCATCTGGAGCTCTGATTTATACAGGAGTGGCATTAGTATAATACAGATGTTATGATGCTGTGTATAATTTTTTAAATGATAAAGTAACCCAACTGAAATGTAGCCTTTAAATCTTCTTAGCTTAATTTCTTTTGTACCCAAAACCATGTCTACTAAATGTCACATTAAAAAACTATTTACAGAAAAACAAGCAAACTCCTCTACTCCATCTGACAGCCGCAAAATATTGATTGGCACTGTCTCTAAACAAAAGCATTGTCAGTGAACAAATATTTGACAATTCATCCATCCATCCATCCATCCATCCATCCATCCATCCATCTCCGTCTGATAATCCAGAGCTGAGTCACTATGGCAGCAGGCCAAGCAGGTTGCCCCAAATATCTCTCTCCACAGCAACACCTTCCCAGCTCCTCCTGGGGGATTCTGAGGCTTTCCAAGTCCAGATGGGGTACTGTATAGAATCCCTCCAGCAACTTCTACATTTACCCCGGGGTCTCCCCCCAGCTAGAAATGCTTGAAAAAACTTGAAGGGAGGTGCCCAGGAGGCATCCTTAAAAGATGTCCACACCTTTTCAACTGGTTCCTTTTTGGAGTGAAGGAGTAAGTAACCCCTCTCCCCCACCCCAGATGTCTGAGGTCTGGGCCCTTTATCTAAGGCTCAGCCCAAACACCCTGCAGGTACATGTTTAGGCTGCTTGCATCTGAGATCCCATTCTTCCTGTTACTAACCAAAGCTCATAATCATAGTCAAGGGTTGGGACTCAGGACCCCTGGTAAATCAGACACTTTGCCCAGCCCCCTCAAAGGTCCAGCACAATGTCTGCAGAACTGCTGAGACTGCACCGACACATCTGTCAAGCTCACGATCTTAACTGAAAGACAGTGTCACCTACGTTTCAATACACTTTATTTCAATGCAAAGAAAACTAATGCAGCACAGTCCAAACACCTTCAAAATAGGATGACCTTGATTTTGGCAGGACTCTACCTTTTTAGAGCTAATTTTAACAAAGATACTTTTTGAAGACTTTTCGTCACATAAGCATTGGACTGAAATGTTATTGTGTGTAAATAAGCACTTCTGGTAGCATTGTCCACAGTGTTCCTCCTGGCATTGTTGCGTCATAAGCAGGTCAGCTTTACGGAAAAGTGGTGCTGTCTGTTGTAACTGCAGTGACATTTAACAACTAAAACCTGACAATGATCCAACTTTTCTCTGGTGTTTTTGGAGAAAAAAAAATCCTTGTCTTACAGTTGGATCAATACAGCAGCTCATGTTCTGCCGCAGACAGGGCAAATAACTGATCATAAGTTTGTACTTTTGTGTGTCAACTGGGATAGCCAATCAGATTTCATGAGGTGGGGGCTTGCCACTGCTGCCCACCCTTCTGGACACGCCCCTGCCCACTGCATACTCAATATGAAAGGTGGAGTGGATGGAGGTACTAATGTGAAAGAGCTTCAAGAGGCCTGGGAAAGTGGAGTGGAGCACAGTAAAAAGGACAGACAGATAGAAGGGAAAGTTTGTAAAGGTAACAGGAGGGAGAAAACACCTTTCCACTCCCAAATAATGCCTGAGTGATGTGGCTGAATGCACTGTTTGCTTACCACTCAAGTTCAGTGCATCTCCACTCCAGTTAATGCCTTTGTTTTAAAAACAGAAATGCTATGCATGCATGTTACACAAGATAAATTTCTGAGCGTCAACAAGCTCCATAAACAAATGGCTTATGCATATGCTTGCAATTTCTTTTCATGATTTTTTGTTGCAGATCCTAACCCTCCTCCACAGCTCCAGAGGAAGGTTCTCATCATTACTTCTTAGATGAAAAGAGCTCCTTTTATTTGTTTCCAGCAAAAAGACACAAAAATCTCACGACCTTGGAAAGCAGTGTGATTTGAACAGCTAACTAGATTGGCCGTTTAACACCCGCCAAAGTGTGTGTGCAAGTGTGCAAGTCTATCTGTGTGTGTGCAGCTGACGTATGTTTGTCGTGTTCCTCTAATGTACATATTCATTTGATTTCTTAGGATGGAGGGTAATGTATTTGAGCGTGCGTGTGTGTGTGCGCGTGTGTGTGTGTGTGCATGATTGTGTTGTCCTGGTTTCAACTCTGCCGTTCCTGCACTCTCACATTATCATACAGAGCAGACGGAGTGCGTGTGCTGGGTAGTAAAACTCTCCTCTGCTCTCTGACAGTCTCCTCTCTCTTCTCCGACTCCCCCCCTCATCTCCTCTCCTGCTGAGCTCCCTGTGCATAATCTGTAGACTGCACACGTACATTGCCTACCTGAGTGGGAGTCTCTCAGTGGATACACAAGCTTGTGTGTATGTGTGTGTCTGTGTGAAGGCGTGTGTGGCAGAGGGTGGAGGAGACGGCAGACATGGTGGACCATGTTTGAGGCGTTTTTCTGAAAGCTTCAGTTGAGTATTCGCCTTGGGTTGGTGCATTCATGGAACACACATTTTAAATTGTGTACTTGCAGGTGTGTGTGTGTGAACCGATGTTGTCTGCCGAATGTGGCAGCCAGACAATCTCTGTGTCTGCACCCTGCTGTGTACAGCTGACAGCAATCACCTGAACTGGAATGAACCGGACTTATGTAACTTTTCCTTGTGACGGCCATGGCTGGTATAAAACAAGCCCCACTGTGTTGAGTCGGGTCATCCGGGAAGCTAAAATTGGGCTTCTTTTCGCAAAGACAAAAATTGGACTTACGGTTTACATGAAACTGCTGCGGACTGTTACATTTGTTACTCCGCATGTGGATAAAATGTCAGATTATGCCCATGTTAGTTTCCTCCACAGACACTACTGAGAGTGTAACACTATAACTCTTTACTGTTAACAATCTCTATACAGACTAAAACAGAAGGGGCAAGTGGTATTTTTTTACCGCTTTCCTTTGAGACTCACATTTAGTCCCACACTGACAATAAGAAAATACTGTGCATTGTGTTTAAGGCCTTAACCTTAGCAGGAATCCCACAACAAACTCTCTGCACTGATATCAGGGATAAATGCCAGAAAATGTGAAAGTATAGCCTCAATGCTGACAGTGCTGCGCTTTAATGATGCCACTAGAATGCAGCCGCACACACAAATCAATGAATCTAGATGTGTAATTATGGGATACTAAAACATCCTGGCATCCAAATACACCTAGCAGGAGAAGGCAGGCGTGAGCTGCAGTGGGAGAAACCTGAATGGTGTTAATAACCCCGATCCTCTCTCACCGCGCAGAGAACGAATAGATTGGATCCTTCATGCAGGTAAGAAGCTCTGCCAACACAACCTGGCTTGTATCATAACCTTTTTGTCTCCGTTTCTGGCATGCATTTCTGCTCAGGCAACAGCGTGCTGAAGATTATAGACGTGGAACAAACAGGTTCGTAAAAGGGAAAAGAGGAAGAGGAAGAAGAGGAGTGGGTGACTGAGAGAGAGACGGAGGGAGGAGGAGGGGGGGAGGCTGGTGAAGTGCATGTGCTTAGGAGATGAAGATAGAAAGAGAAAAAAAGAGAAATAATGAGAGAAGAAGAAAAATGTTTCTGCTCTCAGAGAGATGAATTGGTTGATAGTTTGCAGACAGCCTTTTTCGATGTGTCAGAGAAGGACTATATCCATCCTCTTCTACACTAATAAGGTAGAGAATCCCCAAGACACAACCGCAGGGATCTATTCATTTGTCTCCAATAACACAGCAACCTTTCTGCTCATATTAGCTGGGATTTGCATAGCTACATTTACATAAGGATTTAATAATGTCATCTGAATGAAACCAAATGCATCTGTCAATCATCCCTGGTTCAATAAAATGTTTCTGTGCTCGTCAAGGCAGGATTTTTTTTTCTATTTTGAGCCCAAGCCATACAGTTAAAGTTCCACTGCATTTAAAAATTAACAAATCTGATGATTTCAGTCTTAACAGTTTTGCTTTAAACATTTGCATGATAGATATATAAACAACCACCCCCTTTTGAAATAGCACTCTAACTGTATCAGTCAAGGGGTACTTTGGTCCTAGTTTCACAGGTTTACTTTCAGAACCTGGCGGACCATTAGGACCTCTAAACCTCAGATCATAAATTGTTGATTTGTATATTTGGAAATTGTTAATATCTACAGCTGATAAAATTTCAAGTGGCTAATGTCTGTTCAAGAGCCTAAAAAACAAAGCCTGGTAACCTTCAGATTCTGTTGTGTAGGAAACATTTGAAAATTGATTTATTTTTTTCTGAGAATTTTTCAAAAACTAAAGTTTACCATCTGAATACAATGGTCACAGTTTTTAAAGCAAGACTCCATATCACACATGTGCAGTGGAGGACAAAGCACACAGTTTTATTACCTGAGTCAGAGTACAGACATTCTGTACAAAACAAGGCCATCAGCAAGAAGGGGGATTTCTTATATATCAAGCTCATTTTAGAGTCTGAAACCACTGGCAGGGGTAGGTGTCAGATCAAGTGAGTAACTGCAAACTGCTGTTGTAGCCTTTTTTTCATGTTTCATCCAAAACACTCTTTCTAAATGAGACATTTAACAGTTAAAGGTGAGCTAGATTATATGACACTAATTACACTGAGAACACTGAGGATTTGCTCCATGTTCAACAATGTACATGTAACAACCCTATATTAACAAACAACACAAACAACACATAGAACCACACAAACTTTGTTAATATTCTTTCAGAAAAGAAAAGTCAATTCATCAGCTGGTGTCATGGCAGTAGTAGTGAGTGACAGGAACATTATCAAAATGTAGTGGAGTCAAAAGTGCAATATTAGTCTCTAAATTGTTATGGATTAAATGTAAAAAGTTTTTCAGGTAAAGCACTTAATACTCAAAAATGTACTAAAGTACAGTCGTCAAATAAATTGACTTGCTCACTGTCCACTACTGCTTACATGTCTCAGCTTGTCTCACCTTCCAGCCGCTGCCTGCCTCTCTGTAGTAGGGAAAGTTGTCGCAGATCCACTGGTAGATCTCACTGAGGGTCATCCGTTTCCGTGGTGAGCCATTGATTGCGAAAGTGATGAGGCTGGCGTAGCTGTAGGGAGGTTTCCCGTCTCTGTGCTGCGCAGCCTCCTCCTGATCAAGTGTTGTTCCCGGGTCCAGATGGGTGATCTTTTTGCCTGGTCCATGCCCATGATGGTGACCGTGATGATGGTGGTGTCCAAGGGGATGGTTGTGGTGGTGCCCAGGTTCTGCTTTCTGGATGGCTGCCCTCATGCTGAGCTGGGGGAGCCAATCCATGGAGGTCAAGCTGCTCTCCAGCTCAGAGGTCATGGTGCTTGTATGTTGAGGGGTCAAAGGTGATGGCTGGGAGGCTATGGAGGGTCTTCCGTTGGCTCACTGAATGGATTCTGCGTGGCAGCCTTGGCTCATGTCTAAAAGAGCAGGAGGTTTGTTTACTACGTTTATTCATCTCTTTAGCTGGAGCAGAAAGCACACTTGGCAGTCACACAGATGTTAACTTGCACATGATTTTGCAAATGCAGTGTAAGTGTGTATAGTGGAAAACTCAGATTCTAGTATGTTCATCACCAAGACTTGAACACTGTGCATAAAAATGATCTGGAATGTGAGTGATGGTTATGATAAAACTTCAGTCAAACTCTGTGATAACTCTGTGCTAAAGCAAAGCATCATGGGGGACAGGTTATAAGTGAAGTGTCTTACTCTTTCTTTTCCTTTCCTTTCCATCTTTCTTTGGGCCAAAGCATCTGGGAAAGTCACCGAAGTGAAAGGTAGACTCCTTCTCTCTTGCATGTTCACAAGTTCTTCATTTAGCCACTGCGATGGCCACTGCTGCAAAGCACAGACACAAAACCACACAAGACGGTGAGCTTGCACTGCCAGACAGCCTTCATAAGATATTAATATCGCACAACCGCTCAACTGGCCTCGGCATCTGTCCAACCCGATTAAAACTCCTCTCTCTTTCTCTCTCTGTGTTCTGTCTATCTGGATTGCCTCTCACTCTCATTCCCTCCAAAGTGGAAATGGCAATTGGATCTGCAGAGTGACTAAAAGCTGGGGAATTGTTTTCACAAGTGCCTGCCAAATGGGGGGAACAGCTCGGGAGGAATTCCAACCCTCTAGAGGAGCCGAAAGGCTCGTCCCCTTTCCCTCTCTGTATAAAGCCCCCCTCCTCCCCCTTCCCCTCACCGTGTTCCCATTCTCTGATTCTCAACGTTCCTCACTCTCCTGTCAAGTCCTTGCCCACCTCCTCTAACCCCCCCAAGCCTCTTAGATCCTGCACAGACGACAGACACAAACAATGAAAAAAACTCAAGAAGCCTCGATGTTTTAATTTGGAGGCTATTTTTAGAGCTGTGCTGAACTTAAAAACATGTCCTGGGAAAGAAGAGTAGGAACTTTTTCTCTGAGTGGGGGCTTTAGAAAAAATCCTTACAACTATTCAGGAAAAAAAAGACAATGATTGGGTATGTGAGAGGGAACTTACTCACCAATTGTTCTGTACTTCTGTCAGTCACACAACGTTCGTAGATTTGTCACAACAAGACTGAGAATGTCATGTAACTGTTACTCATCACTGGAGAGAAGATGTTGCATTCAGACTAAACTAATTCAACATAGAAAGATTGCCTTGTTCAGAGCTCGGTGCTCCTCGGAAAGAAATGTGCACATTTTGTGAAATGTGGGTAAAGCTATGAGAGGTACCAAAAGGTGGTTTCAGAGCAAGCGTATGCCAGTGATTAGATAACAATGGCAGGATAGATTTAGAGTCGTAAAGATATAGAATTCTACACTGAAAACTTTCTCCAGCACCCCATGCAGTAACCTTGGTATATCCTTGAACAACAAAGAGCCTATTGGCCCACGCTCTTCCATTCATGCTCACTGTATATAATCAAGGTGGGAGAGCTTCAATAAGTCTTCCCACCAGGAAGAACACAAACTGTTCTGTCTCTCTTTCCACCAATCCCCTGGAGAGCCAGGATGAAGAAGAAGGGAAGAGCTTAGCTCCTGCAAAAATCTTGCTTAATTACAAGTAGATAAGAAAAAAAACAAATGTTTAGCTGCAGACTCATCAAGCCAAACAAGGCAGGCGGTGGGACTCGGTTAGGGAAAGTGGAAGCTACAGAGGAGATATGCCCAATGAGGCCTCTTGCACAACACCACCCCCATATCTTCCTCAAGGCTCTGCCACTGTGGGAGAAGCCATAGCTCCCCCTCTCTCCCAAATCCCAGGAAGCCATCTTAATTAGTGCACCTTTTTTTCTCGCTGAAGGGAAGGTAGCACTGCAAGTTGTAGTGGTGGTGGGTAGGAGGGAATGGGGGTGGTGACACACAAGACATAGAACAACAAGTACTTATTTTCCCCTCATTAAAAGGAGGCTCAAGCTGCAAATCAGCCCGCCACAAGCCCTGACCTGCTGCGCTGCTGTGGATGTTGTTGTTGAGGAGTTTGGGAGCGTGGGCCGGCTGCACGGCGGCACGGTGCAGCTTTCGCACCGCTAGCCTGGTGAGGCATCGGGATGATGAGTAATAGAGGAGAGAGGAGAGAGAAAAAAGGAGGGGCATGACTTGGCTTCTGGGGAGAGGGGGCCCTGCTTGGCGGGTAGACACAACCAATTACCCAGTCGACTCAGTCAACCGGTCCCACAGTGACCGGGCCAACCTCAGCTCTGAGCCTTTAGTTGCTGATACCTGCTGTGTTTTACATCAGCTTGTGAGGATTGCAAGGTATCATGGGAGAAAAATGATCACCGCAGGAAAGATAGCTTAGTATATGTCTGTGTTTTACTTACAGCTATTAGTTTCTATAGTAATTTATTCACTGCTTTTAATATTAGCGGTTTAGTGGTAAACTCTCTGAACTGAGAGCTTCAAACTGGGGAAGTTTTAGGGTATTTTTTTGTCATTTCAGGGACAAATACTTACACTGTAAAAATCCTCAACAGTACAACATACTCCACGTCTCATTATAATATTATACTCGGCAAGGTTCATAATCACTTCAGCCTGCAACCCCCAAAATATCTGTGCTAGAATCCTGTGACCCCCTCCACAACAAGATGGTTAAAGGTCATCACTCTCACTAGTAAGCTCCAGAATTACTCAGCAGTAACACAGAGTGTTTCTTTTTTCACTGTAGGCCTGATGTTCTATAATCTAAATTTCTGTCTAAGCTGTAAACCTACACTGCCACACTGTTATATTAACTACTACCTGGTAGGGCTGCATGATTAACCGATTAAATTGTAATCAGATTATTTGATTATGGCGGTGTTAAAAAAATTGAAATCCTCAAATCGATTTTCCTCTCTATCTTGTCTCGTGCCTCCAGGCCACCTTAGGCTCCCCCTTCCTGCAGGAGCACTCCCCAGTTCCAACACACACTAATGTAAACAAACCTGGCGTTTGCGCAAGAAGGCAAGAATTTTTTGTGGCTAAATAGGGCAAGAGGAAGTCAGTCGTGTGGAATTGTTACAGCTTCGCAGTTTCGGATTAAGAGAAAACCACTCCCTGCTGCAAAGTCTGTCTGAAGGCGGTATCAACCCATCCACACGGAAATGAATTTAGGAGTAAACGCAAAAGTTTTTTGTCATATCGGTGTTTCATCCACATGGAAACAGCGCTTTGGGTGACTGTAAACGGTACTTTTTGAAAATGGGTCAGACAGTGCATAAATCAGTAAATGACTACCATTTCATCTCCGTGTGGATGTCTATCTGCATGTCTCGAAACGATTATGTCACACACAGCGTAACTCTTTCATGGCACCTGCACCTGTCCGGCCAAAACAACCTTTATATGCATGCTCTGTACTCTTCTTCTGTCTTTTGTGCATCTCCTCTGCAGTGCTACAGCACCACTTACTGGCTTGGCATATACTCTGCATCGTTTTCAGTGGTTTCGTTTTGAGCGATGATAGAAAAACCTTTTATTAAAACAAAGTTTTGTGAAGTTGTTACTGAAAAAAAATCAAAATCAAAATCGAGTTTTCAGAGAAAAAAAAGGATTTTATTTTTGGCCAAAATCATGCAGCCCCACTACCTGGATATAAACAAGCACAGATAACAGATGGCGCTATGTAACACAGGGTATTTTGGCTGTATGTTGATCTAGAAAATAGAGATCAAGTTGTGTGTAAGCTTTGTCTGCCAAACTGATGCAAAACCACTTCACAGTCATGCCATTGCATTGATTATACAAATTGCGGTACAATTTAAGAGGGGTTTATATTTTTAAAACAGATAAAAATGCAAGAACAAATGTGAAAGTTAGATGTGTTTCAGTTTGGGGAGTTAAGCAATGGAATAACCTTAACGATGGGTTAAAATTGTGTAACTCTCAGGTTATATTTAAAAAAGCATTAAAAAGCAAAATAATTCAGGAGTACATACAGCTTTGAGTAAGACATTTTCTTTCATTCTTTATGATTTTTTTTTTCCTTTCGTAGTGCAACATATTATTTTAATGTTTTCTTTTTAATATTAAAGTGTCTTTCTTTTTTTTTCTTATTTCAACATTATCAACTGTTTTAAATATTAAAATGATGTTATAAGGATTGTAAAGGATACGCAACTATAAGCATTGTGCTTCCGCCTAATCCTTTTTTTGGTCAAGTTTATAATTCTGTTTGTTTCTCATTTGTTGTTATTGTGACCAAAAATAAAACCATTCATTCATTCATTATTTCTTCTCTTTACATTTAAAAATTAAATAAAATCTAATAGCTAGGCCCTCATGCAGTAACTTAATTGACACAATCTGGTCACATTTTGGTCAAAAATCTAAATCAGTGCACTTTGAATCTGTGTTTTCCAAACATCAAAACCTCAACTAACCATGCAGTTTTCAAAGAGCTGCAGTTATGTCGAAAATACAGACGGCTGAGAGGGGATATTCTGGCAGCTGATCACAGAGAAAAAAACAGCACTTGATGAGACACTTGTCATGTGAATGATCTCAGGTACATACATTTTCAAAGGGATAAACAGTTGGCTAACACTGGAAGGTATCAGTAATCTGTCAGTAAAAAAAAATGTGGTAGGCTATCCCAGATTTTCATCTTTAGCCTGTCAAAAAAGCATGTAAACAGTTCACTTAAAAAAAAATTCAAAGTTGTCATTTAAAAAAGTTTACAAGCATTAATATAAAAAAGGAGAGCAAGGATTTGGATGTTTATGAACAAGAAAGTTTTCTCCTCCATGAATTTAAATACATCTCTCTGCACTGTGGTGGGAGCATTCATGACTGGGAACATTGTCCCTTTAAAAGAGTCGAGGGTCTGTGTGTGATTGAATGTATTCACCCATTAGACTTTGTAGCTGTGATGCACTCACTCAGCTGTATGCATCACTAACAGCTAACAGTCCCCTGCTGCTAGCAGGCTTTTAGACTGAGAGAGGCTTTACAGTTCTGCATTTTAATAGAGAACTTTCAATGGAGTGACGGGGGATGGGTGAGAGAAGGAGGGGAGGGAGCCAAAAGAAAGAGGCATCAAAATATTTTCTGAGGAAAATGAAGTAATGACAAAATAGCCACCCGGAGCGTGCAGAGCAGAGGGGGATTCTGGGAAGAACTGCCTTGGCAAGGGTAAGGCTAATGTGTCAAAAGAAAGTCTGTAAGCACACTGAGTGCTGTCATGTCTAGGAGTGTGGGCCATTCAAAGCAAGGAGGAAAAGGTCCAAAAAGCAGTATTGAATGTCTTAATTACTTTCTGCTTCAGCACCAGAAAACATCTCCTTGAAAAGGTTCAATTATAAGATATCAAGGCAAATCAGCTGCCCTTATGGTGGCTGCCTGCTCGTCTCTCAATGGAGCTGGGTTAAGCAATTATCGTTTGATACTGTCTACTTATTCTCAAAGGAGACCTGGAGAGGCATCCATGTTTCAAACTGAGATACATTTTGTGTTCTTAGTCCTCAAAGCTAGTGGTCAGGGAAACTAATGATTGAAAAGTAAAAATAACAGCAGAAAGAGCTCCACTGAAAGAAGAAGATGGTTTATCCATGACAGCAGTCCCTGAAAACTGTCGAATGCCCCATGTCAAGCAAGTCAATCAAGTGGCATCTTTAATGAAACCGTACACACTAGTTCACACAGTTTTCTGAGGTCTGAAAGGAAATCTGATTGAAAGAAGGCGAGGAAATCAGAAGGTTCCTCTGAATCCCTGAAGGCTTAGGATAAAATATTTAACTCACTATAGCCCACACAGAACACAACACCTGAAAACATCTGCCGAGGTAGAGGGAGTTAGCGGCCCAGAAGACTTAGCACTGCCGACGAGGAAAAAGCTATCACAATTCCAGATTCTGACAACACCGGAGTTAAAAAGGCATATTTTGTCATAAATAAAACATAGGAGTGCAGCATTTCGGCATACTCCCCCAACGAGCGGTCCCAGGAGACGGATGGGATGCTGTTTGTGAACTCAAGCTTTGCACAGCAAAGGGGGCTACAGCTCTGCATCTTGACGACTCCAACTACATCCCCACATCCAGCCCTATTCAGCAAGGACTAGTCCTCTTTAAAAATTCATTAATTTACAGCAAAAATAGATTAAAGAGCCCAACTGCACCAACCTAAAAAGTTTGGCTTGTGAATAGCATTAATAATGGAAGCAAGAATCCAAAACCTAGAGGCTCTAGCTGGAAGGCATGGCTTAAGTTTTGTTGCGCTTTATAATGGAGAGTAATTTACATTTTTTAGAAGTATAACAGCTTTTTGATGCTTGCTTATAATTATATTGTTTTACATGCAAATTGGCAAACAATTGTTACTCATTAAAACATAACCAGGAGAGTACAACAACACCCTGAGTTTGTGTAAGTCACAGGCTTTACATCAGTTTCACAACAGAGGCTTTGCGCTGAACTCTTGCTGACAGTGTCGCTGCAGAGTTCAATCTAAATGACAGTCCTTTAAAAGTGATCATCCCCATCTTATCTTTTACATCTTTCTCTTTCAAATCAAAGCAACCATTTCCTAACAGAATCAAAGAGGATTTTGACTAGATAAAAGGATTTGATACGTTTGATTTCAAATTATGTGTACTTTCCTGGGGACAGGACTAAAATCACAATGACTAGGAGCACTCAGAGAACTTAGAGGTCTAATTTCTGTTTTTTTTTTTTACCTTCACAGTCTGATTGTACAGGCCTATGCTGTGGTGTAAAATATATGTAAAAACATCCAAACAATTTATGAAAGACCTGACTTTAATTGTCTGATATAACTTTTACGGCTCTGGTAATGACCTCCATTATCAGGTTAACTAACTAATCACAATGTCCAAACAGCTGATTACTGATATAACTTGGAGGTAATACAATTACTTGTTTGCCAACAGAATATTGATATTTACCCGATTATTATAAACAGATTAGAGGGCTTATAAATGAGACCTCTTCCCCCTCTTTTCAGAAGTTACTCCCATGCTACCCTGTGTTAGTGACACTGTGGAGAACATCCATATATCAATCCACACAACTGAAAAGAATGGGTTAGGAAGTTTGTTTAAAACATAAAGCTGCAGTAGAAAAAAGTGGGTCTATAGTCTGTTTACAAGAACATATCTGCAAGATAAAGAGAAAGGTTTTTATAATGCAGCAGTAAAGAAAACACTTCTGAATGACGTGAATCATACATTTTTATCCTTTATGTATCCTGATGCAAAGAGAGGCCTTTGATTTGACGAATGGTTAATTTAGATGCAGATAAACTCAGCAACGCCAAACCATGGCCACAATATTTAACTTTGTACATTATGGATATTAGAAGTTATACCGTATAACTCTCTCTCTCTCCTCTCTCTTGCTCTCTCTCTCAATATATATATATATGTGTGTGTGTTTGTGTGTGTGTGTGTGTGTGTGTGTGTGTGTGTGTGTGTGTGTGTGTGTGTGTATAATAAACAAATGCAAATACTGCTTATAACCACTGTCCTTTAGAACTTACTGCACTACTCAATTTTTCTTTGCAATTTTTGTATTGCTGACAAATTAAAGAATCTACTTCCTACATTTTTCACAGTTAAAAAACAGAAAAAAGGTGACCTTAAAGGAGCATTCCCCTGCTCTCCCCCTTGAGCATGCACCATTCAAACAGATAAACCTTGTCTATTTTGATTTTTGGACAGACCAAAAAAAAAATTAAAAATCAATGCCCAGGCAATAAATGATCACTCTCACAAAACGGCTTCAGAGGAACTCAGTTAGCTGAGCAGTTTTTGTGGGCAAGCAATTTTGTCTTCTGATCTCCAGAAAAAAAAAAATCCACTGTGGTCAAGAAACTGACAGAGCTTAGTGTCTCTGGTGTCAAAAGATCGCAGAAAAACCAACTAATAGGCAAACATTGGACAGTGCATGTTTGCCTATTGGGGTGACATGGGGGTGACAGTTCCTAAATACACTCCTATGCATGTTTCTTCTTTGACATGCCTGTGTAACATGTATTGCAGGATGTACAAAACACCCTATTGGTAGATACACATCCCTACCATACCACTTCTTGGATAGATATGGATGGCTGGATATGATACTTTTTTGCATTTTTTTGTTGTTAACTAAGTTGGTCATTTGTGGTGGATAACAAGATGCATGCAAGGCAGTTTGGCCTGATAAAAATTCTGTAACGTTGGGTGTACTAGTATTTATTACCACATGATATCAGCAAATGCTTCTGCTTTCACTTTGATGTCTTTGAATAACAAATAACTAAAATGCAATCTTTATGCATTTGGTTTCCCATAAAAAAATTGTGTTTTACCAAGCTGGTCTTAATGCTTTGCTGTTTAATTAGACTGATAATGTCAATTTTTAGACAGTTAAATGTCATAAATGAAGTTTGTTGAGCACAACTCTGAGCATTCTAGGCAGTTTTGAAACATGCAAATCTGAGTGTGTAGAGATGTAAATATTTAGCCATGTAAAGATAGATGCTCTTATGTATAATAACTGTGAACCTTCATTTGTCAAGATGTTATACCATCAAAAAGACTTCAAATACTTCTGCGCACGGCAACAACCGCTTTCTTCCTCTTCTTTTTCTTTGTCTTCTTACCCATGTATTTTGCAGAAAATACGTTTGTTACTAGTTTTTCATTCTAAACTACTGTGAAAATTTGACAAGATAGCAACTTCCAGGGAAGGGACCTGTTGCAATGTAGATATAAAAGCCTCATTCTTAGTCACAAAAGCAAACTGATTTGTTGCATTTAGCTGATCATATCCTGGTTTCAATGTCTGTATGAATGTTATATTGTATTTCTACCAAGTCTGCTCTGCTAAATAAACTATATGCTCTACACTGGACCGTAGAGTATTCTGTAGCTTATATATATATATATATATATATACATATATATATATATATATATATATATATATATATTTTTTTTTTTTTTTTTTTTTTTTTTTCACTTTTACTCAAACACATAAGTCCAGATGTGCATTGTGTACTTGCATGTCTTTCTAAAAGTTTGCACTCTTGGTTGACTTGAATCATATTGTTCTTTTCATTTTGTGGCTTGACTTCAACATTTTCTTTTTTTGGTTCACCTGTTAACACTTATTTGTTAATTAATTCATGGTGTAATTGTCTGACTTGTCCAGAAAAAAAACAAGCTTTAGATTCAATGTAAATGTCTCTTAGCCGGTATAAAAGACAACATGTCAAAAAATAACTAAGCCAATGTCATGGATAAGTGGTTGTGTTGTACTGCCGAAGACATTTTGAAGAATATTTCTACCAGAGCTGCTTTGTTTAGATGAGAGTCCAGATGTGCAATGACCAACCTGGAGGCAAAGTATGTGTGTTACATTGTCTTCCTGCAGAGAGAGGATAAAAGTCATGTAAATAAGTCTCCTGACTCTTTCTGATCTGTTACTCTGGCATATGGAGTTCATCTTCATCAAAGGACTGAAATACATGCAGTGTATCTACAAATAGCTCTTATTCAACTTTCAAAAAGTCATCACTGCACTTGGTTTTAGCATTGCATTTGCTGACATTGACGATAATTAAGACGACCTTTCCGATGATAAAACACAAATCAGTGAAACATTATGAGGGCTCCTTCTCTTCACGTTCCATGCGATTCTGCATAAGGTTTTAATGAGGCATTTAGGGGCCTATGAGTGATCTACTGAGAAAGTCTACAATGGCAATCAGCAGTGAGTGTGGCAGCTGTTCAGCAATTAAAAAGCCAAATTACCCTCAATCAACACCATTTACAAGCGCAAGTAAATCTCAGAGCAAATAATGATGAGAGAAATCTGTTCAGACAGCTCTCATCTTGATAGGAATTAGAGGCGCATCCAAATCAGTGGCAGGGTACTCTCTCAAACGCATTCACAGCCTGTCGCCCACTAACACACACAAACACACACACAAACACACACATCTACCCTTGTATGTGTCTTCTTAATGGGATGAAATTGTGTAGTATTGGTTTTTTCTCCGTACTGAAGCCTGATGAGGGACAATGGCTCCCGTACACTAGATGGTATATTTACAGTGGTCTCTTTTCATGGCAAGGTTTAGTGTCTTCATGAAGGGAGACTATGCTGCTGCCTTCAAGGTAAGTAAATGGAGAAAAAAATAAAACTACCGGGCAACAGTTAACAGCGACGTCAACAAACTCAGTGTACTGGAAAGCAGCAAATAAAAGTGACCTGCATGACCTCAGAAAAAAGCAGGTACTCATGAGTCTTTTCTCTGCATCTGATAACCTGTTCGGTTGCATCTTAGATCAGGTACAAGTTAATATGCATAACTACAAAAGCATTGTCAAGACTTGCTTGACATGTAAAGCCCAGTGACTTAAGTAAAAAATGTTTGCTTTATAAGCACACCTTATTAGTCTGCCTTGCTGATTGATTGATTGATTGATTGACTCTTCTTTCAATGAAAATGGAAATACGTGGTAAAAATTTATTGTGGGGAGTGTTGAACAAAAAAATGTACACCTTTTATCTTTCTCATACTGCCCTGAACTACTCAAAGGGAGCCAAAGACAGTGGCCTAAACGCTTTTCAATGTGCTGACTGATGATGATGGTTATGATGATGATGATGATGATGATGATGATGATGATGATGATTTATTTTTTTTTAATTTTTCACCACTAGTTAACTAGAACAAGGACATTTGATTGACAATTGATCTATCCATCTGTCCTCTCCATGTATAGACGTTGCAAAAGCAGGGTCATCTTTCTGGGTAGCTAAGCCCCCCTTAAGTTGGGGTGCTCTCTCTGTTATCACTAAGAAAGTGTTTTCAACTCTAAGCACTGTCCTCTATATATATTTGCGCGTACAATAGCAAGCTACTACAATAGAATAACTGGACTTAAAGTTAAATAAAACATGCCTTTCCTACTCGATCGCCTTGCTGTCGGAAATTTTCTTAAAGACACTTGCTGTAAACTTGAAACAAGTTGACTTTATCTGACGGACGTTAGGGATAACGACGATGCCTGAATGCATACAGTAACAAGCAGCCTGCCGTTGAGTAAAACCACTTCTTTCCCGATAAATTATTATTTGTCACAAAAAACTATCATGCCTGGCATTGCAAAATTCTTCTCAACACACTACTTACCGTCGTGGGTGATAAGGAACCGGCTAAATATTTGTACTCTCCTCCAGAAGCTCCAGACGCCTCTTCTGCATTTGAAAATCCCCACGAAAACAAAAAGCTCCAGCGGTGCCCAAACGCTGTCACTCGGGCTGCAGCACGGTGCTCTGCCGGCGTCACACTGACCGCTGCTCCGGTCACTCGACAGTCATGACAGGCGGACTCGACCCGCTATTCGTATTTGCGCTCATCAACACGGAGATCCCGAGTATGTGTGCTACGCTCGGCTGCTACACCACCGGAACTACTTCCAGCGCCAGCCGGAGCACGTTGAAGATGAATTCATGCACCACAATGGGAAAAATGAAATCACATCCACTTAACTAGTTCCCTTTTTCATTATTAATGATCTTTACTAGGACACCAGGTGAGCCCTCCTTGTAACATAAATGATATTACTGAAGATAATAATGTTTTACGTGATGGTAAAAATAATAAATATCATTATAAAATAAAAGCATATTAGATACATTGAGTGATCTTCCAATGGAGCATAACTGTAGAAAAGACTGTCTTCATGAAAAACAGACATCTAACACACACACAAAAAAAACATTCAATGCAAAAAACGCATGTTGTGTTTGAATATTTACACACCACATAGCCACAAAGTGCAACCACACGAGTACTGCAAAATGTGGTATCTTATGGTGTGCTGCTCTGATAGTCCAACTCTCTGGGGACTTGATGTTTCATGTCCTATGTGTTATATATCCCTTAGTTAGGCTTTGTGCCTGTTATTTGATGATAAGATTTAAGGGTAATATTGCAGGGAAACCCACTTGCACAGGTTATCATATTATGGACCCAAGGCGGTGAACACCAGGGGGTCATCATGCCTACAGGATGCCCTTATAGGATGGAACAAAATGCTCCTGTTGCCATGATTGGTTGCATGGTAATTGTACCATGTGAACCTATACAGTTCTAAACTTAATATATACTACATAATATTCCAGCTATGCCATACTAGCTGGTAAAAGCTGGCTTCTGTGTGTCTCTAAATGGTTTAAAGGTCAAGTGTTACATATGAGTTTTTACAAAGTTGTGGATTCTGAATAACACTTGCTAACATCTTAGTGTTTAATTTGCCAGCATTTGGGGGAGTATCAATGTGAATTCAAGACTGTGCCCAAAAACATGCAGCTGTATTAACTTTTATTTACATCTCCTAGACAGCCCAAGTCCGCATAGGAGGTAAGTCAGAGCACCTTGCTGCAGATGAGAATTTCTGGCAGCACTGAAATGGTAGTTTGGGATTTAAGCTGATAAGAACAAATAGGGTCAAGAATGTGCATTACAAAGTATTGTTTCTAATGGAACCACTGTCTTGAGGCTCTGAATTATTTGGCGTTTAAACCATTTGGATCTGTTTTACATAGCTTGTAAAATGTACTTAAGTAAATGCTAAATAAACAATTGTGCTCAGTCATACAACCACAACACACAATTTTCCAGGGATACAAGCATGTCTACAATATGTATATAAATAAAAAATCTAATATTTCATGCAGAATTTTGTTCCCCATTCATATTTAAGCAACAGTTTTTTTAAACAGGGGCTTATTTTGGTTTTGTTTAACACTGCAACAGAAATGTTCTTGTCTTGCTTTGAAAAGCCGCTCAAGTTTGTTAGTCCTGATAAGAAAAGCTAATATAAAGATATGAGACCTCTCCTGGAAATGAGCCTTAGTTTCTGAAATATTAAAGCTTTCTGTGATAAAGCACACTTATGAGAGGTTTTTGCCTCGTTTTGTTTTTTGTTGATCTCTATGCATTGTTATATCAGCTGGTTGTTTGACCTTCAAGGTGCACAATGAAGTTCTGTCTGTACAAGTTTGAGACGACAGGATTATATTCTACTTGCATTTGCTACAAAGGGAAAATTACTCTTTACTCATCTATACAGATTACAGCAAGAGTCAGGGATAGCTTTTCTCGATGAGGACAAATTGTACTCTATACAGTCGTACATGGATGTGGCAGCTTGGGGTGTCAAGTTAACATTAAGGAACAGAGTTTTTGGTGTGAAGGCATCTTAAAAAATCTGTCTATGATGTATTTACAGTTTTGGTGGAAATAACATCACAGGCAAATTAATATATTACAATGTGGTATATTTTTGAATATCTTGACAGCTGCACAGAATATTTGGGCCCCTGTTACTACCAGCAATCAAAGTACATGAAAATGCCATTCATGATTTTTTATTTCTTAACCCCCCCCAACCCTTTGATACCTCTGTTCAAAGTCAAGCACCAGACAAACAGTATGTTATTTCTCTGAGAGCGTGGTCACATGGATTATCCTCACTTTCTCAGTGTAAGACTCAAATATAACTCAGTGCTGCACTCCTCTGGATGGCAGGAGTGCATGCAATTCTTAGCAAAAAATCTAAAAGGACTTTGAGGATTGTTAACAGCAATATATGCAATCAAAATTACTTTGTTGTATAGATGAATATCATAAATATTATACTAGAGAAATAGCTCCAAAAAGCAGGAATACAGGCTAATAATAATCACGGTCATCAACAGCCATTACAACATAGAATTGAGTTGAAAATTTCTTAAAAATCAGTGAACATTTTTTAAACATTTGTAAAAACACATATACATGTTCAGAACTTTAGAAGTTTAAACAATGAAATTAAGAAGTAAAAAGTTCTATCTTGAAGCTAGTACTTACCCAGCCATTGTAATTCCTAAATCTACCACCAGGAGACTCTCTAACACAACACCTGATATTGCAAAAGTTTAAACGCCTCGTTGCGGGCTGTCTGAATGTGGTCTGTTTTGCATTCATTAATCAAATGCTCTTCAAAGGCTGGCTACCTTCAAACAACTATGACTCTCTCCAGTCAACAAATGAATCCTCTATTTCATCCTTTTGAAATGCTACCCTTGGGTGCAAACCTGTCCTCACAGTTAACAACAATGCACTGTTGATCATCCCATCAGGTCAAATTGAAGAGCTCTACTATTATCAACTAGTTCTCTATCTAAACAGAGGTGGGTTTATTTTTGAGGGATTTCAACTTTTTTATTGTCTGAACACACACACACACACACACACACACACACACACACACACACACACACACACACACACACACACACGCACACTTTTTTTTTCTCTTCATCTTAAGAAGTTTACCTCTTTTATCAATGGTCTTTTGGGAAAACTTCTATCTCAAGAATCACCTGCAGTATTTTTTTTAATGCTCGTAAGTCAGAGGTAGATCAAAACAGCTGTTTAATAAAAGGAAACTATGATTTTTTTTAACGGTGAAATAATTATGTCAATATTCATGTTTTTCACATGGTACTTTGAAGGGAAGGTTGGTCTCCTAGCTCCTCTTGCGTTGTGATGATTGGGTGGTACTACTAGCTCTGCCCGGTTTGATCCTGTTAGTTCTCCGACATTGCAGTTCGCTTTCCTCATGATATACTGAAAGAGGTCGTAAGGTAGAATCTTAAAGATATTGGGAGGTAAAATGTGTCTAGCTTAGGCTAAAAAAAACCGTTTAATGAGATTGTGGATATTATTTCCAAATGAAAGGATTGCAAAGCGATAAAAAAGACGACTGCATTTATCCCGGAAAGACTATTGCACATGTGACCATATTTCACTGATACTTTTTAAATTAATTTGGATGAAAATAACATAAAGGCTATTAAGCTTATCAACCTGTTTCACAGTGTCATGAACTACGTATGTTTTGAAAGGCGACGTAAAAAAAAATCTCTTGTCTTTGAGGACAGTCACCGACTGAGTCACATAACTCTCTTGTATCGTTTACAGTTGATGGGCAGGGTAGTTAAGTCTCGCGAGAACATATCTCGCCTGTCTGTTTGAGTTGAGTGTCGCGCCTGCGATAACACACATCCAATGACAGAAATTAACAGATACGAAGAAAAAAGTAACGGACTTTAGTGATAACGGTTTGAGGGCTTCTGTCACTGTTGTTTGTCTGTGTTAATCAGTCTTGGAAAAAACGAACAAAGGTACTCAACAGGCATGTGACATCCGAAAACCTGCATTCCTGCATAAATAGAGACAACATTAAAGGCTTGACCGAAGTACATCACAAAAAAGACTTGAAGGCTTTCTGGGTTGAACTTTGGTTGACACGTTTCCATATTTTTCAATAAAAAGCCTTTCTGTATTGCACCATAATATTTGGAAAAAAAAGTTATATGGACTACTTTTCAACTGCTTATCTTGTTTTTATTTTTCCTTTAATGAGATGTCTTTCTTTTATTAAATCAATATCCTGTGTTGTGATATTTCTCTGTTTTTAATGTGTAGTCCTTTGAGTCCTTGGATGTACAGGGCACTAAATAAAATGTATTATTATTTTACCCTTATTTTACCTTTCGAAGCTCTGTTATACAGAGATAGGGGTATCAGCCTATAGTGTTGTTTGGTTCAGACTTTTAATTGAATTATATCTATTCTTTTATTTTTTTTATTAAGTAGATCAAGCCCCCCCCCCCCCCCCCCCACACACACACACACACACACACACACACACACACACACACACACACACACACACACACACACACACACACAAGGAAAAAGGGCTTCCCCACGGAAATTATGGGTAGGGGGGTACGGCAGAGCACGCTGATAGCTGAAATCTCCGAGAGAATAATTTTTAAGATCTCTGCTTTATGCCAGTGTCTACCTGTTTCGTTAGGTTACAGTAAATTGGAGTCTTCCTGTCCCATGCAGAGAGGTTTGGGAGGAAGTGGGTCACTCGCATAATACCATATCATCAAGACGTTTCTCACAACTCAGTCAATACAGTTCCTAAATGATTTCTAAATGAAATACGATTATTCACGCGAGAAACTGGAATAGTATTTAAGTGTTACAGTTAAGAAGAAAACTGAAAATGTTGGTTGTATCGACCTCGTTTCATCTCCTGCCACTTCGGCATGGAAACAACGCTGTCGGTATTCGCCAAACCTCCTCGCACCGTCTGGTCTGAACCGGTTCGAAAAGTGCGCAGGCTCGTGCACACTGCAGACTCGACCACGCACTGGTTCACACAGTTCTCCGCGCGCCTTCCCCAAGCTCTGCCTCTCACTCAGTTTGGCCCCACCTCATTGGTTGGAATTCTCACAGCACTTCCACACCTTCCGTGATCTGTTTGGACAACAGGCAAGTTTACGATTTGCGATTGGTTTTTGCTCCTCCAAACCTTCTATTTTAGGGCAGGCGCCATTTACCGTGCTCGGGCACGCGTAGAAGTTGAGTTGTAAATGGAGCGCGTGCACTTTTCAGCACCAGCACCTCGTGGATAGCAGCCAAAGGGAGCAGAGAGGCTTGTTGTGGGATAGTTTGGTTCATTGTGACAAACCGACGACTTAGCGTTTTGCAGCGCCATACCACCGCTGCGGTCGCGGGAAAACTTTATCTGTAGTTTTAAGTCTCAAAGACGGAAAAAGAAAGCGGCACATCCTGAGCTTTGTTTGCCCCGGTGGGCAAATCGTGCCACAAGCTGCATCTCGGCTGAAAGAACCAAGTTGTGCAGGAAACGATCGGTATTTTCATCTGGCTTCAGGCGATTTGGCGCGGTCTGGTTTCCACTAACTGCGCCCAAAGAGACTCGATGGCTACAAATGAAGGGAAACAAAGGTGATAAAGAAGATAATTCATCATAGCTGGCTCGGCCCAGACAACGGTTGACCCGTGGTCCCGGTTTAAACCACTTTACAGCCTGCTCCTGCCGTCAGCCTCAGAGGTCTCCATTGTGTGAGCATCCCTGTGCTAACTGCTCCGCTGCCGCCTGACCCCCGGATAACTCGCAGCTACCCACACACCTGCCGCTCAACCAGCAACAACTGCCGATTATTTCAACTTATCTAAACATATCCAAAATGTGCTCTCGGGTGTGGTTCGTGACCGACCGGCGTATCAGCCAGGAGTACCCTCAGGTCCAGATCCTTCGGGCATTGAAGGAGCGCTGCGCCGACGAGGATGTTGAATTCCGCTCACTTCTCATGGATCAAATCGTGCTCACGATCAGCGAGGGGCAACTAGGCAAGTATTAACAAAACACTCGATTCATGGTTGTGAAGTATGTGTTTGTGAAGGAATGCATCTTCGGTATTTTATTAGTTCTCTGTATGTTTGACAAAGTTAATAGCAGGTGGTTATTGTTTGGGGACCCTACTGCCGTAAAGCAGGGAGAGGGGCTAGCCTGCTCTGCGTGTTAGCAAGGAAGCGGAGTGTAACCACAGCAGTGACCGCCTAACCCACTTTCCAGCTAGACTGCCTCCAGACCGAGGGGAGCGATGATGCTTGATTTAATTTCGCTGAACACGCTGCAGTCCCAACTATACCCCGGACGATATGGGTAATTAAGTAACAAATCAACAGGGAAATAATGTTTTCAACACTTCAGAAGGCTAGCCATTAATGCAAAACCATTTACAGGTGAAAACAAAATGATTAAAGGCTGTTTGTACTGCGGTGTTTCCCTAAGGCTTACTTTCTCATTTTCATAATATCCCCCCTTATTAAGCTTGGTGTTTTATGTAGAAACCTGACATTTAGCAGTCTATATTGTTATGTAGGCCTGCAGAGAAAAAACAGAGATATCAACATTAAACACATACCAAGGCAAATATTAGTACCAGGATCCAAAAAGTGCCATTAAATGCATTCAGTTGTCTAACAAGTAGTCATTTATAACTTTTTAGACAAAAAAAAGGGTTAGCGCCAAAACAATCATCTGTGGGGTCAAAACAGAACCTGTCATTTGAAACTGATGGATTCTCAAAACAGCACATTGAGGTTAGGTTTCCATTAATAAACATATATTACCCTAATTTACCAATATCAGATTCTCTGTATGTTTGGCCTTATTTATGCAGTGGTCATGCTTGTCTGTAAGCACATTGTGTTATTAAGAGTAGGTCCTTTAGAAACCATATATTGTCGTTTAGCTTCTCCCCCCTTGTCCAGACAACATTGCTTGTGTTCTACCTGAAACAGCAAAATATCACAGTTTTGTTTCAAGGGGTCTTAATAAGGTGATGGTAACGGTAGGAACACTCAGCAAACAGACACACATGGAATTCCACAAGGCCTTGTCAAGTGAGGCCCTGTCACCAGATGAGAGGCGTGTAGCTATTAATTAACACATAAATGGTGTAGGCTGGCACCGACAAAGGTTGAGCAACTAGGAGATGATGTTTAATCAGGCAGCATTTTCCTTGCCCACTTAAAACTGCTACATCAGGTAGGCTACACAGATTAGTTTTGGCAAAGTCAATAACAGGGGATTTCAAACACCAACAGTGAAATAAAGAAAAGCATGGTATGTGTTTATAGCTCATACAAAAAGAACATTTGTGACACTAAACATTTTCTAGTGATGTTGAAAAATAACCTTAAAATATCTGTTACTACCACAGTTATTTGTTTATTCACCGATCTAATAAATATACCTCTGCAGATACCATAAAAAGAAGACAGCCTGAAAATGAGGGCATTGTGGCCATCACAAATAGAAAGACAGGCAGCTGTCTAGACCTGTAGCTTAGTAAGATATACACAACTGGAGCAGGGCAGTTAGCATGACGTGTAATCCTTGCCGGCCTCAAGTCTGCACACAGTAATGTCTCCTGAGCCTTGGCTAAAGATCACAGATTAGCAGCAGGTGGCCACACTCTATGCCTTGTCTATACACAAGGAGCTGCAGAGTACATAGTTAGGAAATTAAGATTTATAGATATATATGCATGTAAATTACACACTGTAAATTAACACCCAGATTACAGGAACTCTGGAGATGGGGAGAACTTTCCAGTGCTAATCCAAAGAAGAAATGGCATTTTAACTTCATGATCTCTATCAAAATCAAGTGAATCTGTGGTTAAGAGCAGGCTGTGTGAATACTTGTACTCATGATTGACATAAAAAGACAGTAGTAGTATGAATTTAAGAGATTCTCAAATTGAAGATCACAACTTAATGTGGAGTCACTGAGACAAGACTGTTTACAATCCTTATAGTTTATTCATGAGAGGTAGAATTGGAATTCCACTGTAATGTGATCAATAATGCCCTTGTGGTTCTTGACCACCTCTATTAGTGGTTGGAGTTGTTTATCACTGGTATCCTTTGTCTTGATAGCCTTTGTAGTTAAATTAAATGTCAATACATTTGACACTCACACCTAGAGTTACTTCAACAAGCTATTCCAGGAGTGGAGATTCATGAGGTCCAAAATCATGTGGAAAGCTGTGTAGAAGATAGTTGTACTTCAAAAAGGGACTCAATGACCAGAACTTGTTTGAAGGTTCCTTTTAGGATAAAAAATCAAGTCAAACCACAAGACCTTTGAAATCTGTTTGTTTTAGGCTGGGGCAGAAGGCAATCACAACCCTAAAACAGATAACACCTCAGTTACAACCGGCTGTTCCAAAGGTTTCTCATGCTCTGGCATTTTTTTGTATTCCCAAGTCTGGTTGAGGTCTGCATTTCACACCAAAGTTAATGGGTTCAGAGTGTCCCCAGGAAGAGCAACAATCACACGTGTGACAATGATGTTTCAATGGCAAGTGATAGCCCCTCACACAGGACATTCAAAGCCAGCTGTTTGCCAGCTAGAGCTGTTTTACATCCCATGAATTTTACTTTTCTGTCTGATGAGAGTTGATATGAACTGATAATTTGTAATCATTGCACATGCGTGTGGGTACACTTTTACCCAAAACACAATAAATGCGTGAGTCTTATGTCCTATTGTAATTTACTGCCAGTAAATAAATTACTAAGGAGGCGTGTACTGGCATTGCAGTGAGGGTTACTGTAGCTTTAATGCCAATCATGGTGAGGTGATTTATAAAGCATGGATATCCAATGTAGACACAAAATTGAATAACATCTTATACTTTCATAAATTTATATAGTTTCATAAATGAATTATAATTATAAGTTTAGTCTTGACACAATAAAGAAAGTGCACAGTCTCTAAGGATATCAGCTTGTACGTCAGCTCGTAAGCAGTCATTCATTCATTCATTTTCAGTGTTTTACGTGGAGCCTAAAAGATATATTTGCTTTTTCCATGTTCACCTGGAACTTGCTGCTGTGCTGTGGGAACTTATTGTGTCAACAGACAAAATGTTTATATCTAAATGAGTCAAAACATCTAAAAAAAAAAAAACATTTACTTGAGATGTTTTACCTGAAAACTCTACTGCCAAAACCAGATATACTTTTCTAGACATTTGTCCTTTATATAAGGCAACACCACCAATAAGTGCTGGCATTTGTAATTGGCATAGTTTCAGTTGCCAAAGAGAGCATTGTTTGCTCTATGATTACTGGACACTAAACCCTCTAACTTTATACATTCGCTTGCAGGATGAAGTTGCATCACTGAAAGAATAGGGACTGGAAAGGCTGTTGGCAACCACAAAGCCACAAATATTATTGGGAGGATGGGGAGCATTTTTCCTCTCTGGTGTGCTTGTCATGAGACACAAAGTGAAACAACCCGATTAAAGACATTGTCCTGAAGCTGACAACAGAACCCAACACAAATTGATTGACTTTTGGCACAGCAGGCATCCTGATTGTTTGTGAAAAATGATATGTAAGTATTGAGATGGATAAAGAACAGCTTTGTATTAGGGTCTAGACTTTGTCCCAGCAGCTGTGGCTGTTGGAAACAAAATATTTCCTCTACAGTGTTATGTCAAAATTACTAAAATAACCAATGAGTAAGGCTTGGCAAGAGAGTGAATGGACTCACCCAGCAACCATATCTTTGTACTTACTCCTTTTGTTCTCCACTTAGTCATGTTGAATGACTTATCAGGATCTAAATTAAACACATCCTGTAGAGAGGACTTCATATATTGTATATGATGAATGTGGGATGGATTTGACTTCTGCTCTCTTAAGTGATGTTTTAATGAGTTTGTTGAGCTGCCCAGTGAATTCAGTTCCGCCCATGAATACTTTTGCGGTCTCTTGTTTTGTTGTCTCAGCTGAAGTGTTGTTTCTGTACTTAAGAGGAATGGACTAAAACCAGCTCTTTCTTCTAAACAGATGAGACGAATGCCAAATTATAGAGTTGAACTACATCTCAAGTCATTTTGAATCAGACTTTTGCTTTTCTATGTAGTTCTTCTCATGCTGGTTTGTTTTTAAGTGTTCATATTTGAAAATGCTTCTTCTTGAATTAGTTTTTGATTTTAAAAAGAGGAATGATTGACAACTGCAGCTCTAGCATTATTCTGCACTGGATTAGCAGAGAAGATGTGAAAGAGAAAACATGAAAAACACTCAGAGTCAGTTAGCTACAAGTTTCTGCTTTTAATCAACACAAGAGTCTGTCCTGCTGTGGACTGTGCCAGCCTGACATTTTATTGGTAAGTTTCTTATGTTAGCAGAAGTGGTGCAACGATAGTCTCACTGCTCCATCAGCCATGTTTCCACTGCGTATGCCTCGGCTTGTCCAGTGCAATATATCAGCGAGTATCGAGGAAGGCTTTTGGCTTCATATCTTGTTTAGTTCGTGTCATGTATAGTCAACAGTGTTTATTGCTCCATCAGCTAAATCTCTGATTGGCCTCACAGTGAGCTCACTGTGTTTCATTTTCATAGGGCGTCACTGATGACAGATATGCAAATTTACCATTAAAGGTGATGTTTGCTCCAGTGTGACCTCTTGAACCTAACCTAAACTAGCCTGCTGCAACATTTGGCTTGTTTAGACTGGACTCTCAGCCCCAGACTTAGACTGCATTCAGAGCGGGTAGGACCCACCAGCCAAACACTGGCACAGCATTTGTCAGCATCGCCTGCATTGTGACGTTGCAGCGGTATGCACAGAATGCTTGTCATGCTTGTTAGCTTTGTCAGGCAGATTGAAAATGGGACACGTGTATACAGTCTGCTAAACCCTAAAACTATAACAGTTACATCAGTTGCAGCTCTACCAGGCCACACCCACAGTAAATGTCGCCTGTAACACAAACACCCACATTGCTTTTGTTATTCATGGAGATGTTTAGGAGGGTTAGGGTTTTTGCAGTGGTCACATGAAGGGCAGTGCATTACACACCAGCGCTTGCACAAATGAATAGGATTGATTCATTGGTCTCTGTTTAGTTTCCCCGGAGAAGGAGACAAGCGCGGTGAACAGTAAATACTGTCTTTCCAAAAGCATGAGACCACATCCCCTGACACTTCCCACTGTAACATCACTCACTGTGCTCTCGGTGGCTGCACAATCAGATCAGTGTGTGAGGGTATTGAATAGGGCAGGAGAGACAGTGAATCCTCTTGCTTCCATGCTGACATCGTGAGGAGGAGGAGCAGGAGGAGAAAAAAGAATGGGTGGCGGTCTTTTCATGGCTTCATACTCCTTTTTTCACGCTCCTCTTTTTTCCCTCCTGCTCTTCCTCTGTGCTAAGGCTGCAAGACATCTTTTTTGCATCACCTTTTTTTTCCTGCTCCCATTCTTCCTTCTGTCTGTGCAGATAATTACCGCGGAGACAAATGTTGGTCACTCCAAAAGCGCATGTGCCTTGTGCACATTACACAGGCTTAAAACACATTGCATCTGCTAGCACACCAATAGCTTTGTCTGATCTTATTATGTATGCACTAACCGTCGAGCTTCTCGTGACCTCTGGTGCTCTGAGCCAGTGGCGCTGTCACTATTGTGAGCAAGCAGGTTCTAAGATGGCTGAAATTTAGGTCACTGTAGAGGTGAAGTGCTGTGCTGGTGAAAAATGTTCCCTCACCTCCTCTTCTTGTACATGAGTATTATACGTGCAATCCAACACTTCTACAAAGGTTTCATCATCACCCAATCTGTTCCTCCTGACGAGCTGTTGGTCTACTTGCCTGCTCAAAAATCACAGTCTGTCTCTGTTTCTTCGTCTCAGCCAGAATGACAAAGTAACACCAGTCACCAGTTACATGTCGCCATATCTTTGGCTCTGACCGATGAATTAGCCATCTGTGTGTGCGAGCCAGTATTCTATTACTGCAAAATCCTTTACTGTCTGGCATATCGAGTTTAGAGACTGAGATGGCAGGTTAATGTTGAAATCTGCCAAAATGATTGTCTGTCGATCGATGCAGTGACTATATGTTATTGATTGATTGAAGTGTATTTTGAATATGCAAACCAGAAATATAAAAATAAAACAAGAAAAGTAGGGCAAAACATTTAAACATAAAACATAGAAATACATATTTGAAAAGGAGTGAGAGGAAGAATAACTTATGAACTCCCACCCCTTCCCTTCAAATAAGTACCCACACCGAGCTTCCTTGCAACTTGTTTAGATGTACCTGATACTTATACACACATATATAAAACAACAAAACAAAATAAAACAAGAAAGAAAGAAACAAAAAAAAAAACAAAGCAAAAGAAACAATAACCTCATAACACTTTGTGATACCCAACACCTTCCTTATCCCTGTACCTCTCAAAAATAGCGTCTTTATACCTTCTTTTAAACTGTGTCATGTTTGAACATTACTGTGACTCTATGGAAAACCTATTCCATAGTCTCATCTCACTTACTGAAAAACAAAAACTCTTATTCTTATTTTTATTAACAAACATCTACTTTATAATCTATCAAACTTCTCTTCCTAAAGTTTATCTGTACCCATGTCTGTACCGTTCTAATAAACACCCTTTAACATGGGAGACGGATATAAAAACATCTTGATAATGTTAAAGACTTGCATGTATGTTGATGGAAATCCTGCTTTGTGTCGTGATGTGTGCTCGTGTGTGATTCAGGCTCCCCTCCCTGCCCCACTGCTCTACATAAGGAGAAAGTGGTTATTGTCTCAGTTGACTCCAAAAGGGTTTTGTCTTTCTCAGTCAAAGGGTCAGACAGTAACAGACCGAAAGCAGAGAAGCTGGCAGCACTACAGGGAGGACTGTATGCAGATATATGCAGCATGTAAATTATTATATCAGCTGGAAAGCTGGGTTACAAATTCATGGCTCAACACAGCCAGTCTGAGAGCTGGCTGCCTCTGCCTCTGTCTGATACTGTAACAGGGCCAGCTCCCTCAGTCAGCGCTGTGTGGGGACAACCAGCGCAGAATCCAAAAACAGTCACTCTTAGAGGAGTAAACTTTTCCATCAGTAGATGGTCTCTGTGTTTTACCAACCATTTCACAATGTTTCCAGGTCTTTTAAAGGCTCCAGCTCCTGTGTTTAAAGTGTAACGGTAGCTATAAACAATGACACATCGCTTTAGAACATGATGGATAAAGAGAAGACAAGTTAGAAATAATTATATGAGTGAGATGTAGGTCCAAACGGGTTCAGTATCTTAGTGAAAAAACATGAATTTCTTACATTTGAATGAAGTCATTACAATGATTATTTTCTTGTTTCTCCTATCACTCCTCCTTCCACTCCCCCACTACCACAAAACCTTTTTTAGGTCTGCGAGTGGATCAGGAATTAGTGACCTCTTATCCTCAAGTGGTGGTGGTACGGGTGCCCACGCCCTGGGTGCAGTCAGACAGTGACATCACCGTGCTGCGCCACCTGGAAAAGATGGGCTGTCGTCTGATCAACAGGCCTCAGGCTATACTCAACTGTGTCAACAAGTTCTGGACCTTTCAGGAGCTGGCTGGCCATGGGGTACCTCTTCCTGACACTTTCTCCTACGGTAAATGAATCCTCCTGTCCCTACAAGTTTGGGCTCTAAGTTGAATAAGTTTTACCATCCAGCATTTCTTTGGGAGGCTCCTGGGGTTCTGTGCAGACAGAAAGATATCTAAATATTCAATAAAAGGAATGTAATTCACAAATGCAATCAAACCTTCACTTTCAGGCTCATGAGCAGTTACTTAAAGATGACGTAAATACTGCTTTATATGAACTCTTACGGCTTATAATGAGCAAATAATTGGGGAAATATAACCATACCATCTGCAATTTTTCGACGTGTGAATCACCTTTGTGGGATCATAGTCTTAGGTTAACATGAGTTTGTATAATAGATAAATAAACCATTGTTTAGACTGATATTCTGACAATAGATTTACATCAGCTGTTTTGATTTTTTTAATGTTTCATCAAGGATAGGTGTGTAGGGAACCAGCTGGAACCAAAAGCCAGACTGCTTTTTTTAACTGGTTGTAGTGTTTTTATTGAAGACAAAACAAAGACTGACCACAAAGCAAAACACACACCTCTCTGTTCTGTAGAAGCCCACAGTGTAGTGTGGTGTTTGTAAGGGCAGAAAGAAAAGGATACGGTCAGAGGGGGAAAGGAAGAAAGAAAGAGGAGGGGGTGTTTGGCCTACATTCCAATCGTCTCTCTGCACAGTAGGCCAGGCTATGCATGCAGAGCGGCTGGAGAGCTTATGTAACAGTCTCCCCCACCCCCCACCCCATCGCCTCACCCTCTGCCCCCTCATGATTTTTCAAAATAAAGGATGCCATCCACTACCTCCTGCCCTCTACTTCAGCAGCTTATGACGTGGTCAGACCCACATTTGCTGTTCACTCTCCCTCTCTCCCTCCTCAGCTCCCTCTGTTCTTTCTCCCTCTCAGGGAAAACCCATGTGAATCTGCACGTCTGGAAAAAGCCATGTGACAGTCCACTTCACATCTGTGCCCTGGACTCAGTGCTAGAGAGGCCAGGGCAGGAGACAAAGGAAAAGAGAGAGAAATACAGGGAATTGGCAGTGGAGACAGAGAGCAGAAAGATGTTGTTAACGCCTCCATTTTTGAATATTCCTCACACAAAGCAGAGTAGGATGAAGCACATAAGTTGCCACGAGCTGCCGGTCTGAATCCATGCCAGACATGATCAGCTGCTTCACATTAATGCATCCTTCAGTGCCTGTTCCTTTCCGATCCAATGAATCAGGCAGTGAGATATGTAGAAGCTCGGGACAACACTCCTACGGCCTTGCTGTTTTGAGTCACTCCTGTTACCATGGCAACAGGCTACATTACCCTCCCTACCCTCCCCCCCTACCCTGCTCAGTTGTTCTGCAATGTGTGAACCATGCCATCAAAACAAGGACACATTTTGAACATTTTATCTCGATCGTTGTTTTGGTGCATGTTTTCACATGAATGTGTGTTTTCTGTCTGTTCTTGTGTGCCCGGCCATTTCTCAGGAGGCCATGACAACTTCCGTAAGATGATTGACGAGGCAGAGCCGCTCGGCTATCCAGTGGTGGTGAAGAATGCACGTGGCCACAGAGGTAAGATCATCTGTCTATTTCTTTCCTGTCACAAGCCGACGCCACACCTCGAAAATCTGTACACTGCGCACCCTTAAAGGCAGCTCGCCCCACCCTCTCATGAAATTCACTGACAGAGTGTTAAATGATGAGTGTGCTGCTGCTGCTGCTGCTGCTGCTGCTGCTACAAACACAAAACAAGGACTTGTGGTGCTAACAGTTTGCCTATTTATCCATTTTAGTCTTCAGTTTACAAATTGACCATTGTTTACCCCTCTTGTCTGAATTCAGGGTGGGGGGCTTCAGTAAAGCCTTCAAGAGATAAGTCCAAGTGTCCTCTGACCCATTAGCCCAGTCGTATTCATTGTTATTGACACTTGACTAGCTTTGCCATTGTGTGAAGACATAACAATGGACCTCTGCCAGCCTGGGCTGTCACTAACATGTATTGTTAGAGGAAACAACCGTTAGTCTACTGCTAGCTTCAACCTTATTTTGAAGCTCTGATTTGCTGCCTCCTCTCTGTGGTTCAAGTCCAGCATGCAATCCTTCTCGTTAACATAATAAAGGCCTGTTGACAAAAATAAAGGCTGTTTCAAAATACCCAGAGTCAAGAGGAGAGTCCAGAAATCCATATCAGATGCCAGAATTTGTTTCATGCGCATTCTTGTGTGACTGTGGTTGCACTCTGTCCAAACCGTGTTTCACTGTGATCACGGCAAAGTGGTCAAAGCAGTGTGTCCCACTGAGTCACAGGACAGTGAGACATTTTTTTTTTTTTTTTTTGACTTGTACAATGTTACATCATGCCCGCCACTGTCCATTTTCACATCCTAAAGATGTTGCCAAAGAATTGCCCTGTCATCTTGCTCTGTTCATCACTTAGACACACAGTGAGCACATGATCGTCCCTGTTGTTGGAACAGGGGTCAGAGGGCTTGACGACTTGGAGATGCAGCCAGGAGGTGCTAATTAAAACAGGCATCTTCTATCCTCTGTGAGAAACAGTTCTGTGGCTTCGAGGAGGAGTGCTCTATTCATTATATGAGAAATGGGAACTGACATGAGGCTTGGTCAGCAGAGGCAGCTACTTGTCAGCAAAACCTTTTCCAAGTTATGCAGCCTCTTACACAGTTTCAGACTCTGCGAGATCTTCTTTCCAATAGAAGAATAAAAAAGTGTAGTTACCCTGAAAACTTGTTTTTCTTCTCTCCTTTATCTTAAATCTCTTTTCCCCTCCCAGGCAAGGCTGTATTCCTGGCCCGAGATAAACACCACCTGACAGACCTGTGCCACCTGATCCGCCATGACACCCCCTACTTGTTTCAGGAGTATGTCAAGGAGTCGCACGGCCGGGATGTGCGGGTCGTCCTGGTTGGTGGTCGTGTCATCGGCTCAATGCTGCGCTGCTCCACTGACGGCCGGATGCAAAGCAACTGCTCTCTGGGTAAGCATATACAAGGGTTGATGAGAATAACTACATTATGTACACCATTACAGATGCATCGCTAGCTGAACCAGCTCCCCTCTCTTGTTATGGTTACCAGTGCAAATGTTGATACACCAGAACACCATAAAAGATTTGTCTATGGCAAGATTGATCCTGGTAAAGTTTTGTGAAGTTTTATTCCTGAGATGAAAGAGCCCCAAACTTCTAGTTTCAATCAAGATTCCCATTTAAAGCAAAGGCAACACAATTCTGATTTTCTGTCTATTAAACTGAAGTGTAGGATTACTTTAAAGAGGAAATATAACAGAAACATATTTGCCTTACTTTTATTCAGTCATTGTTATGATCTAACACAATTCACTCAAAAATGAGAGACATCAGGTCTACCTCTCATCTCTGCAAATACTGGGTTGAGCTCTTCTGTCCTGTAAAAGGAACATGTGCTCTGTCTGACCAAAGAGGATTGAAGTGGATGAAAACTTATAAGACAAATAATAAACCAGCAGACTGAAGGCTGTCAGAGCTAATGATCTGGTACTTCTAAAAGTCTTACCAAGCAGAACTCTCTCCCCCCTCTGTCAACAAGTTTTGGGAAAGTGCGTCGGATCAACAAGCTTGTGCTGAGGTTTCCCTGGAGACATCAACCGACCGCTATCCAGCTGATGTCTGATTTTCAGTGTCAGCATGAGCACTCCTTGCCTCACGATGCCGTGATGTGCTGTGACATTTCTAGGACATCGTTCATCAGATTATTTTGCATTTATGTAACCGATCATGAGAACCTTTGCACTGTCTGATGTTAGATCTGAGGTTTTATGAGAGTCTAAATGCTGAATGTTAGAAACAAGCTAAATTCATTTAAATATTTCTGTAAGACAACAGTTTTGGGGATGTCTCCGGATGGATAAAACATAAAGAAACGGGATGGTGAAGCAGATGAACCTAAACTAAATCAGATCTTTTATGTTTGTTTCAGGTGGTGTAGGTATGATGTGTCCCCTCAGCGAGCAGGGCAAGCAGCTGGCCATAGAGGTGTCCAACATCCTCGGCATGGACGTGTGTGGCATTGACCTCCTGCAGCTCAACGATGGCTCATTTGTGGTCTGCGAGGCCAATGCTAATGTGGGTTTCATCGCCTTCGACCAGGCTTGTGGCATGGATGTGGCAGGCATCGTTGCTGACTTCGCGCTGTCCATGCTCCCCAGCCGCCTCACCCGAAAGATGTCACTGCTCTCGGTTGTGTCGAGCACCAGTGAGACCAGCAGCGAGCCTGAGGTGTGCTCCGTGCCCAACGGTGGTGGCTCCCTGCCCGAAGCCGTCTGCAACATGAGCGTGGGTTCTACTTCCAGCGAGAGCGACCCAGAGCTCACTGAGCCCTCTCAGTCCTCGCCTCGCCAGTCCACAGCCTCCACCCTGCCTGATCTCCCAGACCTCCCTGATCCAGCCTACAACTTCAACACCCTCCTCGCCAATGAGATCAAATTATTGACTGAGTGAGATTCAAGCGGCTTCAGGCACACACGAAACACAACAAATACACAACCCATACAATACACGCATTCTTGTATGCATGACAACAGACATTCCTTTCAGAAACACAGATCAGTCCAAACTCTTTTAAGACATGGGATGATAAATGCAAGACAAGAGCAGAGAAACACATACAGAGTCGGAAACACCAAAACTTGAGCCTTCTCCTACTAAGTTAAAAATATTGAAAGATCTGAGGCTGCTCCCCTGATTCTCCTCGCTTTGCACCTCTACTCCAGAACTGCAAACCAGCCAATCCAAACTTAGCTTACACTGCAGCATGGTGCCAAGTGTGGAATATAGATCTCTTAAAATCACCCCCTGCTTTTATTGGTGGGTGTGGGATTCCCACAAAGGCTACTAACTGCCATACTGTTGTCCTTACAGCATGCTGATATTAGTTGTAAAAACAGCATCCACTGGTTCAAAAGGGGGATTTCCTACTGAGACTGCAGCGAGGATTAGTGGTTGGTAGGAAGTGAGAAGAAATGGTGTTTTTTTTTATGTGATTATATTCTAGGAAGAGGAAAACATCCTTGAGCCAGGGACACTATACTACCTGTCTCAATGTAGCAATGAAGTGCAGCTGTCAGATACAAGAAACAGGAAGAGGAATGCCCTGCAGCAACTCGAGATGGAAGAATTTCATATCAAATTAAATGCAAGTCATTTTTCCTCAAACAAATAAGAGAGAAATGTAGTCAAGACAATATATCACAGATATCAGTACTTCAACAGATTGTAAGGACAAAATCTCTGTCGAGTTTACACAACACAAGTTGTAAAATGCTAGTAACCCTTATCTGAATTACAGATTAGCATGAGCCTTACATTTTTACATTGAGAGTAAAAAATGATTCACGTTTTTGCATCGATATGAATGTAAATAACCCAAATTATGAAGCCATAGCACCAAATAGTCACCCTTGGTGCTAACACTGCATTCAGAATTAGTCCTCTTCTCACTGTGAATGAGACAGGCACGTGTCAAAGTCACGAAAACTGCATTGACTCGTGCAAGAGAGTAGATATCACGAATAGCTGTTCTTTTTCAACAGCCACATCCTGGAGTCTAGAAATAAATTGGGTGCCATTACTCGATTTTGTATTTATTTTGTTTCTAGTAGATTGTTTGATTAGCCTTACCAGTAGCAGTCTGCTACTTCTCTTTTTCAAATTCACTTCATGTCCAGCACTTTATGATTGTCAGACGCATTTTATTTCTCGCTCAGATGACATACTTAGGAAATTTGAGACAGAGTGTGAAAGCTGCGTCTACACCTGCGAACAAACTATACCTCAAAACAGTGACTCCTCACTGCCGTAGGATGACTTAGATACTGAAACATACACAACATATCAGCCGGGACTCCCTGTGGTCCCACACGGCCCCCAATGAACCAGGTGTTCCTTCCCTTTCTGTCTAAGAGCTACACAGCTAGTTGTGTGTTATTTTTTTATTTCTTTTTATTTTTTGTAAATATTTAGGTAGCATATTAGCCTCAGTGCGTACTAGTGACCAGATGATAAAACTGGAATGGCTAAAATAACTGCCAGCGTTAAAGAAATTCATAAGCTCTTGCGGTATACAAATGTATTTGTACCTGCAATATGAAAAAGTTGAAAGTGAAATTTGGTGCTAACATCTCTGGATTTGGTTAGATGTGGCTTTCAGTCAAATTATTTGTAGATTTTACTTTTATGGTTTTTTACTGATCTTAACCCACAGGAATATGTTGGCATGATGTACACATAAAAATGAAAACTATATTTTTGCAGTCTCTTTGGGTAGAATGTCTTTTTTTACTTTTAAAGACAGAAAAAAAAGTAGGGATTGTAGTCGCCAAGAGCTTTTTGCTTTGGGTTTTCCTGTTGATTTACCTCTCGTACATCTTTTGATGTAACTATCAACACAAAGGAAAGGTACACTGGGGTTAATGTCAGTCAACTAGAATATTTCACAGCTCTGATTTAAAGCACAAATGTAAACCTTCAAAGTTGTTTCATGTAGTGGCGTCCATGTTTTTCGGCTCATAACTCTTCTGTTGAAAGCATCTCAGGGAAGCAGCCTGGATCTCACCCCTGACCCTGAAAGGCACTACATATTCATCCGAGTTAGAGACATGTCAAAAACATAACACATCACCACAGGCAGATAAAAAAAAAAAGACACACAAGCATCCAAGAAAAAAAGGTTGTAAACTACAGTATAAGACAATGTGGTGTATACCATGGTTAACATGCACTTTTTTTCCTTGCTTGTTTTATATTGTTCCTTGTTTTCTTCCTAATTTATGGTATTTCTAAGGAAAATGGTTTGTGTGCACTAATATTGTCTCAATAAAGTAAAAGCGCTGTGAAGCTTGATCTAATCCCCTTCTTCTTGGCTGGATTGACTAACTGAATGAAATCTAACTGGCCTGCTTGGGGGTGCCATATCTAAACCTGCCAGACAACAGGAAAGGCAGCTTTTATTTGAAGCTTGCTGTCAAGTGATCATAGTTGCTCCACTGAGAGAATAGCACCATTGACACCTCTGTGATGTTGTCTGGTATTTATATGAAGAAGGTATCTGACAAACTGTGAAATCTGCTGATGTCCACTCTCCTGACATGTAAGGGCCGGGGGGGCTTGATCACCAAGTCGCAACCCATGGTGCTCCAGTTGTTGTCGCCCCCTAATTTTTAAGTCTTTGTCTTTGTTTGTATTGAAGCCTGTGTCATTCCACATTGTGCACATCAATGTAAAATCAAGATAACACACCCTGACATACATTTAAAAGCCAGCCATAGAAAAGGAGGTGACACTTGTGTCTCTCCTCACGCCCCTGCTATTTCAATCTGTTTATACATCCTCCACACAGACCATATATAGCCATTGAAGGGTATTTCAACTATGCCCTAACAACTTTCAGAATGCCTTTTCATTGACTGTTTTCCTTTAAGAGCATTGATATAAAAATCTGAAAGCTCTGAGTCCAGGTGGGCTTTATCTGCCAGGTCTTTTCAGATCCGTGGATCAAAGTCGCAGAAGCTACTGAGAAAAATTGGTACCATGCAGGGGAAGGAAAATGTCCTGGAAAAACATGAAATGGTCAAATATGAACTAAAATGAGTGATGCATGGTTATCCTTGAACAAAAACTGTTGGGACCTCTGGACTAGTCACTGTGTGCAGCAACACAACTGAGCACAAGGTTACTATTTAAATCCAAACTGCTGCTAATGTATATCTGGCTAAAAAATTGAAAAGGGAATATGCAGAAATCCATTTGTGTTTCTGTGTTTTACTGCCTCTCTACACATGGAAATGAATTTGAATGCCAAAAACCAAGCATTTTGTTGTATAATTCAGTACTAATAACACTAGTAGTGAGAAGATTTTAAAAGTGATTTTTTTGTTTTGATATGATGAATAAATGTTTCAGAATTGTATATAAAATGTAGGATTTCACAGCAATCTTCAGGTTCACTTTATGTCAATGTGTTACAAAACGAGCCTGAGATTTGTGTAAAGGTTTACAGTATACTTTTGATTGCAGGAGGAAATGCAATGTTCATGCTTCAGCAAAGTCAAGCAGTCTCCACTAATGATACAGAAACATTACAAGTCTTTAATTCTATCTGCATATCGTACTGAATTGAAGAGGTGGAGGACTGCAGGCTACCAGAGAAGTCAAAACATTGCACAACAAGGTTGGAAATGCCCTCTATCATTCTGTTCTGTATCATTCTGACAGTGTTACAAACTGATTCCAAAATGATGTTGTTCAAAAATGTGCAAAATGATGTAAATATATATCCCTTTTTTTAGATGAAAATAAAGATGAGTCATTATCCAAACCAATACATGTCTCCTCCATTCATCATACATTCACATATTCACTCTAGCAGACTTTTACTGGACATATGAAACTCAGTGTAAAGTACAGATAATTTCCTTCATTATTCCACTTTTCTAGTGAAACACCACAAACAGTATTTAGAATAAAAATGATAACAGTCCAAACTACATACCTTAAGTTACTTTTTAACAAATTCTACCACTAACTGTACATTGAGATGAGCAAATAAATTTATGAGATTAACAAATATCCTGCACATCTCCATTCAGAGCGACGGGCAGGGAGGTGTTTGGTGACTAGTTACAACCAGGATGTTGTTCTCTCTGCGGATTCTGCACCAGCTGCAGCAGGGTCTGGATGGGCTCTGTCAGGTCATGGTTTGGTATCAGCTGGCTGGCCTGCAGGGCCACATTGCCAAATCCTAGAGCCTGGCACAGAAACACAAACGGAAACAAACAGCAGCTGCAGCTGTTAGCCTCTCTGGGGAAAATAAAGCTGACTTATAAAATAATATCACTGAAATTGGACTGCCAGCTGGTCAGATTAACTTGTCCCTGTTTACCCTTCCAACTACTTGATCTGTCAGGCTGTTATGCAGTCTACTATGCTTTATACAAAAGAGAAAAAATGGAAACTAGCTTTGATACTGTTGACTTGGCCATGCATGCTTCAACCTCATTGTGGAATTCATTCAGGAAAACCTATGAGTTACTATGCAGCTTCTCACAATTTGTACACAACTAGGGCTGGGTGTAGTGTTTCTGTCACTGATGTGTTTGTTGGTGTTACAGTACGTCATCCATCTACAGCAGCCCAACTACAAATACAGTACAATGCTCAATCAAGCTCAAGCTCATCTATCCTTAAAACAAGACAACTACACATAGAGTGAAAAGTGAAAAGGATCAGAATAAAAAAGACATCAGAATAAAAAAATAAGCTCTAACAGATATATAGGCCAACTTTTTGAAGAACAACACTGGTTCTGTGCTCCTCAATGCAGACAGAAACATGACTAGAAATCAATTTACAACCAAAATCCTCTCCATAAGAAAGGCTGTCATTGACACTCCACCTGAGAGTTGTTGTTATTATTATGTTCTTCATATCAATAAGCAATAAAAAACTAGTTCCTGTGTCAAACAGAGTGTTGGTGAACAATAAAGCAAATTTAATCGATCTCTTCTAACCCTCTTTGTACGGTGAGCCGATATTTCTCTGCAACTTCAAGCTGTTTTAGCAAAAGTCACAGCAGTACCATTCAAATGTTTACCGTCTACTTAGGTGACACTATTCGTGCTAATCTGTAAGAGCACATCAAACCCATTGAACTCCGACCCTTAACATGTTTAAGTCTGTGGCCGTCATCTGTCTGGTCCAGAGCTTCCGGTACAGGCAGTGATATCAACATTGCCAATGCTGTCTCAGCCTCTCAGCAGGCAAGACTCACTAGAGATTATTCATTGATCTCACAGGGATGCAGGTTACAAATGCAGGGTAAATAACAGCTATAAACGTCTTGCTGCGTTACAGAGACACTTGAGACCAAGATTGAAGTCAGGTTGTCGAGACAGTTAAGTCAGTTCCTGCTAATTCGGACCTCATCTCTACAGCTTTACCAATTAGAGATAATCCCACCTTGAGACGGCCCTCTGAATGAGAGGAACAAGGGGGTAATAGGGAAGTGTGTCACTGTGTCAGACAGAGCCTTTAATGTTTTGCGACTTGTCAGGTGACTCACCTTCTGGGAGTCTCCTCCGAGGAACCACAGCATGGCCAGGCAGTGAGCCACCAAGGCAATCTGACCTGAGTTTTTCCTGTCCTCATTCTGCCAAAACTCCAGTACAGTTCTTAGTGTCTCATCTACTTCAGTATGCTGAGATTTATCTGATTGAAAGTCATGAATAGAGATAAAAAAAAGACTTAGCTTTCACAAAACAAAAACACGGGGAAAAAATATACAGCACATTCAACAAAGGTCCACATAAAACTATGGTCTGTCTGGATATTTTGTATAAGCATCTCCCATAGACATCCCAGAATACCAAGGAAATTGTATTGCTAACAGGCTTAGCATCATATGTAGGGCAGCAGCTGCGATAGAGGGTAGTGATGCGGATGCTGCACAGCCAGCGATGTGTCAGCACCGGCCTCTCGTCAGCCATAAGCATGCTCATGTAAATCTGGGGTTTAGCTTTCGGATTGCACAGCAAGACAGCTCAGCTAAATATAGAAGTGCTGACCTTATTTTATCAGTGATATGCTAATGGAGCTCTCTGCTGGTCACCAGAAGTAGAAAAAGATGGCTTGATGATGTCATTTTCTCATTCTCCTTTTTTTCCATTAAAAAAAAACTCTTCTTATTCACAACAGTAGGAATTACCAAATGATGGCTGGACATTTTGGATGTGGGTCTCGATGTGTTTGGTCAGATGGGTGTGCCAAGTTCCTGCCACCTAAAATTAGGACAATAGAAGACATACCTTGAAATATATAAAAAAAAAACAAAAAAAGACATTCAGCCCCATTATAATCACATTAACTCTGCTACATTTCACCTCAGAGAACATGGAGCAAGCAATGGCCGTCTTCCCCTGTTTAGCAAACACATCAGCCATAAGAAAGTGGCCCCTACAGGCGACTGTGCTATCCAGACCGTATGCCTCGCTGGCATGATAAATCTGAAAAATATCAAGGTTATTTGTTTTTCTTATGTGTTAAAAATGTATATATGTATCTGCCTATACTGGGGGTTTCAAGTAAATGATTAGTGCACATGACAAGAAAGAGACAACAATACTATACATCCTAAAATATGAATAAACAATGCATATCCAGGTCCATGTGGTCAGCCAGGGGCAGAAAAAAGCATTGCTTCCATTTTGAATGTCTCAATGTCAATAAGACTTTCAGAAAACTTGCACAGTTAAACATGTAGATATATAATTTAGGTACTTATGACATTTATGGTTACTCTACTAAATTTGACACAGACATCATTTGCGAAGTTGAGCAAGGCTGCATCCAGGTTTCCAGTTGCCACTTGGAGGCGGCCCAGGCTCCTGTGCAGCCTCTGGTAGATTTCATGACCACATTCTGGGCTCTTCAGCACTGCCCACTCTGCCTGGGACAGGAGCTCTGTCACCAGGGCTAGATTACTCACACCTAGAATAAAGGACATGCACCAAGACATACGAACATTGAATAACAAGGATAGAAAAATGAATCAGGCTGAGTGACTGTATCCTGACCAAAGTTGGCCTCAGCCAGCAGCAGGTAGGCAGGAATCAGATGGTTTGCACTGGGGCTGTGGACATCCATGGAACAGCGTAGACAGAACTGGGCAGCAGGCAGAGCCTCTTCGTATTTCCTCTCAGACAGTTTGCTCTGAGCCACTGACATGCAGATCCCCATCAGCTCCACCTAAGAAGAGTTCCACACACAAAGAAGCTAAAAATGAATTACTCAAGAAAATTCAAACCTATTAATGACCTCAGAGTTTAAGTTTTCACCACTCATGTTTCTTTCACATTTTTCTTAAAACTCAACACAAGAGCCACAAATTGTTTCATGACTTTCCATATTTGCTCTGAATGCAGGTCTTTACCTTTTTGAGCTCTACGTGGATTTGGTCAGCCTTTGTAAGACTGCAAAGCGATTGGGTGCGAATGGGAATGAGCAATGGACAGATTCTCTCATGGATCCCCGCCCAGTCAGCCTGCTGGTGCTCTGCATCACTGTGGAATTCAGACATTTTCTGTTTTAAATCATGCTGCTGAACAGATCACTTTTTCACAACCATGATCTGAACTTTTTGAATCGTAACACAGGAAGATTTGGTCATTTTGAAGGAACTCAATCATTATGTTTCTATACAGTATCTTTCACTGGATTTAACTTGCAGAGCTACTAATTCCTAGGTGAAGTGCTTTCCCATTTTGAAATATCATCAAGAGTGCACAGAGGGCACACAAATTGCATGCTGTTACATAACTAGTCTGTAATTTTGCTCATCTGGCTCCCTCATCTTCAACGTTCTCTGTAAACTGTCTTGGATTTCCTTGTGTGTGTCTGTGTGTGCGTTTTATTCTGCAGAGGACCATGTGTGCTCACTCCTCTGTGTCTGCGTTCGTTGAACTGGAGACAGAGGCAGCGAGCAGGCAGGAATCTGGCCACGTCACATCAACAGAAACACTGACAAGTACAAATCAAGGGGTCTTGTCGGGACATAGGGTCATGAGACTATATTTATGTTTTGCTGACCTTTTTTTTAGCACAATACATGTTTGAAAAACAAGTCCTTGCAAACATCTGCCAGAACACCACTCAGCAAATGTAAAGATAACCTAATTTGACTAATTAGTTTTGCCAGCAATGGTGAGGCTTATTTTGATCCACATTCAAATGATATAGAGCCACTAACAAAGATTTTGCTCTACACAGAACAAAAGCTAGGCCAGGTCTTAACTGACAGCCTGTCTAATGCACTTTGGGTTATTAATCATCTCTCCTAGTTTATTTTTTCAATGTGTAGAGTTAAGGTTTAAATTCTGCAAAATTCAACTAAACAGCCAGACTAAGAGTTGAATGGGAAGTCGAGGGGGAAGTTAGCACAATAAGTGGCTCTAAGCTCCCTTTAAGAAACTGGGTTTAGTGGCTCAGCCCTTCACATAAATCCCTGCAGGGAGGGATGTCACCACATGCTCCTCTTCACTCCCCACACTGTGCCAGCAAGGATTTCACTGAGCCCCATCTTGTGATCTGTAACTGAGTCTGCAGAGAGATCCACCGCTGCCAGATGTAGTTGCTCACATAAAAATGCTGATGTTGACCGACCAAAACAATCCAACAGACATTCATGGTCACATGAACCAAAAGAAAAAAAAAATAACTTTGTGGTAATTTCATTTCCAGCTGTTCCTTTTCCTCACTGACGTCGCAGTCACATGAAACTCCTTACTGCTGACGTGTTCTGGCGTTTCAGTGGCAAAAAGATACGGCAAACACTGCCACCTAGTGTCCACGGTGGAGGCATGGTTTTACAAAGTCTGAACAGAGTGCACAAGACTCACTTGTCTTTTGGGGTCAGTTACAAATAAATGTTGTTAGTCACACAACTCGCTAAAATAAAACTAATGTATGAAATGGTCAATCAAAGACCTTACCAGTAAAAGGTGACCCGACACTTCGTACATTGCAGGGTCGCTGGTCCTTGACAAAGTTCACAGAATTTTTCCGTTCCTCTGGGCAAGGCAAGAGGATAAATCTTTGACGTTATCCCACATGCTCCAGGTGTAACTTCCATGATTACAAGAGAGCCCGTTTAGATTCTAAAATTAGGTCGGAAATGACTTTTTCTGTATCGAAAAAGTTACATGCAATGAGGATTGTTGCTGATTGATCACCATGGCAACGACCCCAGCTCTAAGCACCTGCACAAGGCCAAGCAGGCCTTTGATTGGTCTGTGAATTGTAGTCACCGTGAAACATAAAATTTAAATCATGATCAAATATGAATATCCTTACAAGATGGGGTATCAAATGTGCATTTTATTAACATAGCTACATGAGAAACAATATGTGTTTTGAGGGTTACAACAATAGACTTGCACAATTATGTTTCATTGTGTGTTTCTTAAAGCAGCTGCCAAAATAAGTTCTACAAATAAGGCTTGAGTATACAACAGGTTATAGAGATAGAACAACAATGGACAACTAGGAACTCTTACGTAAAAAATGTCTCAAACAGTAGCTAAACATTTTGTATTGGACTAACATTGAAGGTTCAGTGTTTCCTGAAGAAAATCTTCATAATTATTTCAATATCTGAAACTTTGAAATCGTTATTATTTGTACCAAAGCAGGACCCAAAAATCTTAAGATTTGCAACTGTTAATCCTACAAATGAAGTACTCCTGATTTACAAACAGTAACGTTAGTTCAGTTCAATCTGTCAAACTCAGATAGTTGGATTTGCAATCACTCTTTCTTACGCAGGTGGATGTATATGAGCCCACTACAAAGCAACAATGGTACGCAAACCCAGGCCAGGATGAAACAGTAGCCAAAGCGTCCCGCAATGAGTTCTCTGGAGTCCTGGAGGATTTCTCTGTTATGTAGTGTGTAAATAAGAGCAGCAGAAAGGGCAGTTAAACCTGCAAAATAAAGCAAATGATATTTGTTTTGGGTAAGAGTGTGTGGATGGTATGCATTAATCTACATGACCTCTTTTCTATTTTATCAGTTAATGCCTTAATTGTACATTTTTCTAAGTAATCAGTGTAATACTATGAGTTCAAATTCAACTTAATTTGTATGGCACTTTTCAGACAAAAAAATGCAGTTCAAAGTGCCTCACAGAGGCTAAAAAACAACAATTAACAACAATAAAACCTGAACCTCCCACCCATACACCCAACCATGGACCCACACACACACAAAGACAAACAACTACCCTCACTCACTCACACATACACACAAGCGCACACAGTGTGAGAATTTAAGATATATCGTTAGAGAGACATGGCCTGACACTGAGACATTACGCGAGGAATGAGCTGCCTTTGGGAAACACTGGAGATAAAGATAAAAAAAGAAAAGAAAAGAAATAAAAGAAAATGGTAAAAAGAAAGACTAAAACCTGATGGACTAAAACAAGAAAATAACATTAAATGAACGGATAAGTAAAAGCTCTTTACCATGTAAAAGGGGTAAAAGAAGTAAAAACCTCTAAGACGGGAATTAAGAAAAAGACTAAGAACAGAGATAATTTATAAAATGACATAAAATAAATAAAAAAACTTTAACATTAAAATTAAACTTTGATTAAAATGAACGTGAACAGTAACCTGTATCAGGTTTTCCCCCACCAAAAAATAAATAAATAATAAAACCCCTCTAATAGTGAAGTTCAAACCTCAATTTCTACCATCTATTTCTATCCTCAAATATATCCCGGCTGTATGGAGACCAATCATCATTAGGCTTAGTCATCCATCTCACTTTCTAAATGCAGGATAGCCCTTTTCAAATGGTCTCTACAAATCGGCATATCAGCACTGCATTGTCTCTCTTAACAGTTACCTGCAAAGACTTGACACAGCCCAGTGAAGTAGAAGAGACCACCCTTAGACATGGTGAACAGTTGACCGAGGAACACCAAGAAGGAAACTGAAGAGAAGACCACTGACAGAACCATCAGAACCTGCACAGCCTGAAGCCACTCTGAGAATGAAAAACATGTCCACATCCAAAAACAGTATCACTCCTTCAGCTCTTACTGTTGGATAGCAGCTTTTATGTAAAGTCTCATAAATGGAGGCAAAAAACAAAATGGTTGTGTACCAGATTCTTTGGAGGATGAACACAGCCAGGTTCCTGTGATGTTGTCAAACCTACAGTTGTACCACAGGTCCGAGTTCTCCATGCCGTCCCACACCCACCAGGACTGCAAAAAGAGTTGAGCCACAGACCTGAAGATATTTTCTTATAAAATCATACTGTCAAAATGTACAACACTGTGTCCCAACTTTGACTGCTACCTTCTCCATGGTTGCAATAAACAGCATTGCCAGAGTGACAAGATGCAGCAGGGTCACAAACATTAGGAGGTACGCCATTTTCACATCCCTGCAGAAACAAACAAACCATTATAAAAGTAGGCTGACTGAGTGACTGAAGCCAGAATTAGTGTGGCCACATGAACATGTTTGTTATTTCTGCAGTGAAAATCAGAATTAGGGTAATTTCCTGTTTTCCTTTTATAGAAACACATATTATGGATAAATAAACATATTATGGAAAGTGTGAGTAGCCAAACAGAGGCTACTCTGTGTTGCATGAGACCACGCTTCAAAACAGAGTGCAATGAGTAATTTCTAAAACTTCCCTCTAACTGGTCTGTGTGTTACCATTGTACAGCATACCTGTAGAAATCATGGGTGGACCTACTGAAATCTAAATGCTTTAAGACATAATCATTCAATTGAGTTCTCTACCCCTCTGAATTGTTATTTTTCTACAGAGTGAGAGGTAAACAGTGTATAATTCCACTTAGATTTGGATTTCATTAAAGCTACTCTGCTCGTAAATTCTGAGGAAATTAAAGTCTGAGGCAAATCCCGTGATTTTCCAGAGTTACTAGACATTGTATTCCCACAAATAAATCACAAGTGAACAAACAGAAACAGTATCCAGTCTTTAGCTGGGTGTTGTTTCAATTTCCAGTGAGGACACATACAGTAAAAGATAAAAGAAAAAGAGGGAAATAGGGCAGGATGGAGAAGTCTGTGCAGATCTTTATCTATAGGAGAGGTCCATCTGGGTGGGTGGTGGTAGCTTGATTACAGTAAAATTGTGTCATTACTCTACTTTTTTCACCCAATCACAAATCAGTTGCACCCAAAGGTCTATCTTACTCTTGTAATGAAAATGCGACAAAAAGAGTGTGCTTCTTTGATTTGTATGCTACAGATGTGTCTACGCACAGCCTAAGTTTGGCATTTTGATGCAGTAATTACTAGAAAAACAAGCTTGTTTTGAAATCAAGTTTATCTTTTTATTTAAGAAGAAAGTCTTTTTAACTGAAACCCCATGAAAAGTAAAGAAATTATGTACTCACCCTGGATATGGCCTGTTTCTCTGAATTAGATGTTATGAGCAGCCTAACCACGCTACCACACTGTGCCCCTCTTGGTGGTCCTCTCCTTTCCAGCTTTGCCACACCCCCTATGTTTTTTTGGTCCTTCCATCCAAACTTTCCAGGGTGAACGCCTATTTCCTCTTTGCAGCACAGAGCTCCCTTTTAGCTCTGCCTCATCGTCCCTCAGTACCTCATCACCATCCAAAAACACTTAAGTGAGACCCACCCATGACCAGTGGAGGCACATGAAACCACATGAAATAACCTCTTCTCTTGAAATGCTGTATTTAACTATGTGGACATATACACGTATAACTATAGCTAAATATTGTGCAATCTACAAAACCTCTGCCACTGAGATATGAAAAATAAACACAATGCTGCAACATGCTTCACATTTCTACACATGAACAGGAGTATTTTGAGGGCGCTGGTCAAGTAGATGACATCTGGGTGGGACATGATTTGCAGATTTGACCTAGTTAATCTGGCATTGTTAAAGTTTGTAGCAGAAAACGAGAAGTTGTTCAATTTCAAAGTAACCATTAATCATTTCAGCCAACACTGAAGGAAAAAGATGAACAAACAGAAGGTCTTTGTGCACACTCATAATTTGAAACTATGAATAGATTCCATCTTAAACAAACAGGATTATAGTTCATTTTAACGCTAAAATTCTGGAAAAAATAACTATCTGAAGATTATCATGACACCTTCACATGAGCAAAGGTCTTGTGTGTTGTCGCCCTCTGGTGGTTGAGTACACAGATAGATGAGATTTTTAACACAATGCTGTGTTTTAAAAAAGTGTCAGACAAACTTGAGTTAGTATATGTTTATTCAAAGATACTCCCAGGATCCCGGACAGATTCCCCAAGACGAGACCAATACTGGAATCAAAATTCGGCCAACATAAATGTTATAGGGTCATATCTCGTGTAAAGTTAAGTTAAGCCAGTCGTATTACCAGTATTTGTGTTGTGTTTTTGTTTTCTTTTTCTCTATATTTTGAAGACCAACACAATCTCCATAAATGGTTGGTTGCAACTCCTCTGATATCCGTCCCCTGCAGCTACTGAATGGTACAGTCCGTTGCCTAGGCGCTAGTAGAAGCCAATTGACTCCGCCACGCCTGTCCTTCGCGCTTGGCTTTCTTGTCTCCTTTTCCGAAGGTGAGTAAAGCAGTCCACAGTATATTCAGTTTCGCTAATGCATGAGCGTTTAAGTCAGAGTGTCCAGCTTCCAGAACGAATATCTCACTGTGTTAACCAGTTGCTGCAAAGCAGCCCCCGGAGGAAGCTAATGGCTAACGGCGGCGAGCTAGCGTTAGCTGAATGTGAAGTAGTTGGCTGTCCTAGGGTAACTTTGGAACTAACTTTGCTAACCAGCTAGCGTTGCGTGTTGTCACAGTTTTCAGCATTATTCGTTTACTGGATTATAGTACAGGGTGGACAGCAACAGTGCTAAGTATTTACATCTTTATTAACATTATGCTTGCGTGACCAAGAGGAATGCAAGAGCTATTGTCCGACAAAAAAAAAGAAAAGCATCTCTTGCTCCTCCTCGTCAGACATTTTGGGGGAACGGTTTGCTTGAAAACAAAGATTTCTTAAGCCCCCCAGTACCGATATCATTGAAAAGGAAAATTAGTGCAGAATGCATTAAAGACTTGTAAAGGCAACGAGACGGATTAAATATAACCAGCATGAGGTTTTGCTTAGTCTCGGTTGATGCAGTTTTACGCTACTCATAAACTTCAGTGTCCGTCTACCTGTCATTACAATGTAAGCTGCAGGCAGGTCCCCACACGCCTTGGCAGTATTGTTCTGAAATATTAACATCTTTTACAGGGGCAAGTGAGGACAGAAGACGTTGTCATGGTTGTCGTAACACAACAACAACAATGAGAGTGATGAAGTTGGTCGAGCTGCTGATCTTTTACCACATCATTGCAAAATGAGTTGAGCTGTTCTGGATACAGTGCAGTACTTGGGTGTTAAGGAAAGTTAATCACTCATAGATCCACTTCATCCAAGTTAAGGGATGACCATGGATCATGAACAGGTAACACTTGTAACTATTTTACCTACACCTGTGTTTAAACACTCACTAATTGTAATGTTTTTTCATGAACAGAATTTAACACAGTTGTTGGCTGAGCAAGTCTACTTTAACAAAAATGTGTCATTTTCCTGCAAATGTCTGTAAACAGCTCTGGCACTCATCACTTACATACCTCAGTGTGAATATTTGGCCATGTGTAAGTACATCAGGCACGTGAGACCTGACACCCACCTAGTGACAATATGTTGCTGGACTGCTGATTGCTCCTGGTGTGCTTAAGATACTTCATGGGGGGCATGCTCAGGTTACAGGCCTTACAAAGTACAGTATTCAACTCAGCAACAGGTGTTCAGTGCTGGCATGCCATTCACATGCTGTGGCCATCTCTTGTATGTCAAACAAATGGATCAATTTTCAGCATGACTGACAACCTTGATGTTGAACTCTTGAGACAGGGCTGTAGTTTGCTGAATCATTTGCTGTACAGTTGTGTTTAAGTGATGCCTTGGGTGACTATACTTCAAACAAAAAATAAGGACATTTGATAACATATTGCCTTAGAATCATATCATTTTTATTCAAATTAAATTGGATTTGCATTTACACTGTCATAACAAGTGGACCTTGATATGACTAGATGTTTCGCACAGTACAACACATTCATTGGCATTCAAACCACAGAGTGTAGAGATATTTCACTTTTTTGAATATGTATTTATTTGTTTATCAATGGTTTATGTTTTAGGGACTTGCATTTATTGCATTCCAAGAAGGACTTTTGTAAATTTTGGGCTGTACCTGGACAAGACAGTTCATCACTCAGCATATAAATATAATACACGCTCACAACATGCTTGGATTTTTTAATTTGGCTCTTAGGTACAAACAGAGCTGGATGATAATGGCCCTCTGGGATCAGGTGTTGAGAAGCGGCAGTGCCACCTCTGTCAGCAGCAGCTTGACAATGAGGCAAAGCTGCAGTCAGCCATCCAAGAGCTGCAGACCATACGTACCCAGCAGGCCAATGAGATGCAGGAGGTGACCATGATTACATCCCTAAAACTTGCTTTCAATGTAGCATTGTGTGCTTTTCCTTATTATTAAACTATACAATATGATACTGTATTCCATGATTTTGGTGTGATAAGTGAAAAATTAATTATTGTCAGGTTGGAGGAATAAAAAAATACCAGATGCTCCGAATGATATTATAGTCACACCACAATTACTTATTGATTTCTGTCTGTCAGGTGGAGAGCTATGTTGCACATATCCGTGGGCTGCTGGAGGAGCGTGAGTGTCTGACTGCAGATTATGAGAGAGACAATGAACACTTGCGACAAGAGCTTCACCAAATCCGACAACAACAAGGTGATCTCAGAGAAAATGTGGTAAAGGGTTGAGATTCCCTCTGGGCTGTAGCTTAGCTGACTTCCTTTCAGTTCTTAGCTCACATTCCTCATTAACCATGAATGGTCTGGAACAGTCTCTTAATTTATCAGAGCGTATGTTCCTGAGTCACAAGTTGACCTGTGTTTATGCACAATCTGCTGCCATACAGCGATGCACTATTTTCTTGATGAAATAGTTTGTGTTGATTATCCCCTTAATGCGTACCTGGGTCAAAAATGACCTGATGAGGTAGTTTTTTACAGTGTCTTTGCAATGAAAATTTGTTAACACCTTATGTTCCAGCCATTCCTAAGAAAAATGTTTATAATATCATGTTATTCAAATTTTTAACATGTGTCCCGATACAACTTTTTGTTACTCTGATATTATACCGATGTTGTTGCTTTTAGTATCAGCCAATACCAATATTGATTAGAGATTAGCACAAAATTGTGCATGAGGTTTTGCACTCAGCTGCAACGTGTTTTTTAGACTTAAAAAAAAAAAAACTACCACACGGCTGACATCACTCTTCTCCCTGCTACTTTATTAGTGGCTTTGTACACACTTTTGCTCTGATCACGTGGGCTCTGCAAACCCAATAATAGTTTTTTTTTTCTTGCTGATATTGGACCGATATCCGATAGCAATATCGTATCAGGACGTCCCTAATTTCATGGAACTACAGCTATTGTTGAACTATCCTGGGCCCCTGTAAGTGGATCACAAATGATCTGTATTTCTTATGGATTGTGGATCTTTGATTCTTTTAAATGTTGGTTCTCGTTTGTCCTTTGAGCTCATTTAGCATCAGAAATAGTTTAACTCTGCTTCATCACCACCTCAGAGAGGCTGAAGATACCAGCTGAGATAACTTTTCCATAATGAGCTGTAACACAAACACATAATGATCCAATGGATGGGGTGTTTTTCTGTTGCTGTTTTTGTAATCTTTGTTTTTTTTTAATCAACAAAATCATCAAAATGTTTTTGAAATGTTTAAAAAAAAATCTTAGGGAAGCAATTATTCCAAATATGTTATTATTCTTGTGTGGAACAAAACATGATACAAGTTATTATTCTTAAAAATGGCTTCAAATACCCTCATTCTCATACAAGTCATTTCTGACCCAGTTATGGAAGAGCACAGAGTCCAATCAAGCATGCATCTAAAGGTTGGATGGTGCTCCGCAGTCTTGCTGGACAGGTTGTTGACCATTAATAACTTCATTCTTTTCCAGAGAGTCAGAACAAGGAGCTGGCAGAGATGTTGGCTCAGGAGGAGCTTGGGGAAATTGGTTTGAGCAGTCCCAGTGAGCAAGTGGCGTACTTACTAGTGGAGAGAGCCACTTTATTGGAAAGGCTGGAGGCAGTTGAAAGGAGATTGGAGGGTCAGAGCCTCAGTGACAATCTAAGAGATGACCATCACCAGGTAAAGAACGGACCTGCTAACATTAGAGACACCAAAGATCACTCTTATTCAAAAACCACACACTTCATATGTTGTTATTGACTTTCACAACATAAACTATGAACATGGAGCTTAAAGGGAAAATTCACCGACCCTGGCAAAGGGAAATTTCAAATGAACAGTTCCAAATGCTTCACAGTGGTTGTGGAATTTAATGGTTAACCAACCAAGGCAAATGTAGGGACCATTTAGATATGCTAAGTTAGTCCCATTATCTCTTTGATACTGTGATAGGAAAATATTCGCCACACAATGGGGGAGGAGTTGAGGCAGCAGAGGGAGGACCTGCAGAAAACCATAGATAACACAAAGGTGAGATGACTGTCCTTGTGCTCTTGCTGAGTTAAACAGCTTAATTAACTGAAGCTGAATCAAGTTTTTAGAGCAAAGCTCAAAGTGAGTTATCGGTTAAAGAACGCAGATTCCACGTAATGCTATGTTGTGTGAATGTGTACATACTGGTGTTCCTTGTCAGCAGTGTTCATCCCAGAGTCCATGGAAGAAGTTGTTTGGGCTGCGCAGGTCTGGTCAGAGCAAACACATTATTACTCCTGTAGGTTTTCACTCCGGGCTCAAACTAACTATCAACTAACACTCTTACCATGAAAAAGGGAATCACTGGCATGTTATGGACAGGCGCTACTTTTCAAAATGCATACCATGCCTGCACTGTGTGTTGACACTTGCATGACCGCTGTGTTACAGAAAACGCTTGTTCCGGTAATGAATATGTGAATATATTTGCCTGGTAACTGAGTAACTGAGTAATCACAATGAGGGAAACAATTATTGCATGTTACAGGTTACAGCATGTATCCTCTGGTCTCTATAAGAAGGTGAATGTTGACATGAAAGCACTGGTATAACTCAATGTCCTTGATTCTTTCCAGGCTCGCAGTTATGATGAAAATCAACCTCATAATGCATGTCTCTTACAGTAGCTTGTGGGGCTACTTACATCTTCTGCCTGACATCCAATCTTATTTTCTACCGCACTCCTTCCACTCTAACCATCCAGTGTTCATTCTATACTCCAGGCATACAGTGAGGAAATTTCCAGAGAGAAAAATGAACGCCAGCGATTGGAGCGAGACCTCGAAGAAGCATCCAGGAGGCTGGCAATGGCTCATCAGGACATACGCAGACTCACTGATGAGCTGGATGCTGCCAAGAACAACAACCTGGACCCAAGTGGTATGTTCAAAGAACCTGTAGTTTGTATCTCATAAAGAGTTATGAGTTCAGATAAAACTTTTACTAGAAAACACACGTTTTTTAATTTGTTCTATCAATGCAAATTGCCAAATTGTTTGTGAAGGTATTAAACTCAAAAGCATTGGATATCTATGAATGTCATGATTTATATCTGCTGCCTCAGTCCTTTCTAACCAGCTGTTTGCCTCTGGTGTGAAAAATGTTTATGTCAACATAAGGCAGCTGACCTATCTCCCCCTGTCTTCCAGCTACAGCTTTGGATGCTGTAACAGTTTTATGACCAATGATAATATTCTAATGTAGTATTGGCAGGTTTATATAAGTTTCATTGAAAGAATGTATAAAACCAGACACTTATGAAGACAAAGGCAAGCAGGAAAAACATTTTTGTTTTGTAGCAGTAAATATTTGCTATTAATATCTCAGGATCTGAGCTACAGGGAACGGTTCAAGAAGTAGAGAACCTGAGGAAGGAAGTGGACAAACTGAAACACTGTGGTAAGACAGATGTCAGTGTGTGATTCACAACTCACTATGTTCATTGAGTTCATGCCACATTTTTGGAGATGTTTTCAAAGTACTTGAACAATCTTAATAAAGAATCTATGTTTGGATTGTGTTTACCAAAGAAATTCTGACATTTTTTTATTACCCCTTCGTACCTATTTTAGTATTTTGTCTCTGTTTTTCTCCCTTGAATTTGGCTGGTCAAAATTTTTTCTTTGAAAATGAGACAATCTCCGTCCTCCTTTAAATATCACACCATATTCCCTTATTTTTACTGTTACTTTTTATTTTCACAGTTCATAAGTTGGAAATTCTGTTATAAATCTTAGGTGTTTTTGAAAGGCTCGAGCAGCTGCTACATACATCAGTGGTCTGGCAAGAAATTGAGCCAGTAATCAATCTAAAATAACAAGAAAGATAGTCAAAGTCAAAAATGTGACATTAATCTGAGCAGAAAGTCTTATTAGACAGAATAAAATATCCGTACGGTTTGCTTTCAAGAACTAAAAAGAGCTCAAAAGGTACAAATAGATCACCTCAACTGCCACAGAGCAAGTCTCTTAACACGTGTACATTATTGTATAAATAATTATTATAAAAAGTATAATGGATACATTTTTATAAATAAAAAATGTATGAGGAAGACACAAAAACAATCTCAGATGAAGTGTATACAAATGTGCTCCATGTTGTGTTTCTCCACAGATATGATGAAGCTGCAGCAAGCCAAAGAACAAAATGACAGACTGGATGCTGAGAACAGAGCTCTGAGGGAGAGGGTTCGCACATTAGACTCTGAAAAGAAAAATCTTCAGGCTCAGGTAATTGTTTTTGCTTTTTGATTCATTTTTAAAACAAACCTTCAATTTGATGGGTCAATTTGAAGAGTAGTTTGGTATTATTTTTGTTACAGTTGGAAGTAAATCATGATGATCCAAAGGACAAGAGCCTTCACAGTGATCCTCAGAACAACAAATGGCCTGGCTTGTCAGACCAAGACAAGGACTGTATTCACAAACGGTATTTCAGAACTTCAACCTCTGCATCCTTTTTACTAATATGATCATTTAAAGTTCACCCAAGCTGGTACTGCATTATCTTTCAACTGTTCACATTTTTCAGATGTCGGGAGGCAATGGAGGACGGGCTTGTACAGGTGAAGGAATTACAACGACAACTCCAGAAGCTCAGAAAGCAACAAGAGGAGATGGAAGAAAGGAACGAGGAGCTGGAGGCGCTACTGGGTGAGGCGCAGAACTCCAGCAAGGAGGAGAGACACCGACACGAGGGAGAACTAGAAGGACTCCACAGAAAGGTAGGTGGAACTAAACTCTGGTTTAAGTATTTACTTCTCAGTAATGTGGTTATGTCAAAGACCTTTCTGTAGAACAGTTATCTCTGCAATGGTAAGCAATCATCTTTACTGGTCATTGCAGATCAGAAGCCTTGAGACTGAGCTGAAGAAACATGTAGCCCCAGAAAAAATGATGAAGAACGGAGAGGATTTAAAAACCACAGAGTCCTTCCTGCAGCTGGTAAGATATCACTCTCATTTTAATTAAGGTATGGATTGCCTAGGATGAAATCATAGATTCGGATTACAAAACTTTTTTCTAAGCTTCTCCTAGGGAACAAAAAGTTTGAAAGTAAATTTTAATTGTGTTCTGAATCAATAAGAAACAAGACAACTGATGTGGCCAAGACAGACACAGGCATTTATTTGAGCTGTAAATAAGGTGGAAAAATATAACAGTTCTCCAGGTTTGACTATAAAAAAATCTCACAAGGACTTGAATAATTGTACAAGTAAAACAAAACCTGTTATCGTGCTATAATACTCTAAATAATGTTAAACGAGATAAAAGATGCATCAGAAGAGCATCAAATGGGTCACAGTAAGTACCAGACTGTAATGCTTTGCCTTCCCCTGTCACTCTGTCTTAAGCACCTCCGAGACAGCAGCCAGGAGAGACTTGCTCTGCTAGAGGCTCGTTTGACAGAAGAAAAGGACTGGAGGAAACAGCTAGAGATAGACCTCAGTGCTGCCCAGGCTGCCCTCAAAAAAGACAAGGAGGTGAAAAATACACACAACTCTGTTTTTTAGTAAAAGAAAGTGTTCAAGCCAAAGCTGAAGAAAATGTAACTTTTACCTATAGTACAACAAGTGGTCCTGAAACAAAAAAGTTTGTTCAATGTCTTAAAGAGATATTCCAGCGTAAAATTAACTTAGTCAAACACACTGTAACACTGATTTAGACATCCCCCTTGAGAGATGAATGTCGCTGACCGCTTGTTTCTCTAGTTATACCAACTTTAGTAACGACCCCACGATAGCAATACACAGTGGTCTCAACCAAAAAGCCACTCTTTAGCCACAAATAATGCTAAGAACAGCACCTAACCTCATCAACAGATAATATAGGGTCCTAGCCACAGCGCTAGCCATCAAACTTCTTTTTAGTTTTGCCTGATTTCTTTCGCAAAGAGACTAAACACAACTCACCCTCTCTCCTCTAGCCGCTTGTATGTGGGGGAGCCCTGACGAGTCGATCACTGAGTGCAGCAGAGTTTCACAGCTCAAGGAAGAAAATTTATGATTATTACTTCATGGAAATGCAATCAGAGTTTTTGTGCATTTTGTATGTGCACAGCAGACACAGTAGTTCTTCTGCCTTAGCGTCTCAGTCTGATTGCATTTCCATGAAGTAATAATCATAAATGTTCTTCCTTGAGCTGTGAAACTCTGCTGCACTCAGTGATCGACTCGTCAGGGCTCCCCCACATACAAGCGGCTAGAGGAGAGAGGGTGAGTTGTGTTTAGTCTCTTTGCGAAAGAAACCAGGCAAAGCCAAAAAGATGTTTGGTGGCTAGTACTATGGCTAGGACCCTATATGTACTGTTGATGAAGTTAGGCTGAGCATTATTTGTGGCTATAGAGTGACTTTTTGGTTGAGGTTTGCACATGGAGACGTAGACCGCTGTGTATTGCTATTGTGGGGCCATTACTAAAGTTGGTATAACTAGAGAAGCAAGCAGTGGGCAACATTCATCTCTCAAGGGGATGTCTAACTCGGTGTTACGGTGTGTTTGACCATAACTTAAATTTACGCCGGAATATCCCTTTAAAACCATTCTCTAATTACAAAGTTAGAAATGCAAGTCAGCAGCTAATACCCTCATTCTGTTCACTAAAGGCTTTGCAGATCAGTGAGCAAGAGCGGAAGAAGCTAAGACTTGAGGTTAACAGCCTTCTGACAGAGTGCCAACAAGGGAAGACAATCATCAAGAGCCTCACTCAAGTCAAAGGGGAGAAAGCCATACTGGAGGACAAGGTTAGTTCATTTTAAGTGTGCCGGCTTTCACTTTCATCCTGGATACTTCTGAATGTCTTCTTAATCATAATGTGACTGAAGATCATATTTCTACCACCAGTGTTGATGATCAAACAAATGCATAATTTCTGGAGAAGCATGATATTAAAAAGAATCCATCTGACGGATGATCCCGAAAGATAAATGAGATTTACATGATCTGAAAAATGTTCAGTGTCCTGTTCTGTCTTTAAGTGAGGTTCTCTTGGTTGATTTTATCCCTCTACCTGACAGGTGACTCAGATGGAGTGTGCCCAGAGCCGGCTGCAGAGCGAGCTGCAACGCTACAAGGACAGTAATCGGACCCAAGAGAACCCCAAGGAAAATAGGCATCAGGTGGAGCAGCTGCAGGAGCAGGCTGACAGGCTAACTGCTGAACTCAGCAGCCTCCAGACAGCACACAATACCTTGAGGTTGTTATCAGCCTTGAGTTCGTAGTCTAAAAAGTACTGGCAAACACAGTAAGAAAGTTCTTGACCATACTTGTTTTGCGTGTTTGTGTATGTTTTCCAGGGAAGAGATGGTGACTGAGCGGCTGCAGATGGCTGAGCTTCAGGACAAGCTGAGCACCAGTGTCCAGGAGAAGCTGAAAGCTGAGGGGGAAAAAGAGAGACTGGAACTGCAGATCCAGCACCTTAAAGGCCAGCTCAAATGGCATGAGGAGCAGCTCTCTTCGTCAAGGGAAGCTCTGGTGAGCAGGAAAGAGCTGGACCAGCACATCGCTCACGCAGAATCCAAGCTAAGTCCAGCGGAGAAGACCAAGGATGAGTGCTTGGATCAGGTAACAGAACTTCAGTGTCCACTGATCAAGTGATTTTGTAAAGTTTTGTTATGTGAAATCATGCTGTGTTTTTTTTTATCATTTCAATGTTCGGAAATTGATACAATAGTGTAGTATAAACAGTATAATCCTTGTTATAATCTTTGTCTTGCTGTACAAGGAATTTTTTGACACGATCATCTTTTATTAAGGTGTGTATATGTGTGTGTGTGTGTGTGTGTGTGTGTATGTGTGTGTGTGTGTAGCTTGCCGTACTTAAGCAGGAGTTAAACTATCTGAAGTCCAAGTTGGAGGAGCAGCGTCAGCTGGCTTCACAGCATCAACTGGCCTTGCAGGCTCAGGTCAATGAAGGGCAGGCACACATCAAGGTACTCTCATGATAATATCTATGCTGCTCTTTAATATGCTGCGTTAGAGTTACCCTGGAAGTCAGAAGTCTGAGCTGAAAATGACGTCACACCCGAGTTCCCAGCGTTTCAGTTGCCAAGTTGGAAAAAAGCAAGATTGGAGGCCTGAAACGAGATGGCTACATCTGCGAAAGTTATTTTAGTCCTTGCCTTGTCCGAATATAAGGCATCCTTTTTTCAGGCCTCCGATCTAGCTTTTTTCCGACTTGGTAACTGAAACACTAGGAACCCGGGTGTGACGTAATTTTCAGCTCCGACATCTGACTTCCAAGTTAACTCGAACACTGCAATAGTCATTATCTCTTTTTAAATGATTTATCTCTTGTATCTTCATTTTTCATGTTGCTTGTGATATTGATGTGGCTGCCTCATGTCTTCAAATTTAGGCATTTATTTTGCGGTTTGACACACTATTTTATCTATAGCTTTACTGGTTTGTAGAAAAAGTTTATAATAAAGGTTTATATTCACATTAAATTCTGATATTGGCCAAAGTGCCAGGTCCCCCATTTGTGGAGAATAGAGCATGTGTTTTGTGGACTTGTTATTAATGCTGTTGGGGCAGGTGGGGTTTGACATGATCATTTGTATTGCTCACAAAAAACTGTCAATATCTCTCATTTCCCTCTCAGTCCCAGGACTCAGTGCTGAACCAGAAAGCAGAGGAGGCTAAACAGATGAAGCAGGACGTACAGAGGGCCCAGAGCCTTTTTAGTTCAGCAGAGCGAGAGCTGCGCTATGAGAAGGAGAAGAACATGGACCTTAAAAGACACAATACTTTGCTGGAACAGGAAAAACTAAAGGTTGGAGTCACGCTATACAAGTGTACATCTGGAATTTCCCCTGCACATAGATGACATGTTTGACTTTACTGTTGTCTTGGTTATCCTCTTTGTCAACTCACTTTGAAGTTCCATGAGCTAAACTAAACTGCAAAACTGTGAACTTTGGCACAGCAGAGGAGGAAGGTGTTACAGACAAATAAAGAACCATCAGTGTAGTTAAACTTCTGATGATTAGCATTGCCTTTTTGTGCTCACATTGTCCTGCTTGCTTCCTTCAGCTGTGTGCAGAGCTAAAGCAGGTCCAGGCTAAGCTGGTCCAGGTGGAACAGAGCCTCCAGTTCCAAGAAGCTGACTGTGAACACCAGCAGCAGAAAATTAGGGAACTGGAGCTGGAACTTGCGCGGAACTCAACAGCCCGCTGCACCACTTCTAGTTTGCAAGAGGAGCTGCAGGCAGAGAGGGCGCGGCTGATCACTGCTGACAAGAAGGTCAGTACTGGCATAACTCTACAGTTTTACTACAGTTTAGAGTCGGTGCCTTTCTTAATCTTGCATATGGTTACCATATAGTTAAAGTCTTACTGTTAGTTGAATGCTCTTTTAAATGTTGGTAAACCTGGAGTTCACAGGGATAAATGCTAACCAATATGATCATAGAAGTTGTTCTTGGTTCCAGTCCAGTCTAATTTAGGCCAGTTCACTGACTGAGACCCCTGATCAAGTTAAACTTGTTGTATAATTATGACCATGGTTGTTTCCACTTTTTATTTACTCTCCTTTGTTAAAGCTTTGCATCGTTGAAATCCTATCAAACTTAACTTTCAAGACTTTGATGGGTATGGTTTTCCACCATCCTTGATATATGTTATGGCAGTGTATGAAATTAAAGACACGTCATAATAAAAATGATTTTCATGACCTGAATTCGATAATACTTAATATTGAGGGGCCAGATCAAGACATGTCCTGAAGTTAAGAAAACCTTGAGACATCATTCTGATACTCAGTACCATTCATGAACATAAAAGAATGCCTCTGCCAGAGACACCTTAACCCTGGGCAACTTTGGAGCGCATGTTGTGCTCATCTCACTGAGTGAAACCAGAAGTTTTGTTCTGATGGCAGGTGTTGGAGTTGCAGCAGCAGCTTAAGAGTGCCCAGCACCAGCTGCGAGTGGAGGAAGCTCGAGCTGGCGAGAGTAGTCGACTAGAAAGGGACAGTAGGGATCTATCTGATACCTTGTCAGCCCTAAGAGCCAAGCAGCAGGAGGAGCATATTACCAGGTAACAAAAGCTACAGTGCTAAAGTAGAACTTGATCCCATAGGTATTTCCCTCATTTTTCTATTAAACTTTGTAAGTCTAATGGCAAAAGAAAGTTCATATTTATTTGTAACTATTCCTCACCTCTATTTCCTGAATTTGTCCTCTCAGGAAGCTGTTAGAGCAGCGAGAGGAGGAGCTGCAGAAGCAGTTGCGTTCCCTCAGGCTGAAAGAGGCCTCCATGACCCAGACCAATGCAGAGCTCAGCCACCGTGCTCAACAGCTGGACACACGTCTGGCCATCCTGGAGGCTGAGCTTAGCAAGGCCAGAGAAGAAGTAAGGGACAGTTCACCACGGCATATCCAACGTGACATAGATTGCAGGGTCTTGGACACCTTTGGCACTTTTCTTCACCAAAAGTTTCCGTCTCTGTGTTCTGATGCTTTTCTGCTATCACTTAAAGCTGCTTGACTTTTTGCTTGGATTCTTATAAAACCTTTACACACTTCACATTATACTGACTGCTCTTTCACTTCTTATGTAACAGATTAACGAACACCTTAAAATTTAAAGTTTATTTTCAAATCTATGTTTCCCACATAAACAGTGCCTTGGTTGTGATGATATCATAATCAAACTGCTTCTATACATCCTGCACCCTGCATTGCTGCTGCAGCTTATGGTGTTTCCCTCCATCTAGATCCTAGCTTTTGTTGTATGTACTCTCAGATGAATGTTGCCTTGGACGAATGCTTCAGCTCAATGAAAGTGTAACATTGTAACATATCCTCCAGGTAAGAGAAACTCAGAAGTCCAGCAATAAACTACAGGAAGACTTGGGGTCCAGCCAGCAGGAGTGTGACAGACTGCAGGGGGAGCTGCAGCAAATTCTTCTACAACTAGATACCTATATCAGGTGAGGCAAAACATTTGCAAAGATGTTGGAATGAATGCAATGTAATTATATAAACTCTAGCTAACAAGCTACTGTAGGCATACACTGAAAAAGTAGTTTTTGTATTTGAATAAGCTTATATTTCTCTGCTCAACCAACCAGAAAGTACAATGAAAAGCAGAATCAGCACAAGACCAAGCTGCGTCAGGCCAAGCAGGTCTTCCTCAAGGCCACTGCACAGAGGGACCACATCATCCAGAAACTGGAGAATGACCTGGTGTTGGCCTCCAGCCTCTCACACAAGGTCACACACATGATACAGAACTCTGTTTTGGCCCCTTCAAAGAATTTGAAGTATCGCCATGTCTTAAAAAAACTTCATTTTCTGTCATCCCCACTTGGATGGGTTTTAGGAGAAAGAAAGGATCAATGCAGTGATGGGGGAAAATGAGAAGCTTTTGGAGGAGAGGAGGGAACTTTTGCAGAAGATGAGTGAGGCAGAGGAAATGGGCAGCAAAGGCATGAGGACTGCATCTACTGTCCAATACAGGTATCTTATTAAGGACACTAATGAGTGATTTAAACCCACACTTTTACTAAAGTTTCGTGAAAATCAAGGATTATAAATCTGAATCTAAATTACTCCAGCTGGAGTTTCCACTGCTGTTAAGAGTGATCTGTTTTAACCAAGAGTTAAAATGTAACTGTCATATAAAACATCTATTTTGTTCAATTACAAATTGTTTAAAACAAGGCAACAGTGGTTTGTGGTTTTTATTTTGGGATGGACTTAGTTAATGTTTATTATTTCAAGCTGTACTATCAACTTTATCAGAGGAAAATTGAATTTTAGTAGATAAACGATCCTGTCTTGGTTTTGGAGACAGTTTTTAAGAGTGTGAATCCAAATCTGTCTTTCAGGGTCGATGTACTGGAAATGGAGAACCGACAACTTCAGGATCGAACTCTGAAGCTCTCCAATCAAGTCAGTTCCTTGGAGCGTGCCCTGAGGAACGTCCACTCATGCTACAGTGTTGAGGTAACATCATGGAGATCCGTTTGCGTAAATGGGACATGCCACCCAAAACTTACAGGTTTCCTTTGTTTTAAAACAGCCCATAAAGCATTTAAGATGTGAGATGAAGAATTAGTAAACTAAGTGTTTGCTGTGGCTGAAATAAATGGTGCAAGGTGGTGGACTGTCACGGGAAAGGTAAGAGAAGCAGCTTGACCTATTGTAAAAAGGGTGACGTGTCCCTTATTTAATTTTCATACAAGTTTGATGTGTTTTGAACCGAAATGACTCAATTCCTCGACAGAATGCCAAGAAAGTGCTGCCCTCTGAAAGCCTCTGTGATGGACTCCTGCACACATCATCACTCAGGTAAAACTGCTGTAAAATATTGTTTTGTTGCAAACATGTCTTTTCATATAGGAAGCTGCTTGTGTACTCTCTCTACTTTATCTCACCAAATCTCTGTCACCAGTCTGACCTCTGGTTCTTGTGACCCGCTTGACATCTTGGACGCGATCTGTCGTGTGAAGGTTGGTGAGCGTGTGGTGGTGGACGCCACTCGAGCCACTGTTTCCACACACCAACCATCAGAGCAGGGCTACCTGAATCTCACCTCTCCACTGGTTCCTCCTGACTCAAAAGGAATAGAGGAAAGCACTAATGACACTGACCAGGTATGAGAGGATGTGGAGAGGTACAACACTATGTGTAATGTCACATGGAGACAAAAACCCGAATAAAGAGGGAAATGCAAGGAGAATGCAAACAATTGTTTTAAAGGGGCAGTAATAATGAAAGGGAGCTTCCACTTAAGTTCTGCTCAGGGTGATGTATTTCTAATATGAAACAGATCCTTGTTTGGCTGACAAGATATATGACTGATCTGGGTCCATGTGAAAAAAAATGATAAGATATTGTAAAAAAAAAAAAAGAAATTTAAAAAGCCACTCGAAGTGTCAGTCAATTATAAAGCAATGTTTTTTTTAAGACAACAGTTTGTAACATGGGTGGGTTTTTTTTAATCATTATTATTTTATGAACACATGGCACGATCCTGTTTGCATGCACAGATGTGTTTCATGCTGCCTGGGAAGTTGGCCAGTCATTTGCATCAGCACACCAAAACAAATCCAAATGTGTGAAAGCCTTATGGGAATGATAATCATCTTTTTTTTTTTTTTTTCAAGGTAATAGAATGGTACAATATATGAAAACTTCCTTCAGCAAGTGTCCAAAAGCCTATGGGACACTACCTGATGGAGAATTGAATGACAAATGTTTAACTTTAGCACTTTATAAAACGTGTTTACATTTTGGTAAAACGTAGCAATGCATAGAGCAGTGGTTCTTACAGTAAATTGATAGTATGTTTTTTTACACACCTCTGTCAATCTTAGAAGTTTTTCAATGAAAAATGCCTCTCATGATGTATTGTGGTTATGCTTTCACTGTGTCTAAAGTCTTAGCATCACATCAGTGTTTTACAAGTTTACATAATAGTACTTTTACCATGTGAAACATGATTTTTGTGATCCTTGAGAAGCTGGTCCATTCAAGAATCGTTACCAGTACTGTCTGACAACACAAGCCGCACCAGTATTTACATTTTACAGCTCCTTAGTTTTTTTGTTTGAAGCACCAAAATATCAGGAAACCACCAAATTCCAAGAGGTTTCTTTCTATTTCAGGCGTCCCAAGCTATTTTCTTTTCTTTTTTGTTAACCTCAGCGTCTCCTCCAGAGAAGCTTAAATATAAAGTCCTTTTACCCATGCGCAAAGAGATGTGTGACATGGCAAGAAAACACACAATAAGGGTATGAGAATTGGAGAAAGATTATAGATGCTGTTTACAAGAAAGTGGCTGTAAACTCTACATAAACGTAAGATCAGTTACCATGAAATGAAGATTACAGAGGAGGATATGGATCTAGCAGGTTCTGTAACCATGGTAGTTAGGTTTTGTTCTTTGCTGGTTTTTATGGCTGCAGCCATGTCTGAATGGAAGTGCTCTCCTTATTTTAAAATATTTAATGCCACTACATCGTCTTGTAGAGTTATACACTGTTATTTTGTCCTTAATGTGCCTAAATGATGAAGTTTTTAACTTTATCTTGCTGCTGCATCAATACATCTAGTAGTCTATTTGCATCAGTCATAACCTGAGACATTATCTACAAGAAACTTGTATTTGTGTAAATAGAATTTTCAAATAAAATATTTTCTTTAATAAAAGTGAATACATTAACATATCAGTCTTGACTTTTATCGTCTTGATTTTTATTTACATTGTATTAATGGTATGCAAACTTTTTCATATGAACCAAGCCATCAGTGCTGAGTTTATAACAGTCTGTTTATTAAACAAGGTAAAGATACAAAGCTTTTTTCCTTTTTTAAACATTGATAACCTTAGTTTAACTTCTCAGTCTTGGCTGTGCATATTTAGTTGTCTAGAAACCGTATATGAAACCACAATGCAAGACAGGAAAAAGTGTAATAAATCTACGCAATATCATTTCATAGAGAACATGGGTTAAACAGTTATCATACAGATTACAGCTCAGGAACTCCATGCGGAAGGATAAAAATAAAGATGTTTACACGACTGAATACTGCAGAACACAATACAGAGTAATGGAAATGGGATGATAAAACAGTTAAGGCTTACATGTAAATAACTGATATAAAACATGAATATTAATAACATACGAGTAGACTAAAATAATTACAGGAAGTTCTTACATAAACCTTTACAAAATCCAGACAGATCATGATTATGAAAACTTAAAAATAGGAACTTTAAATGAGTAACATGTTTTACAGTACAGCAACATGTACACTTTCCCGTTATCTCAAAAGAGGGAGGAGGTTGAAGAGGCAGGGTCTGTTGTTGGCGTAAATGTTTTCAGGCCAGTGGCTTGAGTAATAAGTTTTTAATCTTTTGAAAACATACTATATACTGTATATGTATTTTACATTATTCTCAGTTCCATTTCCAACGTGACGTCAAGCTGTAGCACCTTTTCTGAAGTGCCCTGAAGAACACAGGGTACCCTATTAGTACCATCCAGAGGTTAAAGTTACAGTAAAAATACAACAAAATACTGTGTACATCAAAAATAAAAAGAATACTAATGAGAAAAAAAACTGAAAAGGAGAGGCATCACCTCCACATAAATTCATGATACAGACATATGGAATATGACTTATACTGCAGTTTATTCCAAATGGGTAAAGCTTATTGAGATAAACAAAAATACTTAAATGGGTCAGAGTAGCTGTACAGTGACTTCACATTTTGGTCCAATGTTTATCTGATGTCAAATGTTAAAAACCACCACTCCATTAAAATGTCATTTCATTGGAGTGTCTCTCAAAATTAGGCCTTATTAGAGCACAGCTGGCACTGACACATGTGCAATTTTTCCACCTCTAACACTAGTCAAAGCTTAACTGGGTAAAAAAAAGCAAACACACACTAAAGCAAGACTAGCTTCCTCTTAAAACCTCGGCAAGGTTCATATATGGCACTAGTACATAGGACATGAGGAAAACATAATGTCTAAAGCAGTGTTTCTCTGATCATACATGATGATCATAAAGGTGCCATAAAAGTGAACATCAAATATGGAGTGAAAGATTTTGGAAGTTTAAAAAAAACAAACATTCATCTTTTTCCCTTACATTTTGCTCGATTTTTGCCTCCCAAAGTCAATACTACAACTTTGTAATACAATCATTATATGTTTTAATTGTCATCTACCGATTGCCTTGCTTCAATTTTAGATGACCCTGTAGATGTGAGTATAAACAAAGATAGTAACAGAAATAGACTGTTATTAGCACACAGTCAGTACTCTTAGCTGCCATGAGTAATGCCCTTTGGCATTTTCCATCCGACGAGATTGAAACAATTTGAGCCAAAACCACAAGGCCGAAAAGTGCTTAAAGATTATCTTTGGATGTCTCCAGAATACACCCAGCAAACATTTTTTCTACTTTCTCAATTTTTAAGGGCAAATATCACCTGGCACATTTTAGGAAACCATTTAATGGAGGAGGGGGGGTCCTAACTATATTATATCTAATGGCCAATGCATCCGGCAGTTTACATGACGCTTACGAAAGTGCTTATTTAATCTGACGCAAGACATTCTTTGCCACTCGATCCTCCAAACAACATCTAGCTGTTTTTGTTACATTCACAAAATAACGCTGTGCTCATTTTTGACAGACGGCCTTTGTCGTGATGGATGGAGGCAGCCTGTTCACTGAATGCTTATGTCAGCTGTCATAATGCTAATGTAAGCCTTATGTAGATGGCTGTGGGTGCAGGGCCTCATAAGCTCCAGCCTAAGGTAGACTCTGAATGCGACCAGCTGCCAAGCGGCCGAGGAGCTCAAATGAGGGAAATGCGAATGGGGATGCTGGGGGACTCGGTCCTTTGAGGCGACTGATGGCTCACTAGGTGCTCCACCACTGTGTGTTTGGACATGTGCTTCATAAGGTAGGTCTCCTGCAGGCACGAAGAATGGTCCAAAATTACAGCACATCAAACCAACAGATTGTACAGAAGTGAAAATCACTGTCATTTTATTATGAGACCACTAACCCTCATATTAACTCACAAAAATCACGAGAATACATGCCATGTTACAACGGCGTTGGATTAAGCAATAAGTAAGAGCACCAAAAGAAATAACCCTGCAGAGAGTTAAATAAAATATTATGTTTGAACTGGAGCTTTGCAAACCAAATTTGGTGATAGTACTGCTGGCTTTGCATTGATGATAAATAGGCATTGGACTGACTTATAAAGCTCTTCCTCTCTCTTCCTACCACTCTAAGATGACGGCAGAGGCTGCTGTGTTAAGTCCCCACCAGTAAGTAACACTTATTCTTTACTGACCAATGGCACCTTGAAGATACCTGGATGGTGTCTTCACAAAAATGACCATGACAGAAATTTTTTCTTTATTGGACTTGTATAGATTATAAACATCAGTATAAAGGTACTGATCACAGCTTTCCTTAAATGAAGATGGGAGGAGGTATAATAAACATGTTGATCCAAGTTAGGTCAAATATTTACTTTGTAATCAAGAATATTTGTTTTAAGCTAATCGGTATTTGGCAGATCTGTCGGTGCCATAATGTTACAAAACCCTTTTTTTCTTTCCAAGCTTCAGTTCACATTTGTTTGTAGGGAAAGTTGATGTGTTCAACATCACGAACAGGAAACAGAACTTTTTTCAGCCCAAATGAGGTAAAGGCTGTCATCTTATCAGTCGTATGAAGGGCCTTTCTGACACACGTGGAGAAAACAAACACACGAGCTGTGGTTTACTCACTGAGGTGTATGCTCGGCCACACATGCTACAGCAGTAGGCCTTAGCGTTTTTGATGGCGTGCGCTGACAAGTGGATCTGCAATGACGCGGAGTCTGAGTAGGCACGGTAGCAGTTAGGACATTTATAGGGCTTGTCTTTATTGTGCTGCCTCTGGTGAGACTGTCGAGGAAGAAACACAGACTTTGGTGAGAAATTAGTTAAAGAAATGAGCCGGTTCATGTCTGGCCTGGGTATTGCAGGACTTCGCGGTAAGTTGTACTGACCTGGAGGTTGGACAGCTGGGTAAAAGCCTTTTCACATCCAGGGTGAGCACATTTATAAGGCCTATCGCCAGTGTGGATTCTGTAGCAAGAGTACAGGTTTAAAAGTCAGCAAAATCACACAAAATGTTGTGCTGCACAAAAACAAGCAGAAGTGTTTAAAACAAGGTTGAAAAGCTTCAACAATAGATTCCATGGTTAAAACTGATACAACCAGAGAACAGAGAGAATTAAAAAGATTTGCTCATCATTCCCCAAGTGATTTGTTAGAAGAGGCTGTATGCCTTAACAGCTGGTCATTTGAGAGTCTCCCAAAGCTGTGTGTCAACAGCTGAACTGACCTGGTGTGCTGCTGCAGGTGCGACAGCTGACGGAAGGAGTTCTCGCAGTAGGAGCAGTGGTAGGGTTTGATCCCCAGGTGGATGCGCAGGTGCTGGGACAGGTAGGAGGCGTTAGCGAATGTCTTAGAGCAGTGGGGACACTTGTGGGGTTTAGCCTCCGTGTGGGACTTGGAGTGGATCTGCATCTCAGACTTGGTTAGGAAGGTAAGTGGGCAGACTTTGCATCTAGGAGGCAAAAAAGGAAAAAAGGCTGGTTTAGGATCTGCTTCGTGCCCGAACCATGACTTAAGTCTAGTTTAACATGTTTTTTATCAACAGTGTTTTAGCAGCAGGAGAAATAATCAACTCTGCCAACAGACAGCTAGACCATTGAGACTATGATGTGAAGACCTGCCTCTAAATGAAAACAGGTAAATAAAAAAAGAAGACTTTGCTGTATTTAGTAAAAGATTTATAAGGCTTAGAGGGAATAATAGTAAAAATGGATTCAAGGCCACAAAGTGAGTCAAGTGAAAAATAGGCGACCATGAATATCTTAAGATACATCAACGGATCTCAGTAATCTACAGAATACTGTAAACACCCACGGTGAACGCCTACTGATCTATCTGAAACATAATGAAATATTTCTAATGGTTTTGCAGGACTGTCCTCTCAGCACCCTGTAATGTAACAGAACTGCACAGCATTAATAGCAGCATCTAGTGCCCAACCTGTAGGTTTTGCCCTCTTTGGGTGCAACAGTGACACAGCCTTGGTCAGCTAGGATGGGGTAGGGCACCACCAGCAGAGGACCAGACGGGTTTTCTGCTTTGATCTTCTTTCGACCCCGGGGTGCTTTGGGTGGGGGGCCCAACAGTCCAGCCAGGCCTCCAGCTTTCATGTGGTCCATGCCAGGACCGCTAGCCAGCCCAGAGATGATGTTCACAGAGGGGGCACCGCCCAGGCGGTTGTGGCTGCTGGAGGTTGGGGTTGTGGGGGTCAGGGCCTCTGAGGTGCTGTGGCTGTCCGGTCGAGAGGAAGGAGCCAGACCTGTGAAGGGAAAACCCAGAGCTCTCAACAAAAACACCTAACGAATGCTTGCATGAGAGGTTTTTGATGACTCCAACAACCACATTGGTACTACAATTAAGCTCTTGCTCTTCATTACCGATCAACACTTTTTGTACATGCATTGTGGAATCCAGAACAGAGCACACATGCCATTAAGTTTAATGATTGATGCACAACTTAGAAAAGTCTCTTAAGTCCAGCCAATGATTTAAGAAGAATATCAAGATATATTTTAAATTGTAGTCTCAACCAAGCTCATTTTCTCACTGAAACACAGAGGCACTGCTAACAAAGTGGTTATCTTTGGTACAAAGAATATGTGGCTTGGAGCAAATTGGCTGGAACTTGCAAAAGCACCAGTGTGGTTGTTTAGCAGCACAACAAGATTTATGTGTCACACTTACCAACTGGCTGGTTTTATACTCTATCTTGTGGTCTTCCCACAGGTCAGGTTTTATGGCTTTAGTTTGCACAACTATCAATCAAATATGATAGTTGCGAGTCTTACACTAAACATTTTTGTGCACCACCATCACATGCTATCTGCCTGAAAGCAACAAGCGTTGTTTTTGTTAAGCATTTTGGGCATCCCTCTGCGATGCTTAGCTTGCACAATACACACTCTGTCTGTTAATAAGCCTGGGGGTAATCCTAATAAATATCTTATTTGATGTTTTTCATCATCCAAATATGACTAACTGATGATACCTTCAATAAGTACTGTTGAGGATTTCAGTATTCAGTGGTTCATCCTGTCTGAATGCACAGTCTCAGACTGAAGGTGTATAAAAGGCACCGGTCTTCTTTGTAAGCTATGTTATGTCCTTCATCATCCCTTTACTGTGTTGATGTGATTTAAACCAGAGGATATCTTCCTGAAACTTTACAATGTCAACAGACCAGAGACCAGGTGACTTCAGTACCTGAGCGGTGGTTGATTCGTCCAGATTGCTCGCTAAGCTGTCTCATGTGCCAGTCCTCCCATAGTCCTTTGGCCTTCACCGCTGACTTGTCGTCCATATTTACATCTGGAAGTTGTCAGGTGATGGCATTTTATTCAGTGAACATTAACATGGTGATGATACATAGACCTTAGTGTATGAAAAGCTCATCTACAAGAACACCACACAGCCTGTAAAAAGGTCAATATCCCGACGTCTTATGTTATCTATAGTTCCCTGATTGAATTTTACCATCGGGGATTAATAAAGTTCTTCTTATTCTTATTCTTATTCTGATTTGAACTTAATATGATTATAGTAAACATGGCGAAAAAGCTTACATTGCTGGCAGTTTTCATTTTATGCTGCTGACACACTAGAGGCCGGTGTTAAAAATGTGGAGAGATGACTGTACCTGGTCCGGAGCTGGAGGCAGGGCGTGCATGCAGAGCAATGTCTGGCTGCCCAGAGCCCTGTGGCTGCGGGTGATGGCCCGTCAATTGCTGCTGTGGCTTTGGCACTGGCATACCGTGCTGAGCGCTACCATCTGGGGAAGAGGTGGGCACCAACAAAGGCTGCTGGGAAGGGGTGGAGGTAGGCGGCAGGTGTAGGGGTCGGATCTTTTCAGCCATCAGCTGCTCCTTGATCTTGTTAATGAGCACCAGGTTATCCAGCTGAAAGGGTTAACGGGTCATGCTCAACAGAAAACAGCCACCGTGTGTGAATGTCATTCACAACCCAATAGACACATCCCAGGACAAAGTAATTCTTCATTCTTTAGCTCTACAAGACAAACTGGGACAGCTTCTCACTATGTTCCCTGACAGACTGGTGAAGACTGGCTGAGGATACATTCACACATGGAATTACAATGAAATAAATTTAATGTGCAATGTCAGCGATTGCATGTTGTTGATGGACTTACCTGGCCTGGCATTGATGGTGGTGGTGGCCAGAAATATGGGTTGTTGAATCGAGGTTCTGCCATCCTTGAACAAATATTTATCGAAGTCAAGTTATTCCAATTAAGCAGCTATCAAACAACAGTCAGGACCAGACAAGGCTGATGCTAAGTATCATTTTTCAAAGACAGAAGTGTCCACAATTTTAGAGCTGAACCTCAACTACAGGCAGAGTGTGAACACGGCAGAGAGAGATAACACTTTAACCACAAGTATAACAGGTTCCACGTTACACACACAAACACATATATTTATTTACATTTATTTTCGTTAGCTTTGCATGCACGTCCTAAAGTAGCACGTAGTAGAGCTCAAATCACTGCAGTCAGCTTGAAAAGAACCCTTTTCCTTTTATGCAATTAATCATGCAGCACAGAGATGCAAATAAACTGCTGAATTTTGGGCTCATGAGGTTTTAAAAAAAGATAAATCAATTATTTTTTCTTCAAACAACTTGAAAGCCAAACTCAAAAATCAGAACTTAATGAACAGAAAGTAAAGATCATATAAAGCCTGATAGGCAGGGGTTTTACAATGTGTAAAATGGCTCTAACTTGACCTTTGTCATGTTAAAACTAAAACTTCACAAACTACAGTATTTAAGCTTTCATCCAGATTCCATGGTCTTCCTCAGTTGCTGGAATTTGCTCAATTGTCATAAAAAATGCTCATGGATAAAGTCAGCAAACTACGTTTACTTTTAAGAAAAACTTGAAACATGGTTGTATATACACTATACACTATACACACTGACCTTGACCCAAAATTTCTTTTGAGAAAACTAGATAAGAGATAAGTTATAAATGTATATATACCTTCATTCATAATAAAGATAAAATCCATAAAGGCATTAATATAAAAAGTGTGCAGTCAGTAAGAGTTATCGATTGTAAAGATTTAAGTGTTGTTTATTCTTTGTCTATCAGTATCAGTTTTCTGTGTTCCAGACCTGCAGTGTCACCTTTAAACTAACCCGGGTCAAACGTCATGAAATGATTGATCACTGTTAGAAACACAGAGGTTTGACAGGGACTCAGCCGTCTGGCTTGCACATTTAGCCCCTCTGTTCCTTTTGTCTAAGTGAATTCCTGAAAATAAGTGGACGTCGCTTCAAATTTGATCAAACGTAGAAAAAAAAAACTTTCAATTCTTTGACTTTTCGGACATGTCGGCGGTCAAAGAGCATCTCCGGTCTCAAACTGGTGGAGGGTTTCAGGGTTCGACCCTCCCGGTGCGACTCAGACATTCTCAGACAGTTTTCTTTAAACATTTCCAGACAAAAGAGAAACAAAAATGGCAGCCTTATTTTTATAAGGCGGGACGCCATATTCTGCAGACCCCCAAAATTTAGGAGCATGAAGATTTAGTCATGAGGATGTAGTCGGGGATAAAAGCGGCCGACGCGGACACAAAGGTGTGTTTATCATGTCAAAGGCATGAATGATTGTTTACGGCGAATTGCAGGTTTGAATAGCCCGGCCTCCCCACCTCTTAAAAAAACTGACACTTCCTACAACAACCATGCCCTGCAAAAACAGCACGGAAACGGACAAGATGCAGGCTCGACCCAAACAGCACACCGATTAAAACAAATGTAGCGATGCGTTAAGGTCGAGACGAAACCGGCGCACAATGCTCCGTCTGTCTAAAAACGCTGTGCCATCTTTGCCAAATTCACTTTGAGGGCTGCTTTTTTTCACATTCTGCAACTTTTGGACGAATCAAAGGACAGCAATCACATTTTGTGCACAATGCACGCATTTAGGAGGCTACTGCTTGTAGGAGAAATGCACAGTACTGAAAGGATGAAAAGACATGCACAAATACCTTGTGTCCTGGTTGCAGATATTGTCTTGCGAGTACAGCTATAATATAAAAGCTTGATGTTCTTTCTGCCTGCCTTCAGTCGGACCACCGCTTCCGGGTCGCTTTGTTCACTTCTGGGTGCTGCTGCAGGCTCACCACTGCACAGACACAGAGGAAATATTGTGCTAATGTTGCTTTGGATTTTTGCACGATGACCTAAATAATTCACGTTTACAGGGCAGCTCTTCTATGTTGAACCTAATGTCGTTACTTCGGCGCATGTTTGGTCTCGATTTTGCGTACAGATCCGAAGGGTGGAAGTGGTGCTCAAATTCGTTTCCTGAAGTAACAGCGTCGCAGTGTAAAATAGGTTGGCCATTACACTGACAAGCACTGCGTTCAAAATTGGACTCCAGCATTGACCACTCGCTTTACCCGGCTGTGAAAAGAATATGGATTTTATTTAAAAAAAAATGTTTCTCCTTTTTGTGTTGAAAAAGCTGAGGCTGCACAAAGTGACGCTGTGAGGTGTTAACAGCCACCACCTTTTTATCCGTGGCCATAAAAATGTGCTTTGAATCTGAGCAAGGGGGGCCAAAAGTAACAAGCCTCTCCATATTATCATGTGAATTTTAATTATTCTTCTCTTACCCAGTGTGTTAACATGTCATTGAAAGAATGAGCTGTTTTAATCCAGAGTTTGGTGACAAAGCAGATAAGATATCTAAGAAATAATTAAAGTGTGGTGACGCAAACCCCCACAGACAATCACACACCATTTCATCTGTCACTTTGAAGTTAGACTTATTAAATGATTAGTTAGAACACTAGGACCTGACATTTTGATCATAGAAACAGCAGTGTCACAGCAATATCAGTACTTCTCAACCACGTTTGACTCATTTTAAAAAGAAAAGAGACCGCTTTCAACTTCCTCAAATCACAGCTTTTGTGCCTCTTGAAGGAGGCATTTGCTTTTGTGTTTTTCCCCCTGTTATCAACAGATTTTCTTATTTCAACAGTGTCAGAATATGGCTTTACAAGGTACAAGATTTACAATAAAGCCCAAGCCTGCTGGAGCAGTCAAACCCTTGAACACTACCATGCATCTGTCTGTCCTTGGTTGTTGATACACAATTATGCTCCTTCATATCCACCCCTGACAAAGGTGTATCTGTCCAACGTACCTCTTGTTGACCTAATTTATTACTATTGCTATTTATGAACATTTCTACACATAGATTGAAATAATAGTTTTACTGAGTTTTTACCCAGTTGTTGACATAGTTCTAATACATATGTTAACCCAGTTTTTACTGTCAGACCCAGGTAATAAGCACCAGTTTGTGTCATAAAATGAAAAATCAGCCATAGATAAGATAAAAATAAAAAGATCAACATTGGTCTCATCATACACAGACACTTTATTTTTTTTTATCAAATATGGTAGGAAACAGTTTAACTTTGCTGCTCTTTTAGATTTCTGTCATCAAAAGTGGAGTGAATGTGTTCATTTGTTAATGAGGCTTGTACATCATTGCGTAGATTGCTTGTATGTTTTGTATGAGACAAACCATAATAAGCTGAGATTTTTAGCCATGCAAGTATTTTGGACATGGATGCAGAAATTCATGTTCCATAACACTGAATTTTTAAAACCTCTTCATTCAGCTAAGTTTACCCATTTGGATTGATCCTTTCATCCTTACTGGTTTACCCTATCACATTCAAACTCTCATCTTTGGTTCCAACCTTGCTTGCTTGCTTCAAGAAAAAGAGTTTCAATGAAATCTTTAACCTGGATTTTAAATCCTGTGCACCACCTTCACCCACATGTGACTCATGTTTATGTCTGAACCACATTTGTCATCCCAGACTTGGAGTGGAATCATAGAAATTTGTGCAGTGATACCTTCAGTTGTGTCACTGCTTGTGTGGGGAGGTGATTGACATGATCTCACTTTGTTTCCTGTTTCTAGCTACCATTTCTCTGAAGACTGGAGAAAAAAAAAACAAAAAAAACTGACATGCTGTCACGCAAACACACACACACCGAAGGGCAATTACACATACTTCCTTTCCTGCTTTTTTTGGCTCATATTTAATCAGAAATCTACAGATGGTTTCAAGTCAGAAAGCTTCTTTCGGATGGTGAATTCACCGGGGTTCTGGCCTGGAAACGTGATCTGTTGTCTACCTACCCAGTTAGTGGAACTGACACTCAGACTCTCATCTGACTTTCACAGTTTACTCAGCCAACATGTACTTGGTAAGTAAGAATTTTCAGGTCTTGTGTTCTTTATATCATCCTCACATTTGTTTTTTGTGTTTGTTATTACTTTTAATGAAGTTTCTTCGAGTACATTATGAGGTAACTTACAATTGATACAGAAGTATGACTCAATGTTTGCTACAAAAGGTCACTCAAAATGTTTGTTTTTATTTTACATGATAGGAACTTATCAGTGGTATGAAATGTAAAGTAGTACTACTATCATACAAATTCTCAGGAAAACACTGTTTGTAGTTTCAACAGGAAGTACTTTTTGGTAATCACTTGAACTGTGAAGCATCAGCAAATATGAATAAATTTACTGTTAAGTCTTTGACCAACAGTCCAAGTAGAAAATAGTCAAACTGATTATGGCTAGAAAACACCCCAAATCTCACAAAAATAATATTTAATAGGGACCAAAACTCCTAATTTTTTAATACTAGTTGCTCGTCAGTGTTATTTTGATCAAATACCATTAGGGCACTTAAAAATTTCTACAACATGGTGTTTATCAAGGCCAGACAAGGATCCATTGCAAAATGATGTGGGGACTACTCGAAAGGAGAGCTCACAGATGTTACAGATGTTTCAACAGTTAACTTTGGGTCTGTTTCACCCTCCATCAGTTGCATGCTTTTTGGTTCGAAGTACTCCACAGGCCCTTGTTAGATCAGAGAAAAGTTTGCAAAACTGTTTTCAGCAGTCGATGAGGAGTGTTTGGGATGCGAGTCCATGAATCCACAGTTTTTGGTAAATGGTGCTCTGCTGTCCTTTAAATCTATGTCACAGATGTCAGTATAACCTTTGGTCAAGAGAGTCATGTGACAATTCATCAGAACATAAAAAAAAAAAAAATTGCTGGATATCAAAGGTATTAAAATGGCTTGATAAATTCTGTGAGCCATACTCACAATTTAGCTGTCCCTTTGTCATGGAAGCTGTGGTGTCAAAGGGTTGAGCCAGTTGATTTAGTTTAATTTTCCCATGTAGACATTATTTTAGAATGACAAACCTCATCTTTTTTCAGGTTATCCCTCTGGCTCTTGTCTTCTTTTCCACCGGACTGAGTTACAATGACAATACAGGACAAAACAGAAGTTCATGCTATGACATTTGTCCAGCTGGTAAGTCATACCAACCATCTATGTACATGAACTTTGTACTATGGAGAATTTATCTCATGTTAACTACATATTCTGCTCTTTCCTCAAGGGTACTATAGAAAGGGTGACTGTAAAAATGCAGTGAAAAAGATGAGATGTGAAAAATGTCTTGGAAACACATACACAAATGAAGAAAACTCTTTACCTAAATGTTTACGGTGTTCTCAATGTCGGTGTAAGTATCTTACCATTAATCTTGTCAGGTTTAAAAGAAACACTTCTCAGTTTTGGTTATTTGTACAAATTTTTGAGGTCTAATTTCATCCCAAAGAATGACTTGGATAACACTTTGTGGCTGGATTATTTAACATACAATGTGACCGAAACACTATATATCAATATTCCCCCAGACTATGAGGTGCAAGTACAGCGCTGCTTCGATAATAATGATGCTAAATGTGAGTGTAAAAAGGGACACTACTACCATGGCGACCCTACTTTAAAGGATTGCCAGAAATGCCCGAAACATTGTATAGGTGAGTGAAGTCAGAGGGAGTCACCATAGCCATTTTCACCTCCCATTCACATGAATGAATACATGAATGCATTAAAAAAAATACGACCACTGACACAAGTCAGACAATGTTCTCATGAATTCTTACCTATTTTTGTTTTTTTCCAGAGTCTGATAAATACACTGACTGCAAAAAAAAGTGTCAGAGGTAAGAGAGAACAATCCGCACATCTCGTGAAAACACAAATATGTTCAGATTATTTGGTTTGTGACAGAATGGATAGAGTTATAAGGCAAAAATGGAAAGAAAAAATCTGCACACTGTAAATAAATTTCTAAGGCACTATATTGCTTTTGTTTCTGTGCAATACATTTTATACTGATTCTGGTCCTTGACCTTTTTGTCTGAACTTTAAATGGGTGTTGGTGGTCAAATAAGCCTGGCATGGTTTTAGCTAAGGGGGAATGTGGTCTCAGTGTAAGACCCGAGGAAACTTCTGCCATTCTGTGGAAATTGCCATATGCATTTTCTTTTTTATTTCTGTCGAAGACAGAGAGTACTTGTGGTTTTACTGACGCCCTGCACTCCCTGTGCTAAGCTGTGTGGCTGTTGGTGTAAAAATGAAGGTGCCTTGGTTAAGACTGTAAAGATAGCTCTGCTGACAAATAACTGCAACTTTGCATAGAAGGTAGTCTGTTTTTACTTTAAAATTTGCTTAAAGGTTCATTTACAACTTTTTAATTTAGACCAAGACAACCGTTAGGTACCCAGATGAACAGATGAACATTGCAACAGCCTGCTTTCTGGAAAGCTTCTTTCGACTGATGCTGAAGGATAAAGCATACCTATCCAAACTGTTAGTTATGTGAGCACATGAGGAAGAAAGGAAGATCTTTTTAGCATAAATTCATTCCACAATTATCAATAAAAAATGAAGTAAGCTATCTGAGGTAGGCATTGCCAGCAGAGAGCAGATGTATTTTTATTCCAAATGTCCTCTTGTATATCACAATATCACAACATATAATCCAAGAAAAACAGAGAAACTATATATTTTCTGTTTTTTAAACAAATGTAGCCTTACATAAATGTATAACAAAGTTTGGCACTACAGTGGGAATGTTTGTTTTGAAATCCATCACTGCTGATATTTTTCTCAGAGAAGTAAGATAGCTTGTAGTGGTCAGTCTTAATGATCACTGCAGAAACTGTCAAGGCACCATCTTTGGTTTAAAGACTGGAGAATGCTGAAATTGTTTTTTTTATTGAATGGAAATATGCTTCACCTGTTGTTCATGTTAGTTTATTCCTTTTTCAGCAATTCTACCTCCACAGATCCATTGACAGCTAATACTGGATCTGCAACTACATCTTCAACGACATCAATGGCTACCAAAACTGCATCAACAGGGACTATATCTACAAAAATCCCACCTGAATGTTAGTTTTTAGACCTGTTCTGTACGTGAACAATTACATGGCTGATTAACTGACTGAAATTGTGTGGCTTTTATTCGCTCTGGGTACTGATCAGCTGAATGTCAGTATTTCTGTGTCCAAAGCAGGGAGCCTATCACCCTGGTTTTTCTTGTTGGTGGTTGCCCTTGTGACTTTGCTGGTGCTCTCCTGGCTCCTGCTCCTCAACAGGAACCCTCGCAAATCCCCTGCCAGCTGGCCCTGCTGGGGCACCAACAAGGACCTGGAGCTGGAGCCCAATTTTACTGGTAACTTAAGTTTGAAGTGTAACCAAACATGCACAAGTTTCTTACAAAAGTCAGTATACTTGGAGCACACGTTGTTCTTTTACTATCCTTTATTTTTTCAATAACTTATATTTCATGTAATTTTGTGCCTTATATTTAACATGCAACATACTATATGTGGTCGTCTTAGCAAGACATATTGCTATATATGAGAGGACCCTAATTAAGAAGTAATCACAGATATTATACCAGTTTATACCATAACTGAACACTGCCCTGAGGTTTTTTGTCTACGATGATAATTATATTTTGGTGAGTTAGAGTACATTCTGCTTTTAATGCTTCTGTATTCTATTAGCTCCCTCTGTCTCAGTGTAAGGACAATTCAAGCTGGAGACTTAAATGGTCACATTTAAGTATTTCCACAAAAATAAATAAATAAGTAAAAATTTTACATAAATTCCAACCACTGAGATTCTGTTTTCTATGAGTGTGCTTCTCTCTGTTTAGACTGAAGCGTGCTGATAATATCTGCTTTCCTCCTCACAGAAAACGGCAGTCATCACGGCAGCAGTCCAACCACAGTGGTAAGTGTGAAGTTCTGTACAATTTCTGCTCTGCTCAGATCATCATATAGATTGGAGCACTTCTGTAGGTAGACAGCCAGAGGACAGAGAGAAAAACAAGCACGCAAATGTCAATTTGGGCAAGGCTGATTGCATTTTGTGGTTAAACAAAGCTATAACTGAAGTGATATTTCATGAAGGTTTTACTGGTGTTTCAGGAAGGTTGATAAGTGTCACTCGCTGTTCTGACACTTTCGCAAGATGTTCACAACAATGAACTCTGCTTCTCTTCTTGTTTGCCCTTCTTAGACATTAAACATACCTGAGGAAACTCCCATGATGACTCAGAGTCAGAGTCCAGCCACACAAGAACCTCCCACACCAGCCCACATCAGTCCTCTTTTACTAGGCACTGAACATAAAGGTAAGTTTCACCACTTGATGCTTGGTGATGATGCACAGCCTGTAAACAAGCTAACTTGTTGACATTTGTTCAGTATCTTATCATGCTTGACATCTATTCCTCTCACAGATGCTTTATAGCAAATATGGTAATACATTACCACTGGTATTTAGCTTTAAGTTTTCAGATGAAAGAAGTGGCTGTGTACACGTAAGACAGATTTTATGTGAGGTTTTAAGCCGTTTGGAATTTAATTATTTCATGTGGAGGTATTCAGAGGAGGTACTCTACAAATAACTCACATGACTGTTTAATAGAAGAGGAGCAGGGTTGGCAAATCAAAAAGAACTGTAACTTCAGAGCTCTATTTAACTCTAACTTCAACTAGAGAGCAAAATCTTCCATCTAAATCCCAGTAGTGATTTTGGAGGAGCATAGCCTTAACAAAATGCTGAGAAGTTTGATTAAACAATCAGCTGGATTTTTTGTCATGCTAAAGGACATTTCAGAGGAATGGAAGTTTGTCTGTTTATAATACAGGTCCTAATGCTGCTCATACCAAATATGGTGTGAAGAAAAAAACAGAATCCCCTGAGGTGTGATATCTTGAGCTCCAACCTTCTCATCTTTGCCTGTTCAGCATAATAGTTATCACTGATCAGCCACATGGCCCATGATGTGGAGGTGGACGCAGGGAAACAGGACGTCCTTCCTTTTTTTTTTTTCTTCTTCTTCTTCTTTTTTTTTTTTTTGCATCAGCCAACTTGTCAACTTCAAAGTGAACAGCAAATCAGATAGTGAATGCGTGCAGATATAACCATGAAACTTTGCATCTGTTTACGTCACTATGCAACTGAATATAAAGTGAAATGAAAAACTTCAGGGCATGTTTAGATCTCAATTTTAGACCTCAGTGTTGTCGTGTGTCATTGTTACTTTGTAAAGTGATCCAATCATGTGGCTGTAAAGTGTTTTGCCATAGGTTTTTCATTAACCTTGTATACTTTTTCAGACAAGAAAATATGCAAAACACAGTCTGAAATCTTTACTTATTTCACTGGCCACAGTGCAGCAGTTGTACAAACCCTAAATATTGTGTTTTATTTTTGAAAAAGTTGAGTCCTTTTCTAAGATAGTCCAAGCAGATGTAACTCAGACAAGAATAAGTGGCAAACATGAATACATTGAGAATAACAAATAAATAACATGTCTCCTAGTGCAACAATGTGACTTTCTAATGTGTTCTCTGATGTGTTTATTAGGAAACAGAGTTCTGTAGCACAGAGGAACCACATCTATAAGGTTTTTTAACTTCTTTATTTTTGTGGAATTTGTAAACAGTCAGTTAATCAGAGGAAACCCCCAAACTAATCCAGTGAAAGCATGTGAACCTCAATGACTGCTGGGAGTTTCTCTGCCCTTTCTGTACCATGTTGTCCTTTAGTTTAGCTTGTACTGGATTAAAGTTTTCCAAACAACAAAACAAACATATTTATCCAGTGGGATGACTTGGTACATTGGAACACCAGGACTAAATGTATGGCTTTAATATAACAGAAAGGTTTTATCTTAATGTGGCATCAGCACACTGGGTGGTTGTCACTTTATCACTGGTCACTTTAGTTTAATGTACCTTGGTTTTTTAATTGCACTCCTCCCACTGCACTGTTGTTCTGTATTGTGTAGTTGTACATAGCCTGTTATACTTACTGTACATAGCATTGTACATAGCCTTTTATACTTTTACACTTTATATATGTCCTGCATGCTCTTATTATTTTCTATTCTAGTATTTTATGTATTATTCTCCATTTAATGTTGCACCACCACACCGTAAAAAATTCCAGGTCCTGTTCATTGACAATGGCAATAAAACCCCTTCTGATTCTGATTCTTCTTCTGAAAGTTTTGCAGATGACCTGGTTTTCCACCATTAATGTCCTTTGATTTGTGTAATTCTCCCCTTATAGCTGCAAACCAAGATGAGGAATCCGACCAATGGCCTGCCATCGTACTCTATGCTATTATCAAGGAGGTGCCCTTACGTAGGTGGAAGGAGTTCTTGCGTCTGCTCTCAATGGCTGATCAGCAACTGGAGCGGGTGGAGATGGAGGCTTGTTTTGGTCTGGGCTTAATGGAGAGGCAGTACCAGATGCTTAGACTGTGGAGTCAGCGCTCCTCTGCAAGCCTGAGAGATGTCTTCTCTGCCTTGTACCACATGGATTTATCAGGCTGTGCCCAGCTGCTGCAGGAAAGCCTGGAAAAGCTGCAGTATGAGGCTAAACCGAAGCAAGTTGTTGCAGTGAGCAGAAATGACACAATAGACTGCACAATAGAGAAAACCTGAGGTTGAACCTGAAGTGCATGTCCCACACTACCATTCAGTGAGATCATCAGTGCCTCAATCTTGGGCACCTCTGCAAAAGACTAAAATCTTCAAGTAGCTGAAGAGGAGAAACTATACCTACTTTATGGTTCTACTACAGAAAAACTTCAATAATGACCTGGTAATTCAAAGGTAAACAAGGTAAACATTCAAAGGTAAAAACCAACTAAAACTGATGCACATTATGCGCTGATGAAATTCTGATGGGGCTAAACTGAATTGGAGTTTTTCTCCTTTCATTCGCTCCTCTGATGGGCAAATTTAATTACAATCTCTCCAGCCAAGTAGGTTTATGGACATTTTAGGTCAAGCTTGTCTCCTAAAAATACCCAATTCATATGTAAAATAATGAATTGATTGTATTGAGGGGTCAACAATAGAACAGGAGTGTTAATTAATTTATGACAGACTTGAATGCATTCAACAAGAGTAACAACTGCAGTGACAGCAGTTTCATAGCTAAGAAAATGTTCCATCCAGTAACATACAATCCTGCAATTTAGGTGGAAACATACATTTCAAAAGGGAAATCCCCACTGAAGCTTGAGGACACTTTTCAGCAGCAGCTCATCTGATAGCTCCAGTTAGTGTTTCTCAAAGGCCAATAATGGGGTGGTTGTGGTTTCAAAACTGAAATGTATTTAAGCTATTGTTTATGTTTGTTATTTATGCATGGATGGTGCTGAGCAGATAAAAAAAGTTCAAATTCTAAGAAGGTTTCTTTTCTGAAAGTTTTCAGGATGCGTGACATTTTCAATGTACATCGATCTATGATGTTTGAGCGGCAGTGCTTCAGATTATTTCAACATGTACAACATCGTCCTAGATGAAAGAGTGTTGAAAAAAGTCAGCCGCTGATTGTTGCTGTGTGGTCTTGCACAGGAAGGAAAGTGAAATCCCCACAGGACGTCAGATTTTCAGTTTACTGCAAATAAATGGTGTCAGTGAACAGTAGGCTGGGTTTTTCCAAACCACTCGTATTCCATCCAAACTGATGATTTGCTGTAGTGGGTTTAGGGTATCTCACTTTGAGATTTTTTGTACATCAGTTTAGTTACTGACAGTAAAAGAGTTGGATATTCCAACCGTTGAGATGTATTAAATATTGTTTTGTTTTTTTTCTTTAATTAATTAAGGTCTGTGATTTGGTCTCAGGCCCTCTGATATAAGTGTGTGGGTGAGTGAGTGTATATATTTTTCCATAAAATGTTTTCATTTTCTTGTATTGCTCATGGTGTCACCTATGACAAATAGGCCATACATATTATTAATCATGGAACTGTACCACTGATGAATGATAATGTCCTCATGCTGCATGTTGTGAATAAATTCCTGACCACATGGTGGGAGTATTGGCTGAATATTTTTTACAGAAGTAGCTGGTGTGACATTTCAGGCACAGTTCCTCTTTCAAAGAAGAAGTTTGCATGGTGCTCGAGGAGCCTTTATTCTTGAGCTGGATTAGACCAATCTCGTGAATTGCAAATTCAGTGTCACCACAATCAGTAGCTTGTTCTTGGCTTCATTGTTGACAAACCTTGGATCAGAAAGCACAAGGGATGGCCATCATAGGCCTATCCTTTTTTTTTTTCCAACTGCACAGGAATGCAACATTGTGAAAGACTAAAGTCCACGATTTCCATTATCACTTTTGGAATTAAAATGATGTTTAGGTTTAACAACACTAGTTCTGTTGTTGGCCATTAATATTGTTATAGGTGTATAAGGCATGACAGCAGTGCATATTAACAAATGCAGCACTTGCTGATCAACTTCATTTCTCCAGACCAGAGGCTGTCACTTGGGTGTTCCTCCTAACTTGGGAGGTATCTGAATAATAATAATAATAATAATAATAATAATGCATCAGATTTCATATAGCACTTTATCAGAGACCCTCACAAAGAGTGCTTAAAGAGCTTAAAGGGATATCCCAGCATAAAATTAATTTGGGGTCAAATACACTGTAACACAGAGTTAGACATCCCCTCGAGAGATACATATTGCCGACCGCTTGCGTCTCTAGTTATATCAACTGCATGATAGCAACACGCAGTGGTCTGAGGAGCCACACACAAACCTCAACCAAAAAGCCACTCAGAATTCAATGCAGCTGATTCATTAGTGAGTGCTACATTTGTTATGTCTCATATTGTAAGTTCTTTCTGAAAGTGACAATTTTTCTAGAGTTGACATAGAAGCCATATTGTTGCAATGAAATGTGCCAAAATAGCATTTTAGGGTAAATTTAACAGCATCCTGGCCTCCACATATTTTACAAACATAAGAAAAGAACATTTGATAGAAATACTTAAGTATTTCAATTAACTTTTTTTTTATTTAATTTAATTTTATTTTTTGAGAGTATGCCCTTTGAAAAGGCTCATTGGGAAGCCCTTAAGGTAGAAATGATTGAATGACTCAGTCTTTGTCTAGATCAAAACATATTCCAAATAGTAAGGTCATTAACCTGAAGCACAGAAACACATACACATTGTAAATGTATTATTGAAAAATAAATAATAGTTTCTTAAGAGTTAAGTTGGACTACTCATCAACGATAGCACAAATAACACCAGTTAAATAAATACCAACAGTCTCTGTACTTCCAAATGACTATTATTGCATTGAATAGCAGTTAAAAAGTTTACTTTCAGTTTTTAACTACCTTAAATGCATTAGACTGCACAAGCCTTCAGGCATCTGTAAAGCCAATCTCACTTACAGACTGAAGTCACTAGAGGCATCAAAGCAACAGTTCCCAGACCTCAAAGTCAAACAATACAACTCAACTTTTGCTTCTTAGCGTAACGCATTATTTTGAACCAAAATCATGTTGACATCTCATTACATCTCAACTTTACCTGTCCTATTACTGTTATATCAGAAGGTGTGATGGGAACTGCTTGCTATAGGTATTAAACATTCCTTTCTGCAACTCAGGTATGATTAATATGAAAATATTAACAATGTCAAATGATTTGTGTGTCACTTTCCCAGCAAATAATATGTATATATGTACCCACAACATTCCAGAGGATTCAGGGTAAGAGAGAAGTTACGCTTAGTTCAAATGTTTTTTGTTTTTTTGTTTTTCCCTTGTCAAAAATGTGTGTTATTGTGTACTATTTTACATGTTCATGATTATCTAATGACAGGATTGACCAGCCATCAATTTATGATGAAATCCAGCACTGGAGATTGACCATCAAGCTGTCAGCAGATTTAACATCTGTCGCTCTGACATCTGGAATGGAGCAGTCAGAGGTTTCAAAAGAGCAAAATTCTCAGAAAATAAAGACATCCTGGTGAAATTCTCTGACAATGAAAGGAGTTTTGAGGAAGGTCTCGATTCAGGTGGCCCCGAGAGAGAATTCCTCTCCCTTCTCATGAAAGAGCTTAACAAAAAGCTCAACAAACAGCCCTTATTTGATGCATATTATTTCAACCATGCACTGTTTTTAAATATTAAAACTAATTTAAACTTCCTTTATTGGACCGCTATCAGAGAGGATGAGTATTATTTGGCAGGTAAGATGATTGCTGTGTCCATTGTACAAGGCAGACCAGGTCCTTATTTTATTCAGAGGATTTGGTCTGCTGTTAACAAACTCTTGGTCAGTTGTTGCCCCAGTTTCAAGGCATCTGTTGGAGACATTACAAATGAGGAGAGAGGGAAACTCCTACAAGAGGTATGAGGAGGACACTTGATAGAAGGGTATGAAATTCTATAATAGGTAAAGAGAGTAAAGAGAGATTTTTTTTCCACTTAAACAAGTCTTTCAAAATATGCTGTTGACATTGCTATTTTTTTTTTTTTCATTAGTTGTATTCTTCATACATAAAATGTGTGGTACTCTGTTATTTCTTCTTTTAGATTCAGAATGCACCCTTATTTGAGATCCTTCAGAACTTGATGGTACAGAACAACGTTATGTTGCAGACTGCCGGGTGCTTAAGGCATGTCAGGTTATGTGAAGAAAAACTATGATTGTAGAGGAGTACCTGAAGTGGTACATCATTCACAGCACTGCAATTGATAGGTAGGTTTTTGTATTTCATTGTTGTCGCTAAAATGATTATGAAAAACGTGTTGCTGCTGTCCCATTTTCTTGCTTGCTTACTTCTACAAGATGCTCATGTAACTTCACATTCGTATTGTAATTATATTTTACATTCAAGACTGGACTTTAAAGTCTCCAGTTTCGGACAGCTCAGCAGCAGCATCCGATGGTTCTGACCCCTGCTCTCTGTCGTGCCAGTGTGAGGCTGTCTGCTGCAGAGATGGAAAATATGTTCCAGTCTGAACTTAGTTCATAGGGAAGCAACAGGAGGGCTCAGGAAGAGAAAGCTATGACAAACTGGGCTGACTATCTTCTCGATTCTGAAGGTTACTCAAATTGCTCTATTTTATACACACAAATCATGAAAACTTCTAGCGTCTATGTACATAGATTTTACTATTAATTGATTCCATTCCTTCTCTCTACTTTTAGAAGATGGCAGCTCAGTGACCTTGGAGGAGGTGTTAATGTTTGCTGCAGGTGAGCTACATGTACCCTGCTGTTATGAAGCCTCAGCCACGTCTTCAATTGCTATGTTCTATGATGTCAACATTCCCAATGGCGAATACCTGTGCCAACATTTTAAATTATTTTAAATTACACATTTTAAGTGCCCCACATTCAGTTTTTTAACATAGTTTAATATGTCAATATGAAATTGGAGACTGGATGTATACTCGTATATGTAATCCTTGTGCTTTCTTTTGGTCAAATGTGAATAAAGGAAGATCAGTGTGAAGGGAGGGGGAAAAGATGGAATGAAAGAAAGAAGAAAGGAATACGAGAGGCTGTGGCAGGAGGACAGAAGGATGTAAGATGGGGTAATTTTGATCGAAACACGGCACAAAGGTTTCTCTAACTATGTAGAAAAATCTTTAATCAGTACTCTCCTTTGAGGCATGTAATACATTACCTCTGGTTTACCAGATGGGCACCAGGATTGGTGAACTGGACGAATTGTGTGAGTATTCCATTACAGCTTGTATTCATCCAGCTCTTTCTGCAGGACTCCCATGAAGCAGTAACGCACCGACTTTGTGTGCAGGGCCTAGATAAAGCACAACCTTTATTCATGCGGGTATAGACAGGTTTCTTGTGTACAAACAATACTCGGTGCGCGCGCAACCATGGGGCAAAAGCTTGCTTCGCAGTGAACTGATATCAATGAAGATGCCATATTGCTTGTAAGTTCACACTGACATAATTGCAATAAAATATCATTTTGTCGAAAAATCGCTTTGTCTTTCATTGCATCAAAATCAGAAAAAACACTTTCTGAAATATTCACCAATTTCACTCAATTTACCAGGTTGTGACGTTGTTTTAGATGTTTCTAATATCAGGAGCAGGGTCGTAATGTTTGCCAATTGTTTGTTTTGCCGATTCGTGCAGTTTACAGCAAAACAGCTCCTTGTCATTTTCTTTCTCTGTTGACTCCGCTAGTAAACAAATAAGAAACGTCCCGCTTTCTGCCCCAAGGCTGCGTGCACATACCTGCGATGACGTTGAACAGAAACCCATCTATAGGATTCCCTTTTAAAAGCATAGCAATATATACCTGATTTGAAAAATGACAAAAATGCATATAGAAAATACAACTATCCAGGGTCAAATACAACATAACTAAAATAAGAGCCACACAAACCTTTGTTTCTGAAAGAAGAACCACCAGCTTTCAATCCGCTGACTGAATATTGGTGTGCCATACATGTGGTTTTTAGCCCCTGCAAACTCACGGGCACACTCTGATTTCAAGGATACACTTAAGGGCTACACAATTGGCGTATGTTTGAACAATAACTGAAGGGTCGCTGTGGGTCTTCCCACAATTCAGCCACATAATTTTTCTGGAGAAGCGGTCAATGCAGCCATTTGTGGCAATTCCAAAAGGTCTTAATTTATCATGATATGCCCTTCGAACATATCTTCGTCTGCAGCGATTCTCTGTTCCACACGGATCCAGTTCTGCCATTAGGGACATCACATCATCTCATCTGACGACAAGAGAGTGTTTCTGTTGGAGAATTTGCCACATTGCTCTGTACCCCAAGAGTCAGCCGGATCCCCTCAGCTCCACTGAAATGGCTGCCTTCACAGTATCTAGTGGAGTCGAGTTGCTCCTCCTGGTCAGGCCTGCATCCTGTAGTCTTCTCTCTAGACTACGAAGACAGAGTGATATGTCATGTTTAGTTTTCCATAAGTCAACTGTCATGTTGTCGCTATGGCCCTCTGTGAAATATTTTTCGATGAGTTCATCCTCTGTTGCAGCTTCAGGACCTGAGGGGTTTGAAAAAAGGACTAAATTATGAACTGCATATAAACTTTTTCCTATTTTTACAAAAAGGTAAATAAAGAAGGTTGTTTAAATTATTATGTACATGTGTGGGTGACATGGTAGTTGGGGAGCAGTTATTCAGGGATAACGCTATTCAAAGCAGTCATTAAAATTAAGTAACTTTTTAATAATAGTAATTCAGCAGTTTCACAGGGATCAATTTTGCCTATATTTTTCCTGTCTTGGCCTTTGATGTTTGTGTCAAAAAAGAAATTTGAGTATTAGGCTATAACACTAACTTTGAGGATTGCACAATGGCTGGCACGTGTGAATTTGTGAAACATCTTACTTTTCACATTGATTGTATTCCACACATCTCTTACGGATTTCACCATATGGAGTGGTATGCTCATGATTAAAAAAAAGTATATCTTCTGGTAAAAACACAACAATCCATAATGAGAACCTCATTCACAGCCAGAAAAAAAAAATTACCTTTATCTTCAAAACTCCTGAGAAACCTGATATTTCAATTGCTTGAGCCACAGTAGGGAAGACCAGGGCTAGTTGTCACACTTTTTACACTCTTATATATTTCTTGGAATTAGTACATCAAATATAAACAAAACGTGTACCAGATGAAAGATTGAAGTCTCAGGTATACATTTTGTATTCATGTCATTTTCTTACCTTGTGTCAGTGCAGGGTTATAAGCAATCAAATAGAGAGTGTGAACATGTGACATGTTGCTCCTCTATCGGGTAAGTTGTCTCACTATATAGGGTAAGATGTCACAGTGGATTTTGCAGCTTATAAAACAAGGACAAAATTATTGTTGTTCTCCTTTTTTTTTCTTTGAACGTGAACATCAAAGTCAGGCACAGAAAATGTTTATCATTGAGTTCTGTTTTTCTTTTGTAATCCCTGACCATCCCTTCTGGTTTCAAATTCACTCTTTTCCAAAAAACAATTGTTACCCATGCCTTATTTTTAGCAGATTTTGGATAATAAAAACAACAACGAGCTATGTAGCCTCAGTGGTTTCTCTGTTTGCATGTAACTGTGTTTTGCTGCATGGAACCGAACTCAATTCTCCCTCTCGGGGGTGGTCATTTGGGGCGTAGTGGGTTTCCCGTGTTAGCCGAAGCTAACACTACACTGACATCCTCCTGTTCAACTTCATATCGACTCAGGCGCTACATGGCCTAACCAAATGACACATTGAAAAGCACATGAAGCAAAAATTAAACAATAACCTTTCCACTTACTTCTTTGCTCATCTTTTCGCTGTCGTCTTGTGTGCCTAGATCGTAAAACACTAGTGCATCATCATTATTGGTCCCCGGCAGCTCACGTCTATCATCCTTCTATTTTTACAGTAAATAACTTTTTTTCTCCATCGCCACTTTTTTTTTGCGTCATTGACCTCCGTTGTGGCTTTATTTTTTTTTTATTTTTATCTGCACTGTTTCTTTCTTTATTTGCAGTGGGCCTAGTTTTTTTAATTCATTTGTGCATTGGTTATTTCTGTTGCGACTTCTTTTTTTTGCAGTCTTTTTTATTTGCAGCAGTGGCAGTTCTCAGCCACCACAGATTTTGGCGGTCTCCCACTACTGGGTGTGGGAGGGGCTGCGACAGCAGCTTGCTGCTATGCTCCACTTGTCTTTTGACAATATTGGACCAAATGACCGTCCGCTCCACGACAAAAAGCTTTCACAGTCTCAGACATGGCAAATATTTATTTAAAATAATCAACATTCATGATAATCCCATTAGCATTTGCCTTAGCTTACCTTTACCTCAGCCTGGGCAGGCCGCAGCGAATCCTCGCTAGCGGCCACCTCCTCGCTAGCAGCCACCTTTTAGGCCTGTGGGCTGTGGCAGCTTTCCACTACTTGGTTCAGTAGAGGCAGCAGCCGCAGCTTACTGCTTTGCTCCCCTCTTCTTTTAACAATATCAGACTAAATTACCCTCTGCTTTTCAACCAAAACTTTTCATGGTCTCAGATATTGCAAAATCCTAATCAACATTAATTGAAAACGATGCCAGCGTTTACCTGAGCTTTGGTTCACATGGCTCTCACAGTCTCATGCATTTTCAATCAATCAATCAACTTTATTTCTATAGCACATTTAAAAGAACCACGGAGGTAGCCAAAGTGCTGTACATTGTGACATAAAACAAATAAAACAAGCAAAGAACAAGATACAGCGAGCAAAAATACATACGTTAACGCGTCTACAAGTCACATATTCTCACACTGAGAATTTATAAAAGCTGCTGCTCATTCGTAACATTGTCTAGGCTATAAAAGTGATTAACTAGAAAATTCCCTTAGGGAAATTTTAAGGGACAGGGGTGTCCTGTGGGAGATTCTTCAGAGATTTAATAGACTTTAGTCTAGTAGCATTATGATAAGGCTATAGGTCTATATACAAAAGCACAACAAACATTCCTTTTTCAAGTAGCCTATACATAATGTACAGGGGAAAAAAATAGCCGGAGCAGTAGATGTTTGAAAAACTCAAATAATTGTTCTTTTTTTTTTTTTTGGCTTGTCCCATCAACTTCAATGCAAAATTTCTGCTCAAGTTGGAGTTAATGAACATGCAGACAGCTTCGCAGGCTAACTGACAATTCTCTTGCACCTTTACAAGTTTTCAAATGCCCACATATGGACTTCCACACTGGGCTTCCATACTAGCGCTATCGTGACATTCTGTCCAAGTTAACGTGGGGGACCGAACGACTTTGAGTTCAACTCTGCGGTGTTGTGGTATTTCTAGGAGAGCAAGCGTTAGTGGTTTCCATGGGCAACATGACCCTTGCTCAGGAGAACAATTCCTCGCTCATCTGGACAGTTCCAGCAACAGAAGAGCACGGTGCGAGGGCGAGTTGCTGAAGGCACAGTTGCAGTTTGTGTGACGTTTTCTAGTTGCTATTTTTGAGAATTCACGTCACTTGGAAATTTAAGGAACTCAGAAAAGGCTTTTGTTGTTAGAGCACATTTCGTTGTCTTGGCAACTCTGAGCCGTTGCGCTATTGAATTACAAAAACAGGGTCCGTGTTTTCTGTTCATGGACTTCACAAATGAATCGACTGCGACAGTAACGGTGAGTTTTTTTCTTTATTAAAAGTCACAGATTTTTTTTTTTTTTTTTTTTACAAGTTGTAATGGGTCAACTTTTGCCCACACAAGCTGCTGCAGCGGCAACAATGGGTGAGTGAATGCCAACAGCCCTCCTCACAAAAGCCAGTAAATGCAGTAAATGACTGCAAGGTTTGGTTTTGAGTAAATTGATAGTGTATAGCCTACTCTCTAGCCAGGAGCGTCACTGGTAATTCTGGACCCCATGCAAATATATCCTATCTGCCCCCAATCACCACAGCACAAGTAAAGCCTGAACAATTATTAAATCCATGTCTCCATTTTGAAAACAACCCAAATGAAGCTTTAAATGACAATAAATTTGTTTTACAATTCCTAAACCAAGAACTAGTAACCTCAAGAGTTAATGTCATATTTCCTCATTTAGCATTTAAAGCTAGCATTAAGTTATTACTGCCATTGGAATCCGGATATCATAATGAATCCAATATCAAATATGTTACCCTAGCCTGCTTGCCACAAAGTTGAATGTCGTTGCTGTGGGATTATATCTTTAAATAGAAGGACATTTGAAACTATTCCTAAGATGCTGAGATATAATAGACATGATAGGCTTAAAAGTTAAATATAATTAGGTGTTAGGTGAGCACTGGCTAATCTGTTAAATAACCTAATAATTAAACCTTATGAATTTACTCTTGTCCTCATTTCCTTGTCCACATTTTAACCAATAGATGACATCAATGGTGTAAACAGTGTAAGCAGTTGATGAGGAACAGATAAACAGAACCTGCTGCCTGATTATGGCTGCTGTTGTCCGACCTGGGGTCAGTGTGTCAGAACTTTGTGAAGAAGGGGACAAGTTCCTTGAGGCTGGAGAGCTGGAGGGGGCTACCACTCTCTACATGTCTGCCTTCAGGACTCATGCTGCATCCACTGTGTCCCACATGCGGAAGCTGAAGTCTGGCTTGGCTGAAGTGATCTCTACTTTAGAGAGCTGGCTTGATAACCACTCTGCTGAAGGTCTTAATAAAGGTCTTGCAGCTGTGTTTCTTTCCACACTCTGCCCCAACAATCTGTCAGCCACCATCTTCAAAATGGAGTCCCTCCTCCAGAGCGGTGGGCAGAACTGTGAGGAGATTTTTGCTCGCTGCACTGCTCTGCTTGCAGGAAAGCTGAACAATCATCATCAAGGTACAACTTGCATTGTGTTGGAGATAACTCGAGCCCTAGCCTGCTTGTTCTCAGAGACTCACAGTGTGAAGGGGTTGAAGCTTTACCTCCGAGCTTACCTGAAGAACAAATCTGAAACTGTCAGAGTTATTCAAAGCAGACAAGCTCAGCATATCCCTGAAATAGTGGAGGCTTTTAAAGACCAACTGCTTCAAATACATCCGTCTCTGATGTTTGGACATGATTGCACAGGTTCAACAAAAGTGAATGAGAAGCTTGATGTAGAGGCTTCTTCTACGATTATTGAGCTGTTGTTGGCTCTCTCACCTGGTGATGAAGAAGTGCAGGAACTCCAAGCAGCATATTTGTTTTTGACAGGCAGGTTTGGGGACAGTGCAGCAATGTACTCTGCTCTGTTGCATGGTCTTTGTCAGAAAACACAAGAGAGAAGTAAGAACAAGTCTTCAAAAACTATTTCAGAGAAGAGAGCCAGACTCTTAACCAGTCGAGCAGCAGCTTGCCTGTCAGCAGGTGGAAGGACTGTGGAGGCATGCACAGACCTGGGGGAGGCATTTGAAACCCATCCTGCCACTGCCAGGATGTGTTTCCAAAAGTTATTCACAGATCCTGATACGGGGTTGGCTGCTCGCAACCACCTCCGCCAGCAGGCAGAGAGGGGCCTGTCTGATTTCAGAGAAAGGGTCCTCATTCGTCCAGACCTTCGATCCACTGATGGAGTTGAACTCTTGGAACCTGTCATCGCTCAGTTACGGACTCTGTGCCACTTGGAGCCTGGAGGGGGAGGCAGAGAGCTGCGGGTACGACTAGCGGACTGTCTTCTCCTTAGAGGGGAACACAAAGAGGCCCTCTCTATTTGCAGCCAGCTAGCTGCTGCCCAAGGCCAGCAGAGCTACCAAAACACAGTGCAGGTTCTTTGTGGATATGCACGTCTTCTTTCTGATGAACATAAGGAGGCATTAACAGACTTCCAGGCTGTGATTAACCACAGTGCCCCCCACCCATCCAGCTGTGTGCGGGCGCTGTGTGGTAGGGGCCTCCTGCGCATGATGGGAGGCTTGAACTACCTCACAGCTCTGGACTACATTACTGCCAGCAGGTTGCAGCCTCAGGAAACAGCACTAACTATTCGCTGCTTAGTGCCATGGAACTACCGTGGGCTGCTGGTCACTGTTCTACTGGAGCAGGGGCGGGTCATGCTTGAGGGGACAGAAGAGCATGAATCCAAGTCCTGTATCCATGAAGCCTCTCAGCACCACCAGCAAGGAGGTCAGCTCCAGGCCTCATCAACAAGAGATGATCAGAGATCCGGGTATGGCATTTGTCTTACATACAGTTTACTATACACATCTTTTTGGGAAGATATTTTGTATAGTTGTGTTATAAAGTTTCCTTTATCCTTATATTGTGACAACGTCTTACTGTTACACAATTTGTTGTTCACTAGATCTTTGAAGAAAAGTTAACCATATTAATATCATCATATCCCTGCTTTTGTTTTCTCTGAAGTCTGCACAGAAAGAGAAAGAGTAAATAACAAAAACAATTACTATTTATCATCCTACACAGTAAATTGTTCTTTGTGCTCCCTGCATTAGAACTCCTGCTGGTGTCCACTCCCTGGCTCAGTTATTGATGGAGCTCCAGCCTGGGACTGATGGGTCTCAAATCCTGGCAGCAGATGCCTTGTATCAGCTTGGCCGGGTGGAGGAGGCATATCGGCTTTTACTTGCCATAGGGCCTGTCATTCCCAGAGCACCCATACTAGCTCGACTTGCCCTGCTGCAGTTGCGCAGAGGCTTCTTATATGACACCAACCAGGTACAGTACAGTTTATGAGGAAGAGTTCCCAAACAAAGGTTTTCAGGCAAAACCTCTTAGTATGTCTACTTCATGTTACAAAAGGCCGCTTTCATATGAATGTTTGGCACATCAGTTATGACCAGTTAAGCTTTAAATCTTTATCCAATGTTGCAGTGCTGTCTGTTTCAGTGGCCTGATCTGAAGATTCATACAGTGATCAAACTCACAGCATCTCTAAGACCTGACACCTGTACAACAAGTCAGTACAGTCGATCACAGAATTCAAATATCAACAGGCCACAGCAGCACTAGCATTTTTTAATGAATCATGGTTTTCAACATGATTTTCTAACAAAGTGAACACTAGTCAACATTCACCTCGCCTGCCATCTACAAATAGTAAAATTTTAAACTTTTATTGACAGCAAATGTGCTTTGATTTACAGTTTTATAATATTCTTTTATTTCAAAATGACATGCTTACTTGATGAAACGGCATGCATATATGTTTTCATTTTTTTTGCAGCTGCTGAAAAAGCTTATTCAGTGTGGTGACACATGCTGCTTACGCCCTCTGCTGGCAGTGGCACAACAGAAGGATCGAGCGCTGCTGCAGGCACACTGTCACTCTGTTGCCAAACGCATCCTGGAGGGCACACGTGAGGAGAGTGCTGTCAGGGAGGCTGTGGCATATTTCTCCATTGCTATCATGTCCTCTGGTGATTAGAATTTCATATGGATGTTTGTTATTGATGTGATTCCTGTTCTTTTTAAGAGAAAAAAAAAAAGAAGAAGAAGAAGAAAGTTGTCAGTAATATCTCAATCTAGATTTGAGGAATACGTAAAATACAGGATAAAAGCATTTTTTTCTCATGTTTGGCTTGAGCTCCACGAAGGACTATATCTCTACATACAAACATGCAGACTGAATCTTTTCAAATTAACTCAAAGGCAGGAAACGATAACTTAAAAAATGTTCAAAATTCAGTTTCAACAACCATCGCATACTACTACCCTTTCTTTGGGTTAGTGCTGGTACATTTACATATGTATGAATGTGGTTGCAAAATGAAAGATGGAGTGTTGAAAATGTAATCTGTCCCATAAATACATTGTTCCAGGGGGTGAATCAGCAGACTCGTTGCTGGAGAGAGGCAGGTGCTATGCCCTGCTGGGCCAAAGAAAGACGGCCATCTTTGATTTTAGTGCCATCCTAAAGGAGCATCCAAAACATGTCCTGGCACTATGTGGAAGAGGCTTCACCTATCTCATGCTTAACAAACAAAAGGTATTCTTTAGTATTCATTGTATTTTATTGGATCTCCAGGCTTGAAGCTTCACTTTGCAGATTTAAACACTAGAAGTGACTTTGGGCTGCCTAAGAAACAATTTAAAAGAGTAAAATATCTGTAGTAGACATTGGTGCTGGTGTTGACTAACTTAGACAAGAAATGTTAAGTAGAGGTTTTTTTCAGGTTTACTGATATCCTATAACGCTTGAGATGCATTTCTGGATCACAGGAAAGCAACAAATGGCTTATTGTCCTCTCTTCACAAACACTGATTTTTTTTGCTGATCCTAGAAATATATTGTGATAAAAAAATGTCCATGTATGGCTGTGGGCAGTTTGTTTGTTAAGCTGAATTAAAAACATCTTTAAAATCTTCTCCCCTTCAGGAATGTACTCATGATATCCTGACAGCACTCCAGATAAACACAGATATAGTTACCAAAGACATCCTGTCACTCAAGGACAGGGCACGAAAGCTGGTCTGCGATTGGCTGCATCACTTCTGCCGAACCAATCTGTCAGATACCCTTGCCTCTAACACTGTTCCCTTCCACGAAGAGCAACTCAGAGAGGCTTTTATTATTGGTGGAGCTCTGATGAGGACTGACTGCAGAGACCCCAGGTGGCATCTCCTTTATGTGGACACACTTTTAGCCAAAGGTAAGATGGGAATTATCTGTGGGATCCTTGTTGTCACTGGAAATAGTCCTCTTAGGACACTATGGGTCAGGTTGTTACCACTTTGATGAACAGAAATTTGTACTCGGTGTTCCTTGTTTCCAGTGATATGTATTCCTGCTGTTTGTGGTCCATCTGCTTCAGGTGAAGTGAAGGCAGCAGGTGCTCATCTGTGCCAGGTGTTTGGACAGGAGCCGAGAGATGCAGTGGCTCAGGCCAGGCTGGGTGTGGTGGAGGCCTGGCAGCAGAACTACTGCAGCGCAGCACACAGGCTCAGCAAATTGACAGAAAAAGAGTCATCCTGTCTGGACTTCCTGCTGGCCCTGATCCCAGTCAGTCAGCGAAAACGCACTGCACAGGTATGGGAGCAGAATTGCTCGATTTAGTGCCATTGCATTGCTGTAGATATTTTAATCTACAACTATCAGAAAGTTAGTGTTTTTCCTGACAGCTCAATGACAGGAACAAAACATACGCCCACATCTCTTTTAAATTATATAGAGAGCAAATTGTAAAGTTTTGCAAAATCGAGAGTGAAAAATAAACCCTAAATATCAAAAATAAAACTGTCAGGGTTATTAATTGTTAACTTTATTGAGACGGGAAAATGCAACAAGCTATTAACAAGTACGTTGAATATTTTTTTGAATGATGACAGTTTTGTACTTACTTTGTTTAGAGCAGTTGTAAAATGAACTCAGTGAAAAACTGAACCCCTGTGATTAATACTTGCAAATCCCTTGCTCTAACACTGTCACAGGCCGCAGCACAGAAGGCCAGCAGTGTGGCATCAGGTGGCCAGTGGGATCAGACTCTCACGCTCCTGAATGTGGCAGTACAAGCAGCTGGCAATCACAGACCTCAGTATCTTCGTCAGCGGGCTGCCTGCCTTGCTCAACTTGGCTTACATGAACGAGCCATAGTGGACCTAGACAGAGTAATAGAACGACACAGAGGAGCTGACTCCAGCTGCTTAGATGAACCTCATGTCTGGGCTGAAGACTTGTGTCGAAGAGGGCGCAGCCTAGTGTTCTGCTCCAGAGAAAGTGCAGCTCTGGAAGACTTTACTCAGGCCCTGGAGCTCCATAGGGACCAGACCATCAAGTGTGTGGAGACAACTTTGGGAAGGCAGCGACTGGCTGAATGCTTCCTGCGGGGGGCGCTGCAACACTATGGAGAGCAGCAGCTCAGTAAAGCTTGGACATTAGTTGAAAGTGGCCTAGTTATGGACAGTGAGAATGTGGAGCTCCGCAGGCTGAGGGCAAAGGTCAAAAGAGAAGTAGGCAGCCCTTGTAATGTCAACTAGTGCTGAAAGTTTGGGTCAAAAGTACAGTATACTACGAAACCCATCCACAGTTTTATAAGACATTTAATGGTTCTTTTAAAACATGGTACTCTAGTTTAAAATATTTTGTTCAAATTTGATACAAGGTTAACAGTCTTCATCACCTTTTATGACGGCAGGTATGGAGTACACTGATCAGGATTTTCAGCACACTAAGGTTATTGGATTCTTTATAATCCCTTCATTTTGTGAACCACTTTACCTTTGTCGTTCATACATTTATGAACTAAAGTATGGAAAAATAAACACCAATGGTCAAGATCAGAGAGGTCCAAACCTCTCTTAAAGAGGGCCAAGATGACCAGGGGACATTCTTTTCACCATAAAAGTCACACATGAATACTCTATTTTATGACAAATTTCAGTGACTACTCAAAAAAATCAGTTCTAAGGGATTAGATCCATCTTTGCTTTTATAACAGGCTTACAAAATAAAATCTCCCCTGTGTCTCTTGATACAAAACTCTTGCTCCTTCTCATGGAAATGTTCTCCACTAGGTCGACCCTTATTATGTTATCATATTATACAGGAAAAAACACAACATCACATTTTCATTTTGTCACAGTTCTCTTTTATGTTGGTTTTAAGACAATTTTTATCAGTTCATAACATTTGTTGAACCAAATATTTGTTGCATTCTTTACATTTACGCAGCATTGTCTTTGCCTTTCCTACAATATTTCATAATTCTGATTACGTCTAATGTCCTATTTTGTGTTTTTAACTCTCAGCTTTTGTCAAGCTAATTTTCACATAATGATCAATACATTTATTTGAAAACCTCAATGTTTAGAGTTGTTGTGTTTTTGCTCAACATTAGTCCTGCAGAATTCCCAGAGCTTTATCTTAATATAAGTATCTTATGTATGATCTGTATTCTTGCTGTTGTGCAGCAATACAGCTGGTACCTCTAAAATCACTACTATACAGGAAGTAACAACAAATCTATGTTTTGCTCATAAACACTGCACATGAGTTTATTCCACAAATATTTGAAGATACCTTTCATGTATTAAATGTTAGAAAGTTGACTGATGGTCAAAAAGGGGGATCAATAGTTTTAGCGATGATGCAAATCTACACATAGAATTCAGAATCAAAGAAAAACAAAATGGGGCCAGAAATACAACATTGGAAGATGAATTCTGGGGCTGTGATTGGCTCCCAAGCTGGGCTGTGGACATACCTGGTCATAATAATCATGTAACACAAAGGACATCACACAAAATGAATTTCAATTGTTTATTGAAACAACCACACCATGATAGGAGATATGAGAAAGTGCCCAATGTGCAGGTTTTTATGCTCTTGAAATGATTTAGGCACAACTTTTTATCAGCATACCAGAGACAACAACCACTAACTAGTAAGCATAAATACAGGAAAACAGAGTTAAACACTGAATTTAGTCCCTAATACTGGCATTTGATAATGCTCAAACTTAATTAAAACTTAACACTCTTCTTAGCCCACCTAAGGACAGGCTTTATGAATTGACAGGGTGTAGAAATATGATTAAATCAGTAGTAAACTTCTGTAAAGATGGTCCTTATGCAGACACAGTTATATATTGTGGTTCCATGTTCCCAAAGTAGGATTTTTCCCACTCACTCATGAGGTCAAAGTGCAGTGGGCGGTCGCAGAAGTTGCAGGAGGCTGTTGCTGGGCTGTTGAGCAAGAGCCCTGCTTCCTGCCACACCTCCACCAGTTTCTCTGTGAATCAAACATACTCAGTTATAAAAATGAACAGCTGTATTTATTTCTGTATCATGTACTTCTTAGTTTAGCTGCAGAGGGACAACATTTCAAATGTCTCAGGAGAGTGCAGTGATTTTTACAGCATTGCAGTGTATTGTGACGAGTGGATGCCAAGGGACTTCTCTATGATTACATATCTACTGACAAGCATAAATCACTTGTACCCACCATCGTTCCAATTTAAATTGATTAGACAGTACCAAAAGAATTCTAAACTCTTTTATATCAAAATAACTGCACGCACCAACAAAGTACTCCATCATGGCAGGGTTGTGATGAGGAGATGGAGCCAAACGCAGCAGCTCCTCTCCACGAGGCACTGTGGGGTAGTTGATGGCCTGGACATAGATGTTGTGTCTCTCCAGAAGGGTGTCACACACCTTTGTGTTCAGCTCGGCATTGCCCACCTAAAAATGAATCAAGGCAATCATTGAGTATCTCTTGTTTTTTTGGACCCATTAGTGTGTCAGTGTGATTATTTTTGGATGAGTTATAATAATGTTATGCACTGAAAGAAGTTCAAGATTACAACATCTAACTTCAGAGTGCAAAATATCCATGACTCAGTTTTGCACCATTTTACTGTGAGTTAGATTACTCTGTGATTTTGCGTCTTCAGAAACTGTAAATGGATCAGAGTTAAACAGCAAAAGCAAAACAACTATGGGGCACTCCTGATTTCACTTCCTCTGCTTTGGATGTTGATTTATTAAAAGAAGACCTAAGGTTTCCAAGTTTTTGTGACATTAACATGGAAAAACGTCAAGGTCGTAAGTGTTTTTTTATGTATTATCATACTGTATCTCACCATACTATCATACTTTATCATTTCTTTATGTGAGCATACTAAACTATGTTGTAATAGCTGCGAGAGTTGTATCAACAATATAGAAGGTAAATATGATGCACTCAAGGTCCTATTTAAAAAGACTTTAAACAGACAGTATGAAGGCCAACCAAAGACTTGCATGCATTGAAAACACAAGTATGTTAATCATCTGACAGCAGCACTGACAGAGCATCATACCTGTATGGGTATGATGTGGCTGGGACAGTTGACCACAGGCAGACCTTTATCCATAAGCAGTTGCCTCATGTGTTTAACATTCCTCTGGTGGGCTCTGCGAAGACCCTGACCCTCTTGACTCTTCAGGACCCGCACAGACTCCAGGGCACCCGCTAAAACCATTGGGGGCAGGGCAGTGGTGAAGATGAAGCCGGCTGCAAAAGAGCGCACTATGTCCACAAGGGCGGCGCTGCTGGCAATGTAACCTCCAACACAGCCGAAGGCCTTTCCTGGAACAGCAAAAGATTACAGAGGGCATGTGAGGTGAGGGGAGAAAAAATCATCAGGGATGGGTTGTGCACTGAGTCAAAGCAGAATGTAACACAGTTAACTTCAGTAACTCAACTTACTCTACTTTTTCCATTTCTTAACACTTACATGAACATTTAAGAGCTCTACACAGCTCGATTTTTCTGTCACATGGTAATCCAAAGGATAAATATTGAACATTAAAAACATATGTGTTTATATGAAATGTTTTTTTTTTTAATAAATTAAACAGGCAGACAGCGTAATGTTTATAACTTCTTTGTAATGCTGATTTATATTACACATTTTACTATGTTATAATAATGCAGTTATATCATCTATTCAATAGCTACAACAAAAAAATGTTTTACTTTGGTAACTGGTAAAGTTTCACAGGATACTTCATTTTACATACTAATCACTTTTCTTTCACTCAACACTCCTTATTAGTGATCCATAACATGCTATGGCATTCAAGTGTCTGAAAAATTCAACGTTAAATTGCACTATTCAAGGCTGGTATTGAATAAGTCTTTAAAAAGGAGCCTAAAACCATACACTCAAAGACTTGGAGGATATTTGGAAATGTTGATTTATTAATTTTCTCATTTCTCATTGTTTTCTCATTTGAGTTATTTTTTGTCTGTTTGTTCTTGTTACTCACTTTTGATGTGCCTGAGAGGGATTCCTAGCTTCCTAGCAGTCACACAACTACACGCATCATAGACGCTCTGGTTATAGTTTTATCAGGGCGAACATTGACAGGGGTAGAGCTGCTACCTAGCTGATAAAAGTTCAGTTTCCTGTAATTAAAGCTCACTACTCCCTTGTCCTTATTTAACCTACAAGCGAGAGCTATTGGCAATCTGACTGTCAGTTCACATCCCTGTAAACGGGTGATATTTGTTTTCAAGCAGAGAGGTATCGAAGATGTATCTAGCTTGATCAGATGTATTGCTGGTGTTTTTGCAGGATGAAAATGTCCGTTAACGTCCCTGTTGATGTGAGCTCTTCTTGGAAAAAGGCAATTAATCTGTGACCGTTTGACATGCCCCTTCATGTTGGAGTAAACAGAGGACTTGATAAGAGAATTATGTGCAAGTAATCAGCTTTAGAGTGGTTTCTGTATCTTTAGTAGTTAGAATATTTCATCATACTTTTTATAAATAAGAAGAAATAAAAAAAAAGTTGAATCACTGAGTTGAACATTTTTCAAAAGAAGAGTGTTTCCACCTTACACTACCCACCTAATGTCCCAGAGACAATGTCAATCTTGTGCATAACATTGTCCCTCTCTCCCACTCCAGCTCCATGTGCTCCATAGAGACCCACAGCGTGAACTTCATCAACAAACGTCAGAGCTCCATAACGGTGAGCTACATCACACAGCTCCTCCAGGGGACAGATGCCTCCTAGAAGCCCGACAGAAAAAGACAGTTTAATTACAACTGTGCATTTTGAGTGAACAGAAGGAAAGCTGTGCTGCACGTCTGCACTGTGATCTGCATATACACTTTATGATGCAAATATATGCAGTGAGTTATGGACACTGTTTGCAAATACTAAAATCGTCTTCTCTGACTGATTATAAAACATTTATACTAAAACAACATTCTGTTGGTGTTTTATAAAGTCCTCCCACCTCCTCCTTCAAGAAACAGTCACACTCATCCATTCAGTCTACTTCAGTTTGTGCTTTATGGAGCTGTCAACAGTGTAATATCCCACAAAGAAATAGAGCTGAGGGAGGAGAACTATTTCCTCCCATGCAGGACAGTGATGGATGACATATAAAAGAGACTGAGTAAGTGCAGATCATAGAGCTATAAATAGTTTCAACCCGGCTCTCTCTTTATAAGCTGTTAAATACCAGCTTCGCAAAAGATAGTGGTGGATTCCATTCATCAAGTCCAAAAAGAAAACACATTTTTCTTCATTTTTTTCTGTGGATGTTTTCCTATCTTTACACATGCCAGTTTGGTTTGCTTATTAATCTTGGTTTTAGTGGGATTTAAAATCAAATCAAAAACGTTTTCTAAACAAAGATTATTCTACACATTAAGAACATTTATTGTTAAAATTTAAAGTTTTATGGTACTTGCCGTCCATTGAATGCACAGTCTCAAAGGCAACTATTTTGGGCGTCTTTGGGTCAGAGCGTTGCAGCAGCTCCTCCAGGTGCCGGCTGTCGTTGTGGCGAAAGATGAAGCGCTTGGCTCCGCTGTTCCTGATGCCCTGAATCATTGATGCATGGTTCCCTGCATCAGAGTAAATCTCGCAACCTGCACGCCACATTAAACACACATTGAAACCAGTGAGGATGACTTCCCACGAACACAGTCACCCCAGATCACATTTTTCACAAAATAATGAAGATGAAATGTATCTTGTCTGAAATAAAGGCCTGATATTAATAAATGTGTTATTGCTGCTGCTTGCTGTGCCCTTTTGAAATAAACATAATTTCCCCAATCTATCAGAGGTCCTGTGGTTAAGAAGTTCAGATGTCAATATTTACCTGGAAGCATTTTGGCCAAAGTGAAGAGAGTGGAGTCATTTGCAACAAAGCAGGAGGAGAAGACCAGAGCTGCATCCTTCTGGTGCAGCTGAGCCAGCTCCTTCTCCAGGCACACGTGAAAGTTACTGGTGCCTGATATGTTCCTGGTACCCCCCGCTCCTGCTCCGTGTCTGTCCAGAGCATCTCTGAGATCATCCAGAACAAAATGAGAAACCATTTGTCTCATGCAAACCATTCATTGAAAGGGTAGTTTATGTTTGAGAAGAAATAAAATAAAATAAAAAGGACTGTCAGAGTTTCTTCAATACAACCTCTTTTAAAATAAATGATCAGGCCTACACATTAAGCCTACACTTAAAAGTTAACACCACTTAAAAATGCAGAAATTCATTATTAGACATTTTACAGGTTCTTCCAACAAACGCTCTCCTTCTTTCATTTTACCTGATCGCTTCAAGGACCCGAGGGTGCCGACTCATCCCAAGGTAGTCATTACTACACCAGACAGACACCTGAGAGCTTTCTCGCCCAAAAACAGAGTAATCATCAGCGAAAGGGAAGACTTCCGCACTTCTGTTTACGGTCTTGAAGACTCTGTATGTGTGGTCCTCCTTCTTCTCTGCAATCTTCTCCATGAAGAAGCTGTCATAGTCATAGCTTGGGCCAGCTGTAAGACAGACATTCAGTTAAAACACATGCATCACAAGACTCAATGAAAAAAGGGCATATTTGTTTTGAGGTGGATTCAGATGTAAGACTTACTCATGCTGTCTTTTAAGAGATGGGTGACAGTGTTGGTTTGGGATGACATCGGGATGATTGGTTCCTTTAAACCCCTCAGCAGAGAGCTCATCAAACCTGTTGAACCTGTTGAAGAGGAGTGCAGGACTGTGAGAATTCAAATCAAGGACTTTTTATTTTAAATTCAGCAAGTTCTTCTTCTGTCTTTCTATAACTAAAGTGTTTCTACAGCGTTATGAACTCCTCACCATCTCTGACGTCCTCCTGTACTTCAGGGCTAGCTTTGACCATCCCCAGCTGAGAGCTGACAAAAGGACAATCCTTTGAAACTGACACAGCCACCTGCGCAGCTGTCTGAGCAAACAGACGCCTCTGGTCCTCTATGGGAAGCTGGTGGTTCTTTGTTTTGGTGGGTGAGATGCCCACCTTGGCCTCCAGAGAACCTGGGCCGCTTACACTGATCTGGCGGGTGATGATTGGACATTGATCGGCCATAGACAGCAAGGCGGCTCCTGTTCTTCTCAAAGCTGGCTTAGGGACTGACTTGAGAAAAGGGCAGTGATGGAGGAAGGCTGCCATTGTTGTGTAGATGTTCTGAGTCTGAGTTTAAATAGTAAAAAAGGATATTTATTAAAATTACACATTATTCAAATCTGCCTCAACAAGTGTTTTATAGCTCATCCTTCAGAAGAAAAACTTTATTAATATCAGGAAATGAAAAAAGGTAACTCATCAAGTATCATGGTTTTATAAGAAGGTTTTTATAAGAGGTAACTCCCTCTCATCAAGCCACGTGACCATAATGTGAAATGTAGATATCTCAGTGATGGTTGGAAGTTGAAGCTTCATGAAACAGAAATTGCATGTCTGTTCACAGATAAACATGCTTTATGTGTGTGGATTAGCTCAGTGCAGCCTCAGGGAGTAGTGGGTGCCTCTGGGTGCAGCAGGTTGCTGCTGCTTATCTCCCCCCTGCAGATGCTCAAGAGTCGTACTGACGGGTGTCATCAGCTGTGGCTGAGTACTACAGCACCGATCCAACCTTCTGTAAAACCCAACCAGGATGCATACTGCCTTTGATTATAAATGATTAGGTCCATGTTAACCCACAGTAAACATGTAAATGAAAGGAATATTCAGTTGATAGTTTATCAAATGACAATGATTCAATGAATGATATGGGTTTATATTTGCCAATCATCAGCGCTGTGAGTAGTTAAGTTAACTCAGAGGGACCATCTGTATCATTATCTCCTGCGGTCAGCAGATAAGGGAATTCTTGGGATTGTGGCTTTCTCTTGTGGTAAGATGCACCGGCATCTTTACATCAGACTGTGCCTTCAGACATGAAAATATAAACATTGTTTTTCTAACCTAAACATCTTTTGTTGATGACAGAAACAAAGTCAAAGTTCTGTTCACAAGTCAGAAATCATATCTTTCAGCTGAACTCAGGCTAGGGCGAACACATCTCCTGTTTCTTTCCTCTGACGAAAAACTGTTCAAGAATAAATTGTTTTATTGTAGCTTTATAAATCACTCACTTGTAAATATTTTTGATGAATTTATAAAGATAGTCAAAACACATGATGATAGACATTTTAAATATTGGATAGCAGTGTGTATAATAATTACACAGCTACCTATAAAAAACATTATACTAATGAATTATACAGCTTAATTGTATCTTAATAATTAGTGCTACAGTTCCTCTAGTAATACTCCGTTTATGGTGCTCATATTACTCCTAAAACAACAGTATGACTACCTCTTGATAATAATAGCAACAACAACAACAACATTTATAATATTAAAAATAATAATAATAGCAACAACAACAACAACAACAACAACAACAACAACAATAATAATAATAATAATAATAATAATAATAATAATGATAACAACAACAACAACAACAACAATAATAATAATAATAATAATGATAATAATAATAATAATAATAATAATAATAATAATAATAATAATAATAATGATAATAATAATGTAAAAAAAGAAGAAAGTAAATGTTGAGTGAAAAAGTCAGAAGCTTACCTGTTGACCTGCACTGAGGACGAACTTCAGAAAAGCAAATGGTGAAATGTTAGAAGTGTCAGAAAGTGTCACAGTTTCAGGTCAGAAGTTTAAGAGTCTTATGCAATCAGTCCCCCTCCCACCCATCAGAGATGTCAGTGGTGGAGGCCTTTCTAGAAGGTGTGTCAGTGTGTGTGTGTGTGTGTGTGTGTGTGTGTGTGTGTGTGTGTGTGTGTGTGTGTGTGTGTGTGTGTGCGCGCGCTTGTGTGTCTGTGTGAGTGTGTGTGCGTGGAAGGTGCAAAGTAATGATAGGAGTTAATTGAAACTGTAGATATCATTCTTTGATATGTGCCGTTAAACCAATGATGGTCTTTTATTTTCAATAGATTAAAAATAGAAGATTAAATTTAAAACCATTCCTTAAGAAAATTGGAACCCTGGGCAGAATGTGAGTAGAAAAACATTAAACTAAAGCTTGTTTTTTTAATTTAATTTAGAATAAACATGAACTCATTCTGAATTTGATGCCAAAAATCACATTTAAAATAGCTAGCTAGCTAGCATCTTAGTTTCATCACCTTTTTTTTAATTAACTCTTAGTTTAGAAGAGAAATGTTTCCCAATTCTTGTTTCATTTAGGTTTTTACAACAGAGTCTCCTTTTATAAGTTCTGTTTCATAACAAGCCAAACATTTTCAATAGATGATAAGTCGTAGCTGCAGGTCAATTTAGCACCCAGACTTTCTCACTACAGATCCATGCTGTTCTACAAAGAATGGGGTTTGGTATTGTCCTGATAAAAACATTATCTACTCAGTAGCAAATGGTGTTGACAAACATATCATTCAGTTTTAAGGGGATCTCCACAAATGGGCAGGTTATCTGCATGCCTGTTGAACTGGTGCAGCCCCATACTGTCACAGATACTTTTCAATGCTTTTCAACAGTGTGCTTGATGGTCCCTCTCCTCTTTGGCCTAGAGGAGGCAGTGTCTTGAATCAGTCTTGACTCCTCAGACCACAGAACAGTTTTCCACATCTGTTCAGTCCATCATGAATAAGCTCAGGCTCAGGCGTAACAGCATCCTTTTAACAGTGTTTGTCTTTTTATGGTAGAGTTTCAACATGTATTTGTGGATCATCTTATGAACTGTGATTTTGAAGTGTTATTGAGGCCATGCAGTACTGTAAAATCTCCCACAAAACTGTTACATTTTGGAGGGTTTCTACTTTTTTGCCAGAACTGCCCCCTCCCCATCTGTAAATTCAGAAGGACTCGTCTTCTGTGAGATGTTTTTTTTATACCAAGTATGGTTACAAATCACTGCCTCCTGGCAAAAAGGGTCAAAAGTCAACAAGCAAAGCTCAAACATATAAATATTTGCAACATTATTTCAAAGGGGGGTACAGTGTTAAATGTTAAAACTGCAAGGCCTTTGTATTTAAAAAGAAACATGTTTGTACTAGCAGAGGAAAACTGTTGGAGTATCACCGCAATAATTGTGGCTTAATTAAAAAGTCATATTAGATTGTTAGTTCATACACAGCTGTAACAGAAAAAGTGAATTTGTTAAAAACCTACATTAAAACAATAGTACTTGATAATGGCAATAATAAATGTCATGAATAGGTTCAGTTGTGATCCAATGAATCTCAGCATAAGCAACATAACGCACAGTGGAAACCAGAAGTTTACATACACTATATAAAAAGGCACATAACCTTTTTTTCCTCACCGTCTAACATTAAATCAGATTACACTTTTCCTGTTTTTGGTCAATTAGGATTACCAAAATTATTTTTATATGCTAAATGCCAAAATAATGAAAGAGATTTTTTTAGACAATTTTTAATTATTTTCTCAAGAGTCAAAAGTTTACATACATTTCATTAACATAAAAACCAACTTGTGTCCATTACTTCCTTGCTGATGTCTTGAGGTGTTGCTTCAGTATTCCCACATAATGTTCTTTCCTCATGATGCCATCTATTTTGTGAAGTATACCAGTCCCTTCTGCTGCAAAACAACCACACAACATGATGCTGCCACCCCCATATTTCACAGTTGGGATGGTGTTGCAAGCTTTCCCTTTTCTCCTCCAAATGTAACAATGGTCATTATGGCCAAAAAGTTCCAGTTCAGTTTCATCAGACTACAGGACATGTCTTCAAAATTTAAGGTCTTTGTCCCTGTGTGCATTTGCAAACTATTATCTGGCTTTTTATGTTTCTTTTGGAGTCATGGCTTCTTCCTGGAAGAGTGGCCTTTCAGCCCATGTCGGTACAGGACTTGTCTCACTGTTGATTATGACACACTCTTAACAGCTTCAGCCAGCATCTACACAAGGGCTTTTGCTGTTGTTCTTGGGTTGATATTCATATTTTGGACCAAAGCACATTCATCTCTGGGACACAGAACCCATCTCCTCCCTGAGTGGTATGACGTCTGGACATTCCCATGGTGTTCATACTCGTGTACAGTTGTTTGAACGGATGAAAGTGGCACCTTCAGTCATCTGGAAATTGCACCCAAGGATGAACCAGACTTGTGTAGGTCCACAATTCTTTTCCTGATATCTTGGCAGATTTCTTTTGATTTTTCCCATGATGTAACACAAAGAAGCCCTGTGTTTCAGGTGTGCCCTAAAATACATCCACAGATGTGCCTCTAATTAACTCAAATGTTGTCAATAAATCAGAGGCTTCCAAAGACACGATAGCATCGTCTGGACTTTCCCAAATTGTTTAAAGGCATAGTCATCTTAGTGTATGAAAACTGTTGACTCTTGAGAAAGTAATAGAAAATTGTCTAATAAATTCTCTCTCTCATTATTTTGGCATTTAGCATAAAAACATAATTTTGGTGATCCTAATTGACCAAAAACAGGAAAAGTTTAATCTGATTTAAAGTTAGACGGTGAGGAAAAAAAGGTAATGTGCCTTTTTATATAGTGTATGTAAACTTCTGGTTTCAACTGTACATAGATCACATACAAGACTAATTGTACACTTTTGGGATATGATACAATCACAGTGAAAAGCTGTATGTAGGGGTTTGTGTAACAAGCTAAGTAAGACAAAGGAGATGGTCGTGGATTTCCGCAGGAGGAGGACATCTCAGACTGTTCCAGTGAACATCCAGGGTCTGGACATCGAGATGGTGAAGTCCTACAGATTCCTGGGTGTCCACCTCAACAATAAACTGGACTGGTCAACCAACACAGACGTTCTGTACAAGAAGGGCCAAAGTCATCTCCACCTGCTGAGGAGACTGAGGTCCTTTGGAGTGTGCAGGACTCTGCTCAGGACTTTCCATGACTCTGTGGTAGCATCTGCACTTTTCTATGCAGTGGTCTGCTGGGGGGCAGGGAGCACCGAGAGGGACAGGAAGAGACTGAACAGACTGGTCAGGAGGGCCAGTTCTGTCCTGGACTTCTCCTTGGACTCCCTGGAGGAGGTGGGTGAGAGGAGGATGTTAGCAAAGCTTGTATCCATCATGGACAATCCCTCTCACCCACTGCACCAGACTGTGGGGGCTTTAAGCAGCTCCTTCAGCAGCAGACTGAGACTCCCACCTTGCAAGACGGAGCGCTACCGTAGGTCATCCCTCTCTTCTGCAATAAGACTTTACAACGAACTGCAATAAAACTGGACTCACACCACCACTTTTTTCTGGCATTTAAATTGTGTATACTGTAGATAGTTTTATTTTTCTTCTCCCTTTTTCCTTTTCCTTAATTTTTTCTTAATTATTACATTTATTTAAGTTCTTAATATAACGATCTTTATTTTTATAACTGCATTTTTGCACTCTTTGTCTGTGATGCTGCTGTGACAAAAAATTTCCCCCTTGGGGGATCAATAAAGGAATATTCTATTCTATTCTAAGCTACAATATCAAACTAAAACAGATCAAGTCCAAGTCTTCAAATCAAATATCGGACAGAAACTTGTCTTCTAACAGCCCTTCAACTTGACAGCAGCTCCTGTTCTTCTTTTCCTTATTCACTCTGTTCTCTGTTGATCCTCTCCCTGTCTGTCAAACCAGCCTGTAATTAACTCGTTATCATCCTGACAGTGTGTGTGTGTGTGTGTGTGTGTGTGTGTGTGTGTGTGTGTGTGTGTGTGTGTGTGTGTGTGTGTGCTCTCTCCAGCAGATGGTGCATTGCTTTTATGAATCGCTGCTGGTGCCTCTGGCCGTGTAGAGGCGGAGTTTTCCCCTCTGTCGTTGACGTGCAGGCGGCGGGCAGCAGCATCAGCAGGCAGAGGGCAGCAAGCTAGTCCTATCATCTTCCTGAGTGGATCACAGGAGCGACATCATCATCCAGCATCCACCCTGACAAGGACAACTGCTCCACCTAATAACACACAGGGACAGGACATTTTATTCCGAGCAAAGCGAGAAAATCGCATCGACAGCGGCAAGATGCTGGCCTGTACAGAGATGATCACCATGTGTCTTCAATCCGCCAAACACGAACACCTGAGAAAGCAGCAGGAGATGGAGTACAACAAAAATCAAGGCATCCCTCTGGTTCAGGATGTGAGTATATCTATGCGTTGACTTTGTCGTTCTGAACTTTCATTGTTCCGAATTTCAACCTCTTCATCCGTCCACCGTGTGGACGTGTGTTTGGTTAATTAAATACATGATTGTATCCATAATTAGACCTGACTTCTCTGGAGAAGTAATCCCCCGTCCTTCATCATCCTCTTCATGAATGGTTCACACAGAGCTAATGTTCTCATTGATGTAGAGCCGCTCTATTATGTAAGAAAGGTGAGTGCATGGCCATTAGTGCGTGAATAACAGAAGAGATGCCTCAGCACAGTCACGTGTTTGCATTCGTTTGACCATGTAACATTAAAAGCATTTTTTCAACATAGCTATTTAAATCAGCTTGGTTTTCCCCCCTCGTTTTCTGTGCTGAGGTTGCTCATGAAATTGGTCATATCCACAGAGTGGGTGAAACATGCATATTGTCTGTCTAAAATATGATATTCCTTACATTTTCAGAAGCAGTCTTACCTTCACACATACCCAGTCACAAACATAAAAATAGAAGATCTTACAGTTTTAATTATTTCATGTGGATTTTGATGGCTATTCATGGTTTAAGTCACAGGCATAGGGGCTGTCTCTGTCTATGCTGCCCATTTTTCTCCTTTTTGCTACAAAATAATAAAAAAAAGACATCAGTGCTTATGCTGTAATATATCTAAAAATCATGACCTTTTGTTGCACCTTTGGCTATTTGGCCTCTAGTTTACTGGGGACATCAAAAAAAACAAAACAAGCTGCATCATTCCCCAGACTTACAATTCCTGACAGCGGGCTGTAAATACAATTCCCTGGTTTCCTCAGGGCAGATTATTGGCAGGATTGGGGACATAAGACTGCAGCAAGTACGCATTGGCTTTAAATGCATGTCTTTTTTATACCGCCCAAAGCTGCATGACCTCCAGAACTAGCTTTATTCCTTCACCCCACCCTTTAAAATGGCCAATACAGGCCAGTTACTGTGCTTTATCTACTTGAAGATAGAGCTTGATTTCTCAAACGCAGCTGCACTCATCCAGTCTTCCCTGACAGCATCACGCTGCCAATCACACTTTAATTGCAGCTTTTCTTAGAAAATCCAGCGTCACTTGTACTTTTCCTCCTCTGCACAGATAAATAACACCAAATTTAGCTTGAAGAAGCTCCTTTTTAATCTCAGAAAAATGTTTGCTATTCTCTCTCTGTCCTTGCACTAGTTGAAGGACTCGCTGTTGTGTCTGACAGACTTTCATTTGTTTGAAAACTGTTAACCTTCATGTAGCTGAGATGAGCCTTTGCTGCTCTTTTTTAGATAATAGCTGCTTCACTCTCTGATGGGAAGCCTTTTATACAGACAGGTTGAAGTGTAGATGTTCAGCTCCTCCTCCAGGTCTAGCTTTATTGCGTTCAGTAGCTCTCAGTGTGACATATTAAGAGACCTCGGGGGACTAGCTGAGAAGGAAATTACTACCCAGAAGAATCCATGTAGCTAATGCTGCTATTTGAAGTCACTCTGTGAGATGACAACAGCTCCATTGACTCCTTCAACTCCTATGTCACAGCACAAAAGAGAAAGAGGACCTGTAAATCTCCTCCACAGTCGTCCATGTTTATTATTCACAATGAGGTTCACTGATTTGAGGGGCAGCCTGAAAGCTTCTTCTTCAGATGCATATATTATCACTTCTTTATATTAGGGGTGTATGACAGCGTTGATGCAACCTTCAAGTTTCATTATAAAGTCATCATATGTCATATCAGTCCAGAGAGGGTAAAGGACCATGCCAGTGTTCAACTTGAGTTAGCCTATTTATGATATCTTCTTTCAGGGTTAGATCAAATAAATAAAAAGAGTAATAAATTCTCTGGTCACATTATCCAGCTTAGCAGTTTGGCCTATTTTAGCTTTTTACAGATAATCTTATTGGTTTTGGAGTATAGATCCATAAAAAAAATTGCAGTGCACAAATACCAAACTATGTTTTTGAAATTTTTTTTCATCATTGGCAGGGAGGCCCAAAAACTATCAAAACATACCAAGTAAAAACACTGTAAAATGGAGTTTTTTCACTAACTGCAAATACTTAAAAAACTGCTTTTGTTTTTGTAAATTTTCTTTATCTGTAGTAGCAGTGTTCTATTTCATTTATCTGAACTTGTTTTCAGCCTTATGACGTAATACCATAGGATACAATATGATATGGTATGGTATATTACAATATGATACAATATGATAGGATAGAATAGGATACAATACAATTTGATATGATACCATACCATACTATTCCTGATACTTAGCCCCTGGTAATGCATGATTTTATAGTTATTGATAAATTGCAACTGATTAACAATGATAATAACAATGACAAGGATACATCACATTATCTAATTATCATAAGATTCGTGACTCTAAAAAGTGCAGGATTGGTGTCATTAACGCAGCCATAAGTAAATAATTATGCTGTCAGTCAAAAAGAAGCGGAAATCTGTTGAGAGTTGCTATTTTTGACTGAAAACATTTGTATTTGATGCTTGCAGTACCTTGATCAGTACCTTTAACTCTAAATCAGTATTCAACAGTTTTCAATCAGTTTGGCTATGACCAAACTACACATTTCCATTCAAATGTATCAACCTGTTGTCATTTTATTTGGAATGTCTTTCCCTGTCTTTTGAATCCATCCTAAATCATGTAATTGCAGAAAACAGCATGACTTCTTTCATTTCGTAAATGCTACCATGTTGATTAAGGTACAAAGAGTGTGAAACAAAGGAATAAATCTGATGCCTAGCCAAAAAACTTGCAGTCCTTTGAGGGCACTCTAAACTGAACCTTCAATCTTTCAACATGTGTGATGTTCAGTGCTATTCTTTGTAGTATGGATTTCTGTGAGGCTCAGGTGATGTGTCACTAATGGAGGGGGGATGTTGTTAAAAAAAATGGGATGTGAACAAAGATGGTCTGGACCTTCACGCTCTGAAGTGCTCAGGAAATGACAGCAGACAGATGTGAGTGCAGCGCTTCACTCTGATGATCCAGTTTATCAGCCAGACACTGGACTGTATTGGGCCTCATATGGAGGGTGACTGAACCGAGAAAAAAGGTGTCACTCTGATCTCACTTACTAGTAGATCTGACTTTTCACAGGTGCATTGTTAGACTGTTACAAGGTAGACACTGTTGTTTATGATTTTTTTATTGTCTTCAAGGAAAAAGAACAATTAGGAGCAAAGACGATCACTTCCTGCAACAAAAAAGACATAAAATTAGGCAAATATCATGGGGAGGAAAAAATAAAAACATTTATTCTAAAGCTCTTCATGGGTACACATAAATGTCAGCATTTCATCTCCTGAGATTTCTCATTGTTCTTTTGTCATTGAAATGCAAAAATCACTGCTTCTTCAACCAAGAAATAAGAAAAAACGGTTCTTGTACAGATTGTCTCAACATTTGTGGAGACTTTGGCTGACATGCGTCACTGTGGTAACACTTAACAATAACCATAATAAATAAATGGTAAATAGATAGTTTATTCATGTTTAATCATTATATAAAAACAGCTTATAGACCAATTATAAATGACAAATAGATAGTTTATTAATGTAAGTAAATAGTTACTTTACTGTTAACAAGCAATGAAATTCTGATTAATAATTTTCATTTATTATTGATGGACTAGTTATAAAAGGTTTATATAGGGTTTAAACATTGATTGTAAAACATCTTTATTAGAATGTGTGTCAGTAGCACTTTGTAAATAGTTAATATCTGCCTTTTAAACCATCTATAAACATTACTTGGATGGTTATTGTAAAGTTGCAACTGATGTTTGTAATACTTTGTAAATGATTAAAAAGTGGTTTATAAACCACCTATAAACATTACTTAGATGGTTATTGTAAAAGTTAGGGTTAGGGTTAGGGTTAGGTTTTTAAAATGGTAAAATTTACAATTTATTAATGGTCTATATGCTATGTATAAATGATGATTAAACATTAATATAACTATCTGCTTACCATTCATAAATGGTCGTTTTACCATTTATAAGTTATGGTTACAGTAAAGTGTCACTGCCTCTCCAACAGGCAATTAGCTTGGGATTATTATTGGATATCACTCAAACTATATTTAAAAGGATAGTAGGCTTTTCTGAATTTTAGATATCAATGCACATGTTTGATCTTTTCCATGACACTTGTGTCATCTCCAAACCTGAACAATCTAACACATTCTTCTCTTTTCACTGCAGATTTTACGCCGGGCTGACAAGAATGGTGAGTAAGCTAAAGAAGCTGCTAATGAGATGATACGGCTAATTAAAACTCAATTAAAACTCTTTAAAGGAGTGGTTGCACACTAAATTAGGATGCATCAGTGGAAATACAGAGCACAGCTTTGATGGATCTGTTTAGACAGGCGGCCTGTTATGGCTGTGGGGAGATTTATGTGACCCTGATGAAACTTTCTGATGTCTCTCTGCTGTTTGTGACAGATCCAGGCAAAAAAAAAAAAGATATAAGTAAGCAAAGATCAGTTGCAGGTGCATCTCTGTTGACATCTGAATTGTTGATTTGAACTAGTTGAAGCAGCAGGTGTATCATGTTACTTTCACTGGTATACACTGATAGAGCATGTGTTTATGTAGTTGTTTCTTGATGTACAGTAAATGTGTTCTCAGCATTGGCTTGCTTTTGTTGCTTGTGAACACTTTTTAAACCCCCAAATGGTGAAAACTCTCTTGAGGCTTGAACTTCATATTTACTTCACTACCCCTGCAGACATGTCATGATTATATTTCATTAATGTGTTACAATGTAGAATTTAAATCCTCTTTTTTACTTCAAAGGATTCCCTCTCCTCAGTATCTCCCGGGGAAACACAAATCATAGAGCTCTGCATAAAAAACTGCACTGACAAACAGGAAATGTTTCCGCTGTTAATTTTTTATTCATGAATTGCATCTCCTCTTAATGGACTGCAAAATGCAAAAAAGCCAGGAGATGAATCCATGTAGCATGTGTACAAACTCTGATCAGTTTCCTCAGGAGGGTGGTGGATGTGTTATGTAAGAGCAGGATTAATGATGCAACATGTGCCGCCATGAGCAGGGGTTGTCTGGGGTGCCTCGTGGCTCTTACCGAGATATTTAGGTACCAAAAAACCCCTCTTGCGATTGTGAATAATGAAAGAGCCCTGGGAATGTGCTTTTTCTTTGTGGCTGTTGTGAAGAAACTGGAGGAGGTAAAAGGAAGGGTGGGTGGTTTTTATCATTTCAAGTCTTGTTTGAGATGATTATTCTGTGAATTAATGGAAAAACAAAGTGTCTAAGAGCACAGCAGGGGTGTGACGTTCTGATGGAAATAGATGTTGACTGTCTTGCAGTTTAGTTTTCATATTCAGTTTTTGTGACGTCTACGTCTTGTGCTCCACTTTTCCTCTTGCTGCCCTCCAGTACTCACACCAAGCTTTCATTTTTCACTCTTTGAAATGGGAGGGAATAGAAAAGGGGTGAAAAAACTCTGTCACTTGTTTGTTGTGGTAGTTATCTTCAGTATGCAGCCGAGCTCTGCTCGCTTCTTGTCTTCACGAACTTACTGAATCGTGCACCCGAGAGGGAAAGTGCCTCCTACCAATCAGCACTGAGTGGGCTGCCATGATCCGCCTCGAGCACTGCGGATTTACCACATAATGAGGGCTGGCTACCAACCCACTACACTCCCATTCCTCTGCGCTATTGTGATACTGAAGCATAAGACAATTGCACATTTTTTAGAAGATGATTGCAGGATCCAGGAAAAAAGAACTGTGTCAACAGGAAAAGCTGAATCTTTGTCACAAGCCTGGATTTGTAGTTCAATTTGTTTGCCCCTTGACTCACCAGCTCAATTCTCCTTATAGAACACAGGCCCTTTTATTGTAGTTGCTCCCAAATGATTTCTGATTCTTGTATGACTTTTGTTAATGGAAACAGTTTCCATTCACAAGTGCATGTTGTGGTTTTGTGTTTTCTATTCAAACACTGATGGGAAAAATCACAGTGAGCTTTCCGCCTCAGGTATTTTTTAATTAAAGCTGCATTCAGCGCTGTAGCAGAATCCTCACAGGATGCAGGGATGTGAAAAAGAGCTGCAGCTCATTCTTGAAGTAAAGGAGCAGAAGCAGAGATCTGGCTGTTATTTAGCATGCTGGCTGACTGTTTAAAGAAGAGTAGTTACATCAGTAATTCCTGAAATAAAAAAACAACATATCCATATGATAACTTTTGCTTCAATTTTGAAACTAACTTCACATTTTTTGTCATTTAAAAAAGATAAAAGTTCAGATACTGTACATCTCTCTCCACTGTTTCCCTTTCAGTTGAGTTCACTGTTGTCTCTGTGTGCTCCTCAATCTTTTGTTAGCTGTACTATTATCAAGAATTGCTCTCTGTTGGGCTTTATGAATTATTGCTGCTGCTTAGGTCTAAGCACTATCAGCTTTAGTATCCCCTGGAGGAAAACTGTTCTTGGACAGATACAAGCTTCAGAATAGGGAGAGATTTTCATTCAGGTCACTGTTGCACTTATATTTACAGAGACAATTACAGCGAGTAAGGAGCCTCACCTTTGCAAAAAGATACAGATTTATCATCAGCGTGCTGCACTTTAAATTCTCCTGCAGAAGTGTGGTATTGACAGTTGTTAGTCAAATAGCCTGTGGTTCAGTTGTGGCAAGTCGTGCTTGTTAGTTTCTAATGTGTTAGAAACGAATTGTATGTGCAGCTTTTTTTCTTTACTGAACAGAACGTGTCATATTTATTTGATGAATAGCTAAAATGATTAATCTATAAACCTTCAAACATGCACAATAAAAAAAGCCTGCTGGTCTCAACCTTTAATATGAAGTTCATGAGCTCTTCTTAATTCCCTATAACTTAATTCCCGATAACTCTTCCCTATAACAACATTCATGTTTAACAGGGCCATGGCTTTTGAAAATTTTAGACATCAAAACATTGTTCTGGCAAGATTTTTAAAAAAAGCATGAGTCAAATTGTCTATAAGCAGAAGCTCAACCAGTTTAACGTAAGTCTTTGAGAAACGCTGACATTTGAAACCATCTGAGCTTCACTCAGGCGTCCAATTGGGTGTGAATCTTCACCAAAGCAGTTTAGATAGAGAGAGAGAGGGCCAGAGAGTGAGTCAGAGGAGCAACAGATCGTGTTTACTCCCACATCATGTGAAAAGACGAATTTCTCAGCAAAGTTTGAGAAAGGACTTCAAATTCTGTCGCCTCAAATAGCTTTATCTTCCAGCTCAGGTTTCACAAGGTTAAGACAGAACAAATGTTCACAAATACAGATTTTCAACTTAAAGCAACAGTGGGTGAGACTAAGATTGATTTATGCGCAAGTTGATGAGAGATTATTAAGTATTCCTCTTTCATTTTTTTCTATTTTCCCCATTTCAAATTAAGGTGTTAGAGAGGAATCAGGTCATATTTTACTTATCCACCCTGTTGCTCTAGCATTTTTGCTCATAGTCCCAGAGCCCTCTAATCAAATAGATCTTCAGTGGTCCTCTGTGGTCCTTTTACATGATTTTTATTCAATGTAAATTCCCCTGAAGTCAACTCTCAAGCTTTGTCTAATCATTAGTTAAAAAGTGAACAGCATAAACATGGAAAACCTTTCACTTTGATGAAATATTATGAGGTAAACACAGACTAAAAACTGCTTCAATCCAAATGAAATCTGTTCATGAAATTTGGCTCACAAGAGTTTATTGCAAATGCATCACGTACAGATTCTGTGTGAGCTGGCAATAAGTCAAAAAAAAGTTCTTCTTCACTAGCGAAGATATGATTTCCTGTTGGCTCAGGCCTGTTAGTCTGAGCTCTATTGCCTGGCAGGGATTTCAGAGTCGAGTCTCAAAAGGTTTTAGTGCTTACAGAGCAAAGCTGGTGAGATGGAGGTGAAATCTCATTATCATCTAGAGTTTGTGTGATATTGAGCTCTACTCTGACTATCCAAAGTAGCCCTCAGTCTTCTTCCTCTTATTTCCTCTGGGCCTTGAATGCCTCACATTGTGTAGCCCTGAAGCTGCTGATCAGAGGCTAAATGCTAACCCTTACCAGACATTTGTTTTGTGTTTATCCTCTGCACTGTTGTTAAGTATACACTGGTATAAGATTGGTTGCTGTGGAACTTGTCTTTATGTGGTTGTTCCGTGTATTTAGGAAAAGGAGAAGTTAATTGAAACAGAAATAGTAACATTGGCTCTATTATTTTTCCAAGGTTTAAGTGGAAAGTGCAAAAGAGAAGCAATAAAACCTCAGAGAGTAGAATGTGAGAAAGGTTAATTATTATTCAAGGAGCCAAAACCAGATTCGACCAATAATTGATTGTTTGTTGCAGTAATGGAGTAAGATAGGAAAGACTTCTCTTAAAGGTTTTACTTTCACAGCTAACAAGCGCACATTTTCAGTCTGTGTTATCTGATTCAAAGCTGTCGTTCATAGCTTTTAGGGACATACATTCACTGTTTTGGATCTAAATAGGCTTGTTTTAGGATTTTAAATGATGGACAACTTTTCATCAAGGTGATAGAACACCCCAGAGTTTAGTGAGGTGTGATTTTCACAGCTTTGCTCCCCCTTGCAGATGACGGGAAGCTGTCCCTGGAGGAGTTCCAGTCATACTTCACTGATGGTATCCTCACTGACGAGCAGATGCAGGAGCTGTATTACTCCATCGACAGACAGCAGACAGAGTAAGCTCATCTTTCCCCTGGAAGTCCTCCAAATCTGCTGCCATCTGCAGCCCCTCCTGCTCTCCTGCTGCCTGCAGTGAGACATCACCACCTCACTTCGCTGAAGAGAACGTCAATACCACACAGAGAGCTTTAATTTCTGCTATGACGTCCCAGAGTTTGCATGACTCCGTGTGCACACACACTGTCAAGTACAAATAACATTTTGAAGTGTGTAAATGTTTGTGCCACCGGCAGAGACAGAAATAGCCACTGAAATGACAAAAAGATTAGACTGTTTGCAAAGTGCTGGTATAAATATTCCCATCTTTTATGTAACATGTTTTTCCGTTGTTTTCCCCTTGCCTATCAGCAACCTGGACATAGACAAACTCTCAGGTAATCAGAGGTCATTCCTGCTTGTTTTCAGTGGGTTTAAACCTTACCTTGTAAGATCCTGTTGCATGTGTCACAAAACCTTGACGTTTATGGTTTTATTTGTTTCTACTGCTCCAGTCCCAGGGGCTGAAGTTTTTGGCTCACCACTAATAGGTGCTCTGATCAGTTTATATTAAAAATACTTAACAAATCCTTTTCTCCTCCAGCATACTTCAGTCCACATCTGGGAGAATATGTCAATGTCCTCTCTGCTCTGGAGAAGCTGAACGTTGCCATTTTGGAGGCCATGGATAAAACTAAAGAGGTGAGGCTCCTAACATGTCTGCACTGTGCTGAATTTTGCATGTCGAGATATCGTGTAATTGTGACAACAAAAAGACCATCATCCATTCCAACAGCTTTGGGGACATTTGTAAGAATCCTTCATGCCTCTGAGTGTTCAGACAGACTTTTTTGTTTGTGCCTCGGCTGTCAGTCTAAAACCCTCCGAGAGGTCTTTGAGATCACTCTGCTGTGACGGTGAGGGAGAAAAGAAAGAGAGAGAGAACTGTACAGCTGACTGATTCTGCCTGCTGTACTTGCTCTGTCTCTTTCAGTCTTTTCGCTAACAACACATTTCCAGACATCAGCTCAATGAACCTCACTCAGACCTCTCCTGATTGGCTGTAAAGCTGTGACCATACAAAGACTTGATTATCTGTTTGTTAGTTTTTTTCAGTATCGTAATGTTGTAAACCTTAAAACGTGTCCGAATAGTAAATACAAATATTTTTCACAAGCCCAGGGTGACAGCTTCACACTGTTTGATTAGTCTGGGGCTGGGCAACATTCAACCTATGCAGCCATGCCAGCGGCTCTGTGAATACTGAAGTCGTTAACTCTAATGCAGCTGTACCATGCTTACCATGTTAGTTTAACATGTTGATGTTTCTGTTATAAATTATACAAACTTATTGTGATAAAAGTTTAAGTCATGACCATGAAAACCTAATTTTTTGGCTATCCATTTAACAGACTGGACAGTCAAACAGAGCAAAAAATGGATTCATCATTATGGCAATACAAATATGTGTGTAATGGTAACACTACTGAAAGTAAAAGAGAGGTAACAGGCTGGTAATCGTTTCCATCAAGATTTGTTGCTGCGACTACTATAGCTGATTTAAAAGAAACACAAACCAAGTAGCTTATGGAAATGAAAAGAACAAAAACCCTTACATTTAAGAAATTGGGACCAAGTTATCTATTTTTATTGTTGGTCTGTTGCCAAATCAAACAAAAGAAAAGGCAAGTTTGAACACTCAAGCTGAGCACTGAATCAAATTCTGTTCAACAGAAAAACGCTATTTTTTTTCCAGTAACCACAGGCTCTGTAACTTTTCAAATACATGAATAATTTAATATGTACTTTCAATCATGAACCATGAAAAAGATTGCCCCTATTGCATATTGCATGTTATTACTGTTTTAAAGCTGCCAATTTTTTTATCAGGTGAAGAAGTAGTCTGAAACTAGAATTGATTATTTTTATGACACAAAAGCAAAGAAGACCATAAACACAGGGAGACTACTTTTATATTGTTATCTTCACATCTACAACTACTACATAGGGGGCAGGTGTCAGGAGAAGTGCATTTGTGCAGCTGTCAAAAACACTTTTTTTCTCCAACTGCAAGTGTTCTGAATGAGTGATAAACCTGACTGATAAAGAAAGCACGATGAGATTTTCCCACAGGGCCCCCAAAAATAAACTCACACCAAAAGCTCCTCACAAGAGCTTTAACTTAGGCTTACATTTTTTTCCCTTAAAACAGTGTCGGATAATGAGCATAGTGAGATGTCAACACCAATGTTGCATACCGTTGGTATTCCCTTTAAATTTAGGAGAGATCATAGTGCTCGACTCAGAGGGTGAATTCTCTTACATGTGTTTCCAGCTAATTTGACAGAGAATGTCATCCAATCATCAGCTTTGAAGAACTGTGAAACCTGCTAATTAGAGCGTTATGAAATCCTGTTATGAAGCCTGGTTGAGCAGAGCCGTGTACTGTATAATCCACAAGATGCAGAGAGGATTAAAGTGTCTGGCCTTGATATACAGGCCTGAATAATCAGGCAAACACCCAAGAGATCAACATGAACAAACCTCCACTCAGAAATCTATGGCTCAGATCACTTTTTATCGATCTCACCTACCTTAGGATCCATGTAGAGCCATCTGGTGAGTATTTAGACGATTTGCTGAAGATAGAGACTCAGGTATGGATTTTAAATCCAGATGAATGAGGATGCAGACTCACGATAAAGTTGTTTTCTGCAGTATGCAGTGACTGCATAGCAGGAAGTGGGTGTAACTGATGATATTAAAAGATAGGACATAGGGTAATAGTAGAGCGTGGCTGACAGTAACTGAGGCTGGCAAACCTCCCAGTCGTCAGACTCAACTCACGTCATGTCCTCCACCCAAATGCACCACAAACACGCAGCCATTTTTTCAGCTGCCTCAACCTCCTTCTCTTTTTTCTCATCTTTTCTGTTCCTTTTCCAATATCAAGATACTCTCTTTCCCTCATTTACTTTGTTTCTGTCTACATCCATCTTCTATTCTTTGTAATCTAGTCCAGCTCTTCTCTCCTCAATCAATCAATCAATCAAATTTTATTTATATAGCGCCAATTCACAACAGTCGTCATCTCAAGACGCTTTTCAAGGAACAAGAGCAGGTCAGGACCGCGCTCATTGTTTGATGATCAAGAACCAACCTAAGATGGGTTTTGGCCCATCTCAACTAACATGAGTAGCAGTGGCAAGGAAAAACTTCCTTTTAACAGGCAGAAACCTTGGGCAGGACCAGACTCATGCTAGACAGCCACCATGCCGCTGCTGGGTTGGGGTGGAATGTAGAGAGAAGAGGGGAGAGGAGGAGAGGACAGGGGAAGGGAGAGAGACAGCAAGATAGGGGAAAGGCGAGAGAGAATTAGTACGGAGAGGGAGGGGGAGGGAGAGAGAGTAGGGAATGAGGGTGAGAGAGAGACAGGAGGCAGCAGGAACAACAGCAACAACGACAACAGCTCATGTAATGGTGAAACAAAAGACGTTCAGTTTACAGGTTTAGGATATGAGTGATAATGGACAATGTTGAATTAATTGAGTGTGATTACAGTTAGCAGGCTTAATCGTAGTCAGTTCTATTTTGTATGTCAATAATGACAGTGAGGCTGATGTTCATGTCTGCAGTAACAGTAACAGCAACAGTCCAGAGGAATCAGAGAGAACAAGGAGCTCGGGGGGGGGGGGGGGGTCCACGGAGCCAAAGAGATGGAGGAGCTCAGGGCCCAGGATGGATGCAGCTGGGGTCAGGCAGTTCCGCAGCAGACCGTTTGCAGCATTAGTCCAGTGGCAGCTAAAAGACTCAGAGACACTCAGAGAGACAGAAAACTGGTCAGTGACTTATATGGGACATAAAGATCTAAAGAGGAGATAGAGACAGACTCTAGCTCAGTGTGCCAGATAGCCCCGGCAGTCTAGGCCTATAGCAGCATAACTAAGAGCTGGTTCAAATCAGCCCTGACTATAGGCTTTATCAAAGAGGAACGTTTTAAGTCTACTCTTGAAAGTTGAGAGTGTGTCTGCCCCCCGAACCTCGAGCGGTAAATGATTCCAGAGGAGAGGTGCCTGGTAGCTGAAAGCTCTTCCTCCAACACTACTTGTAGAGACATTTGGTACAACGAGCAGACCTGCAGACTGTGAGCGTAACGGTCTAGATGGAAAGTACGGTATAACTAGCTCGTCGAGATATGATGGCGCCTGGCCATTAAGCGCTTTATATGTCACAAGGAGGATTTTAAACTCAATTCTATATTTAATAGGGAGCCAGTGAAGAGAGGCTAAAACAGGGGAGATGTGCTCCCTTCTACTAGTTCTAGTCAATACCCGAGCTGCTGCATTTTGGACCAGCTGAAGAGTCCTTAATGACTTACTAGAGCAGCCTGATAGGAGAGAATTACAGTAATCCAGCCTAGAGGTAACAAAGGCATGGACTAGTTTTTCTGCATCGCTCTGAGACAATATGCGTCTAATTTTTGAGATATTGCGCAGGTGGAAAAAGGCTGTCCTAGAAATTTGTTGAATGTGGGAGCTAAAAGATAAATCCTGATCAAATACAACTCCTAGATTACGCACAGTGGGGTTGGATGCCAGGCTGATACCATCAAATGTAGCTAAATTACTAGAGAACGCCTCTCTAAGGTGTTTAGGACCGAGGACCAGAACTTCAGTTTTGTCTGAGTTGAGCATTAGAAAGTTATTGGTCATCCAGGATTTTATATCTTTGAGGCAGGCTTCTAACCTGGCAACCTGGCCTGCTTCCTCTGGCTTTATGGATAGGTATAGCTGGGTGTCATCTGCATAACAGTGGAAATTAATCGAATACTTCCTCATAATTTTACCCAGCGGAATCATATACAGGGTGAAGAGGATTGGACCGAGCACTGACCCTTGCGGCACACCGTAGCAGACTTTGGTGTGTGCAGAGGATTTATTATTTACATTGACAAACTGGGATCGATCTGTTAGGTACGATTTAAACCAGGAGAGAGCTGATCCTGCTATGCCTATAGATTGTTCTAGTCTCTGAAGCAGGATGGAGTGGTCAATTGTGTCAAATGCTGCACTAAGATCTAACAGGACTAGAACAGAGAGAAAACCATTGTCTGAGGCCATGAGTAGGTCATTTGACACCTTTAGCAGAGCAGTCTCTGTGCTGTGATGGGTTCTAAACCCAGACTGGAAATCCTCTAATAAACCATTGTTATGGAGAAAATCACAGAGTTGATTCGCAACAACTTTCTCTAGGATTTTAGAAATAAAAGGAAGGTTGGATATTGGTCTATAGTTAGCTAGGGAGCTTGAGTCTAGAGTAGGTTTTTTAAGGAGAGGCTTAATCAATGCAGTCTTGAAAGACTGGGGAACATATCCTGTTAATAAAGACGTGTTAATCATTTTGAGCAGGGACGTACTAATCAAAGGAAGAGTTTCCTTCAGCAATTTAGATGGAATTGGGTCTAAGAGACACGTCGATGGTTTGGCTGCTAGCACCACTGACTTTAACTCAGGAAGGTCAATAGGTACAAAATTACTAAGGTGCACCAGAGGCCTTAGGGGCTCCTCAACATTTTTAGGGTTATCTGAGAGAGAGACACTTGATGGAGTCAATAGGTTACTAATTTTACCTCTTATTTTTAAGATTTTATCATTGAAGAAGCTCAGGAAGTCATTGCTGCTAAGGGCTAATGGGATACATGGTTCAGTGGTGCTCGGACAGTCTGTCAGCCTGGCTACAGTGCTGAAGAGATATCTGGGGTTATTCTTATTTTTCTCAATAAGAGACGAGTAGTAGGTTGTCCGAGCAAGTCGTAGGGCTTTCTTATATTTATCGAGACATTCCTGCCAGAGAAAACGAGCTTCAGCTGTTTTGGAGGAGCGCCAAATCCTTTCACATTTTCTTAATAACTGTTTCAGCTCACGGGTTTCAGCATTATACCACGGGGCTAGCCTCTCGCGTGTAATAGTTTTCTGTCGAAGAGGGGCAACTGAGTCTAGAACTGATCGCAGTGTGCCTGAGGTATCATCAACAAACTGGTCGAGTTGCAAGGGACTGATGTTTAAATATGAGCTATCAGTAAAGTTTTTCTCAACTACAGAATTTAGAGCAGACGGAATTACCTCCTTGAACTTAGTAACAGCATTTTCAGACAACCTTCTAGTTAGCACGAATTTGTTGTGAGGAGAGTAACCTGAAAGCACAAATTCAAAAGTTACTAGACAGTGATCTGATAATAGAGGATTTAATGAGCTGACTAACAGGGCATCAGTTTCGAGGCCATAAGCCAGGACGAGATCGAGAGTGTGGTTAAAGCAGTGCGTAGGTCTATGTACACACTGTGTAAACCCAATTGAATCTAGCAAGGACCGAAAAGAAATGCTTAGGCTATCATTTTCCACATCTATGTGAATATTAAAGTCACCGACGACGATGACTTTATCTGCGAGAAGGACTAATTCGGATAGGAACTCTGAGAACTCTGACAAAAACTCAGAGTATGGGCTCGGAGGGCGGTAAACTATAGCAAATACCAGTGGTCTCATGGACTTTGAGGCTGGGTGCTCTCCTTGTCCTTTTCCCCTTCTCTCAAGGATCCTTTCTTTCCGACAGATTATACAATTTTTATGTTACTCTTAGACAAAGGTTTTTTTTGCCCTAAAGCACAGATTCACTTTTTTTTCCATCCTGAGAACAATTCTTTAATTCCTGTTGTGATGCAAAACACAACAGTGGCCCTGCATCAATTCTAAATGGGAAATTCAATAAACAGAAGTAAACAGATCATATCTGCAGTGCTGTTAGAGCTCCCTTGTCTTTGTCTTGAACATTACAGGGAGGAGAATTTAAGGAACGATCTGAGGTTTATTACTCATGTTGTGCAGCATCTCTTCTCACAGTGATAAGGGTTCTGACAAGCTCTGAAATAATATTTCTACCCTCCTCCTGTCATTTTTCATGAACTCTGTTTCACTGCAGCACAGTGTGCTGGATAGTGTGACTGGCTTCATTATCCACAAAAACATAACAAGCAAATAAACAGTGGCCACAGCACTGACACTGGACAAAAGGTCCCTGCAAACAGGCACCAGTCCTCCATGCATTATCATAACACCACTCTCATGTTAGTGAAGTACACCATCATCACTGCTGTGAGCTTTGCATTAATCAGCTCTTTCACTTATGTGCATAGTAGCATGTTCACACCATGCATGCTTTTAGCAGGAGATGGTGTTATTCCATTTGGCTCCTCTGAATAAAGAAGTGCAATCAGAGGCTGCAGAAGCTGTAACAGATTATTAAAGCTCTCATTCTACTTCAACAAGGGGAGTAAGGATGTAATATTGCCAAATCATAAACAACCTCAAAATAGAACATTATAAGAAGATGATAGATCATCTGAGCATCAGTAATTTCATGCTCAGAAAGCTGAACTCACAATTGATTTGCAGCTTTTCCACTTAGTGATTTCAGTGTTAGATTAACAGCCCAGAAGCTCCAGAGACGTGAGAACCAGCATTATGTTAATCAGTTTTTGAACAAATGATCTAAAACATTATCATTTTCTTTTCCTGTGACTGAAAGGGGAATGAGAGGTGTTTTATTTCAGGTTTTTCAAGGAGGATTTTTCTGATCAACTTCCTGTCTGAAACTGAAAAACAGGGGAGTAGGATTTGGCTGGTGAATTTTAATACCAAAGAGTTTTAGTTTTTCAGTTAACTCCTTAACACAAGGCTATTACTGGACAAGTTATTAAACATTACTGCCTTTTCTGATTTAAGGTACATGAAAACCTTCTGGCATTATTTTCTTGCCTCACAATTAGAGTAGCTGAGCTTAAAAAAATATATTATGGTTGCAAAGTCCGTTCATCTACTCCTGAGAAATAATTTTCTTGGACGTTTATGTATTATTTCCTTTTCTTTCTTTGCCCATGCAGGAGTATCAGGGCTCATCAGTGCTGGGTCAGTTTGTGACCCGCTTCTTACTGAGGGAGACCTCCACCCAGCTGCAGTCCCTTCAGTCTTCTCTGGATTGCGCTATGGAGGCTGTTCATGACCAGGGCTGCACAGTGAGGAGAGTAATAAAGAAGCCAGAGGATCTGCCCATCCAGAGGGTGGCCAAACGCCCCAGCCGGCGCATCCAGAAGAACATGTGTCTGTCCCCTACTGACCCCTACTCTGGCATGCTCACCACAGGTACTACACAATAGAGACAAAATACTTAAGGGTCATGTGATGATGCCAGAAATAAGACTCCGTAATTGAATTCTGGAGGGCATGTTGCTGCTGTCTGGCTCAGGAGGAAGCTGACAGCTGGTCATCTAAAAAATCCTGATTGATTTGGGAATTGATTGATTTTTTTTGTCCCCCAAGGAGCAAGTCGATTATTAAAACTCCACCAATCTGCATTCTTTAAAATTTGAAGGCTATTCAGACGTTTTTGTAATGGTGTGCTGATGTTGGCTTTACTTTTTCTTGGGTCAGGGGTCAGCGTAGAGCCGGACAACCACTGGGGCTCCCAGATCAACCAGCTGGAGGAGCTTATAGATAAACTGGAGTGTGAGGTTTGTATTAAATCAAACGTTTATACTTACAACCCCAATTCCTAATCTCTTCTCCACAGCACAGTATTAGATGATTTGCAACTCAAAAGTTATACTAATCTTACATTTGAAAAGACAGGAGTTGTATCCAAAGGATGTGCCATAAACATACAGAGCCTGGAAGACAATTAGAGCCTGATCTACTAAAGGTTTGCGTGTGCAAAAACACATGCAAACCTGATCTACTAAGCGGGTGTACCAAGGATTGCATTTGTCAAATGAGCGAAACACGACGCAAACGATTTAGCATGTTTGCCTTCATGAATATATAGAATGTATGTAGATCATCAGATCTTGCAAAATTCTGGGAGGAGCAGATGCAAATAGAATCATTTAGCACTCGCAATGGGATTTATCAAATCCATAAACCGATTGCGGTTGCTGTTTTGTGTCTATATTTAGCAAGTTGGAAAGGCAAGTACAAACTGGCACAGCATTACGCACGGTCATTGTGGGGAGAAGGAGGCAGAAGTGCAATGATAGACAATGGAGAGTGACAGTCTTCTCTGTGTGTGTGTCAACATGTTTGGCCTCCCAGAATATAATAGAGTAATAGTAACAGTAATGCCATTTTTGAGTTGCAGGGTGACCCAAGGGCTGCTTTGGAGACAGTAACAAAAATGATCCATGCCATATCATTGAAAAACTCTTTGTAACATTGCATTTTCCTGCATCTGACGTTTTTGTAAATAATAAGGTCAAACACGGAACACAAGAAAGAATTAAATGTCTGTTTTATTGGCTCTAAATTGTTTGAATCCCTTTTTTTAATTCCAAATATGTTTATTTTCATCTGTAAAGCACTTTGAATTGCCTTGTGTATAAACGGTGCTATACAAATAAACTTGCCTTGCTTGCCTTTTATGCAGTTCCCCAAAACGATATGTGCAACTCCATGGCTTCAAACTTTATTTTTCATCAATGATAAGTCTGCCCTTACAAACTCTCCACAGTGACAGCCGATAGCGCACACAAAATCACATTTAAAGAGGGTGGTCTGCACCCATAGTAGACCAATGCAATGATTGTAGATCACCCCCAACACGCCCACTAATAGCATGTGTAATTTTTTAGTTTGCACACACAGTTTAGCGTTCGCTATCTGGGATCTTCGTAGATCAGGCCCTTAATGTGTTTTCAGACACAAAGTTTGCTCTGGGTTCAGGATCCAACATAGTGTTGAAGGGGAGGATGATCCGTGCAAAGAGGGTGTGTTTGTATGTGTGTAGACAGGACATTGAGAGAAAAGTTGCAGCTCGCTGTTTAGAAACATCAAAGAGATTTTGATGTAGAACTGACTTATAGATAAGACCTGTGATAAGAGATGTTGTTCAGAGATGTTTGGATGTGCTATTAGAAAAATAAAGCCAATATTTTTGCTGGAGATATGATGAAGGGCAAAAATAGCTCAAGTGTGCGATTGAGGGGATTTATTTCAGATTTCATGTTTGCAAACATCAAAAATTTTAAAGCTTCAACCAGAAATAAAGACGATGCCAATGTTGAGTCCCTGTTCTGCATAGATAATGTCATCTGGCTAATATATTAATAATTACATTTCTTATCTCTGCAATGCAGACGGGAGTTTGTACAAATACATCGGCCTTTGCTGATGCATTGTAACAAAGTGTAACTAGAGGCTGCACTTAACCAGATTCCTATAAACCTTTTCTACAGCTAAATCTTGTCCAGCTGATTGCTTACTGAAAAAATTGTGTGCCCATTTTCAGAGCCCACACCTTGAACCTCTTAAAGAGGACACATTGGCAGGGACGTATAAATCGGTGAGTCCAAGTGTAATCAAAGGTGAATGTGCAGGATCAAACACAAAGTCATACATCATACATTAAGTTTCGGTGTCCATTTGTCAAATACTTTGGAAAAGCTGGGTGTAACGTTGTTTGAATCCAGCAATGATCTGTTTTCTCTTCCCTCTGTAGAACATTCTTCTGGTCCAGAGGCAAATGTCAGTGAAGGAGAGGGATGTGGAGCAGTTTCAACAAGCTCTCAAAATCTACACAGATGCCACCTGCAGCGAGCTAGACAACCTGCAGTACGTCCTTTGTCTGCCTTTGACTTCACTTGTCTCTGGATTCCCCTGTGACTTAGTGTAGCTGCTTGGATTTCCAAAACATATCAAATAACCTCACCGCCCTTCTCCTCCTCTCTCTCTGTTTTCTTTCTGAAGTGTTTCAGTCCAGAACTTGCCAGACAGATCATGCTTCATCATGTATGAATTTTGGCAGGACCGTCTCTCCTGGATGAGGTAGGATCAGAGGAGCTTCACAGCACCTAAGACAGGGAAATAAGTGCTGAAATTTTTACTGCTGAACCAAACACCAAGCTGCTCACAGGCTCTCTTTGAAGTTTTATTGCTCTCCTGAGAAGTGAATGGCAGCCTCATGCTTTTCATCTCTCTCTCTCCTCCCAGCTACCTGCAGTCATCCATCAGTAAGACCTTCCAGCGATGCATTATTGACACGCTGGAAGAACCTGAGATGGTCTCCACTATGCTCCTCCCAGGTACAAACCAGACAGCAGACATTTATAGAGGTGTTTGTCTGAGTGAAAAACTGGCTTTGCTATTTTCAGGTTTGATATCCAGAGTAATCACAAGTGTCATATATCATATTCTTTACTTTACACCAGTGACTTACTTAACTACAGTCAGCCAGTTTTTTCTTTCACTTATTTCAGTAAATCATCTCAAAGAGACCCACTTATCGTGCACATTATATGAGCACTTGCCACTGCTTTTTGTCTATACGATCGTAATGAAGATGTCAGTCTTAGCCTGTGGGAATGTGCACTGTGTATAAAATTCTTATTTTGCTACAGCAGGAGTAATAAAACGTCCAAGTGTCTTTGTCTAAGTTTTAATTGTGTAAGAAGGGGCAACAATACAGAGTACCTGCAGAGAAGCTCAGCTCACAGAGAGTCTTTGTACCTGAAATTCACAAAAGGAGGGGTGAGACTCCCATAGAGGATGAATCTGTACAGAAACAGTAGCCTACTGAAAGGAGCAAGATACATAGGGTTCACATCAGGTTCACCTTGCTCTGCAAACTCAAAACAGTTGCATAATCACTTTTGTTGACATGCCCAATTCTCCTTTGCAATTATTCAGTAATAATTTAGCTAAAATAGCGATAATATAATGTATGATATAGCATAATAAGAGAATTCTGTGTTTATCATAAAAAGTGGCACTACAGTGTCTCAGTAGCCATCATATTTGGCCCTTGTTGCCATATTTTTCTTCTAGCTTGTTATTTTTGTCTTTTCGTGGATAGCCTTTCCCTTTTGACAAAAACTCAGATACTGCAGGCTCTATGTATGAGACATGCTGTACATATTTAAACTAGGGAGGCCATAACTTTTTTCATGGCAAATTAAAACAAATTTATACTCTATTATATTCATATTGATTATTTGTTGTGCTTAGGTAGCAGTAAACACTAATGCTTATTTCTTGTGTCCTTTAACAGCCTCTTGGTGGATTATGAACAACAACTGACAGTGTGAAGCTGCTGCTGTTCCACACGGTAAAAAGAAAGAGGAAGAGGAGATTTTATGATCATTTTTATCTTTGACTTTCTTTTATATCCACCTATTCTTCATGGCATGATTAGGATTGTTTTGTGAAAATTTGCTCTGAGGTTATAAAAAAAGACGACTGCTTGGAAAGATTACTAAACACAGCAAGCAAGTCAAATCTTTGGAGGAAGAATTGAGGTATGCAATATTTTATGGTGTGATCAGGATCTGTGTCAAGATAAATTTGACAGTATTGGCACATGATTTCGTCTGAGCTGATGGAAAAGTATGTGCATGGTTTGTTATTTCTTCGTGCTAGTTTATTTTGAACAGAGCTACATTTTAGAATAGATTAAGTGTCAGTGATACCACAAAATAAAAACACATGAGAGACACCTGATCAGTCCATCCTTCACTTTCAACATTTTTTCTTGAGTACAGACAAAAACAGAAACAGTGCTAGGATGATCCTGCATTTCTCCTTGTTCTCTCTGTGGTATTGTGCTTTGTTGTCTCATCCAAAGCTTTGCTACCCTGTGTCTTTTTTGTTGTTGATGGGGCAGACCGTTGTGGGGCTTAGTTATCAGGAATAATGGTCCCCATCTAATTTTATTATTTATGTGTCACCCCTGCACTTTTAGAAAAAACATGAAACAAGGACCTAGATGTGAAACAATATTTATTCTAGACTGTCTATGGAAAATATAGTTAAGTGCTGTTGTAATAAGCCAAAAGCTGCATTGAAGTGCGATAAGACAGCAGAGACACAGGTCACCAAATCAATCTGCAGTCTGTCTGTACTGTTACTCTAGAAATTAAATTCAAAAGCCATTATTTTACATTTGTAGTGTGTAATCAGAAGACATAAAGATAAAGCACACACAAATAAAAGTTTCTATTTTGAGTACAGAAATAAAGTAGAAGTTGTAGTTTAGAGAGTGTGTCTATGAAGATTGTGTACAGTAGTTAAAGAGAGCTGTAAGTTGTAAGAAATAGTGGTAGAACAATGCTAGATGTACAGTATGATACTTTATTAAGATTTGGTTTCTTTGGTAATGAGAGGGATGAATGTGGTCACTCTTCCTTTGAGGTGTTTATCGTTTCTTTTATGAAGACTTAATAGATGTTATGTGATGCTATGTTTGTTTTTATTGGCATGTAATAAAGTTCACAACACAAAGTGAAGTATTGTTTATCCCCTTGCTTCATTTAGTGTTTATGAAAGTGATCTAAGAAGAAACATACATTTTTGGGGGAAAATATGTCACAGTTATGTCTCCGTTACATTAACACTCAGATTGGTGAGAACCCAGAACTACAGTGATTACTCCTCAACAGAAAACACATGCATCATTTAAATAAATAATGACAGTTAGTAGGCACTGATGTGAGAGCAGCCTGAGGAGCAGCTGTATATAGAACAGACACCGTCTGCCTCCTTGCTGGGTGAAGCCACCGCCAGAACAGCACCCTCTGTTGATGGGCTGCAGTATAGGTCATAAGTCCCGCCTCCTCCAGCAATTCCTATGGAGCTGTGGACAAACTTTAGAAATTTAATACACAGAACATACATTTTTCTCTCCCCTGCTTGCGATGTTGACATGTAGTTACTGTAAGACTGGTTAGTGCTCAAGTCCTCTTTTTTCTGTACAGCTCCATTTTTAAAAGTTATTAGGGGGTTCATGTTTTCTATGATTGACTCTTGATACAACCTATGGGTGTACCAAGATTGCGTAGCTCTCCTGTGAGAGTAGAGTTGCTGTTTGAGCCGAGCATCATCACAGCGACTCTTCCGCCGAATGCGTACAATGATACTGCAAAAGTAGTGGTTCCATGAAGTGGAGAAAATCCAGGAAATACTGAGAGCAATTCGGCTTCAAATTCATATAATGATGGAGGGCTGTATATATTATGGAGTTGTACACAGTATATACAGTCTATGGTTTCAACAATTTTCAACCATATTGAATTGCCACTGGGAATTGCACAGGAAATAACGTTCTTCTTATTCTTATTTCTGATAGAAGAAGATCCTCCTGCAATCCAGACAACATGCATCTTTTAGTGACTAGTCACGTTAGAAGTTGTGACATTGCATTTTTATAAATTTGAGGGAGTGTCCCCTGCAAAGTAATGAAAAAGGAGAGCTCAATGTCAACATTTCTCTTTATAATGATGAAAAGTTTAGTTATTTTTTTATTCATTTCATATGGAAGCTGTTAAAGATCAAGAATGCCTTAAAAATATTACCTATAGTACTTGAGACTATATTTTTTAGCTGCTATTACATTTTTTTTTAGATCAAATTCATTTTTAAATCAATATTTTGTGTCTACTTATTAATGTTTTTAGTTGGTAGCTTGGTAAATAATATTCCATGAACAGGTAATTATGCAAACTGGTATCCCTTGAGGGTGAGGCAGGCCAACAATGCATCCATTATATATCTGGCTTAAAGCTCCTGTAAGGAACGTTGGATTTGTGTCCATGATTTGATTTGTGCACACTTTGCTAATTATGTAATTCAGCAGTGTGTTCTGACAAGGAATGTTATCCTGCTGACTTTTAACAAGTTTATCAGTTATTATGAATATCTTAGGCATACAATGTAAAACCAGGACTGTTTCTTCAGCTGTTTGGCTGCCACCTGCCCCCTCACATCAATTTCAGACATCAAAAACTACAATATGGAATTGCTAAACTTGCTCTGATGGTCTTGTTGGCTTTCATGTATCATAAAGACATTTCAATCTGAATTTTGGTCTATTTCATTAATGCCAGAAAAACCCTCACTGGGACTTTAAAGTGGCCCACTGTCCTGGGCAGCCACCCAATAATGTGTTTGTATTTATTAGAAACATGCCAGTCTCTCCGAACTGTCAGTAAAATCTGAAGCCTTTTTTTTTTCATTTATTTTTTACTGGATTTAATTCCTGACATATACAAGTGCAGTAAAACTGCAGGTGTGCAAGCAAGAAAACAAGAAAAAAAGGAGGAAATAGTTTTTCTTTCTCACCTGAAAAAGACTGACAGTTTGAAATTCTTTGAAAATATGAGCCTGTGATATCAAAAGCTGAACCCTTGAAAGACATCTTACAAACAATGGAGCAATTTCAAACCCACAATGAGTTAAATCCTGAGTGGCTAGCTTATATTCACCTTTCAAATACTGCTTTGTAAGCTGATTCCTTTTATTTTTCAAACGGCTCTTACTGAGGCAGCTTTTACTCTTTTCAGTTAAAGGTTAACATATGATTTACTTTCATCCAAGAGGCACCCAAAACAATGTAGCTTCACTGCTGAAATTTCTATACCTCACTCTTTACTCTTTAAGAAAATTCTTGGACATAATATGTAATCCATATACAGAGTAACATACAAGGATTCCCTTTGAGTAAAATGATGATATTGTTATGTTCTTATGCTTATTATCCATAAGCGGATATTCATACTCTTATGGATATTAGGCTAATAAAATGCTTTACCTCATCTTACAGTAGCTTTAAGTCAGATCAGCCTGAGCAAGAGGATCATGTATGAATTCTATTTACATGTGTCACATGACTGAAAAAACATAAAAAAGCCTGGAAGCAGAGTATTTCTATCTGCTTGCCCAGAGAAACCCACTCTTGTAGGTCCCTACAGAGTTAGAATTGAACACTGTTGAAGCCACAGAAATTGTAGGAAGTGAAGATGGTTAATGCATGAGGTATTTCATAGCTGCAGCCTCTGGAGGGAAGACATTTTTCTGCCTTCAGACACACAGTGTAATCCTTTCTTGCTGGTTTTTCCCCTAAGTGACAGAGGGGCTTCTACAGACATGTTAAGGCCAAAAAACAGCAAGCTATGTGTGCCAAAAAGGATCATTAAATTCTCGGAGTGTGCACAGACGCATCCAGGCAGGTCTCCAATATATATAATATGAGATATAACAGTCCTAGAATTAACAAAAGCACTATCCTGATGCTTTAGTATGTTTTGTCTTATAACCTGCTTAGAATTACAGGCTTTTCCACAGCAGACTGAGCAGACACAAATAACTGTGAGGTGGAAAAGAGAGGGGAGATCAGTCAATATATAGATTCATCACACTGTGGGGGTAAATGGATGCCATATGTGATATTTGGCACCCTTTTAAAATCAAGGCTTTTTTGTTTATGATGCAAAGTGCCACTGCAGCTATCTGATCATTTATATGCTTGTGTGTTTCTGTATAATTAAAGATAAGTGATTCGACTACATGAAGATGGGGTGAGAGGAAATGAACTAAAAAAGAGCAAAAAAATAAATAAAACTGAAATGAAAAGAGGAGAGAGAGAAAGGGTGAAATGGTGTGTGAAGAGACAGGGAGACATTGTCAGTGGAAAATCAGGGTCAGCTGTCAGGGCACATTGATGCCAAAATAAAGAAAAATCATGTAGAAAGCCTGAACTCTGCTTTCCTCGAGAGACAACACAAACACACAGGCAGGAACACACATCAGCAGCATGATTTGCAATAAGCTATAAGGTAACTGGAGGATGGATAGAGGAGGAGGAGGATGTGGGAGGTTGGAGTAGAGGATGCTGGGAACGCAGCTATGGGCAGAGCATCATGTCTTGAAGCATTTTTCAGGCCAGCTTAGTGACAGTCAAACAAGGAGCGATTAGTGACGGCCTGAGGCACAAATATATTTATGGAATTTGAGAGTGTTTGATGTGCCTTATCAGATGGGCTCTGCTACATGCTTTTATTGGCCACACACTCGCTGACATTGGAGGAAAATGACACCAGCATAAGTGGGAGAGTGCATCAGCTCAGAAGCAGAGTGCTGCAGAGTTTTTTGGGGGGTATTTTCAACACGCTCTCATTCTTCTCAGACATGTTCGGTTCCATGGTTTGCACAAAGGAAAATATTTCCTTACCCAAAACGCAATTCAAAACAAAATTGTGCCCATGCCCAACAAGTTTCATGTCACCAAAAAACAACACTTGCAAGATGACTTTAAAAAAATGAGGCACATTTTCAGTTTGGTAATGATGCACAAAGCAGAGGTCAGAAAAAAAAGCCCTCGACCAACCACAGAGCAGGGGAGAGGTTCAAGGGGATGCTGCACTAAAAGCATCAGAGTAACAAGCACACAGGAGGATGCTGGAAAAAGGGGCAGGATGAAAATTAGAGGTAGAAAGATAAGAAAGCAATGACATAAAAAACAGCAGGAGGGAGGGAAGATAAACCCAATTTGCAACATGATCACCTTGTGCAGGCTATCAAAGCGAAATGCAAGAGGTTGTGTTGGAGGAGGTCTAATGAACAGACAGAGGTAAGTCAGTGATGATGGGAGGAGGGTGGAGGAGAGAGGGTTATGTGAAGTGTGAGGAAACAGTAAATTGGTTTCATGACACAGGGTATAAAAATAGGGGAGAGGAGGAGGAAATACATGGAGGGAGGGAAACCTATAGCATATATAGGCAGGGTGGAATGGCAGAACACGAAAACAACAATATCAGGTATATATGCACGGGAAAAAAAACATCTGAAAGTAGAAATAATGAAACTCTAATAAGAAAAATACAGCCTGGCAAAATCTGTGCACGCATATTTTTTATATATTTCTGCAGTTATTTCCATGATTTTTAACACTTAATTTTATATGTTGCAATAGTTGCAACATATTGAAATGATTTTTTTTTTTTTTTTATCAGTGGCATGCTTCAAGTGTCTAGGGGACCGGCCTTTACCAGTTTAAAATAACAGCACAAAGGGCACAAAGCAGAGTCCTTTGCCCATAGGGGCACTATAAGTTCTAAACCTAGTTTTTTATTATTATTTCACCCTTTTAGTGTATTGCTTTATCTTTGGTGTAAAGCATCTTTGAATTGTGCTTGGAAAAGTCCTATATAAACAGGATTTAAATTTATCTTTATTGTAGGTCCAAAGTGTCTCTATGTCTTTAGATTAAGGCACACAAAGAAAAGTCTACACTTCTTTCTGGTATCAGAGACTTGGTCATAGGGCCTGTCATTTAGATTAAATTTTTTTGTATGATGATGAAGAATAGGATCATGACAAAATCACAGAAAACAGTTGTAAAAGTAATACCCATTTAAGATAGTAAAAGCCTGGATTGCTTTTGTTGGGTGTCCCAAGTAACATCACCTATAAGTCTTAAAAATACGCCCAACTGATGGAAACATCAGGGTTCAGAGGGGGCATTACTGAAAGCTCTCTGGCAATGCTCCAAAATTGATAAAAAAAATTGGAGCTGTATAAAGAACATAATTAGAGAAGTTTCTGGTTTCTCTCTCAGATTATATTCTCTGATTGACCCATCATTAATGAGAGGCTGCAGAAATGCTGAAGTGACTCAGAGGATGTAGGGACAGAAGCCTCCTCTTATGGGGAGTGGTTAATGGAATTAGGAAGGGTGTGATCAAATTCACAACGCTTCAACATACAGATTAAAAGGTGGGAGTTGATGAGATACCAGGACCTCATTTATAACGATGCATGAAACAGTTCCAGAGCCTGTAATCGACCAATATACTGATGTTCATCCATATTCTATGATACTGTAGGGACCATAAGTCTGTTTGTTATTTCTTCTTCACAGGTCCTTCGTTGTATAACAGTTTACTTATATTCTGTTTGATATTGTCAAAATGTTGACATATATTGATGTGATGTAAATTACTGCACTGAAACTGTGATGGGAGAAAAGTGGACTTTTCTGTGTTATATGTAAAATTCTCAACAATAATAAGTCACAAGAATTTTACAATTACTTATTTCATTCACAGACTTACTTATCCATTTATGTAGATTTTCTTTCAGATATAATTTAGCTTCTGGTCTGTATTCTTATGTATTTATTTTTTCCACTGCTGCTGTTATTTCTTATCTTTTATCCTCTTTTTCTTCCATGAGGCAGTTACTGCATTTTTATGTTGTAATGCCTCTACGAATCTTGCAAATGTATGAATATAAAAAAGTTGAAAAGGGGATGAATTTTAAAAAAAAATGTTTTTGTATGTGTAAAACAGCCCCCCCCCCCCCCCCTTAATTCCCCCTTTTTCCTAATAATTCATTCAGTATACTGAGTTATCCTCATCTAAAGTAAAAGACACTTGTTTTGTACTGATTTAAGAGGCACTCCAGCCAAATCAGTGATATTGGACCTAAAGTTTACTTGAGTTTTGTCTCATCTATATGGTCCAATTCACAGTATTGTTTTTGCAATCTCTGATTTTTATTGGAAAGACTAGTCTGGCCTGCTCAGACCCATGACCCTTTACAACAGGTTTTGGGCTGACTTGGCTGAAACACTTGGAGTAAGCAAACATTATTTCCAAGTCCACGAGGCCACCCTGAAGCTGGGGTCCAACTACATACAGTTATGTCTTAGGGTAGCAAAAGCTTTTCTTAAAAAATCGGGGAAGCAAATCAGGGTTTTTGTCGGTTTGTTTTTTTTGCCACGTTTTGTACTTTGTGAAAAACTTCAAACATGAAGAATTATAAACCTCAGAGTTTCTTACATAAGACCCCACAGATCTGATATTTTAGTTTACTTTGAGTTGGTCTTGCAGTGATGCCCTATCATTTATCATACAGTCATACTGGCTATCTTCATATAAACAGATAACAGACACAAAACGATGTATGCACAGTTGGGAGTGTAGGATGGAACTGTGGAGGCAGAGAGATAAAAAAAGAAGAGGAGTGAAAAATAGGTGGTGAGAAGAGAGGGAGGAAGAAATTCACTCCAAGAAAAGAGTAAGGATATGTATACTGTCAAGCTAAAGACGCTAAGTTAAAGAATAGGCACACAGTTTAGACAGACAGACAGACAGACAGACAGACAGACAGACAGACAGACAGACAGATAGATAGATAGATAGATAGCCTTTAAAGTTCCTTCATGTTTTCATTGCCTGCATTATTTGTTTTCACTGTAATGGATGAATGTTTTTGCTGTATTCAGTTGTATTAATAATAATAATGGTAATAATAATAATAATAATAATAATAATAATAATAATTATAATTATAATGCATCAGATTTTAAAGCGCTTTTTGTCAGTGACCTCAAAGTGCTTTACAATGGATAGATCATTCATTCGCTCACACAGTCACACCCTGGTGGTGGTAAACTACCTGAGTAGTCACAGCTGACTGACGGAATCGTGGCCGCCAGTTTGCACCTCCAACCACCACCACACAACACTCACATTTATACACCAGTGGAGGACACACACTGGGAGCAAGGTGGGTTAAGTGTGTTGCCCAAGGACACAACGGACAGACTAGGGCGGGGTTCGAACCTTCCAGTTATTGGCTGACCGCTCTACCTCCTGAGCTACTGCTGCTGATATGAGTGAAATATAGTACATATTTGTTATATTTAATTTTATTTTGTGTTTTTATTGCTGCTGAAACTTAAGAATTTCCCAGTTTGGGATCAATAAAGTCTATCTATCTATCTATCTATCTATCTATCTATCTATCTATCTATCTATCTATCTATCTATCTATCTATCTATCTATCTATCTATCTATCTAACACAAAAGGTGTAAATTTAGACTGACCCAGCTTGTTGTACAAGGCAAGAAACATAATCACTTTTAACAGCTATACGGTATTTATATGCTGCAACACTAAAAGCAAAAGGGCAATGCTACCACACACTGAGAGTACACTCTTGGAGGAGACTTAAAATTAAGGAGGTTTCAGGTCAGTAAAAAGGGAAAATGCGCCATCTGTCTGTCTGCGTTGGAATGGATCAGATCACTTAAAACTCCTCTGCAACTCAGCACAGAAATAACTGGCTCATGGCTGACACATTTCCAGGAGTAATTTTAGTACTGATTGTTTGTTGTTGTATTTGTTGTTCAAAACGTGTACTATTGTCCTTCAGTTTGCAGAAATAAGCTATGCCAGTAAAGTTTTATGTTATTATTATTATTATTATTATTATTATTATTATTATTATTATTATTATCTGAGATAGGAAGATATCATTAAAACTACATCAAATCAGTGTTGAGCTGTCAACTATGTTAATGTTAAATCAACATCAGAATCTGACGTTTCAAAGACAGTTTTGCACTTTCCATTAATATTGAAACAACATTGAAATCATAACTATAGAAACTATAGATCCCCAGTACTTTAAGTTTTCAACTAAAACTCAACCTCAGAAAACGCTCTACATACAAAATTCACATACAATTTAACACCTTTTAAAAAGATTAATAGAGTCCTTTTATTTCATTTCAACAAGATTATCCAGTTACATTTTATTATTTATAGACTGAATCTGGAGTTGTCAAATATTTAGCCCCACCAGGTCTGAGGTGCAGCAGGACCATTTCTGCTAATTTAAAGGGAACTAGCTCTGTTGATTATTTCAAGTTATGACCACTTTTGTGGTTAAGTGATGCCAATATTGAGATACAATCTCAGGGCACAAAGCTAACAAGTCCCTTCAACTAATGCCAAGTTGTCTTGGCAAAAAAATATTCAGTTTCCTAACAATGGTGCCACAAGTTTTCTTCAACCAATAACACCAAATTTTCCCATCAAAAGTTGTATCAATTAGTATGTTTTCATGCCAATGTATATGTTCCTGCTTTAATGACTTTATTTTATGTGATCCCTACTACTGCCATCAAGACCAGAGAGTGCAGAATGAGCAGTTTATTCCTGATAGAAAACACTGTTTAAAATATGAAAATAAAAGGTAGATTATTCATCATGTTTGGCCTTGGTTAACTGAAGCCCACTTTCATTTTTCTAAACGTAGTAACATTAACTCAGCCTTTGACTTGGCACAGATTCATGCCTGCTGTAAAGTGAACATGTGCTTTAAGAGAATTATCATTTGGTCCACAAACCTCTGCAGTGCTAGCTTCAGGGTCATATTTCCATCAGTACTTGCTGAATAGTCTCAATAATATCTACTAAAAAAATCACAATATTAAAACTTATTACATAACTTAGCTATGCAAAAAAAGTATCCGAATAAATTCAAATGACTTGAAACGAGCTTCAACGAGCTTTTAAAAGCCTAAAAACCTTTCCACAAGCTGTTATTTTGCTCTGGCTTGAAGATTTCCCATAATGCATTGCGCTTGTATGTGTTTCACTTTAAAAACTGTGCATTTAAACCACCCAGAGACAATCTTTGATAGGACGAGTAACCACACGTGTATTTCAGAAGTAACAGTGTTCTGTGAACACACGTCCAACCTCTTTTTGTTACACCCTGAGTAAAAAGATACTCAAATTGTGTCTCTCTATAGGAGCGAGCGCGCCCATGTACATCCGGGCATTCAGAAGGCTTGCACACTGGGCTACCAGCTGAGGACGCTGTTTCTCCATATCGCGCCCAGGGGAAAGTCCCCGGACCCGTGGCAGAAAGTGCTCTGGATGATTCCAGTGTCGACATGTGCTCTACCCCGTAAAGCCGAGACGTTCTCTGAAACTGAGCTTGGTGATTGCATGTCGACGTTGTCCAGATTCATAGTCATGCAAGTAGGCAAATACTGTCGGCTGAACAGAACGGGGCTCATTCTCGGAATGTCCATTTTACCCTAACAATGTAGTTTCTGTTATTTGCCAACACACTTCGACAGCAACAAAGTAATTCCGGAGAGCAGGTGGTACTGGTAAACTGTAGGACTCTGAACCTCTGCATGATATCAATTTAGTGGCGCATGCATGATTAAGGGCTTGGAGTTTTGTGGAGAGCATCTCTTTCTTTTCACTTCATCTTTTGTTGGCTACTTCGTGATTTTCCGGAATGCACCAGGAACAAAACTGTATTTACAGATAAGCTTGTGAAGGTCGCCATCTGGTGGTTGAAAAGCCTCTGTCAATCCAATTCAATACAACAACTCCACCATAAATTCTGCTTTCAGGAACATTTTAATTTGCAGTGAGTTTGTTGCTCATTTTGTCCACATCATTGACAAACATTACAATATTAAGTACACTTCTAACAAACTGCAGTACACCAACAACTACCAATACAACGTCAAATCTCTAATTTAACAGAGATCACCTGTATGACCATTTCAACAAAAATTGAAATTGATGACGCTTTACCAAAGAAGAATTAAGTAGAGCTGCTGTATTGGATTGTATAAGATTGTCCACACATATGGAATAGCTGGTAGGCATGGATCAATCAAACGGATCTATTTAAGTTAAATAAGACATAAAAACAAAAAAGTAATAAAAGAGAAAAACTTAAGACAAGAATGGGGAAATCCGTTAGTATATTCATTTCAGGTGAAAAACACAGATGCTTCGATTGGCTGGTCAGGTCTTCCGGATGTTTAAACCCCCTGTGTTTTTTTTTAAAGAGTTTATGAAATAGACTGACTTTCTATAATATACTATAAAAACCAACAATACCATAAACAGCAACAGTATTTTGTCATTTTAAAAGCCTGATACATTTGACAGTCAAAAGTCAGCAGGGTGAGTTTTTTTGTCTGAAGTCACGACTTCGACATTGGATGGACAAGATAGGCAAAGACTGATAAAAAAAATAATAAAAAATAAATAAATTTAAAAATGTGGGTCCATGGCCAGGAAAATCCCCATAACTTAATCCTATTGAGAACTTGTGGTCAAGCCTCAAGGGGCAGGTGGATAAACAAAAGCATTGCTCAAGCAGTGATTATGCAAGAACAGGCTGCCATCAGTCAGGATGATGCCCAGAAGTTGATTGACAGCATGCCAGAGTAAATTGCGGAGGTCTTGAGAAAGAAGGGTCAACACTGCAAATACTGACTTGTTGCATAAACTAAATGTAATTATCAATTAAAGCCTTTGACAAGTATGAAATGCTTGTAATTATACTTAAGTATACTGTAGTAACATCTGACAAAAAAAGATTTTAAAACACAGACTTTGTGAGTTAATATTTGTGTCATTCTCAAATTTGTGGCCACAGCTGTAGCTGTAGCCTTCAAACATATTTGCAATGATCTGAAGGTTGGTCCTGGCCAATCAACTTATGACCATCAAACAGCTGAGGAAATAAACAGGTGGGAAAAAATCCGGTAATGCACTGATGAAAAAAATAATGTGCCATCATTATCATCATGTTGCATTTTTCATAACAGAATTAATAGGAGCAGTGAGTCTCCATTTTCTGTAGTGACACCGTCCTGCATGGCGGAGGAAGAACAAAGACACTTGTTTTTCCCTAGCAACACCACTAGAGGGAGCACTGGATTCACAACATCTCTCCTAATTCACTCTGACATGATGGCACACATGGACACACATGACAGACTGTATACTACTGGATTAGGCAGAACATGGAGAGATTACAGCGTCACATGACAGACCCTCCAAATGGTGCCTGCCAGTAACCTACTTCCCACTCTGAGCTATCCCATCATTCAGTTTGAGTGGGTGTGGGCTCAGGCAGCAGCAGCATCACAAAGGTTCAGCTCCTCCCTGCTGTATCCTGGAGAGACAGAGGGAGGGAGGGAGGAAGAGAGGGAGAGACAGAGAGAGGATCAGGGTCAGCTCGATTCCAGTCTGAGTGACGAAGGCAGCGTGTGTGCAAATGAAGAGGAGAGTGTGTGTGCATGTGTGAGAGACGACAAATCAGGGAGGGTTAGAGGGAGAGACGAGGGGGGGCTGGATTGTGTATGTGAGAGAGACAGAGAGGAAATCCAGGCAGGAGGAGGAAAAGGTGCATAAAGGGAGGAAGGAAAAGGGAGTAAGGAGGAAAAAGACAAGACAAGGGAACCAAGAGTAGAAGGTGATGATGGCTGAGCCGGAGCTGAAATCACGGAGCAGTCGGGAGAGCATTGCCAAGGCGACAAACCAGGAGAAGATGGGGGGTAGGTACTGTGCATGCTCACTCTCCTGTAGATACCACATGGTGCAAGGCTGCATTATCCCGCCATGTGCCCTGATGCAACATTGCCTAATACCAAAGTACACTCGGTTTGAATTTACCACTGAGATCCAACTGTCTGCTTTGGACATTAATGTAGTGTTGATAGGTGACTCAATGAATAGATGAGGAAATCAAGCTCATTTTACACCCTCGAAATAACATTATGTTCCCAACTGGGCCCAATCCTTTGATGTAGTATGTGTCTATAGAAGAAGGAGGCAAATGAGGGAAATTAAAGTCAATCCTGAGAAACAGGTTGTTAAAGTGGCCCTATTGTGCCTGTTAAACCTGCTTTTTGATACTCTGTGCCACAATCTCTCCAGATTTCTAAAACTACAATTCAAAATGTGGAAATTCCTGCTCAACATGTGGACTGAAACTATGGAAATGATGAAAATGTAGTCCAGTAAGTTTTGTTTTACACTCTATTATATCAAGCAGCACAGAACTTTCCCAGAGAGGAGAGTTTAAAGAAAAGTGACCTGAAAACAGGAATTTCTCTTTATATTTGTTTTGACTTAACTTGAGAGGTTGTCTGTCATATATGAAACTCTAATCTTATTTCCTTGTCTTCTGTCCACTCTCCTTCAGCAGCAGAAGCAGATCCAGACCAAGATGGTCTAATTGTTGAGCAGCCAACATCTCCGACCACCCCAATGGTCCCTGCTGCCACTGCCACAAGCCCCACAAGTGACTCACCTAAAGGAGAGAAGATCGTGCTCAAACGCAGCATCACCCTCTTCAACGGTGTGGGAATGATCATAGGCACCATCATCGGCTCGGGCATTTTTGTCACTCCAACAGGCGTGATCAAAGAAACTGGCTCAGCTGGGCTCTCCCTGATTGTTTGGTCTGTCTGTGGAGTGATCTCTACCATGGGTGCCCTGTGCTACGCTGAGTTGGGCACAACTATCACCAAGTCAGGGGGGGACTACACCTACATTCTGGAGGTGTATGGTGAACTGGCGGCCTTTTTGAAGCTGTGGATTGAGATGCTTATCATTCGGCCTTCATCCCAGTATGTGGTGTCTCTGGTGTTTGCTACATACCTTCTGAAACCTCTTTACCCAAACTGCGCCGTTCCTGACAGTGCTGCTAAGCTCATTGCCTGCCTGTGTCTTAGTGAGTGGAAGTTTTTGGCTGGCAAAGTCTTACTATTCAACTTCTTTATAGATATAAAAATGTCACAACATTCATACCTTTAATACTGGTTTCCACCTAAGTTTGTATTTTTCCCTCCTTTTTTCACCTTTTGTAGCTTCTCTGACATTTGTCAACTGCATTAGTGTGAGAGCAGCCACCAAGGTCCAGGACTTGTTTACAGCCTCCAAATTACTAGCCCTGATCATCATTATCCTCTTTGGCTTCATCCAGATTTTCACAGGTGAGTCCCACTGAGCAGACAGAGGACCAAGACCACAAACAAAAGTAGAAAGGCTTTTTTTCTGATTTTGGTTTGTAGATGGTAAAGCCACAAATACACACCTTTTTAACACATTAAACACACAGTAATGTCATAACTCTACTGAATATCAGCGGGATGACCAACACTTAGGATTTTTTACTATCTGGTGTCCTGCTATGCCAATTTGTCCATCTTCATCACATCCTGTTGCCAAATGAGGTGCAAAAATTAGTGCAACTGTCCTCGTTGGCTTCCAGCTTATTGTTAGTGTGTGATAGAGATTATGCCAGTATGGAAATTTATAGTGTATGTCGTACTGCATAACCTTGTCAAAAGCCAATAACTGAAACAGTACTTGAATCTGATGTAATTTTAGAAAATGCTTCAGTAAATAGTTAAACTTACAATGGTGAGGTTTGCACATGGTCTTTGCTGTACATCTTCCTTCATGTACTGAAGCTGCCTCCAGTCACCTCCCCTTGATTTACTTGTTTTGTACAATAGTGATGGTTAAAAAAGTGCAACAAAGCCAAAGCTCCATTAATCTGCTGATCAAAGTACCGTTATATCTGTTCTTTCTTCATCCTGTTGACTGTGGCTCTAAAGCTGAGGTTGATTTCTTTTGTCTCTAATGATCAACAAATAGTTGACGAACACAAATGAGCCCAATCAAGCAGACTGCCCTCCTTTCACTTTGTTAACACACTTACTGAGTCTGAACACAAGGACTGTCTGTCTGCAGCCAAGTGATTGGGCCTGAGCCACTGTGCAACCATGTGCATGTGAGTCTACAGTATGTGGGTGTGCTTTGAAGATAAACTCTGCTGGGCTTGGTTTCATACATGACTCAAATCTGCACTGGACACCGAACACAGTATGATTAAATTAATATGCATTAAAGAGTAAAAGAAGTCCTTTACAATTAGAGACAGAAGCAACTGCTGCTCACACAGTTTATAACGTACAGCTTCAAAAATTAAAAAATATAACAAGAGAGACACAAACTTATCTGTTAGTCAAACTGAGTTAACACAGCCACCCAGTGATCTCCAGTCAAACTATTCAAAATCCAAAATAGCGGGAAGACAGTGAGGCCATCGTTTGCTTCATGCTACATCTGCTGCTCTCCCCCTTTTGCAAGCCAAGCCCTCCACCATTGTGCTCTACACTGTGTAACCATGGAAACTAGGCGGCGAAGCTGTTGTCACACTGTGGTCTTTCAAAGTGCACGAGAGAAGGATGGGGTGAGAAAATAACGTGTGTGTGATAGGCCTCACAGAGAGCACAGTCATTAGCATCTGAAAGCGACAGGTAGAGAAGAGAGTCACGCACGACCAAAACTTCAAGCACACACACTAGGACACACACACACACTTAGCCAACTTGACAGATTTTTTTTTAAGCTGCTCTGAATAAATTAGTGTACTTGTTGGAAAGATATTTCTGCTGTTTTTTTTCAAATGTCAGCTGGTCAGGGTCTGATTATGTTTCAGTACATCAAAGCAGATGCTCAAACCTCGAGACAAAGTGAACAGATAAAGACCCAGTGGGCCAGTTCCTGGTTGAAAATGTCAAGTGTGTGAAAGGGCAAGCAAATACAGGCCAGCATTCATGCAAGAAATAAAAAGTGACAGCAGCCCTAAAAGAGGATACTCTGCATGTCTTTGAAACCACAGCATTTCCTCATTTTGGTTTGAAGGTGAATTGTTCCTCTTTTAGTTATTTCTGAATTTATTCTTATTTCTTTATCTGTTTGTACAGGTGATGTACCCTACCTTAAACCTGAAAACGCATTTGAAGGCAGCAAACTGGGAGTGGACAACATTGTCTTGGCCCTGTACAGTGGCCTCTTTGCTTTCGGAGGCTGGTAAGGCAGTTGTTACCATAATCATTTGGATAGAGTAACAGCCCAGAGTTAGATATGTTTTATTTGAGCTACTTACTCTTTACCTTTGAAACACAATAAAAACAAACAATAAACAATAATTTCAAGCTTTATCCAATCCTTAAAATAATGTTCCTGCTCTGTGTTTTCTTTCAGGAATTACCTGAATTATGTGACAGAGGAGATGATCAATCCAGAGAGGTGACTTAAATGTGATGCAGGTTGTATTGAGGATTGTACAGCCTCTCCTGTAATTATATGCCAACAGCATGACTAACTGCATCCATGACTGAGCTTGTTTGCATGGAGATACCAAATGAAAAGTGACCTAACAACAGAAAACAATCTTGTGCAGTATCTTGAAAAACCAAGTTCTAAGCTCAAATATATAAGCTTGACTATTATTGCATTGGATTGGACAGAAAATTCTATCTGCAAAGCATGTGTCACCATCAAAATATAAAAATTGCGCAGTTAAATGGGAGCTCATTAACACAAATCCACTTACTAATTTCATTATTACAATGAAAACAATCAAATAATTTGTAGAGTTCTTTTCTCAAATGACCTTTGACCTCTCCCTCTCCAGGAACCTGCCCTTGTCCATCATCATATCCATGCCTATAGTGACAGTGGTCTATGTTCTTACCAACCTGGCCTACTTCACCACCATCTCTCCTGAGGTTATGGTGGAGTCTGAAGCTGTTGCTGTGGTGAGCTGCACAAGAGTGTCAAACTGTGTACTTACAAACTTCAGCTCAAAGGTTGTGTTTAGATGAAGTGTGAGGAGACTTTATTCATGTTGTTGTTTGGCAGAGTTTTGGAGAGTATCATCTTGGTGTAATGGCCTGGCTCATTCCTGTGTTTGTGGGATTGTCTTGTTTTGGAGCCGTCAATGGATCCCTGTTCACCTCTGCAAGGTTGGTATTTATTGCTTGCAATTTACAACAGTTGTTTTCATTTATCACAGCTTGTAGCTCACGGACAGTGCGGACGAAACTTACTTTGTGGAAAAGTTGAGAGTACAAGTTTCCCTTTCTCAAACAAACTTCATCACTTACAAAAAGCCAACTATATTGTCTCACAATTATTATTCAAGTACTTTATCATCCACTAGGTTGTTCTATGCTGGGGCTCGAGAGGGTCAACTCCCTGCTGCTCTGGGATTGGTCCACACAGACCTCTTCACACCAGTGCCGTCCCTCATCTTCACAGTAAGAGTCTTGCTACTAAAAGCAGTGACTTAAGGTTTATTTAAACTTTGCAAAGAATCACAGTTTCAAAGCAACAAAGCAGTTGTTATGTCCCAATATGAGTCATGTTTATAAATCCTGGACTGTCTTGGCTTTGACCATGAACTTCATATTTTTTACTTATGAAATCTTTGAAATGTGTAGACAAGAGTAGTGGCACAACTTCAGCTGTGTGTACTAAACACCTTAAATGTCTGTCCTGATAGTGGTACAACTGAACACCTGACAGCTTTGACAGACCACTTCACTGTCGCAGACAATATCCCTTTCCAGACCCTGATTGAAATATACAAAGACTGAGCATTTCTTACCTAAATGTGACCTTTTCTAAACTAATAAATATCGTGTATACAATGTTACAAAATATGTGGAATCACAAATCCTTATAAACAACTATAAGCATTCACAACAACTTTGAGCACTGTTTAAAAAGTTTCATGCAGCAGACATAGATCTGATTTAAAAATACATTATACCTTAATGCAAAACCAACCTCAGGGTCTTTTGAATTTGGGGTTTAATAACACATCATAATCTCCCCACCTTTATCCGGCTGTAAAGGTTCACAGATAAATCATTGTCAGTACAAACAGTGCAGGCCCTGAGAACTATCTAAAATTTATTTGCTTTATTTCAGCTAAATACAACTTTAAACAGCTGTCTTTTTTGTCCAAAATGGAAAAAGAAGTGTCCTATTTTTTTGCTTTTAAAAAGGAGATCCAAGGCTTAAGGCCTTTGACAGCTTTATTTTTGTTTTGTTTTTAAACGTTCATATATACCTTCGGATATTCTTATAGCATACTATACTGGGATCTATAAACATAGTCAGGAGGGAATTAGCAATTCCCTTTTTATCCAGTCAGCACTGCACTGTTCATAAACAGTGCTACAAGTCATTTTGAATGCTTATGATCATTTATTAAGATTGCTATAAAGCCTTATCAGTGCACTAACTGGGCTTTATAAATGTTCCATACATTGTAAGTTGTGGGTTTATGTGAAGAGTTAACCATATGATCCCAACCAGAGAAAAATTAGGATTGGAAAATAAAGCCTAACAAAAACCATTTAACAAAATCTGATGAAATGGTGTGGTAAGTTCCAAAGTACCTTTATCATTTTTATAAAAAATAACCACACTACAAAATCTGCCATAGTACTGCTGGCTGTCCTACACTTCTGAGCAGTTGATCTTGTTCATTAGGTTGAGTGGTTGTCTGCATAAAGATGGATCATCTCCACCTCCTCCTTGTTTTGCAAGCGCTCCAAACGTACTGTCTTCAATTTAGGGAAGCTGTCATGTCCTGTACTTTGAAACAGAACAACCATATGTATAAGGCTAATACGCTAACCTCCCTTTTGTTCTAGTGTCTTCTCTCCATGATGTACGCCATCTCTCAAGACATCTTCTCCGTCATCAACCTCTTCAGCTTCTTCACCTGGCTTTGCGTCGGTATGGCCATTGCAGGCATGGTCTGGCTACGTTTAACTAAACCCGACCTCAGACGTCCTATTAAGGTAAGGTTTCACTGTTTAAAGGTACTATTGGTAATGGAGGTCTATCTATTAATCTATCTAAAGTCACTCTTCAAAGCAGATATTCATGACCTTTCCTCTACCTGGACCTCAGCCTGGTTTCTTTGTCAGCCCAAAACATCAACACGTCCCTGGTTTCATGTGGCACCAACACTTTCAGATTTCATTGTTTATTTTTTATGAAAACACTATTGTATCACTGCGTCTGTTATTACCTGGAAATGGGACCATGCTGAGTTTTCAGGATGAAGGGAGTGGTGTTAGCATGAATATGTGGTTTTGTTTCTGTTTGATCACAGGAATATTACTTTGGTCCACCACAGGCTTTCATCTTTTCCTTTGAGTCTGGGTACAATACGACCTTTTTGTTTGAAAAGTGAACCACTAACAATGTATAAATACAGCTCTCCTCATATATGTAAACTAATAATGAAACAAGACAGTCGACAACTTCTTAGATCTGAATCCAGAGCCTCTGACAAGCCAAGAACACATTTCACTTCATTAGCTTGTGCTGCTGAGCCAGCTGTGAGAGTACATTTCCACAACACCCGTGCACTCTTAAGGACTAATTAGACAAGTGCTGGAAGATAGAAGACAAATATCGACAATAATAACTGCTAGTTCAACCTGATTGAAGTGATGCATGTGAAAATGGGATACAGGTAACACTGGGATAGCATCTTTACAATAACTGGTTATTGTTTCATTATTAGGATGTAACCAAGAGTTGAGGAATAACTCAGATCTTTTACTGTAGTAAAGGCTGAAATATGAGGTAAATATTAAATAAATAATATGAAGTAAAGGTGATCATTCCCCTTGATTTTAACCCACTTCAGAAGATCTATTCTTCAAAATACTGTATATTTTCATGTTTGTCACATTCAGGTTATCTCTAGTCTTTTTTTATTCTCTAATTCTTCTGTGTTGTATTTCTGCAGGTCTACCTGTTCATCCCTATAACTTTTGTTTTGGGCTGCATCTTCATGATACTGGTGTCTTTCTGGGCAGCTCCATTTGAGTCCGTGGTAGGCTGCAGTATAATTCTCACGGGCATCCCTGCATACCTCCTGGGCTACAAGTGGAAGAAACCCCATGTGGTCCAGAAAATGCTGGGTGAGTGAGACACAGATGCTTATTTTTTAACAGCATCTTTGTTAGTCCAGGCATGCTGAGGAAGCATTCATTACAGGTTGTTATTAAAATCTTGTGAGAACATCTGCTGGTTCACAGCACTGATACATCTGGCTTGTTTGTCTAGTCAGTGTAAAAGACACAAACAGAAGTTTTGCTCAAGTGTTTAATAAAATCTAAAGACATCTGACCTGTGCTAACTGAGAACAAGAAAGCAGACACGTCTAATGTCAGTTGTTTTCTTCTCAGAAATCTTCACCATGTTCTGTCAGAAGATCTTCATGTCTGTTCCTGAGGAGAGGGGAGGGCATGAGGCCGCTGAGTGACCCCATGTTTTCATTCCTGGACATTCTCGATGTGTTTACATTGCTCATGTGTGATTTGGCCAGATGATTTTTTTGTTGTTGTTTTTTCCAACTTCATTGTCAGCTTACTGAAACAAGGTGAGATTGGCAAGGACGGGTTTACATGAATGTATGCTATTGTGTAAAACATATGATAGCGTATATTAGGACACATAAAAGTTTCACATTTTAAAATAATCTCAAAAAGGGGTGATTTTTTTCTGATATTTAAAAGCTTTATTTTAAACTTTTCAGCAGCTATGTCCCTTCAAATGACATGCTTTTATGTATGTTGCATGTTGGTCAGTAGATGAGTCATTGGAAGCATTGGAAGCTGCTGCATACGACACACTATAGTGGCCTATTGTTCACCTGAAGTGTACAAATGAGTAGCTTATTTTCAAACAGGAAAACTTTTTTTTTTTAACTTTCTCTACTTTAAAAAAAAAATTCAAAAAATTACACATCATTTTCTCAAAGGTTTTAGTTTTCTAAAATACTTAATCATATTGCCTGTGACTTTTACTTTATGCTTTAATGATAAATGGGGATAAAAGACCTCATGGAGAAAACAATCACTGAGTGTACAGAGTATGTTTAAGGTCAGGGTTAAAGAGAAACTAACTTTCTAATATAGGTAGCACTCTGCCCATAAAGTACTAATATTATTGTTTAATACCACTTGACTTTATTTTGTTTTTGTATTTTTTTTCTATTTGCTAGTTTAATGAGCCCACAGTATAACCTTAGAGCACAACCTAAAGTGAGATAAATCAGTATATGTAATGTTTTTTTAAGAGGTGTTGCTGTGAGTGAGGTCTGCTTTCTGTGTCATTTTATTCTCATGTCAGAGTCAGCGCTCAGTGTGTGATGATGAAGTGATAATGGATACCAGCACCTGTCTGTGAGGCATTATTATAAAAAAACGAAGTCTTGTATAGATGTTTTTAATGATTGTATGGAGTACACTCCATTGTAGTATTAGTGTTTTGTATTGTTTATATAGTCTTTGGCAGATATGTCAGTGTTGATATTCAAGTTCTTTGGTTTTATTGTCATTATCACTATAAGACCAGAATGAATGTTGCAAATTCATTGACATGTACCTTGTATTTTTTTTAAATATGAAATATACCTTTGATTTAGCTTTTATGCTGAATCTATTATTATATTCTCCAAAAGATACTGCAAGCACTTTCCCAGTCTGCACTAGACTCTCAAGGGAACTAAAGAAAGTCAGGGATTGTTTAGAAAGGTTTTTGTTTTTTAATTTTAGCACAGACAGAAAAAAAAAAAAAACTTATGGTAAACAGGTGATTGTACTCACTTCACTGACCACTTGTCCACTAAGTCGCACTCTAAAATATATAAATATGCACATTAATGACAGTGTAACAGCAATATGAATAGAGATAAAGCTAGTAGACATGATCACATTGTCAGACATAGATAAGAGAAAAGGCTTTAAGAAAAGAGGCCTCTAGATGTCTTTACATTCTTTTGAGAAAAAAATAAAATAAATCTTTCTTTAAATGTCACACAAGCACCAGCCAACTATCATCCTATTTTAAATTAGAATAAGAGGCCTAACTAGGATGAGTGTAAGTTTTAACACTCCGCTGTGATTTCTTTCAAAGCTGTAAAAGGAGAGGAAACACAAGCCTTTAAATGACTCCCTAAAGCAGCTGATCTCTGCTCCCGATTTTTGTTTTAATATGAACTTGATATCACTGATTAAAAATGTTTGAACCATCGACTCTATTTACAGTCTATGGTTTTAACATAATGCACCTTTTAAGTTTCAAGCACAATATTAAACAGCAAAATGCTGTAAGAAGGATTACTGCCCTTTATTTACAAAAATAATAAAAACAGGGCACAGACACCACGCACACAGTGTTTTACTGAATTTATTGGTATCTACATACACAGACATATATTTTGTTTAATGCTTAATGTACCCTGTTAAAAAAATATAACTGCATGCATGGGTTGGAAAAATAAGGTAAGAAAAATGTTATAGATATAATCTTATATTTGATTTTGTTAAACTCATAAAAAGTTATGTCAGTTATTGTAACCATTGTAAGTCAGTGCCTACTGAAGGTACATCTTAAAATAAAAATATTTTTGTTCAAAGTTTGCCGGGTTGTTTACACTCTATAAAGTAAAAGCTAACAAAAGGAGTCTTAAGATGTTAGTACAACATCATGATATACTTGAATCAGTTAACAAAAAGCCTCACAGCCTCTTTGCAGATAACACATCCAAATAGAACAAGTGTTTCCAAGTCACAAGATAGCTACAATCCAAATGAGGGTGTTCCACCAGTGAGATTTTCTCCAAATGTAGTCTGAGGGTTTTATCACATGGGCCATCAAGTGTTTGGTTAGTGATCTGTATGAAATGCCCTGTCTCTTCCTGTTTGTCTTGTTGTGTTTGTTGGCCGGCGCACAATGATGCAGCTGATGCCAGTGCTGTCAGGAGAGCTCATATCCGTCTGAGGAGGAAATGAGAGGGTCTGAAGGCTACTGATGAAACCAGTATCAGAGCTGCTAGAGACAATATTAGTGATGGGAGATTGGAGAGGCCAAGAACCAATATTGCACAAGTGACGTAAAAAGAGAGTGTTTTGAAATGTTCTGAAAGAAGAGAGGGCTTCAAACAGGGACTGGAGAGTTCATTTAATATGTAAAATAATAAATCAGGATATATGGAAGATTGGTTCCAGTCAAGTCTGTTTTTGTATTGGAATACTCATACAATCAGATCAAAATGGTACAAAGTCAGATAACATATGCATACTACACAAAGGTTTTCTGTATTGTAACTATCCTCTGAATGCATCTAGCCAACCATTATACAAATGTGTCAAAAACACACTAATATACTACTCAGGGGTGCAGGGGCTGGAGCCTCTTCCTGCTGTCATTTGGCAAGGGTTGGGATGAGGGTCTCCAGGTACACCCACAGTATAGACTGTACAATAACCCACACTCATACCTATGTGGAAACTTAGAGTAACTGACTTACCTGATGGGCATGTCTTCAGACTGTGGGAGGAAGCTACCTGAAGAGAGCCCACTCATGCACTGGGAGCATATACAAATGCCATGCAGAAAGGCCCCAGCTAAGATCTAAACCAGGAACCCTTTTGTTTTGTTGTGTTGAAACTGCCCACTCAGAGTTTAAAATGACAGCTCTGACAATCAGGTTTTCAGATATTCAACTTCCTTTTTTTAGTGTAATTGTCAATTTTTCCATTCTTTTAAAACTTTTTTTTTTTTTGCTTTGTTGGCAAAACCATGACTCAATCTAAGGTTAGACGGACTTAATTTAAAACGAAACACACCATCATTGGTGTTTGACTGATATACCCTATAGTAGCATTTCAAAGGCCCCACTATAAGAACCTTTGTGTTAAGAGATTGTCACTGAATTTGTTGGACTTATATATTTTCCTCTGATGAACAGCCTGAAAATAAGATAAATTGTGTGTCTTTTTCACACATAGGTTACTTATGTATTTGAAATGATTCATGTCAGGACGAGATATAAGGTTTACTGTTTTTGCTATTAGAATCTCGGAGTTACCACAAGCACTAAAAGTCACCAACAGATGGCGGTAGAGGAACACTGGTAAGAAACTCACTCGCTTTGTCCAATGCTTCATCACTTGATTGGCCTCACTTCACTGTAGACGGCCATAGTTGCTTTTTATATAAAACACCAGTCTTTAGAGTTATGTGGAGGACAAAGCCAGTGATACTGTCCTGTTTATTTGCACTGAAAGGCTTCTTTTTCACACCATGTGTTGCTTTATTTTATTCAATTATTTAACTTTATATCTCGATGCTTCTTAGAAGGTGTTAATGACACTAAAGTCTTCTGAGGGAACGGCTCTCCAAGCTGTTGGTAAAATATATATTTGTGTTACATGACACCAACATCGAGCTTTTCCCTCATCTCAGACAAGAGAACTGAAACATAACAATGCAAGTTTTATAAATCATCTCTAGGGGGCACTGCTTCATCATCATAATCATAAGAGCGAGAGAGTGAGGGAGAGAGTGAGAGAGAGAGGGAGAGGGGGAGGAGAGGAGGGTTGATAGATTCCATTTCTATTCTGCCTTTAATCCAACTGTGAAATTCATAAGTAAAAGGCAGTCCTTTTTTGCTTCTCAGGTAGTTCTTCGTAAGACTACGTTCTGCTGCTTCAGCTTGGAGTTTCATCATCACACCTTTGCCAAAAACACAACCAGCGGGCAGAAAAATGTTGCCTGATATATCATATTGATCATGTCTGGATTTTGAAAAGGGAATGAAAGAAAAAGCTGTGAAAAGGTGAGCATTCGTCACATGAAAGTGAGCTAAGAGGCTTTGACTCTTGACACCTACAGAACCGTGTGACTGAAGCTTCATTAACTTCTGTTTTATATCAGTGACAAATCTTCTTACCATACCAAGTCATGTTTATAGGCCGACATGAGCGACACTTTATAACACTGTAAGAAAACAAACCATCACAATGAGTAGAGTCATGCACATCAATTTTTCCACTTTAAACATTTTATTACAGACAAAAGAAAACAAAAGAAGTAATCGTGACACAAAATGAATCTAAAGCTGGTACAGGGGTGGTGCACCAACAACCATTTCTAAAAAAATATTTATTATTCTAATAATAACCATGGAGTTTGATTAATAATAATAATAATAATAATAATAATAATAATAATAATAATAATGCACCCTGATGAAAATAAGCCAAAATGTTACTTCATATCATTCATAAATAGATGTGAAACCTGCAACCAAATTAAATATTATGAACGTATTGTAAAACAAATGATATTCAAAAAAAAAAATGGTTCTCTCATCACTGGCTTTACAAATTAAAGAAGTACATTTGGCAGGTTTATACACAAAATCAAAATTTCTACCCCCACGACTGCTCCTCTGAAATGCAGATCCTGCTACAGTGAAAAAAACCAAAACAAAATAGCTTCAGAATTCTTTTTTTTCTTTTTCACAAAAAATGATAAGATGAGTTCAACACAATTCTAAAACACCTAATAAAACTAGTCAAAAACTTTAAAACCCACTGTTATGTTTTTTTTCTTTAGTAACATTTCACATTTAGCAACTTTTTTTATTCACCTGTACAAGTGGTGTGGGGGACTATGGGGGAAGGGTGGCAGGGTTACAGGTGGGGGTGGTCCTTGTCGAACAAGAGGAGGAGCTAAAAGGAGAGGTATCAACCTTTGACCTCTACAGTTCTGCAACGTCCTGAGGCCATGTGAAGAGAGTGACTCCCTCTATCAGAGCTCCACCATGTAAGGAGGAAATATTTTCAGTCTTTGCGTTTCTCTCTTGTTTGAAGAGAAAAGAGACCAGTGAACACAGTTTCAACACAACTTTTAGTGTGTATTCCCTCACTGAATCCGCCTGCACAGAAATCACAAAACCAAACAAAAGAATGTTTGAAAAAAATAGAGCAAGGGGACTGCAGCTAGATACACACATAAGAGGGATCCATTTTGGTGATATATACAATCACTCTGTGAGGAAGAAAGGAACTGAGTGAGTCCTTTATCGGGGCCAAGGATGATTTACAAATGTCTTATGTGTTTGTGACTATCTTCATTAAAAATTTTGCTTGCTTTGCCTCAGTTGGGCTGTTTCAGAATGTCCTGATTTACATCCATCCCTGCTGAGGTGACTTTATTCTAGTTTCTTGCATTAGCTTTTTTACCCCTGCCACTTATGCTTTGAGTATGCTTACAGCATTTTGTCTCTCCAATGAGGGCAGTCCATGGCAAACACAGTAATGGAGTGAAGGGCCAAAAAGCATCTTTAAAAAATTCAAAACAAAATGAGAAGACATTTTTTTTTTGGTCTTCATTTCCAGTATGCTGGCATGAGCTTAAAGCTCACTGCCCCCGCAAAAAATGGAAAGTTCACTGGTTAGGAAAAAAAGCAAGAGAAGTGCTTCAGGCTTCTGGCCGATCTAAGTGCTTGGCAAATAGGTGAATTTATTGTAGCAGTCTTTGGGATTTTCAAAATCCATCACAAAAATATTTGAAAAAAGAAAACAAAATGGTGTAGAAGCAGATAAATTGATGACGTTGTTGGAAAGCTCCCTGGAGTCTGACATTTGGAGGTCTTTCAACTTCAAGTGAGGTAGAGAGGCTTGTCCCGAGCTCCCATGCCACTGCTGAAGAAGAAGAAGAAGAAGAAGAAGAAGAAGAAGAAGAAGAAGAAGAAGAAGAAACTGTGTTAGTGTGTTTTTGACACATGCTAATATGCTGATGCTCTGACACAATTCATCTGTTTATTTCACGAGGAAATCCTAGTGATTATAAATGCCTTTCAAAGGAGATCGGTCTCTAAAAACAGCTAAAAAAAACATAAAAGCTCTAAAAGAACAGACAACAATCAGTGAAAAAAACAAAAAAATACAAGTCAGAACTTGCAGATCACTTAATACTTGAAATGTCAAATACAAAGTCTGTTCTACAGTTATCTTTACTGACAGGCTGGAAATAATTCAGTACCCTCCAAAACTCCAAACTACAATGATCTGACACTGAGGGAGAGGGTTTAAAGCAAAGACGCAATCTACTTCAAAGGGCATCAAATGTTATTTGACCCAGGCATGATCCCATTTGACATCCAGATGAATCAGCTCTAAATACAGGAGATACTTCCGCCTCTCGGAATAGCAACACCAAGTTTCAGGTGTGAGACGAAACAACATTCCTCTTGTTCCTGCTTGAATAGCTTGATTCAATAAGGCAATGTGTGTTGAGCGAAACACAGGGAAACTTAATTGGATGTCACAGTTTTTCCAAGCTCGCTAATAGCATTGTTCTACTGCTGCGTTACTCATTTCAATTTCAAGGAGATGCTCTGCTTTAGTAGGGAAATCACAGTTTATGATTAATACTGTCGGAGTCTCTGAGTGTGAAAGTGAAGTGGTTCAGAGCAACTCATTTGGAAAATGAGTAACTGTCAGACAGCTACTTACTATTCCTAACAATCAAACGTCTCCGATCGGATTTACAGACGCAGAGACGTTTTTATTTTGGTCCGTCTTTCTCATCCTCACTTGATGTGATTCCTTCTATGACCTTCACACAGCATCCACAGATCCCACAACACAAAAATGGTGACTGATGTGGTGAGCTCACCCGCAGTGGTTGGGTCCACAATCCCTGTTGCAGTACTCACTGTCCCAGTCAGGGTTCTGGCCGTGGACAGGGTTAGGGGCCCCTGGAGACTGTGAGCCCCCAACACTATTCTGGTAATCTGCCTGAATGTGGGAGAATCCCTGTAAATGCAAAAAAGAGAGAGAGAATAAAAGATTTTATGGTTGTACTTATAATTATGTTTTTTTCATTATATTGTCTTATATTGGCCAAATGTTGTCAGTGGTTTGTATCACTTTCTGCAGGACATCAAACAACTTTAGTTTCTCAGACATTACTGTCATTCCTTAAAGGGTCTCATGTTCACACTGAAATGAGAACACCCTACTAAAACTGAGGCACCCAGTGAGAGAGGGGGAAAGAAGTCTGTTACAAGAAAAGGGTTTTGAAACACATACGAAACATTTTCACGACTTTAATTGGCAGTGCAGCATAAGTCTGTATTATCTGCTGTGGTTGTTTTTTGTTCTTTCTTAATCCATCTGTATCTTTTTTGCATGTCTATCTATCCCATTTTCTCTGCCCATCAAGTGGTGGCGGATGACTGCTGAGTAATAACTTTGGTTCTGTTCAAGGTATCTGCCTGTTAAAAAAAGCTTTCCCCTGTTACTCTTGCCAAGTACTTGCTTAAAGTTGGGCTTATGTTGGATCTCTCCAAATTGTAAAAAAGTGAATTGTTACAGAAAATACTTGTCAATGTGTAATTTCTAGTCAGAGTATTGTTTTACTCCACAGTAATTCATATATCTTTGAATCTACATGAAACCCTGTCGCTCTCCAGAAGTCCATGTACATTGCCTAACATGCAGCTCCTTTAAAATGAGCGACATGGAAAGACACACTAAAAATCTAGTATGAGGTCATCACAATGGCAAAGGCCACAACGGCGTAGCTATGGTGTGGGGTCAACACAGAAGCATTAACCAAACTTCAGTTTACATTAACCCAACAAGTTGAGATTATTTCAAAATAAAACAAGTCAAGTAAGGACTTCAATGATTGTAACAAAGATGGCTGCCAATGCAGCAAGGAATATTTTCAAGTAACCGATAATAGAAATGTTTTTTATAATGACTTATATTGAGTGTAAAGAGACATTTTGACTCCAGACAAATACACTCAGTCAGGTTAGAGTTTCTGCAGTGTAAATTATACAACAGAGAGTACAGTCCGGACCTGCTCTATGACTTTATATGTTATGAGTTTTGGATATAAAAAGACAATTTAACAAACTGATTCAAAAATATTCTTGTTGGGTTTGTTTTGTTCTTCGTCATTCAAACACCTGTTTTACAAGACTGTAATTTATAATGCATTATAAGTTTTCCTCACTGGAAAACAGGAGCAACCAACAAAAGCTTCGCCTAAAACTATATTTGCATCACAGTCAGAAACACATTACAGCCCAAGGTCTCATGAAACAGGAACAATATATATCAGGGAGTATCAATAATGAAAAGTAATTATTAATGCTGTACAGGTGATAATATCTTGACATTTTGCGCACATTTTATGAGGTGATTATATGGAAAGCTTTAGCATGTGTTTCATCATTTTTAATGGCTGCCAGACGTACCTGTTGGCTGAGAGGAGGGGAGTGCAGAGGTGCCTGGAGCCCCATTTGGTGTGAGATGATTGGCTGTGACTGCTGCATGCGGATTGGCTGGTTGAGCAGGGAGCTCTGGTGCAGGGAGAGCTGGGCGTGGGGGTGCAGAGGAGGGCTGATCTGGAAGGGAGCCGGGGGAGAGGCACTCATGCTGGGCGGCAGCATCTGGGATTGGCTCAGGGTCTGGGCCAGGGTGTGACGGGGTGGCCCCGCATAGCTCTGGAGGTCCGACAGTGGGAAGGAGCCGGGTGGGCCCAGGTACGGTGAGGAGGGCTGGGGGGGCACACTGTACAGAGGCTGCTTCGGGGGCAGCATGTGGGAGGGCTGGCTGGTCTGCTGGGCACTTTTTGGTTCAGGGTCATTATAAGTCTGTTGAAGAACAAAATTCACAACAACTGTTAATCAACTTTCACTTCATGACATTTTATCTAAACTCTAAAACCTTCATTGCATCACAATAACACATCAATCATCATTCATTTAGCAGTTTTGTGTTGCAGCATCCATTACACTTGACAAATTTATTAAACCTTGTCCTGTATCTATAGAAGCAGCTATGCTTTTGCTGACTTGAGGCTTATTTTAATGCTGGTTAGCCAAGTTAGCCAAATTGCTAAGCTAGGATGTTTCAGGAGCCTACCTTTTTCCTTTTTCTTTATAAGTTATTTTTGGACTTTAATAAACATTTAGAGAAGTATTGGAGGAACATTTCTGGTCTTTTTTGCACTGACAAATCTATGTGAAATTATTTTTTCAGCCTATTCATGCTCACATTACAATAAGGCTGTATTCATTTTCAGTCAACCTTTAGCCTGGAAGCTTTTAGCATTGACACATCACTTCACAGGCTGGCAGATGGATTAACAGGGTCTAGGTTGCATTGCCTTAAGGTCAAACACCAAACTGCAACAAAGTCACCAAACTTGACCTTCTTTGATTTTGGATAGTATCGCTCATTACAGTTGTAGCACCCACAAAACACCCCGCTCCATCCTCCACCCTGCCCCGCCCTCTTAGGCCCCTATGATGAGCTGTCAGATAGCTCATCTCCAGCCATCAGTGTTGATTAGAAGGTAATGGAGCCCATTTGTATGAATAGAGCTGGGGCCGAGGTAATGATCAATAGACACCTTGACAGATAGATGGGAAAAGGAGAGTCACACGTGCACTCTCTCTCTCTCTCTCTCTCTCTCAAACACACACACACACACACACACACACACACACACACACACACACACACACACACACACACACACACACACACACACACACACACACACACACACATATATGCAGGGGCCCAGGCAGAGAAATGAGGCTGTTTGCCTGCAGAACAAATGGAATGACAAAAGGAATCTTCCCCACACTACATTCAGTGTTGTTAATACAAGACGGCACTAAACAATGCAATCCACAGCTCCTCCTCTTTGCCTTTCTTTATTCCCCTCGCTGTGATGCTGGTACATACAAGACGCCATCATTCACAGGGCAAAGAGAAAGTCATAAATCTGAATTAGCAGGAAGGTGTCAGAGGTGGAAACAGCAGTGACGCCTTTGATTGCTCACACTGATTTCAATGTACTTCCTATTGGAAATGGAGCAAATCGCTGATGTAACTCTTGACACAATGTCTTTTTGTGCCTATAAAGAGCATTTTTTTTCAACAGATACATTCAAAATAGACTTTAACCTAATGCAAGGTACATTGCAGGAGAAGGCACTCATTTTCCATCCTCCATCCCTAATAGATGTTATGGCCACATGCTTGTGTGCTCCTATAGGCTGACCCCTCCCCCACTAATATCACCATAACAACTCCAATCCCCAACCCCCCAACATCTGCACCCCATGGAAATCAGGTATTGTTCCAAATATGTCTGGTTCTTTTTTGTTTTGCATCAGATGCCCCCATCCACCCACTTCCTCCACTACCACCTCCACTTCTCTTCCACCTCATTCTAAACTCGCCCCTCCCTGCCCATTAGTAGGGATTTTCCATCCAATCCATCATCAGTCTAAGCCAGGGCCTGTGTGTCATAAGCGTTACCTTGGAAACCAGACTGGCTCGGTACGCGGCCAAGGCTTTCAGGTACTCTTTCTTGGCTGCCTCAGTTTTCCTCTTGTAGCCCTGTGAAGACAAAAAAATCAAAACAAGAGGCTTCAGGTGAGAGGAGAGCTTGACGTGCTCATAAATGTGCAGACACACATGTCATACAAGCAAACACCCACATACACACAGGCTTTTTTATCTTACACTTCCTTAAATACATCATCCACACACAAGCATGCACGCACACACACACACACCACACACACACTTCCTTAATGTTTCCCTTTCCATCAGAACCAATGGTACAGAACACTTCTATTTCCTCATCACAGCACTAAAACTCCCTCATCTCAATGTGTCTCCCTCTATTGTAGCAACACATCATTTCCATTCCAATCCACCTAGAGAAATGAACTGGAACTTCTCTCTCTCTCCTTTTAGCTCCACAATAACACTCCTATCAGCACACTGACATTAGTGATACACCACAATGGCTGTTGTCATTCGGCACATTAGGGTGTGATCTCTGCCTGTGTATGAGTTTTGTTTTTGAACTGCCGTCCATATTGTTACTTTTATGCACAAACCTCTGCTGTCAAATTACTAAATGAAGGCAGAGTATTTGCATAGAGAGTATGGGTGCATATGAATGTTTTTGTGTGTGTGCTTTTGCATGCAGGTATTTTCTGTCAAGGGTGTTACAGAGGGAATGAAAGTAGGGGTATTAGATATGAAAGCATTAGGTAAAATCACTCCTATCATGCAAAAGAAGATAGAGACCAAGGTTTATTTGTCCGTATTACCAAAGTATTCATGCATTGTACTTTTTGTTGTTCTTAGACGCAAGAGACAGACATAGATATTTTTTTTTGTGTATTTTTAGCATTGATTTGGATCACCTTTTATCGAATGTCTCAATCTTTATAATATCAACATGTTTTTTCTTAAAAAACACAATTTTGTCAAGCAAAAAGCCAAACCTACAAAGTATTTAAGTTTTTTAGATAATTAAGTGTACAACACACAAAAGTATCATTTTTACCAGGAAATTGTTAGCATTAGTTTTATAATGCTAGCTTTTAGTGCTCTATAGCTTAGACACATGCACCTACCAGTAAATGTGAATGCATTATATAATCAACTTAATATAAGATCTGCATCAGCTGATAAAGATTAAAATGTTAAATACTGATAAAGGCAGATGTGTAACTTTCCATGAATGTACAGCTGATAGAGCTATACATTAGTTATATGCACACAATAAGAGCTTGCATTGAGTTGTATGGAAGCATTTAAAAACAGACAGCAAAATAGGTTTCTGCACTGTTTGTCAAACACAGATTATGTTAGGGGGAGCAGGAGAACCATCCTTTAACACAAACAGTTAAATCGTGCATCTATTGAGCCAGCATCCTGAACGGCACCAAGAGTTTCTGAGAATAAGAATAAAAAGTGCAGGTGAAAACCTGTAAGTAGCTTCTACTTCAGTTTTTTGACAAAGCTAAAAATTTAGAAGTGATCATAAGGATCAATAAAGTTGTATCTAATCTAATCTAACTTTTATCATTGCATGTATCATTTATGCTGTAATCAAATTTTGTTTTGCTTCTTTTCATATCTACACATGAAATAAACAAACTCCAAGAGTAAAAAACAAAGTCTGGTACAGGAGAGACAGTGCGTTCTTTAAATGTGACAAAGATGTGCACGTCAGTATCTGCTAAATGAGTTTCATAATATCATCATATTTTGATACTGGCCAAAATTCAATATTGTCCATTCTTACCAAAAAAGCATTTAAACTAAAACTCAAATGGAGGGACACAGGGCTTAAAAATGCCTATCATACACAAGAACACTGTCATTACACAGCACCTTTTATTAAAGGTAAACCTCCTCCATCCCAAGAGAGTTGCTAATAGTGAAACAAGCTAACAGCTGTGCTTTCTCCTGGAGTTGAATACCCATGAGGCAACACATTTAGACCTCTTATAAGTCTGTCATCATTAGCCTTTCCTACCTATTACCTCTGAGCTGGAGAAGAAGTTAAACAGCAACAAAAACAACAGACTTCTCCTCCTGGATAGCTGAGATGCCCTTCAGCTAAATCCAAGGACAAGACGATAGTGAGGGTGGAGGGGGGTGGGGAGGTGGGGGGTGGATCACTAATTCTGTATTCTAGGCAGGATCAAAATAGCAGGCAAGAGATATAAATATAGAGAGAGGAAATGAGAACTTCACACATCCTTGCTTGTCAGAGGGCCAATGAAGATGCATGGTGTGGAGGCATCAGCTACGGGGGCTGGAGGGACACAGGAAGTGTGGACCTTACCTGAGCCTGGAGCTTTGTGGGAGTTAAAGTTTTTGGCAAAGAATGTTATATTGTACCTTTTCCGCTATATTTCTGGAAATGCATTTTTAGTTTCAATGGACACAGCACAGCCACGAGAAACTTTTTGGGAAGAAGAGCACTGATAAGGGTTTGTGTGTTTGCATTCATAACTGATCCTTTCCTTATTCAGGGGAGCACTAAAGCTCACAAGTTTGAGTGTTTTTACCTACTGCATAATATCTTAGTTCTCTGCTCCTGAAATCTTGCCAGATGTATCTATATTTTTTCCACATTGACAATTTGTAGCCTGTTAAATGTCCAACTTTCTTAGTATCCAAATGTTTTATAGCTGCTGTTATACTGAAAATCCCCCTTCCCTTCTTCTCTTTTCCTTTGCAAGAATTAAATTTAGAAAGAAAATCATTTTTATGAGAGTCAGGGGAGTGGGGATAAATGGATGGATTATCTTTGGAAGGAGGAAACAGTAGTTCATTAAGGTGAGCGGTATCTCACAGAAATGTTCTGGTAATTACATAGCACATAAAGTCAGGGAAAGCCCTCAGTGGGTGACTGTTAATGTAATGTGTTTTCTGATGCACTCTTTATTTTCAGATATGGGAAACACATGTTATATACCTGCTTCTGTTCCTCTCCTAGGCTGTCCCACATGGAGGCCACAATCTTGGACACGTCCCCAAAGGTGGCATTGGGGTTTTGGCCCTTGATGGCCGCCTGGGTGTCTCTGAAGAACAGGGCGTAGGCTGACACAGGTTTCTGTGGCTCATTAGGGTCCTTCTTCTTCTTTTTCTTTTGGGGTTTAGGTTTGGGCTTCATCATGTCTGCTGAGGCCCGCTTCTCATTGCTTATCTACAGGCCGAAAGAAGAAGGGGGAGAAAGAGAAAAGAGAAGAGAGAAAAAAAGGACATAGTTGGTCATATATCAGGAGTCTTTAGGTGTTTTTACACATATGATGCACTCACACAATAAGGTACTTTTTGCAAAGGTTATGTATTTATATCACATCAAAACTAACATCTGTGCACCAAATAAATGAAAAAAGCTGAACAGAACATATAACCACTGCTGGACAGAGGCAGAGGAGTTCTGCGAAGAGCAGCCGCAGCTTGTTCTAAGAAGACAAAAACAGATCAATTTGCAGACATGGGTGAATGAAGACTAACAGGACGTCAGTGAGACAGGTTAGCCTCTGGGGTGTTTGGGGGGAAGGGGGCAGGTTGGAGGAACTGAGTAAACACAGGATAAGGGGAGAGAGATTTGGGCTAATTAAATTCTCATTGGTTGCAGATTCACATGATTTCACTTGGTTGAATCCCCGGATTCATGGATATTTTCTGCTTTGCTTTCAGTCTTTATTTCGTCTCCTTTATGTAGATTGCATAGAATTCAATTCCCACTTCCTGAAGCAACCATAAAAAGGGATTAAATCTATATTTTTCATAGCATGTACCCAGCTGGTCTGTCAACAATAACATACTGCAATCTCAGTGAATTTTCAGGAGGCAAAAAAGGCGCTCACATCTGTGTGATGTACTCTATGCAATACACATGAATACATTTTCATTTTCCGTGCAGGGCTTTGACGGGGGAGTCAAATCCAGGTCACCTGATCCTGGTTGTGATTCTATATGGAAATTGCCTTCTTTGCTGAGAAGAGAACACATCAAGCATGGGAGGGAGAGGCAGAGGAAAAGAGTGGAAAGAGAGAGAGGGAGAAAGAGAGGAAGATAAGGAGAGAAAGAGAGAAGAGGTGCAACTAAAGGAGGAAGAAGTGACGGCTTGATGTTGCCATTAGTATCGGTGGAACATCAGTAAACCTGATTTCTTGGTTGCTATAAAGGCATGAAAAACAATCCAATTTCCATCCATATAATAGAAGATATAATGGCATACTGAATATATAATGATATAGATTGGTATTATGTGCAATGAAGGATGTTTATGTGCTCTATTTACGGTTGAGGGGTTATGGAGAGCTACCCAAACACTGTTAGTGTAGTCAAGTGAACTCCTTTACTTTGGCAAAAGGAGCCCATCGTTGATGCCAACTTCCTGTATCATCAGGTTGCATTTTAGAAATTTTAAACAGCTTTGACTGTTCTCTTTCATGATCCACTGATCCTGCGTTTCAGAGTTAAAACGCAGCAGGGAGGCAGAACAAACCGTGAAAAAGATTTGTCCCTGTGCGGATATCAAACAGCAACTTGAGGACATTTAAAGACGCTCAAACCCATCTAATGCATACTTATCATGGGATTAAGCAACAGCCATGCTTCCCCCTTTAACCGTCAATTGGAAAACAGGAAATGACTGCCTTTGAAAATTGCATTGTTTCAGAAAAAGCATTCGCAGCCCAACAACACACTGTATTTCACACAGCATGAAATTAACTAATCAAAATTCAAGGTCCAGGAGCACATTTGGCAGCTGAAGAAAAACTTCAAAATGGCTTTTGTGCTGTGCGGAAATGAATGGATGTTTTCATTCAGGCTGATGTGAAAGTATTGCTTGTCTATTTCACAGCTTACAGGTAATATTCATTTTTGTGTGTGTGTGTGTGTGAGTGCGCCTGGTTTCATTAAAAAATAATCATCCCTCACTTTTAGGCAATGAGGCAGAAGACAGGCATTTGAAACGACATCTGTTCCACCCGAGCCTTTGAAGTGAAAATAGAATAAACTGGAGGTAGAGCTAATGGAATGACAAAATAGAAAAAAAAGAGAGAGGGCTAAATAATCTCCAGGAAAATTCACATGTATTCATGCAGCTGAAAGAGTGATGACACTCAACAGCTCGCAGCTACATACAATCAACCAGGAGAACAAGGGGCATTTTCTTCCATTGCTTTATTCATCTCCTCTCTTATTGCATGAGATTCATGTTTAGGAACTTACTGCAAGCCGACAGACAAAAAGAAATATTATTGAAAGAACATAGATGACAGACAGTGAATAAAGATGGCTTAGAATACCTCAAGAGATTCAGCTTACTGTGAAATTGGACATAGTAAACTGCATTATAAGACATATTTGCTCTTAGGTACACACTGACGACATGTACAAGGATGCCTTTCATTGGTTAGAGCAAACCAATTAAAAATCTTTCTGATGACGTATTTAGGATGATCACACCACATTTAATTTTGCTCAACCTTTAATCTAAACAAAGGAACATTGGATCAAGCTCAGCTCAAGGTAACTAGGTTTGATCTGAGAGTAATATTTGCACATTTTTATCGGCAACAGCTGACAGGAAAAAAAAAACACAGAATGAAGAGAAAACTGTCTGGCTCACACATTCATATCTCAAACATCTGTTCAGTTGAAAATTTCATCAAATGGACTGGCATGAGTCTCCACTGATAATATTATTGTTTTTGTTTCTTAAAAGTTTTATTTTATTTTATTTTTATTTTTTGCTGGGGTTTTACAGATTTAACAAGTTCAGATATCAGATAACAAACATCATGATTATTTGAGTGGCTTTATTTATATAATGCTATGCAAATGTGGGAACATTCACCCCCCCCCCCCATCATAAACATTTTCATAGGAGTGGTTTAAGCTGGCATCACAAATGATTTTGAGTGGATAAACAAATATCCACCATGCACCCACTATATGATATGAAGCTCATTCTCTGTGCTTTTCTCATGCAGGTGCAGAGCAGCGTAATGATTTTGACAGCTGTTGTTTTCAGTGTGGAAAAAGAGAGGGTCACATCCCTTATTCATAACGCAACATCTTGTGGCTGCATTGCATTCTGGTCTATATTGTGACACTGTCAGCTGAGAGATTCATATCTGGTGGTCTCGTACGACAGATTTCTTACATTTTAAGAGTTGATGTGAAAATGGCGAGTGTGTAAAACGGCTTTTTGATTCTGCAGCTTTACAAGGACTTCCTCTCAGATTTTGTCTTCACGAAAAAAAGGTTTTGAGCTTCAATTTAATCTAAACTTTTATATTTGTGAATTGAGATTTGATTTTTTTTTCAGTAGAGAAACTCTGACCCACATATCTAGGTTGGTCTAAATGTGTATTTAGACCAACCTAGATAACACTGATACAACACTTATTTATATACACTTTTAGAGGCTTTACTCTGCTGTCAGAAAACACTTCAAGTTTTAATATTCCCTGACATGATCCACGTGTTCTTCCAACTGTGACTGAGAAGCTAACTGGATTGATAATGTACGTGTAAACTTGAATTTTGCCCAGTAAAAGGTGATATCTTGTATTTTTTTTAATTGTTTTTTCATCACAACTTGACATAATTCGAACGTGAACATATGCCAAAAACAAAACATGACTGTTGCTCGGTAAATCTACATGTACTGTAGAGAACAAAAGAGCTCACATATATTTTCTACGCAGGTGTCTACTTTACTTGCAATCGGGTGAACTCTAGTGTCACATCATCAGCGTTTGTGTTGTCTGAGAAAAGAGAGAGAGAGTGAGAGAGAGAGACAGAGAGAGAGATGGTGTAGCGTTGGATTTGGGTAGAGAGAGACTGAGGATAGGAGGAGGGGGTAGCTGTAATTCTGAATGGATAGCACTGCACTGGCAAGAGAAGATTAGAATTGACAGCCTGATAACTGCGTCACCATCAAAACAACACAGAGAGACATAGAGGGAAAGAGTGACAGAGGAGTGAAGAGTGTGAGATGCAAAGAAGAGAGAGAGAATTGATGTAGAGTGAGCAGATAAAAAAGGGGGAGGGGTATGGAGAGGAGAGGGTTGTTAAAAAAGGACGGGTGAACACGCAGAGACCGTCAGAGTTTAAGAGACATGAAAATTAGACAATAAAACCAGGTGATAATACAGGAGAGTATAAAAGTGTTTGTCCAATCACAGCCTCCTGAGTATATGCATCATCATCATCATCATCATCATCATCATCACTGAACAGCAAAGTGGAAAGTGCTGCATGGCGTATCGATTTCAAAAGGCCATAAAAACAAACAGGAACTACTCAGAGGTGATGCACTGATATGCTTTCTCTTTACAGTGAGGCTCATTACACCAAAGCATGATGCAGATACTGAGCACAGCACTCCATCACATCTGAATGCCAGCCACTGCTAAAGTGTACTACACTTCAATGGATTTCAAGCCAAACAACTGTAAAATGGGAAAATATACGAAGCATTGGATTTCACTGTGATATAAACACTTTGGAAACAGCAACAGAGAACCCGTGATTGTCTCATTTTTACGTGCTACTCTTCTGCAGGGAAATGTTTGAATGATCCTGAACACCTCAGTGATGCAGGACAACTTTTCTTAGCAGCAATTAAAAATAAACAAATACTGCTGAGAAATTATTGTTGAAGACAGCAGATTAATTATGAAACTTCTGGAGACCACATCAGCATTACTCAGCACTTAGCTTAAACCTAAAAGCCACTTAAGAGCATTGTACTGAATGGTATTCAAAACAAATAATGATTCATTTAAACTCAGCCCAAAGATTGTCCTGGTTCTGATCAGCCCGGGTCATTCCTGTCAGTAACCAGTAATTAGATCTGTTGTGGACTGAACCAGCCCTGGGGATCTTTGACATGTTATCTGTGATTTCGGTTCATGTTTTGGTTTGTGAAAGAAGTGTCGCATCAGTTCTTTGACTTCACCAGCTATATCAGTGCTAAACATGTCTGGCTGCTCAGGGGAAAAATGAAAAGCGATTATAGTTGACGGTTTCATCACTACCTACAACCTACAACCCCCTAAAACTGTTGCTAAACATATAGAATTGAACATGCTACATGTGGTGAATTTAAAAAAATGATAACAGACTATAAAGAAAGACTCTGATGAAAGGATAAATCTGAAAGTATCCATGGCACATGACCTCTAGTTGTTCCAAGTCACACTATCCTATTAAATTAATGATCATACCATAGAATTTAAGGAGCTGACCACAGAAATCAAACAATATTGTGTGATAAACTGTGCACATGGCAGAGTGGAGTATATCTCCTCTGCAGTGAAGGTCCTCTCCAGCAGCATACTGAAGAGCAGCTCAGCTTAGTGCAGCTGTTACACACCCTAAGCCTTTGTGGGTTTATAAATAGATAAATGGCCATACTTAGAGAAGCAGCAGTGAGAATAATGTAATTTCAAGATGCCGTATATAATTTTTATGAATTTTTCACCAGCTGTAACTCACAGCCTCAAGGATAAAAGTGGACTCCTGAAGGTTGTGTATTACAACAGAAATACTGGAACAAGGATTTTTTAAGGGGCTACAAAGTCAGCAGGTTTGTCAATAGTATAATCCATATAGTTCCAGTTGTTTTCTACATCTTGTAAGAGAAGAGTATGATAAATGTTTTTTCAGGTGACAATCCGAGCTTAAAATGTATGATCAGATGATTATAGAACCAGCAAAGGAGTTTGTTTTGGGTGAGAGAAAGCAAGTCTTTGTTAAGTTTCCATAATGAGGGTGAAGGATCATGTGGGATCACATTTTGGTTTATGTTTCATGCATTTAGATGTTGGTTTCACCTTGCATTTCAAAGTGCCCCTTTTTGTAATGCTATAGAGATTGTGGCCTTAAAAAAGTTGGCAGGAAGACTGAGAATGTAAACAAAGCTGTTTGAGATTCAAGAATTTCTGCTGCATATAAACTAAAGCTGATGGAAGCCAAAACACAAGATGCTTGTTAAAATACTTTCTTACATCCTGTTTAAATATCTCAAAATGTGTAATAGTCAAACTACAGGTTGCTATAAATTCTACATATCTGTTTTGGTGAAGTACTCCCATAGTTCAACATGAAGTCTTGATGAATTATGATATGTCTTAAAATATATACAGCGCTCTTGTCATCTGGAAGCTATTACAGCTCCATGTCAGACAGACCATCTGTAAGCAATGAGCAGGACTGCATGTCAAAGCGGCTGCATAGATCTCTGAGTAGAAGCAGGCACTTGTCCAGAGAGCTGCACTCATCAAATAAAAAATACAGCCCAGCCCAAACAATAATGAACCGGAAGTGCAGAATCATGGTCAGGATCTAACAGACATGAAAGGACATCAGAGAGACTCGGACAGACCTGATCCACACTAAACCTATTATGGAATTTGTATCTAGTTCTGATAGTGTGCCATTGCAAATATTCAAGGTCTTTAAGATGTGGGGTATTTCAGCAGAGTTTCAGACATGCAGGCTTGCACTACTGAGCAGGCAAAGTGGATTGGATTTCGACCAGTATTCCCATTGCAGATATTTTAATTCAAACTCAAGTCTAAAGCCTAAGCTGCATGATTTATCTGCCTGGGAAACATGACTGACATCCCTCAGCAGCTCCTCCCCTACATGCTTTGCCTAACAGCGCTGGACCTACTCAATCAGTCTAAATTGCAAAGTCGAGGCCCTTGTATTTGGTAATGTGGTGAAAACAGTGGCAAGTGAGAGCTAATTAGATTAACGGTAGTTTAACGAGCTGTTGGAGGGGCCCCCGCAGATTGGATTTTAATAAATAGTGGCAAAAGCATCTGCTATGCACTTCCTGGCTCTGCTGGCATCCTAATTGGCCCCAGTGGGTTGCTGTAGCTCAGCACTACACACTGCAATTTAGGAGGAGGGAAAAAAGAGAAAATGCTTATCTTCAGACCAGGTAAGTCTGGGAAAAGAAATAAAAATAGTCTTAATGATTGTAAGGCTTCACAGGCAAGATTTTATCAAGATTAATACAAGATTGATACAATTTTGAAGACTTATATCACCACAGAACATCCACACAATGTCCACAAAGCAGGAAAAATGAATAAAACAGATTTGGATGTATTCATCCTCTTCTATTGTTTGTTTTCAAGATGAAATGTTCCAATGATGAGGTCTTTGTAAAGGCAACAGCGTGGAAAGGAAAAAACAATTAATCAAACATGAATGAGCGACCGTAGCCGGGTTATTTCCATAGCAACTGCCGGAGGGGACAACTTGAACCCTTTAATGTGAGCTGGTGATGTCTCTTTGTAAACATCTGCACAGCAGGGGGAGAAAGCCAATGAGAGAGCCTGGCAACAGAGGCATCACAGGGCAGCAACCTCTTGGTAACAATCGAAGTTTCCATTATCTACTGTTGAAAGGACCTAAAAAGTGCTCTGAAATATTGTATTCGGAAGCATTTGAAGTTGATAAGCCTCTTTGTACTGCTGCTTTTAAGTGCTCAAAGACATCGAGGCAGCATACAGTGAAGCTTGTGGCTGATAAAACAAAATGCAAATGACCAGGAAAGAGTGAACTGACATTGAGATTGTCAACTGTTTTTTTTTGTCATACTTCTTATACCAGCCACAAAATCTCTCCATAATCTTTTAAACTCTCCCTTATGCAACCTGCAAGCAGTCGGTTCATTCAGCCTCCAGCTGTGTCCAACAGAAGGCAGTTTGCAAGGGCAAAACAGTACAAACAGCTTTATCAGAGGTAGCTGGTTCCTGCCACTGGAGTTGTTTTTAATTCACAGGTCCCATATCTTCTCTGTCTTTGTCCTCTAAAGAGATGAAAAAAAAAATACGAAAGTAAAACTCCAAAAATTCAGGGCAAAATATTTTGAGTTAACAAAGTAAAGCATGAGATGAAGAAAGAAAAAGGGCCCTGTGCCCCAAAAAAGCTCTGAAAGGAACCTGATTGCAGTCTAAAAAAGACCAAAACAGCATAAGTACACATTAGCAGAGCAGTAATTCAGTCAACCACAATGGTCTGGGCATGTAAAAGGGAGTTAAGACAGCCTGTAGTTCTCTGCGGTCCAAGCTCAAGTCAACAATCCCTCAAACTAATCTTTGAGCAGCTTCCACTGAAGCACACAAGAACAAACACTTCGAATTCTCAGAGGCAACAAAGCCAATATCTGTCTGTAAAAGCTCAGGAAATATGTGAATAAGGACTTTTTTGCTGTACTGAAACAGCTCAGCAGTGACTGTGCGGTAAGTGGAGCCAGACAGCACTACCGCTGGCAGGCAGCAGGTATCTGTAACCTCTCCTACAAACACTGCCGTCCCAAACCCCAGTGGTTCCTTGGGCGAGAGTAATGGCTTTTTTGCACTGGGCTGCGCTGTGCTATTGTAGAATCACAGAGCGGTTAATTGAAACAAATGACTCTAATAATGGGACATTATCCCCACAGGCTGGCTTTGTGGTGGGCCTAATTAGCGTTGCGGTGGTGGCGAGGAGGACGAGTCGCCGCGCTGATCCCTCAGAGGAAACAGCAGAGGTCCCCTTTGGAGTGGGCAGTATAGGGTTCTCCTGCTCACAGCTTCGTAAAGTGTCGACTTTTTATGATCCAGGGTGGCACAGTAGGTGTAAACATTAGCAGTGAACTTAACACTTGCTCTAAAAGGTCCTTGTTTATTTATTTAGTTTTTAAAAACTCTTTCAGAGTATAAGCACCAAACAAGACAACTAAGGACTCCTTTTAGGACTAAATTTAAGAAGATAAATTTTGCCCCCCTTTTTTTTTTGCTCAACTTTTGCAGTTGTTTCATTAGCGAATAACGACATAAACTTCCAGTTATGATTGCTGCTGACTCTTAACCTTGCCGTCCTCTTGCATGCCATCTCCTCTGGAGCGTCAATGGCCTGTAACTAATGTGACAACATGAGATATTGTTTCCCAGATGTGTTTTGATCACCACTGAAAGCTGTTTTTGCTTTTCCTAATTGTTTACCCTTGTTCATGATGATCCCAGAAAGTCAGCTGTAATGCAATGTTCAAATCTGTGTGACCAAGCTGTTTTAAATATTCATTAGTCGTAACAGTCGCCTAAGGTTATTTGAATTAGTGCCATGAATATTCATGAAGTGAAATGAATGAGCATTTGTTTTTAATGCTCAATCCGTTAATACTCTTCTTCATTACTTGAATGTGAATGCTGCATGATAAGCGGCAAAAACAAAGCTTTACTTTTTAAAAGCACACTTCTCTTTGGAAGCCTATTTGTTTCAGTTTAAAGGAAACGGGAGTGCCCCACCAATTATCTCGCTGTCATTTCTCTTGACAACTACAAGACACATTGTTCACCCCTGTGGTGGAGGGTAGCACTGAAGGGCATCCGTCTTTTTGTGGAATGAAAAGCTGTAACAGAAAACATTTCTTCTGTTACAAACAGTGATTTATCTGGGAACGTCACTGAGATGTCATATCTATCCCAGTGAAAAGCAGCAGAGCAAGCAGGTCATATGAGATATGTCTCAAACCAACACTGGAAAAAAGATTGGTGTTTCAATTTATAAAAACACAAGTAATCCAGCTGCACTGAGCGTATGAAGTCAAGTCAAACTGCAATTTTGAGTGATGGTTTTATAAGATTAGGTTTTTTCTCTTTAGATTTTTTCATTAGATATAAATCTTCTATACAGAAGAAGGGCTGTGTAGTCTGAAAAGGTGATCCCAAAGTTTCAAACAAACACATGATGTCGACTTTCATTTACTTAAAATGACTTTTCTTCTTTTCTACATTCCAGAGAATCATGGTCTGAATATTTCTTGTCTAAGATGATTTACAACACAGGTTTGTGGACAATGATATTCTTACTTAGACCTGTTTAATAGGTCTCCATCCATCTGTCCTAACACTGTCAATAACTACAGCTGTCAATACAGTTTTAATGTCAATGCATCAAAACAGATACAGCCTCTCCCCTGGTGTCCTGAATGTCAAGTGATGCAAAACAAATTTCCAATAACAGATGAAAACACTGATCCACTAAATAAAAGTGTACATACACGCCCAGTAAACACACTTGGACCACTGCAATGCACCACAGCTGAACATGCTGCACATGGCAAAACACACAATTTATCAATGCAAAACATTTCAGGGTCTTATAGAGAATATGGCTCAGTTTTTTAACTAGTTTTTTATTTATTTATTTTCTATTAAACATACCAACTCACATTCTTTTGACAAATGCCTTAGTTTTTGTAATATTGCTAGACATATAGGAAAGTAATTACAACTTAGTAAAATGTCAATAAGTCGAAGGCTGATGAGAATTTGTTGCCATGGAGGTGCCACCAGCATGAACAACCATAGAATCTCTATTAAAAGTCCTGCAAGATTGGCCATTGAGGTGTGGTCCTGTTTCTATAGCTTTGCTATACGGCACCACATGTTCTTGCTCAAACTGTCTGCTATCCATTGTTCCATATCAAGTTTGGATCCTTCGTCTCAGGTAGTCTACCTCAGTGTAAATGGCCCTAGTGTTGGCAATTCAGGCTTATTTGGCTCAGCAAGAACTCCTTCAGGTCTTCATGGAATTATTCACACACAACAGCTGGCTTTTAGGCTCAGGTTGTTTGTAAACAACAAATCATCAGCCCAATCTCAGTGTTGATGCTGACTGTGAAAATCAGGACTTAAAGAAAACTGAATTTAGCAGACACAAAGACTCCAAATCAGTTCAAAACTCAATGGTTACTGCTACTAATTCAACAAAACACAACATAAAGGATCACTTGCTGGCAGCACCTCACTCTTCCTTCAAAAATACTACACAAGAATCACGTTACATTTCAACAACCAAAATATGATCATGTATTATAAATTGGTAGAACTGGCAGCTACTTTTTTGTCATTGCAGGGGTGCCCCTCCCCACACACACACACACCCCATCAGCTTTGTCAGACCGATAATGAGGCAGGAGCTTGTGTTTCAATATTTAAGTGTACTAGATGCCCTTGAGGATCTGTGTTGGGCCTGGTTGGCAAACTCCTCCATGACCTCTCATTACTGCCTGCTGGTGAGTTTCCTTTAATTTTTTTCAAAGAGCAAGATCTCATTCACCTATCCCCTCTTCATGTAGCTCAGCCAGACCCCAACGATCAGGGGGCTTGTTGAACATGAGACCCTCGGGTGCCACGTCTTCCTGAGGCACAAGGGTGACAGAAACGCTGACAGCTTGGGGTGAGACAGGGAGTCTCCCTCAGCGATAAGCATCCACTCTAAGGCATACTACATTTTACAGTCTGCAGTCATCCAAGACTCAGCCCCTTTTTGTCTTGACTTACAGAAACGGACGGGTAGGTCAGTGCTATGGGGAGGAGTTAAAAGAATATAGAAGCATTTCTGATTGACAGCTCAGCCATTTATAACTTGATGTTGATCCTGCTGCTTATTGGAGTTTTTCAAAAGTGGTGCAATTTCAAGTTTGACAAATGGCTCAAAACAGGCTGTTAAGACTATTATGAACAACGTGACTGCAGAAGAGAGAACTGTAAAACTAAACACAGGACTTTAAATGCCATTTGAAAATTGAAAAAGAAAAAAAACCCTCAATGTTCATCAAATGTTACAGCTCTAAACTTTCCCTGACACAATGTTTGACACCTGTTTTCTTCCATCTGCTGCACATCCTTTTGTTTTACCAGCTAATGTTTCTGCTTCCTGTGGAGCCATAATTGGATAGTAAAGGCTGTCAGAAAGAACAAATTTTACTAGAAAATATAAGGCTCTTGCAGAGGAATGCGTGGTTATTTGGGCCAGAAATCATACTATAGTGATATAGTCAACAAGAAATTCACATATATTACATACTTCAAAGCCACCAGGACAAATTGTTGAAAATGGTGTGCCTTTTCAGCATGATGATGACGGCCAATCCACAGCTCCAATCCTGTAATGATTTAACTGTGTTTGCAGTAAGATCGATGTGAGCTGAAAAAGAGAATCCCAAAGCAGGGAGAAGTTTACAGAGCTTTAGCCCTAGGCTAAATGTTGTACAAAAACCAGCAACAACATCCCTTGAGATGAAGCATATCTGTTGCTCCAGCTGAGCTTGTACTTGTAGGAGATTTATGTGTGCTGAAGGATAGCTTTTATTGAAGAGATGTGTATCCTTAAGGTAATGCTGTTGACTTTTTATTTGCTTCTTCAACAACAGTGAAACAAGACTGTTGAATGATTAGCGTTTTGGTTTTCCAGCTATCCCCTCCAATACTTGTCTTGGAAGCTTTTGTTAATACAACACAACAAAGCTAAAGGCTTGTCTCTTCATTTCCGATCCTGGTTACACAGAAAGCCTATTCCCATTCAGCCCTATTATTCTTTAAGCATTCAGCAGAAAGAGATTCAATCTTCCTTATTACACCTTTATCAGTATGAAATTAAGGTTAATTGACTTTGTTGGGGAAACATGGAATGACACATCTCTAATGAATCCAAAATGAAAATAACGTCATCTCCAATTGCTTTAAAATATTTCTCAATATACAGCCCACTTTTTTATTCAGCAGCCTCAGAAATAAGCTCCTCTTGTCCCAGGAGATAATAAATGAATTGAATCCCCCCACTCCAACCCCACCAGCCCCCACCTTCCTTCTTCCTTATCGGTCATCTATTTTTCCAGAGTAAGCTATTACTTGCAGGGGTTGCTAGGCAACAAGAAATATTAATAGCGGCTATTATTAGCCGGGCCCTGCTAGAGTAGTACTAAAATGTGGAAGTGGGAAACATGAATGTGTTACATAAATCTCTGGACCTTTCACAGTGTGTGCAAGTCTCTGTTTGTGCAGTGATTTATTGCAATGACGGTTCATTTATGAGAAAAGGGGGTGTGAAATAAGAAAATGGAACATTACCCTGAAGGGCTATTTGAGAATAAATAATTGCAAAGGTGAAACAAAAGCTGTTTAAGACACAGGCACTCCCTCTCTCTTTCCTTTTTAAATGCTGTTGGCCAAAAGGGGCTGCTTTGTTACAAATACTTTTGAATGCATATCACATGAACTTTTTTGCTGCATAATGCAAAAAGGCATCCAGGAACACAGTTTAAATGTGAGTCATCAACTGGAATAACCCATTAAAATGATTTTATAGGATTTGTTAAAGCAGCCATCCACATAAAAAAGCAAATCAACTCTCAATGTTCCCGATGGCAGAATCTTTCTCCTGCACCCAGCATATTCAGCACACTCTCCATGGATTGTGACCTAATCCTGAAGACTGGCTTTAATGGAGGCCTTAGCTACCACCCACGGAAAAAAATGGAGCCTGCAACTTATGCAGTTTGATTCTGAAAATCACATAAGACCTGATTAACGGAGGATAAATGCCACGGATGCTCACATTAAAGCATAAATATTCATGATGGAGGGCAGAGAGAAAAAAAAGTAATATTTATGTCAGATGAAAGTATATAACGTTGAATAATTCACCACACAGGCCATCTATAATTCATCTGGTTCGATCCCATGATTAAAGCATTTGAATGTGTTAGCCAGGGGTGTTTACATGTTCGGTCTGAAGCGTGTTTAACACAAGAAAAAGTCCCTTTACTGGAGAGGGGAAAGGGGGTCCTGAGTACCCTTTTGAAAATAAGAAGTAGCTGACGAGGGATACTCCCCCACCACCTCAAGATTTTCCTTTCAAACCCCGTCTTTCCTCTCCTTTTCCTCTTTTGCTTTGCTGATCATGACCAACATTAATGTGTAGCAGCCAGTTACCCGCTCCCTCTCTTAGCTCACTTTCAGGCAATGAAATGTTTGAGTTTTGCAGCTGAATAGATATTAAAGGAGCTCTGCTGCAAAGGTCTGCGTGTTAAAGAGGCAGCAGCTCTCTGTATTTATAAATGTTGCATGTACAGACTCTAGCTTTGCTCCGACTTCACTGTCTCAGCTTCCTTGGCCTCTAACTGGCCTAATTATCACTCTAATAAAAGAGCACTTTGCTATAATGAAAGAATTATCTGAGACTATTAAGAACGGCACAGAGAAGAATTTGTCATTTTTGCCGCTTTATTGCCGTTTAAAAGACTTCATTGCTAGAGTGGAGTCTCATGAGATCAATATTTTTTGGCAACATTTTGAAAAGACTGAACTCTCTGTGACACCAACATGTTAAGCCTTCAGAGAAAATGTTCTGTGTGCTGACTTCCAGACCTCTGACCACAGAGACTAATAGCCTACCACAGCGCTTGACTCACATGTTCACAAAGGGCTGTAGCTAAAAAAAAAGGGACAGATGAAAAAGAAAAAAGAAAAGTGCACTCACCGAGTGCATGGGCCCCGTGAGGAGGTGGGTGTCCTGACCCAGCATGTTGGACATCATGAGGGCGGGCAGCTCAGGGTAGGAGTAGGTGTTGAGCAGGCCATTGTGAGGCAGAGAGTGGAAAGGATAACCTGACTCGTGCTCCATGAGGTGCAGCAGAGAGGGGTCGGCATGGTTGGGGGGAGTAATGGGGGGGATCTCATAGTCTTCATCGCCTGCTCCTCCTCCCCCTCCACTGTTTCCTCTGCCCTGACTGGAGTAGCTCTGCAAAGGTAAAGAAAGGTAAGTGATCAAGTTTTGGAAAAAGATGGAACAAAGACTCTGTTCTCAAAAAGTCTTAGATAATCTAAATAGTTGTTTTGGTTTTTGAACATTTAAGAATAAAAGGAAACATGGGGGAAATGACAGATACCCATATTCTCTCTGAATGGACAATTTGGAGTCTATTGCTTCACAACATTGATTTGCATGTCTTTGGGGAGGAAGGAATGCATAGGACCCCCCCCAAAAAAATAAATAAATAAATAAATAAAAATAAAAAATAAAAATAAATAAAAAATAAAAAAATAAATAAAATACAATAAATAATTAAATTAAATAAAAATACTCAAAACTTAAAATCCCAAGCAGTACCAATCATGCAATTATCTTTTTAATTTTTATATAACATTTAAATTGCAAACTTAAGTTCTTTAGCAGCCCGAGAGAGAAAACAGGAAACAAAGGACTTTACATAGTAATTAAAAAGCTTCATAATTGGCTTTTAAATGCACCTGTTGACTTTTGTTTTTTAGATATTTGTTTGCAGCAGACGCTGAGCCGCAGCAGCTGATTCAGGCTGTTTTGCTGGAAATAAAAATAATTAGAAATGCAAATGGTTGGGCTTGCAAAAGTGTAAAGAATTAATTTAACACAAAAGTACACGGCAAATTAATTAGTTCGACAACAACAGCTGCTGTACAGAGTCATTTGCTTCAGAAATCTTGACAGCTTTAAAGCAACAAACTGTCAGCCTGCGTGCCTTTAAAATACACTTAATCAAATTCATTACGTGGAAAAACACCATTGATACTCACTTAGTGGCTATATTGTAATCTTGTAATTATAATTCCAATCTGTTTTCTTTTAAAGAAACAGAGAAGCCAGAGTAAACAAAGCTTGCATCCCTCATTATGAAATGTATCCAACACACCCAAACCCGGTTAAACCTTACAGATTTTATAGCACTAATAAGGTGATGCACGAGCAGAGCCTGTGCTTGTCTTTTCCCAGCCTGTCTTGACATAATATTGCGCAGAGAAATATAGTTTTGTGCTCCAAAAAAGCATACTAAGGGTATTCACCAGGGAATGAAAAGCAATTTTGTCAGAGGCAATCTGATGCCAACTCCCCTTTATAATGACTGAAGAAAATTAATCATCACAAATAATATTCCAGTGTCAGCCATTCAAGAGCTTTTTAATAGAATTTTTATTATTCATGTCTCGTGGTACACATCAACCAGTCCCGTTCTGCAACATTTCAGAAATCAATTCAATATCATCGTAGTGTATGCTGTCATCTCGCCTGCCAGAGCAGCAATTCATCTTGCAAACAAATACTTTTAGCAAACAAATGGCAAGAAACGATGAGGAACAGCTACAATGTCCTCACTGGCGAGAACTGGTGCTTGAAGATAGGATAAAAGTCTCATAATGTGCACTATCATTAGGGGGAAAATAATCATAATAATAATACAGAGGAGTATGTTTACTGTCAGGGGGTGATGTGCTATTTTTTCATTGCTATAACTCTCACCCTCCTTGCTCAGTGCTTGTTCAGAATTATTATCACTGACAACTCCTTTCCCCATGATAAAGGTTTGGTAAGTGTTTATTTCTTCATTGTCTAATACTGTTGTCATTTGTTATTACTGTTAACAAGCATACGCAGGTTGGATTTTATGACAAATATAAACAAATCTTTCTTGTTTGTGCATCAATAACTGGTAATAAAACTGAAATTGACTGTACAAATCATAAGGAATGAAAGGATTTTACCCTTGGTTAGATGAACTGGGGAGTTTGACAGTTCCCCTCCAACAAAAACACAGAGGACAAGAGAGGCAGCAGAAATGCTGAAAGATCCCCGCTAACACCCAGAGCCTTGGTGAAGGGGGTGTACTCATGTTAAAGATAAAAAGTCAACTAGTTGGTTTGTTCATCGACAGGAAAAAAATCGCCAGTAATAATGATGACACAGTTACCCTGATTCAAGCCTGTTGTGTTTAAGCTTTAACTTTTTTCTTGTTATCTGTGGTTTAAAATTGGAAATTCTTTTGTTTTTTAACAGAACAAAATGATTAATAATATTACTGAATTATTCTTACAAATTATCCCGCTGAGTTTGATACTTGACTGTGACTGATCAAATCCTCCCTGATAATGGTTGTTAATCCCGAAAAGCAAGAGCAACGTCAGGGACAACCAGATCCCACACATCATATCAAATCAATATTCATAAAGTTTATATTTTCACCTCTTCTTATTGACAAAGCTGGAAAAAAACTTTAAAAAACATGGAGGACACACATTGTTACGGCTCTTAATTTATTTAGAGAGAAACAAAGTTAAGACTTGAGCAACAGCTGACCAGACACCATCAGAGAAAAGAGACTGGAGGAGGAAAAATGTGAAGAAATAGTAACAGATGTAAAATAATGCAACAAGTTCAGGGCTTTGGTAGTGGTACCAGCTGACAAATCAGAAGGACAATTTTTTTTTAGCAGCATAGATAATTAATTTTTAAAACAATTAAAGCAAGTTAAAATCAAGACTGAGAGTTAACCTATTTCTATCTTTCATTTGCAGCAGGTTAATACACAGGATTATATGAGTGTGTGGGTGTGAGAAGTAGGATCCCTACAGATTGAGTCAAGACCCTGACGTGGTTATGATTCTAATTTGCATTATCACCTCACCCCCCCTACATATTCAACGACAAAGCTACACTCTCTTTGCTGACTTTGATCTTTTTATGTGCGGGTGGTATTTTATAATGAAAAGCCTAATTTCTCAGGCTCAAACAGTCAAATGATGTAAATAAATAAATAAATAATCCATAATAAACAAAGGCTGTCACAATATTATGCTGTAACTCTCTTTATCTGACACCTACCCAATGGCAGCCCTTAGAGACAGAGTAAATAACTAAACAGAAAAAAACAAACAAACAAACAAAAAAAAAAACCAAACTACATATGTATATATATATATTTTTTTTTTTGTGATAGTCTGGTTTGCTGATGTTGGCTATATAGTCACATCAGTCTCAGTTCCTGTTGTTTTTATAACCAGTAAAAAAAACTCCATACTGTAAAATCAACCCTTAACTACCTTCACTGTATTAACTTGAAAAATAACTTTGAATTCATTTAAATGAGACAGAAAAGTAACAGTAACTGTAGCCCTGTACAGAAATATACTTTAAGGTTCACAAGATGACTTTGGCAAAGAATACAAAATTCATCTTATATATATTTCAGGTTTACCATAGCTTAAGGGTTTGACTACGACATGATTCATCTGACTGGTTTGCATCCTGAACCACTAATATGAAGGTCTGGTTAAACTCAGGCAGAGACATGACTTGGTTTGGATTATGAGACCTTTATGGTCAGAGTTTGGGGAACCAATGTTGTAATTCAGATATATGTATATATATATGGTCTTTTTCAAGATCATAATGGAGGTTTACTGGAAGTACTTAAACAACAGCTGAGGTCAACATCATTCTTTGGTCCCCAGTTCTCAACAGATACATAATACAATAGATGTTTGGCTCCAACAGGACAGATTGCCAAAATGATTATATAAACAAAATATAAGTCATCCTTGCTTGTCATCAACCATTTGCTTGGCTCTGGATAATGGCTATTTCCATAATGTCATAATACTCTACTATGTAAACAGGCACATATAACAGATGGCATCTAGCATGGCACAGTTTAAGAGTAGAAGGAAAAACAGAGACTCAAGTGACGCATAACCAGCACAGGCATAAGGTTGCCTGCCATAAGGAGAAAAGGTTAGTGTGCTATCTCTGCTAACAAGGCAACTTGACATAGTTAACCTGCAGACACTTTGATTCTGTTTTTAGCCGTGCAAGATAAATGCAAACTCAATCTTAACTATCCCCTTATCTTTAATCCAGCCTAAAAGCCGGACTTTAATGTTCAGGTTAAAACTATCAGAAAATTAGCCACTTCAGAACACAGTGAGGACTCTCTCTAGGAGGACCACAGGATGGTAAAACTCCTCCTAACCACTGAAAGAAAAATGAATGAGAGAAAGATACTTGTAAGTAATTGAGGCTCAAGTCTTTCAAAACATTTGTTGTATGTAGGTGTGTACCTTGTTTTTCAACTTTGTTTACTATCCCTTTTATTTTTTCTTTATAGCGTCTTATGATGCCCTTGGAGATAAGACACAGAACAAGGATATCAGGTCTAATATTTTCAAATAAAGATAAATAATTCATAGATATTCTGTCTTTCAGGACATGGAGAGGAGTGGATAAAAGAGAGAGGGGTCAGAAAGAAACGCCAAATGTTGATTCAGCCTTCTTTTCCTAACCTTCAACCCCCCCCCCCCCCCCACACACACACACACACACACACTTCAGAGCTGAAATTTAAGCAAATCTATCCTTTTTTTTCTGAACAAGGACATTACTTTAGACCTCTAAGGAATCCATACATCATTTTAAACATAGAAATAAAGAACTAAGCTGCCTTTGTTCATCAGTTGTCACTTAACATCAAACACTATATAGCTACAACTAACTTGTGTAACTATGTGATACTTTGCTCCAAGGAAAACTGAATATCATCCTATATAAAGCAGGCTTTGGCTTTATGAAAAAATGAACACAGAGATTATCCCCCTCATGGGAATAGTCTGTGGAAACATTAAAGTTCATGACTTCTGATATTCTGAGATCACTCAGAACAAAAACAGATGAGCTAACGGTTTTTACTGCCAGAAGCAGGTGGCTGACATTAACACAAACACGAGATAAATGTAAACTATGAAATAAAATTAAGAAAAAGACTTTTATAACAGGTTTTAAATAACAGGAGTTGATCCACAACTTTAAGGAACACTGCATGACAAAATCTCACTGCAAAACTACTATAGACCGTCAAACTGTTTTAATACTTCTTTGTGTTCATATACCACACCAGAGTCAGTCTCCTTGACAGTTTGTTCTCTCATATTTTTTCATCTATCCATAAAAGTCAGTTTGACATAAGTTAATTTATGCTGCTTTAAAGGGGTAGGTTTTTTAAGTGTGGTAATAAGCCACTTGTCAATGGTAGGTGTATTACCCGCAGGAGGAAATTTGCTGAGCTTTAATTTGTCTCCAGACAGCCGCTCCGTTTGTGAACTATTTGCAGAGGCAACACATCCGCCTGCAGTGCCCTGATCTGCCAGTACCTCACACAACCCCACAAAAAACCCTGAACTTTCCTTTAAAGAATGACTCGGCCAAAAGTCTTGCTCTTGCTGACTCTATACGCTTTATCTTTTGACCTTACTTCGGTGGTGTAGGAGAGAACCGCAGTACCGAATTTAATAGCAACAAAAGCCACCTCTAACCACACTCAGGACCACCTAGAGGAGCAACAGAGTTACAAGTTACAGCTTCAGAGGCCTGGAGGATAAGAAACACCATGATCATTTATTCTGTAAAAATATATATTTTGATTGGCTGAATCTTTTTATGAAAATATATCTAAGATTTTCATTCAGCAAAACAGATTTTACAAACCCTCTCCTGCTTGTAGGTCTGAGTGTTTGTGTGGATTTGCCATTTGCAAAGCTTGCGAGAACAGTTTATGTTAACATCCTTCACATAATATAGTCAGAAAAGTGGAGAGTACATGCTGTAACACCCAAGACATTACTACGACATATAAGTTTATGGATTGACAAGTCTATATGACTACACAGCTCCACCCTGTCAAGTTATCTAGTTCTCTTATCTGAAGTGAAAACAAATGAATCAGCTAAGCTAAAAGTTTCCTTGACAAAATGGTTGAGAAAATAAGATGAAGTCATTAGCTTGGTGGAGCCACTCATGGTCTATGAGGTGTTCAGTGGGGGACAGCTCATCTGGGAACAATAATGTGCTCTTTATGGAGAGGAGAAGAAAAGTGTAACACAGTACAGCAGACAGCCTGTCATGGCTGACGGAGGGACAAGTACTGTCTGTCTTTGATGGACTTTGTTATTACAGCCTGAGTGACTGACAACTTCAAAGTATTTCCTCTCTTTCAAAACACTGATAAGATTATAAATAAAACTAATCTGAAAAAAACTCAAATGTTCTATAAATCCATGTAACTTTGAATGAGTATAGAGTGTCCTATTGAAAGTCATTCAGCCATATGCTACTTTGTGAGAAATATGACAGAGCAGCATGGTTTAAGAGACAAACAACAGCTGGCCGTGCATACATAAAGGTCTTCATGTCCACCCTGCTTTCCAGACAGACGGATGGCAACATTAAATCTTTAAAACTTCTTATTTTTCAGAGATCACCTTCAAGGACCAACCTTGAAGAGCAGAGAAAAAGGCAAGAAATCAAAGTCATCGTCAGCCAATGTTGAACATTTCTGAGGCGTGCCACACAACTGACCATTACAGGGTCCAGGAAGGCTATCTGACCTGACTTTGAAATGACGAGGAACTCCATCTAGGTGATGTATCAGGAGAAGCAGACAGGGTGGGTACAATAGAGGGAGAATGGAACAGCAAACCCACAGGCTGACTGACAGCAAGACAGAACTGGGATAAGTGAAGTGCGCTTGGTAGGGTTGGAGGAAAAAGGGGGTTGGGGCATCTCACCATGACCGATAGTAGCTCAGGGTCATTCGTACCGTCCGTCACTAAAGGTGGGCTGTGGTATTTTTTCAACCAATGGCAAAGGAGCGAGCTAACCTCTTCCCTGCTCCCCCATGCACTGGTAATTCTCTCAAATGTCACATCAGAATGGATCTCATTTAGGTGGGTAAAAAGGACCTGACTCTTCTTTGCAGATGCAGGTGGACCTGTGCTGGATTGGGTCTGAACTCTTAAAAACACAGCTGCAAAGGAAGTGCTCTGAAAAGGTGCAAAATAAGGCCATGGGCTGCACACTTATGTCAGTACAATTTAAGAGAAAAACCTCAGAGTTATGGATCAAAGATGAAGGGTGAAAAAATATCCCTGATCTTTGCACCTTTGGACAAAGAGAAAAAGAAATCCTTAAATGTTTGGACTGTAGGCTACTTTTTGTGTCTGTTTTTGACAGGCGGGGCAATACTGTGGACCTGCCACATTTCCTATTCTTATTCATTAGAGAGAATCGTATAAATAAATAAAATATGTTGTCTCGTAGTCACTCATCCCCCCCCAAGGGAACATGGAAGCCCCAGTAATCACATATGGCACAATAGCTCACCCATAATCCCCTTTATTTTTATTTTCATGATGTCACTCTCTTTAAGCCCATTGCTTTATGAGTCGCAAACGAAGTGGAGAGGAGAGGAGGAGCGCAGAGCTGAGGAGAGGAGAGAAGAGCAGAGGAGAGGAAAAAGCAAGGGAGGGGTGAAAACAAATGATGTGGATCCCTCATTGTTCTTTCTCTATGCCCTCATTCCAGTCAGGGTAATAAGAGAACATTGTGATTTACTGTCAGTGAAGCGCAAGAGTGCATCAGAGAGAATCCACTGCGGCAGGGGCCATTAAAATAGATTTAACTTCCCACAGTATTAGGCCAGATGTCTACACTTCTATTATATTTCAATCAGCCATGACCTTGGTCTCCATATGATGAGAAAGATCACTGTGAGAGAGAGGAAAGAGAGAGTGAAAATACACGCAGAAAACCAATAGAAATATCAAACTACTTAGTCCCACTAAATCCCTCTGCTCCATCCCTTGTGCAGTGAGCAAAGAGAGAGAGGCCGGGACCGAAATAGAGCCAAGGTTTCAAGTTCTCTTAAAAGAGTGTATGAATCATTGAGTGCACTCTCCCTGCCGATAAGTTGCTGTTTTTTGGGGGGAGGAAATGCTGCTTTTGGTGCGTACTCGAAGAGGGGCTGAGGGAGTGTGCTGCACAAAGTGGGATCATTTTCCGTTCTTCTGCTATCAACAGTATGTTTTTATTTTATTTTTATTTTTTTTAGATTTCATAAGGTAAACATTGACTGTTCACATCACTGTTAAATCCCTATCTTTCACATTTCATTCACATGGTGTTCACATCCTACTTTCTACTCATTAAAATCCTCCAATTCCTGATGTCTTTCCACAATTACAAGACATTTAATGTCTGTGTCAAAGTAAGAATTTCCATCCATGCATTCCTTTCAGCTCCATGAAAGCAGAGCAGAGGTCAGAGCTTGTTCTCTTTCAGAGGCTGATGGTAATTGGACTTATTGGCTGACATGGACTGACCTACATAAAGAACCAGCGATCCCTGGTTACAACTGAAACTTACAATCCCCCCCAAGCATGGGTGTGGATGTTGTGCTGATGTTTCTCTGATGTTCGTCCAGCATTGTTTTCAGATATTGATGCCCCAGTGCTGGTTTGGAGCTGGAAACTGTTTTCAGTTCAGAATTTTATGCTACCAAAACGGTTTGCTCTCTTGAAATTTAAATACTTGCCGTACAATGTGTATCACTACTTCATTTGCGCGACCTTGCCAGCGGCTCAGTAAGGCCTCAAAGAGGGAGTGAGATGTGTGTTGGCGTTTTCAGACCCTCAGTTTTCATGTTTCATCCTTTGTCTCAAATGTCCCCCTAACTTTTTTTATTTTTACTTGCAGGGAAACGATGCAAGGATGGAAAGAGAGTAAGAGAAAGAGAAACACATTTAGTGAAGTATACGGTGGGGGGTTGGGGAGTGTTGTGAAGTGAGGAGAGTGTTGCAGTTGTGTGGTGGGGGTATAATGGTGCACTGTGAGTCACTGTTAAGTAACGGTGCCTTTTCACATCAACATCGCCCACATTGGGTGTGCGGTGCCAGGGTGTACTGAGGTGTCTCTGCCTTAGAGAGAAAGAGAGGGAGACAGAGAGAGAGAGAGAGAGGCGGGGGAGGGGGTGGGTGCCCATCAGCTGATTCTGCAGGCCAAACAACATCTGGATCACTATTTATGGTTTACGGACAAGACACCATCATGTCAACTGCCTGTTACAGAGCATGAGTCCAGATTGGCTTCAGGTCTCGGCTAGTTGAAAGGACACTTTTTAACCTGTCACTGTAATTTGCTAAATGCTGCAAAGTGCTCTGATCATGGAGGGTAAGATGGGATAAAACTGAATCTTTTCCTGTGTTTGGGCTTTGGAAATAATTTGGGAATAGATTAGGCCTAGACTTGCTCTTTATTGTAAACTGGCTCTTTATAAATAAAGACTGATTGATTGATTGATTGATTGATTGATTGATTGATTGATTGATTGATTGATTGATTGATTGATTGATTGATTGATTGATTGATTGATTGACTGAAGTCAGACATATTTGGCAGCAGGTTATCTCAGCTTGAACAATGAGTTACAATATGTTGGTTATTAAACTTTACAGTTAATTGTTATCACACTTGGATCAAATTATTTCAACTATCTCATCATATTTTTACAGTGTTCAGATATTAGGTGGTCAAAGACTGTATAGAATTGTGGACAGGCCAACAGCTACTATAATTAATTTCAGAGCTCTTTCCTCTGACTGGATGCAATATAGTGGGTATACTGCAGTACGGGTCATAAAGCTGTCCTTCATTAAAACATAACAAACACGGGTCAAACTAGGCATTCCAAGTTTTTTAGAGGAGGTTTTAAATGTAAATGAGATGCAAAATTCATATTGATGCCTTGTAATGGCATACAAAAACAAATCAGACCATAAGTGACAAGAGTGATGAAATTATTGTGAAATTTTTAATGCTAGAACCAAAGCAAGAGGGTAGAAATAGCAGCTGAAGAAACAGTCCTGTTTTTATAACTTCATTATAAAAACATCACAATGACACATTTGACTGCCAAGAGTCAGCAGAATGAGATTTTTTTTTGTCTGAAGACACCACTTAAAGTGCAGAGGACAAGATAAGCGGAGTCTTCTTTTTCCACTGGGGGCACCAAAATTGGCACAAACTGAAAATTCCTGATAAGAGCTTTAAAATACACATTAGATGCATTTCTCTGAACCATGCTGTTGAGGTATCTGAAATACTCATTATAAAGCACCTAACACTGTTTTGTGCGTTATCATATTCTACAAGGAAGGAAGTTGTACATTAATAACCATCTTAAGTCCTATAAGACTTCACTGACCACAGCATATGAAGATAGTTAAAAATGTACAACGTTCTCACCTGTTATCAATAAGCGATAAGAGGGGATTTTTAAGAAACTGAGTTAAAAAGGCGTATCGAGGCATCAATATTATTGTTTCCTAAAACCCCTGACAAGAGCTTTAAAGTAGTAATGGGCAGAAAGTAACTGGAAAGGAGAATTTTTGAAATTGGTTTATAGCTAGCCTAAATTTTAATTTAACTAAGTCAACCACTTGAAGTAAATTTGGCTTTAGAACCACCAAATTGAGTCACTTCAATAAAACTACTATGTTAGACACTTCTTACTTAATGGCAATTATTTCCAGTGAAGTTAGCAACATCTGATGTGCTGGGCATAATTACTTTGTATGCATACATTTGCATCATCTTTGATGAAATTATGATATCAATTAAGTTTCACAGAGAAAAAGTGAGAGTGGGAAGTGATGTTTTGATTTCTACATAAAGTTTATGATGTGTTTGAGAGCTTCACATTTGCAGGAGAAACAAGTTGAGTGGATGTGGGTGAAAGAAAAAACAGAGAAAGAAGGACAAAGACAGAGAACGAGAGCGTGTGAGGGAGTGTCAGAGTAAAGAAACAGACAAAAATAAACAGACTGAAAGAGACAGAAACAGGAAGATGAGGAGCAAGAAAGAAAGAGAGAGAGAGAGAGAGAGAGAGAGACAGAGAGAGAGAGAGAGAGTATCCAACAAGTGAGGTTTCTATTCTAATCTCAACCATCAGCCACTGCTCTCTTGCAGCCGGCCAAATCGATAGAGACACACAGCACAGCAAGACACCTGGAAACAGAGAAGCACAAAAGCACAAACAGGCTGAAACTTGCTGCTTCTCTGAAGACCATGTGGCCCCTGAGTTTCCTCTCCTGCGCATGAACACAATGCAACAAGTACTACACAAGAGAGGAAGAGACGTACAGAACTCCCCCTCTTCCTGCCACTGGCTGCTTTTCTCTTTCAAACTTCCTCTCTAACCAGCTTTTTTTTTCATACTTTGGTCTCTAATTTTCCCTAATCTATCCTATGCACACACTTACACGGACATGCATCCACATGATGCACAGACTGATTATAGGGAGAGAAGAGGCCAGCCAAACACACAAAAATATACACTGGGGTCCAAGTCTGCAAAGTCACTTCAAGAGATCAGGCCTGATCTGAATCCAAATGAAGAACACCAATTGTCCTTTGTACAAAATTAGACTGTGTGCGGGTTTGGCTGGAGGCAGCCCTTTTGGTTTGGCTGTGATCATTCTCATGTAGCTATTATAGAGCTGCAGTAACATACACAGCAGTCACTATTATATGGTATGCATGTACATGAAAGCCTGATAGTCCAATTTAATTGCATTTTTTGTGGTTACTTTGTTAGACTGAAACCATGCTTCAGTGTCTTTGCTTGGGAAGGGTTTTAATTTTACCATCTGTGATGCCAATTTCAGTGTTGGGGATAATTCATGACAAGGTAACCATTTGAGTGCTCCATCACTTTTTGCAGTAATGAGCAACACACAACAGTATTTATGCAATAAAGTAATCCGTTACATACCTTTACATAAAGGTAATCCGTTATTGGACTAAGAGTTGTATTTTACTTTGGTAACAACAGTAAATTCCTGAAACACTCCAGTTTCCCCCCTACTTCATGGCAGTTTGCTGTGTGGAGACCAAGACCAGCAGGAGGTGAACCTACGTTTGTGTCCTGAGTAGGGGCACAGAGCGGGCAACATGTATGCAGTTTGATTTGTAAGGCGAAATGGACAAGAACAACTTCACAATGACATATAAGCCGTGCCGGGAGGACAAAAGCTTATCAGCTGCCAAGCTCTTTTCAGTGCTTTGCAATGCTAGAGGTGCTGCCCATTGAGGAGGTGAAAGATGCCAGTGGTGCTACAGCCTCTAAGCATGTGTAATGTTAAGCTTAGGAAGAAAATACAAAGATGCTGCTGGGTTCAACAGTTGCATGAGTCTTAATAAGAGCCCATTTTTAAATTTTTTAAACAGCTGTGCTTCACATTGTAGACCCCTACCCAGTTCAATGAAAGATTGTCTCCACTACAAAGAGGTGTGAAGATTATGACAACTAGGTTATCCAACAGAGCTGATACTCTCCTAACTCTTGACAGGTAGACACATGGTAGGCTTCGAGCCACCAGGACAATGTGACTGATGAATTATAAGCCGGAGGTTTCAGTGGTTAACATTTTTTGTAATACAAAGGTAAACGGACATGTCTTCAGTTTATATTAATTGTAGGAAGGTTTGACTGACTTAAGTGTAACTCCATAACATTTAAATCCTTGATAAAATCTGACATGTGGGAAGTTTTTGGGACTTCTGTAACAAGTAAATAATAAAAAAAATCTGTAGCGCTCATAAAAGCATTCAGGATAGTTGATATTATTTCATCATTGATCAAAAAAGAATTATATATATATATATATATATATATATATATATATATATATATTCCCTCAGTTGTTTTTTTTTTTATATGTAGACCTAAAAAAACATTAAACAACAAAAAACACCCACACTTCTACATGTAGGCTGAAACCTCAGCAGATGATTTAAGTGTAAAACATCAACATGATCAAAACTGTCTGTGAGCTCCATATGTGCATGTCCTTTTACAGAAACCATACAGCTTTCAAAGCCTCGAAAACATCTTGTTTGAATGGACAGATTGTGTCCGAGAATACAGTAAACGTCCCTTTAAAGCTGTTTCTGATTAGTGGTTTTCTCTTTTTAAAAACCCAGAGATGTTATGTGTAATGCAATCTCTTGGCTGTGTCAAAGTGCTACCTCAGTGCGTACACTGTGGAAGACCCCAGACATGCAAACAAAGGAGCCTCTGTTCTGGCTACATGCACCTTTTTCACAGGCACACGTCATGTAAATGGTGTGTGGGCATCTCAACTCAGTGTTAACCCCTGCATAAAGGCAACAAGGTTTTTCTTTTTCACAATATGTTGGACCAGCATAAATGTACATTTCCAAACCCTGAATGAGCACTTTTGAATTATTCTGCGCTTATAGAGGAAACATAAGCGATATGGGGAAAATGTAGCTGTATAGCATCTTTGCATCTAGCACTTCCCTACAGACAGATAAGAAACATATCTGATAAAATAAGGGACACATAAAAAAAAAAAAGAAAATACACTTAGCAGCAAATATATATTAAAATAATAGCTATTTCAAATTGATGCAAAAATTGATTCCATATTTGAACCTCTAATTTGCCAGGGTTCATTTCAAAAGCAGGCAGTGTGTGATAAAGTGCAGCACTGCTAATGCATGCAATTAAGCCCCAATTAAGACATGATTGATTTACATGCACAGCAAGCACAGTGATGACATTTATAGGTTGCATAAAGTAAATGCAGATATTCCTAAGATGTGGTGGCTTTGAAAATAATTCTGTTTTACCTCTTCAGACCCCTTTAGTGGATTAATCTTTGCAAATTCATGGCCTGTACCCAAGTACTGTTCAAATCCACAGAAATGATTAATTCTGGTCAGGATCCTAATACCAGAGGACATGCTGAATTATAAGGAAACATTTGTGTAACATATGCACAAGACAAGAATAGAATTTAATGATTTGGCAAGCTCTAAAAAACCTCTGGATGGAAACTAAAGACAGTGTGAAAGTGTGCCAAAATAAAAAAATAACATGTTATTAGGTTTGCAGTAACATTTATTCTAATATGCTTGAAGAAGTCTGTTTAACCTTCGGCTTCAGAGCAATAAAATGCACACCCACCTTCTTTCAGTTTTAATTTAAATATGCTGTATTAACACATCGTAAGCCAAACTGTGAACTCTTATATTTGCAGGGTTTTCAGAACTGGTGTGTAAGCTTCTATTTGACGGCACTGACAAAGCATCAACTGCAACTGACATGTTTTGAAAAGCCCAAATTGCCTTATCCACTAAGAAGGTATTTGTTGACACAACACTGCAAACCTGCAGCGGGTGTCGATGATTGACACATGACCATGCGGCAGAGGAACTACAAAGCTGGACATTTATCCCAATTAGCACACAGCCATGTTTGCAAGCAATCTGACATAATTAGAGCAGAAATGTGGCCAACAACGACAGACCTCAGAGTCTATGATGTGTGCTATAAGTAGACAATAAGCTGCTAAAGCTCCCACCCGACCCTTCATTCCAGTCACTCAATCCCAACATCAAAGGAAAGGCAACCTTATAGCTATAGGATGATAGTGTGTGCATATGTGTGTGTGTGTGTGTGTGTGTGTGTGTGAAGGTTTATGAGACTATAAGTGTGTGTGTGTGTGTGTGTGTGTGTGTGTGTGTGTGTGTGTGTGTGTGTGTGTGTGTGTGTGTGTGTGTGTGTGTGTGTGTGTGCCCATATGTGCATGTTTATGGGCACATACATGTGTTCTCGTTCGTCAGTGTTTGCAGGGTCCAATTTATATTTTACACCCATATAGTAAGCACATTTTTGTAGAGTGAGGACATTTTTTCGGCTTCTTCAAAGGAATGTTTGAGGGTTAAGACATTGTTTTAGGCTTAATGTTATAATTAGGTTTGGTTTTAAAGGGTCAGTTTGCCCAAATTCCAACTTAAAGGTACTATAACTCCAGTTTAAAAAAGTTCAAAGAGAGGTTTGTCGATTCAGAACAACAAAACTGTGTTTTACAAGGGAAGTGGTTTGTTGAGTCTCTTGAGAACATTTCATACACAGGGGACTTGTCAGCTATGCTAAACTTTAACAGACTGATCTAAAACTGTATGCTTTTCCATACACTGAACATACAATAAAAAATAAATCCATTTACAATGTTTTTGTTAATTTGATGAACTAGCCCTTTAATGTTAGGTTTCTATCCCTGAAATCTTTAAGGGTTATGGACAAAGGAATGCATTTTGTCACTGTGCATCCATACAAGTATAGATGGTGGGACTAGTGAGTGTTTGTGCACATTTGTTCAGTGTGATTGAGTGAGCTGAAACTCAGGTCGCCTACCTGCCCATGTGCTTAGGTCCTATGAATAACTTAGTGTCAGACGATGTGTCACCTTCCATTACAGCCTGTGTCTGTGTGTGTGTATTTGTCTGTGTGTGTCCTGTGTCCTGTGCCGTCTGGCCTTGTCTGTTAACTCCCTGACAGTATTTGGTGGGGCGCTAATTGACGAGGAGCCTCCACCTCGTTGTGTTTTGTCAGAACATGAAGGCCTCGCTGCTGGATCAACAAATCCTGGAGCTCCAAATTCTGCCATATGTCCGGCCATGTGTTCCCATCCACCAGCTGGGAGCAGTCAGCACCGTGCCTGTCTAACTAACTGACTGTAAAACTGTGACTGTGTCGCTCTAGACTGGTACCAGAACTTCAATGAGCCTGGCAAAGTGAAACGTTCGGGGCTGTTTATCTGTCGGTGACCTGACAGTCTCAGTGGGATGACACTACAGCGACTGTCAGGGCTGTTGGTTTAATCCTTCTCATGTTAAAGACACACATATGTTACAGCAGTGTGCTTTGGATAAAATCATCTATCAAATGGTACATGTCAAAGAGACACTCTGGCTTAGAGGACTTAATGTTTTTCTGACTTAGCAGCAGAGGGTGAGAGTCATGGAGGCCGTTTTAATGATGTTTGAACTCTGTTTTCCTACCAAACCAAAACATCACTGACCCCAAATTTTAATACATATTTTTAGAAATATCTGCTGCATAAAATCCAGTTTTGCTTCCTTACAAGTGCTATTTTATGATCTTGTGTTTAAAAGCTTGAATGATCACATGACCAGACAAACCACTCATTTCATTAAGCTATTTCAGGCAACAAGCTGACAACAGAAGAGTTGATATTGCCAATGGCTCAATCTGGCTTTGAGACAATGAAGCCAAACCCAGCTGGGTCCCAAAACTAGGATGGATGATACAGGAGTAAGAAACCATTAAGACAGGAATTCTAGCAGATTCACTAAAACTACTGATGAGTTAAAACAGCACTGTACCTAGGGCTGGGCGATAAAATGATAACGATATATATCAGAAATTAATTTCCCTTAATATCAATATAAAGCATGGCCAATTCATGTTTCGATAGTCGGCATTCTGACATGTTTTGGTAGACTAAACAAATAGCCAATGAAAAGAGGAGTTGCTCCGGGTCTGCTTTGTGCTCAACCAATCATGTGCTGAATTAGAACCAAGTAGCAAACAACTGTGTAGCAGGAGAGACACACAGACCTCACAGATGCACTAGCTTATTGTATTGCAAAAGACTTCCTGCCAATAACAACTGTTAAATTTAATTTTTTATATTTGATATATATCAATATCGACTGATATCACCCAGCCCTAACCGTACCTTTAAAACTTAGAGCTTATTGTAGGCACACAGGGAGATTGTACAAGGGCAAAGCTGTCCCTTCAGACAAATGCCTCAGCATACAAATACTTCTAGAGAGACCGGGCTAACATGCCCGGCAGGTCTAATTTTTTCTCTGTTTACAGCAGCCCTTTTGTATTGCCAGCTCAAGGCCCATGTAACACTTGGACCTCAATACAAATATCTCAGAGGTGTAATAGTGTGACCAAGTCATCCTACTGCTGTCCCAGCAAGGGAAGTAGAAACACTGGGGCAAATGTTCATTAATTGGTAAACTGCTTATAATTATTCATTTTTTGTGTGTTCACCTTTAATGGAGGTGTTATAGTGTAAAAGATGATCTATAAACCTTAATTAAATGTGGTTTTCTTTAGCTACACAGATTTAGCAGTACTTCATTTCACATCCCACAGTCAATCTAGAGATGGAACCAAACCCTGCTCATACACAGTAAGATGAATTGCAGCCAACTTGAGCAAGAGCACTTAATACTTATACTCAGTAATATAATGACAATTTGAGCTTCTCATCCTGATGTGCAAAGTCACAAAAAGATAGCCACTGTAAGTACATGGTCAATTTTTGTTAAAAGCTCAAAGCAACTCTTAAAGAGAGACTAAACTTGTTCAATACAATAACAAGTTTTTACAGCAGTTTATCTAAAACCAACATGTAATAAATATCTATATTTTGCAGAGTTTAGAAAATACAAGTCCATCATTTTACACATCTCCAAGTGTTGTCCACTCGAACATGTTGAAAATTGAAACTTCACACCATCACTTCTTGTAATTTTGACATGGAGTTTATATAGAGTGATATAGTTTGCATGAATAAACAGTGAATGGTGGCTTTGTCTATAAGCCTCATATTTCAAAACATATCTAACTCTAGGATTATGAGAACAAGGATGAGAGGATTTAGCAGATCCTCAAGCCGTCAGAGTTATAAAGAGGTCAAGGTAAGGATGCTATCTGACATTTCATAAATCAACTATATGACAGGCTAAAAAACCTATGGTGTTTATGTACTGTTTTTATTTTTTTTCAGATAAACATGGCTCTATTTTTACATAAAAACAACCCCATCTTCACTTAACAGACACCTTTAACGACAGTGAGTCATTTTTTAAAAATACACTTAAACTCATGCTTTGATGAGTTCCCCTTTTTTTTTTTTTAAAGCTGACGCCTGGAATATACAACACCTACTATGTGGGTGACTTTTTATACATGTCTGTGGGGTTCTTCCTTACCTGGTTTGGAGACCGAAACTCTTGGTTATTGTCATTCATGTACATGTTGTCACCATCAAACTGTGGACAGAAAAAGAAAAGAGATATTAACATGGTTGGCTACGCAAGAGGAGTTGTGAAAAAAATATACTGGAGTCCAGGGAGGAGGTGTGAAGAGGAAAAGCTCTTTACGGGTGGCCTGAAGTGTGAGACTAATGACTTTGTCACTTTGGTTAAACCTCGTGGTGGCATGGCAGCGTGGGTAATTACTGTTCGTCAGCGGGCCGGTAATTAGGCTACATGAGCACAGTGACGAGAGATGGGCTTTTCCCTGTGGGCGCCGCTGTGTGTACAAGACAGAGAATGAGTGTGAATGAAACTGTGACTGTGGTGAAGGGTGTGTGTGCTTGCTTTGGCGCTGTGGATTTGGAATGTTAGTGTGTGTGTGTGTGTGTGTGCTAGTAAGTGTACTGCACTTGGAGGGCTGCTGTGTCTTCAGGATTGGGTTAATCAGGCTTTGAAAGATCACTTGCTGCAGGTGCCAAAACACAGTTTGACACAAGGCTAGTACCCCCGTAACAACAAGGGACCCCTGACCTGAGAGGGTGCTGGGAAATTGTACCAGGTCAACTGTTAAATGCTTCATGCTACATACTATCTGTGATGTTGGGTGTATTGTGAGGAATCCCCCACTAGGGTCATCTTTTAGAGGGCTGCAAATGCAGAAAAACCAACACTGATTTTAGCAAGAGAAAAAAAGAAAGAAAAAAAAAAAACTGTCCGACAAATGGATCAGAAACTGAACCCGTGCAGAGTCAAGGTGACTGACAGACTGCTACCATGTTAAGAGGAGCTATATTGGAGAATGTCCTTGGCTTACAAAGGCACAAAGCTTTGTCACAACACTCCTGCAGCAAATGGAACAAACCTTGACTTGACTGGATAATAACACACGCGCACGCACACACACATACACACATAGAAACCAAACATGTCACATGAAACCTCCGTGCTTTTTGTTGAAGGGGGTCATTCTTCGTGATATCAGTGCACAGGAGACTCAGAAAAAGACAGCAGAGACAACATGATCAAACTAGACGACATTCCATTTCAGATTCCTAGATTTAAAGATATGACAGGCCTTTTTTTTCTCGGTTAGGGTGGTCTGCTTTGCTGTTATGGTAAAAGCGACTGAACGCTGCAAAGATAAACACACCCTGGATGTAACTGACTACAAAGGTTTCATGAGGCATACCTGCTAAAAACAATGCCCAATGAGGAAGCCTATAATGGACGGAAATGGGCAGAATTCCTGGGGGTGAAATGTAATATCTCCACTGTTAGGAAGGGAAAAAGTGAAAGCAGCTAAATGAGCATGTGAGTGGTGAGAAAGAGAAATTACTGTACATTATTGCAGGAGAAAGGCCCGGGGAATGAGCGTCTGCCTCGGGGCAATGGTTGGTTAACGATGCATATCATGGAGGCCCTTGTGAGGATTCACTTGGTTATTCTAATGATTACATTCACATCCAGCCACAAGCACGAAACTGAGACAAGCACTAGCAATGAGCCTCATTCACACCACACACGATTAATCTAAAGGCAAACAGTAAAGACTACAGATTTGTTTTAAGCCTAAGTGGATGTTGACTGATTGTTTTGTGCTACATTCAGGAGATGGGGACACTAATTAGCTTAACGAAGCATGATGGTGTCAATCACCTGACAGTACAAAGTGTCTGTAGCTCACAGAGAGCATCAAATCTACGCTGACCACAGAGACGTGTCCAAAAAGCCTCATGTCCTTGCCTGACTGAAGGAATTTAAAATTTGCTCTGGTGTTCACCCTGGAAATCATTGGTTGAAGAGCATTTCTGCTGTTCTTTCAAGCTTTAAAGGAAGAAACAAAAGAACTGTTCACGCCAATAATGCCTGCTATTCAATATTCAACAGAAAGTCTACAAAGGTCAGCCATTTTGTGCTGCAACATGGCTGCCCATATATTGCAATATAAAGCTGTTTCCCCCTGCTCCTCTCTCTCGAAAGCTCTCCTTTGCACTGCCTCGCTCTCCCACTTAAAATGCCAATTTATCCTCGGCTCAATGCTATCAGCTCTGCCATTACTCCACATTTACTGCAGAAATCATCTTCTCTTTTCTCTGCAGTTCCTCTTCTCTTCACTTTCTCCCTCTTGCTCTTTTCTCTCACTCTCTCCATTTTTGTATTTCAACTCCCCTTAGCTTTAACTGTGTTCCTCTTTTCTAGTTTTCCTCCTCACTGCTTCCTCTCTCTTCTGTTTCCCATGTTCTCTTACAGTCCCCACATCTCTCCTTATCTCACTACTTCTCCTTCTCCATCCCTACCCCTCCTTCTCTCTCTTTCTTCAGCGAGGCCTTGGCATCGCTTTCTCATCGGCAGTCTAATTGGGCATTCTGCCTGAGACAAGGGCCTCATTAAGCAGTAATTACACACATGTTGTTTTCGGCAAACATCTCTATTTGGATTGCTTTGCATGGTAATTGTTCAGCAGGGACCACTGCTCGCGATGTTTCCCTCCGTGACACATGCGGTGCTGAGAGAGAGGAATAAAAACATGGAGAAGAGGGATGGAGAGCCTGGGAGGAGAAGAGAGGGAGGAATGTAAGAATAGAGGAAAATAATAATAGGATGTGGAAGGGAGACAAATTGAGAAATAAAGAATGCATACATGAGAGAGAAGGAGGATGAGAGTAAGAGAGAGGCAGACTCAAAGGCTGAAGGAGATGCTGAGGCAGTGAATGGAGAAAGACAATGAATAAATGACAAAGAGAGAGGAAGACAGATTCAGAGAGAGGAGAAAATGAGGTGGAGTGGTAGAGAGAGAATGACAAAGATGTGGAGAATCAGTAAATGAGGAAGAAAAGTGAGAAAGTCAAGACAGTGAAAGGGAAAGAGAAAGAGAGAGTCCCAGAACTAGGTCATGCCTCGCAATCATCGACAAAGCTCAGCGTTTCAAAAATAATGAAGCCACAAGGTGGAAGTAATGCTAACTAGCATATCCAGGGAAAACATGTAATATTTACACAGTGCTAATGGTGCAACACAATGCTGGGATCTTTTCATCTTGGGGCACACCGGTGAGACAGCTGATGGCAGGATTGGAGGCAAAATTACATACTCCATTGAAGATTGGTTTTGAGTGATGGACAATTCATATAAGCATCTCATAAAGCCTTCAGAACAACATCTGTCTGTGGAGGGGGCGGGGCGCTGATGGACCGCTTGTGTGCCTGTGCTTTTCTATGACTGTCCAGTCATTAGTGTGAAAGGATCTGATAATAGGAGGAAAAAATAACATTTCAAATCTAGAGGGTGAAAAAAAGACACACTGGTCTTGGTTTGAAAAACTTCAATAGAGACAAATACCGATTTTGGTTATGCATACTTTAATAACCAGCTGGTTTGTGCCTGATAATACTACTGACACCATGATAAGGCGACAAAATGATTGATTTTACAACCCTAATTAACTGAACTTTTTAACATTTATAATCATATTTGACCCCCCTTCACATTCCAACACACTTTTAAGTCTATATAAACAATGTAAAGCAATTCTTACCAGTGTCTTCAGTTAGGAATTAAATGAATGCCAGTAAATGTACTTCACAATCTAACAAATCTTTTAGATTTTATTACATTCACACCAGTATGGTCTGAAATCATGACTATGAGGTATGAGACAGCTTCAGAGTCTGGAAACTTTTAGCAGATATGTGTCTGACTTAGAAATTGATATGTGATCAGACACAATCACCACATAAACAATATGCCCCTCTGCAGGGATCAAAAGCATCTGCAAGAGGTGACTTTTCAGCTTGACAATCTGCATTTTCAGTTAAAGATGCAGAAAAGTGGAGCTCAGTTTGGACCAGTATCAGAGACTGTAAACACGCTGTGTTTTTAAAACAAACTCATGTCAAGCTCATGACAAACCAGCCCTCTAGTCATTGGTCAAACCTCTGTATGAAACAGATCCAAAGAGAAAGTAATAGACGCTGTTAATGTTGTTTTATGTGACGCACTGTTTGTAAAGTTTGCATTGCTTTTAGTTGTTTAAATGCTGTTATTCAATTGTTTGTATTGTGTGTCTAATAAACCTTCTCACCCAAAGACCACACATGTCATTTATCTCTGGCTCAGCAGCTTTACAATGCACCGTCCCTGTCTGATGAACTAATAAACTAAACTGAACTTGTGGATGTCCCCTAGACCCCTAGGGCTCTATTTCCGTGCCCGCCGGTGGCATGGCAGAGGGTGGCGCACCCCGCGCAGTGGTTATTTTGTCTGGCGGAGCCCAGCGCACAGCCAGTTTGGAGCTGATGAGATTGGCGAAAACAGGTCCTGGCTGTGTTAGACCCACTTCACGCCTTATCCCCTCCCTCTCTACAACTTACGCCGCTGGGAGGAGCTGGGTTAGGGAGGGGAAATACTTACAGCGGGCTGCGCCGCTCACCAAAATACCAAAGTGTGCTACGGCACGCCTTATCGGCGTGGTGGACATGACTTACGCCGCGCCTGCGCCATGCCACGCCACCGGCGAGGCACGAAAATAGAGCCCCTAGTCTCACAAATGCTATAGGGAGGGTGTCAGTCAGCTGCCACCTATCGGTGCTGTGATTAATTTTTTTGATTAAGCACCTGCATGCTTCGCTTTAAAATAGTTATTACAACTCAAAGTACATATAACTTTTAACCAGGGAGTCTTTTAAGTAAATTCCATGCCATCAAAAAGGCAGCGGTGTCATAATTTTCATCACAGTCGCAGGATGACACTGCAGAGGTTAAACTACAGTGCCAGAAACTAAAAAAAGAGTCTTACATTTAAGACCTTTATTGGATCTTGATTCATGCATTGATGTTGACGACCCTGATCCACTGCAACTCAGGTTTATCACAGTCTCACCTCACACCGCTTGAAGGGTCTAATACTGTAAATATGTACTTTTGTGCAAGCAAAACATTTTAAAAAGTATGTGTGTTTCCTCTTTTCTTCTACATCACAAATCAAAAACTTCAAACTTCTGTGGGGAAGTTTAACTTTTGATTGTGGTTCCCCTTGTGGACAGAGTGCTATCTCTTATCTTTCTGTACATGAGTAAATAATAGTTTCTGATGGAAAAAAAAAAACTCATCCAGCTTTCTTCCAACTTTCAAAACATTACTCATTCATTTAATCACTGTGAATCTTTGCTGTGGATATAGTCATATAGTAGGTGGTCTTATTTTCTAACTTTGTTACTTATACAAATACATTTTTTACAAAACGTGTCATTTTGTTATTTAAGATGCTTAACTCTTCTGAAGGCTACTTATAGTTTATGGAGTAATACCTGGACAAGCTGTGTGAATGAAACTCTTTTCTACAGTAAAATTATAAAAGGTTAAATAAACTGAACAGTTACAAACTGAAGACAGGCCAGTGTTACAGAATAACTGTTTTTAAGTGGAAATGGTCAGTCATTTTTCCTCAACAGCTGGACTTAAGTATCATATGCCCAAAGGTACAGATCATGTCAAGATGTAGCTTTTACCTTGTATCAGGTGCAAAAAAAGACACAAACAAACCAAAACATACAGTCCCACACTGAGGAGCTACAGCAAACTTTTAGAACTTCTCAATTTTTAAAAAGGGGAACTATAAGCAGAATGCGTTATACCTGTGACTTTAAAAGCCTTTGCCAGTATACCAACTCTCTAAAAATAATTCTCTCACAGAGCGGAATTAATAAGCCCAGAACAGTACACAGCCATTCTGTGAAGAAAGGGGTGTGGTGGTGGTGGTGGCGGTGGGAGGGGAAGCTCATGCAATATGTATGCCTGTTTGAGCACCCTTCTTCATACCCCACCCCATTTCCCTTTTTACATCTCTCTCTCTCTCTCTCTCTCTCTCTCATCCTCTGTTCAATTAAGCTGTAGGAGAGACCCGACGAACCCTAACCTGAGACAGTGTGCCTCTGAATTTAGATGTCGCCCAACTTCTCACCATCGGTTCAAAAGATAGAAAGAATGAGACACACAGAGTGAAAGACAGAAAGACGCAGGGAGACAGACCTGAGTGAAAATATGTTCAACACAGACTCCAAACCAGAGAGGGGCCAAAGGTGCTTAGAAAGAAAGAAAGAAAGAAAGAAAGAAAGAAAGAAAGAAAGAAAGAAAGAAAAGGGAAAAAGAGAAAAGAAAGACAGAAAGATCTATTTAAAGCTAATGTTCAGAGTTGTAACAGAGAGGGAGAGAAAAGAGACTAAAGTAACAGTTCTGGTATTGCACCACGCCCCAAGCAAACAATGAACATGGGCAAACAATGAATATGGCACACACACACACACACACACACACACACACACACACACACACACACACACACACACACACACACACACACAAAGCCCATAAAAAGCGCAGCCTGTGGCCATGGCGACACATGCTCTGTTGTCGTTAGATAAGGGAAACAGGGCCTCTTCCTGGGTGTGAGAGTATGATCCTGCACACACTTTATGCACACACACTTACATGTGCACACTCAGATGCAGCAACACCGGGGTCACATCCACCAACGCCCAGCATTTGATGTAACCTCACCTTTATCAGCTGCGTGGTTCATTTTCATATGCAAAACCTGGCTGTGTTTATCTGGACACAGTGTGCTCTGGTCAGTGGGCCGCAGAAACGACATGATCAGATACTGTCAGCATACACAGAGCAGATCTGCATATCTCACAGAGGGATTTTGATGGAATTCTGTCTGGACTTTGCTGGCCCCAGGCCAACCACATATGTAGTTGGATAATCAAAAACAGAAGTCTTTGAGGTATTGCATTTTCTCAAAGGGCAGTTGCAAAACTCAAAAGCTTTCAAAATGCCCTTTCCAGCTGATTCAGTTAATATTTGGCTTTACCATCAGCGATCCTTTGGCTCAGATCTAATGAGCCTCAGTCTGTTGTGATAAGGTCGACACACACATACACTCTCACACACAATCCCCATTAGAAAAATCTTAGGAAAAAGATAAATCTTTTTTACATAAGACAAAAAAGAAAAGGCTCCAACCGCTTCCGGCTCCACCTATACCTTGTGGTGTGTAAAAATAAAAGGCAGGCTAAGGCTCCCATTCATCCACTTTCTGTTGCACTGGAGCAACCACAAAACAGAAGTGACAGTCAACAGCATAGATGGAAGGGGAGATTGAAGAGAAAGGCACGTGTGTGTATGTGTGTGTGTGTAGTGTGGAGCTAGGCCAGGTGGGGCTTCTAAATAAGGTTTTGTTTCCACTGTGAACTCTGGTTCACTGCAAGTTTGCAAGTTCAAAAGAGGATAAAATTTGAAGCTTTTTAAACAGCAGTTATTGATCAATATGTCAAACCTGTTTTATGAAGTCTGTTTATTCCTCACCATTTTTCTGTCCTCCTCTCCTACTATAAACACCAAAATAACCCAACTACGACACTCTTTCAAGTAATTTCATGGATTATTGTCTAAACACAAGCATTCAACAAAAACCACATCCTAAATTTGACCCTCATTTGTCTGAGGTTTGTTTGGTAAAATTGAAACTAACAATTACATACTTTTTACTGCATTATTCAATACCAAAGCTGGCAGATGTTTTCGCTAGACGCAGCTAAAAACAGCTCTTGCCCTGCCAAGTGTTGTGAGTAATGTGCTTTTAGGTTATTGTACCTTCAGAATTTGTGGTAACTAGTAATATTGACCTATATAATATTTACCTGTAGTTACTTTTCAAAAATTTGAAAGGAATCGTACTTGTTTTATACATCATATAGCAAACATCAGCACAGCAGCATCCTAGGAGAAGGACAATCTCCAGCAGTAAATGCATACTGCATAATGGCTGATGATCAATTGTGAGCTTTCTATATTAAAAACACCAGCATTATTTTTAATCACCGAGAGGAAATGGGCAAGAATAAGGTGGTCTTTAGCATCCTAGTAATGCAGTTGAAAAAAAAAAAGCTCACTGCCAAGACTAATAAGTCTAATCTCATGAAGCAACTAACCAGGCAACATGCTACTACCCAGAACACATTCATATATATATATATAAAACCTGTGAGCCAAAAGGCAGGTTACATAAATAAGAGTCTCAAAGCAAAAAGAAAGAATATTAAAACATAATTTTCCTGGTTGTTGTTTTTTAAATGCATTTAGTAGACTACTAGTGGGAAACAGTGTTGTAGCTGAATCACTAAACCTAAAGTTTGAGTCCAGTCTTGAGCCATGTATGTTCAAGTCTACGTCGAGTCCAAGTTGAGTACCCAGCACTTGTTTTTGAGTCTAAATCAAGTCCTTGAAGGAAACTCTGAACTGTGAACCTGGACTGATTGTGACAAAACCACGTTGTGTATATGTCTTCAAAGTAGGTTGTCCTGGATAATTATATATTTTCTGTCTTTCTTATGCACTGATGTGTAGTAGGTGCATATCATTTTTTTTATACCTGCAAACAGAAAGAAGATGATTTATTTTATTTTTTTTTACTTTGAATTAACCAGAATTTCAACAAACCAGACCTCTCAATAGAGATGAATGCTCCTGTTAACTTGCTAACGATAACATAATCATCAATCTTGGTAATTCGTGAGCAACTCTCTGCTACCAGTTTTATCTAATTAACATCAAAGGTGAGCCAATGAAGTACTTTAACCTCTTTCTCCAGCCCTTAACATTGAAAAATAATAATCTGTAACAGGTTTGACTGCATCCCTGTTGTTTTATGTTTGTGTAAAATATATTCAGTTGGGGAGTTTGATCACAACTTCTCAGTCTATATGAATTGTTCGATGAACCAAGACATATAGTTTACACCAGCGTTATCAGTCTGTATGTGCAGTAACTAGAGCAGTATGCAAAAGAGGTCAAAAGCATTGAGTACGTGCGCCAAGTGTGAGTGCATGTGCATGGGTGTAACAGAAAAAAATATGTCAGACCAAAGTGCCAGCCACACAGCCTCCCTCATCCTGCCGCGGTGGCCTTCAACGTACTGCCAGCTAACCAGTGTTGGGAAACACTTTCTGAGCACAAAGCCCAGTAGCATCACAGGCAATTAGCATCTAGCCATTAGAGGAACAGTAGTGCTATTCTTAACATCCCAGGCGCTACTAAGAGAGAAGTTGTCCCACCAGTCTACCTGACACTCACGCTCTGCGGCTTAGTGTATAAGTGTGAGAGTGTGTGTAAGTGATGGTTTTTGTGTTAATGTGTATACAGCAGGAGACAAAGTGTTTCTGCGTGAGCACGTGTTGCTGAGGTTTCTCTGGCAGCAGGAAAGGATGCAGAGCACAAGCCACTTTTAACTGACTGGAGTAAACAGTGATGAGAGACGATAAAGGGCAGAGTGAATGTCACATTACCCCAGCCCTTTGCCTCTGCTCACCGCAGCATCAGATAACTGCAGTTGGAAAAAAAAGTCAGGTTTCCTCTAGCATATAATTGGTTATCTTATTGCAATCTACTGCTCTCTCTTGCCTTCGCACAGAGTAGAGTATGAAAGAGCAAAGGGAGAGGAAGAAAAAAAAGCTGACAGTTTTGGCAGTGACTAAAATAAATAGTTACAAGCATGGGGGAGCCATCACTCTATTTTGAACGCAGTATTCTTTTAAACATAGCATAAACTTTGACAAGCATTATTGTACTACTGATAAAAGGTGTGTGTGTGTGTGTGTGTGTGTGTGGGTGGAGTGTTTGAATTTTTAAATAGTGCTAATTATTAAGATGTTTCTATTTGTTGACTTTTAGACAGCAAATCATAACACAGCAGTAATACAAGAAAAAGATGATGAAACAAATTTCAGTACACTGTTTGCATGCCAGATTATAATCAGCAACATTAGCCACTTATTTTACATTGGAATACAAGTATTGGTTAAACTTAGGCAAATATTAAATTTAACTTAAGTCACAATACAAAATTGTACTCTGCTAGCAGGTTGTATTGTCGTAGATGTATGTGCCATATTCTTGGTATTTTATGTTTTCCTCGGTAATGAAATCCATGTTACCATTATTTATTCTTCATACAAAAAATGGCCTAACTAACAAATAAGGTCTTATCAGTGTGTTCAAACGTGCATTTATAGAGCATGGACAATCCACGCATACATGTTTATTTGAAGGGACACCAAAGAGTCAGTGATTCCTTCAAAACTGTATCCTCAGAATGAAGCCTCCAAAATGCCACTGGGCTCAAGGTGGGACCCTGAGGTACACCTTCCTGAATCAATTGGAAAGGACAGAGAACAAGTTTCGGGTATAGGAGGCTTGGCTACTGTATCTCACCACAGCAGTGGGCAGTCTTTTCCTAGCTGGATTGATGCCTGGGGGGGCAGCAGTGTGAAGCCTAACCCCTCGCTCAGCCACAGTGTACCGGGCCTGTGTTTAGAGAGAGACAGCAGGGAGAGAAAGAGAAGAGACAGAGAAGACAAAAGTGGGGAAGGAAACGAGACGGCGGGGCTTTAGTTTGTGAGATACAAGCAGGGCATTAAAGGAACATGTCAAGTGGCCCCCCTCCCCAGTGAACCTTTTCCTCTTCTCCTTTTCCACAGTTGCCCAGCTCTTCCCTTTATGCCCAGCACACACATGCAGGGGGAGGAGTAATGACATGAGACTTACACAGTAACTCCACACAGCGCCATGCCAGAGGAAGAATGGAGGTTAATGAGCTGACATCCCCTCCACCCTGAACACGCCTCCTTCCCATATCCACCTCCAAACTCTCTTAAACAAGCTGACAAGCAACATACACAAACCCCCTATGAGACAGTGGGGCTGAACACTGGCACTGAGCCAAGAACCTGGAGCCCAAATGAGCATCATAGAGTAACAAGTGGATTTACTCTGTCTGTTTGTATGTACATTAACTTGAGCTTACACATATTGTTGGTATAAGAACAACTCATCCTTTAACACAATGTATGGTATACATATGACCTACGGAGCACCTATTTGTCAAAGCATACATTTTATAACTTTTGGCTTTGTTAGACGCAAAAGTTAAAATAAATTTAAAAAAAGGTAGACATAGAGTGCAGTTTGGCTTTAGAGTGGCAACATTTTTGTTTAGTTAACAAATAAAGTGTTTGTTCTCTGCAGAAGTTTAGATATCTAAAATATTCGAATAAAGGCTTTTTTTTTAACAGGAAATTTAAATTTATCTGGTCATCAGATACATGAGAAAGGATGTTTATTTTACTAACAGGAAGAATTAATGGAAGGATAGGGGATAAGTTTGATCTGCATGGTTCATCCTCTGAGGATGCTGATTCACATCCACATTCAGTAATGATTCATATTGAAAATTTCACCCTGACCCAGGCGCAAGTCAGCTAAATGACGTTTGATGGATGGAAATGCTAACCGTTTCACCATGACAGTCACAGTGCTGGGAAAAAAAACTCTCCAACCACAAGAGTGAGCATCTTACTGAACAATGAACAATGATGCACAACCGTCAGCTAGTTAAGGACAAAACCTTCTTGTACCCAGACCACAAACCACGGGCTCAACACATTTTGCTATTATGGTATATCTAGTCCTGTGAACCAAGCTTTCAGATGCTCCCCCATTTCTTGGTTGTCACGTGGTGATGTGTGGGTGTGCAAGATGTTAAATAAAACCTCAGTGGCCTTTAAGTTGCATCACCGGAAAACCAACACACAAAAGTGAGAATTTTAAACAGATAAGAGTTAAAGCATGTGCACAGATATAATACAGAGAAAGAGTTCGTTCGAAAGGGAAGGTTTCTACAGATAAAAAGCTTAGTTGTATGCAAATTATTGCAAACAAATGGCATTTGCATGAGTCCATCTGAGGTTGAATAAACAGTTGCAGGTGCACTCAACACTGACGTGACGAAGATTTATCGGTTTGCTACTGAGACATCCAGAGACTGCTGGTGTGCAACCACCTTATTATAACATATGCTCTTGCTATTTAGCTAAAGGCTGCATGCCTGGCTGAAAGCTTTATTACATCCTCCACATCTCTTTATGAGAGATATACAGCTACAAACTAAACTTCAACCCCTTAAAATTCAATAAAGAGTCATTTCTTTCTGTATCTTTTTCATAAGTTGAATGTAACTTTTTTAAAATAGCTGATGTGCCTTAATTACCTTGGATAAAATGGGTAAAAAATGATGAAAGGCATAAGGTTATAAACACAATATCGGTGAAATAAAAGAAGATCACCAAAAGCAGTAGCAGAATTGATAATGGTGTGGTGAAACACTTTTACAGAACTAGAAAACAATAGGAGATGGATGGTTAATCATTAGCGCCCATTGTGAATCTTTCCAGTGAGTAATTTGTGGAAAGGCTTGTGCATTTTTAATATTCTTAAACTGAAGAGCCCTAGGAACACAAACTACATAAAATAATAACACACATTTCACCTTAGCACTATCTGAGCCTCTCAATTATTTACTCCTAATGAATTGCCCTGGGCAATATTCTTCCTAAGTACAATATCAACCATTCCAGCGAGGCTGAAACAGCTCGCTCCAATACTTAAATACATTTACTCAATTATGCTTACTGTCCCTGATATGAAAGAGACAAGAGTGTACAAGCTTTCTTTTCTCTGCTGTTCCATCAGCTCAGGTTAGGCCTAAATACATGCACAAGAACTACAGTCCTTCGTAACATTTAAAAAAAAAACTCAGAGGAGTGACAACAAGGTTTTCACTCTTCCTCTGTTTTTGCACCTGTGGTGTAGGAGGACACCAGAACCTGGTTTCATGGTTATGGTGTTTGGCCTCTCTAACAGTACTGCAGGCCAGTTGCTAGGCATCCACCAGGTTTCACACTTTACAGATCTACATGCCACTTAGAATACCATGTTGTTGCCACATGGTCTATAAGACTTTATGGGTATAGGGCAGCTTGAGAGCAGAGTCTGAGGTACCACAACACCCCGACAGGTAGGAAAGTAATGAAAGTGAGCAAAGTAGAGCAAAGTGCAGAACAAAAGACAGAAAAAGTAACAAATTGTGCAAATGATGAAGTCCTTAAATATAAACAGTGTGAGTGCAACCCCTGGGCTGCCTGTATATTTTAACTAAAGTCTTCAAAAGTGCAGAAAAGTGTGGAATAACCTACAGTATAAGTAAACTCATCACCTAAGTGGATGTAAATAGATTCTGCCATCTGTTAGCTTCAGCTATAGGGGGCAACTTCACACTGTGGAAAAAAAAAAGTGTGTGTGCTTAAATGCTTTAGCCACTGCTCATTATGCCTCTATTTATCTCCATCCAAAAGTGAAAACACATGCCATAGAATACATTTGACTTCATTATTTACCAAGAAAACAAGACATTGTTCTTCATAATTTTCTGTGAGAAATAATCTTATTGTAGAGATGAGTGTTTCTACATTCGTGTATGGTTTGGACACATTGCATACCATGTATTAAATGTGAATAGCAAAACCATTATATTTGTACAGTTTATTACTGTAGTATGTGCCGCACACTAATAGATGCCTCATTTTCACTTGCAGTGTGTTGGAGTGCATGAGCAAGCGTTCATACATGCACACATTCAGCTCTATTTTTTAACTCCACATTGTTATCAGGATTCAGTCTCAAAAATTTCACTACTCTCATCCTGCCTCTTCATAACAGACAAGCTTTAGTCTATTCCATGCTATCCGGATGTAATCATCAGTCTTTGGCTGTAACTACACCAGAGAGAATTTTAAGTGCAAAGGATCCTGTTCCTAGACAGCTGGTAGTGGTAAATTCCTCTAAGGGAGGGAGCGAGTTTGAAAGAAAACATATACTATTTTCATTTCAACTGCTTTAGGGATTAAGGCTCAGGGCCCTAGAAAAAAATGCATTAAAATAATCCACCATTTGCATGTTTTATCTCACAAAGGAGGCTCACATAGACACACACACCAACCCCCACTCTACCTCCCTCCCTCCCTCCCTTCTTCAACTCTGTCCCCTCCCCCATTCTGGGTGAATGCACACAGACACACACACACACAGACACACACTTCACACTTATACACACTGTCATCATTAAACACACACACATGCACGCACACACGCACACACATTGACATCAACCTGCTGCCATCTGCTCTACGCGCTCTGTACAATCCTTGCAGAATACATTATTCACTACAATACATCACATCACATTCCCTCAATGTCATAGCCTTGTGCTGGAGAAGAGTGAGAGAGAGAGAATGGAGGAGAGCAGAGAGCAAAACATCTATTGTACTCTGAACAGAGAGAGAGAAACACAGAGGGAAAGAGAGAGAGAGACGATGAAGATTTGGCCTGGAACATGGTATAACGTTGAGAAATTCAAGATAGTTTGATTTGGTTTTTAGGTGAAAAAAGGTCGTCAGCAAAACTTGTTCCAGTTACAGCTACCACGCTAGATTAAAAATCCTGACAAGGAATTTAGTGTGTGAAGAGGAGAGATAAGTGTAGCCAAGGAAAGAGACACCTGGCAGAATTGGCAGCAGAATATACAGTAAAACTTCTTGTCATTTAGGCATACTTTAGTGTAGGATCTTTCCTCGGGTATATCTGTAGGTGTTTGCCGTGTTTTTCAAGTGTTAAGCATAAGACAAGTGTTATTTGATATTTTTTAGGGGTCAATAACTTAAGGGAAAGACCAAAACCAACAATGTGTGAGCGCTTTTTCTCAACATTTTCCGACTTCCCAAACCTGTTAAATGCATTCAAGCACACCATTTATTGAAAACTGCAATCTTTAAAAGAGAGGGCTTGTTAGGTCTGTACTCTCTCCCCAAAACAAAAGAAGCTTTTCTATCAGACAAACCGACAGATTTTTTAGATTTATTGTTTTACACATAACTTGCCTTGAGTTTTTTACGGCTGCGAACTAACAGCCAGACAACTATCCTGAGGTGATGTTTTCCTTCGATCGGACAGAAATAAAAATAAAAAAATGGAGTTGCTTTTGAATTCATTATCATATCTTTAACTGTAAGTTGGTAATTCCTCCACATTTACTAGACATGTTATTAGGCAACTGTTTCTGGTAAACTTTAATGCTTAGATTACAACTTGAACATCACAAGGCCAAACATTTGAAACCAGAGTAAAGCGGTCTGTTTCTCAATGTAGATTTGACCCTTTTGCTGCTTTGATGAGCAACAGTATCAGGCGAGGCAGTATCTTATCAATGTGATTTTATTAGTTTGAATGCATAGATTGGGATATGGCATTGAGCCGTAAACTAGGCTTTAACATACATAAGGTCAAAACTCTGATGAATACTATTTCATGGAAGTAGTTTGATATAGAAGGACAAGTCGAGGTCCTGTCAGTTTTCTCTTCCACAGAATTGTAGTTTCTCATAATAAAACACGTTTCATGGTTTTATGAATGATTTACTCTGCTGCTGTATAAACGATAGAACATAAAAACAAGAACAGATTTCTGCTCTCTTTGTTTATGTGTCTCACTCTGCCCCTGTTATTCCTAGTGTGTAAAGCTTGAGCGTGTGTGTGTGTGTGTGTGTATGTCACTTTTGTGTAGTGGTGGCAGAGCAGAGGGAGTGAACAGCTGGCAGGCCCACACTTGACTACATATTGACCTGCTTTGCATTCACCTGTTTTTCAGCCGAACCTAATGTTTCCACTTGGCTCTGCTGCAGCTGAGCCGCAATTAACCTCGCTGTGAGAGCAAGGCAGGCAAGTCTTAAGTAATTTGTCAAAGTACTTTGTCCAACTTTGCTAAATGTCATTCTACATAATCCTGTGAAATTAATAGTTTTCTACTTCAGTTTTCTACTTTGAAATGAAGAAGAAAGTTTGGCCTCCAGAAGGATATCAAACCCTCACATTCACGTATCTCACACACACACAGCTTCTGCGAATATTAAAAACATACAAAAAACTTTTTATACCCTGCAAAAGTTTTCAACAGGGTGCAGGTGATCTCCTGACTGCAGGTAATTAACTTTGAAAATGCCATTTGCCTGTATAAACACACATTTGAATAGGGGAAAGCATTGCTGCATCTCCTCTCTCCAATCCTCCTCTTTGCCTCCTCTCGATTTTTCCCACCCTCCATTCCCCCTCCTCCTCCTCCTCTTTTTCGTGAATGCTCTCTTGGCTCCTGTCTGTGTTTGGGCTGCAACTGCGAGGGGTCACTGCCTGCCTTGTTCTCACACGTGGAGCACTGAGCCTGCGTGTGTTTGTATGTGTGTGTGTGTGTGTGTGTGAAAGAGAGAGTAAGAGACAGTGAGAAGGAGCGAACAATCTTGACTGCTAATGATTATATGAATGAGTGTGTGTAGATCTGTCAAAAAAGAGGTGTTTTAAGCGTGTGAATTTTTCCAAATGTGTGTGCAGTTGAGCCTGAGTGCTCTTCCCACTGCATGTGTTTCAATGTGTTTGAGAGTGTGGCTTTGTCTGCGTGTGTGTGCGCGCGCGCCTTGCTAGCTCAGTGCCAGGTCTCTCTAATGAGTCTGTCAGGCGCTGTTAGCGACAGCGTGCTCCCCTGGCTCAGCGCACTCCTACAGACACACTGTGATTAGCTGGGCCAACGGCACGCCACCGGGCCAGATTAAACACTCACCACGCCGCCAGGGAACACACACACACACACACTCTCACAGCATACATTAGAGCAAGCATCACACTCACACATAGAAGCATTTAGACACACACAGCTTCATCATCATTGTGCCTATTAGCCTCCTCTGATACAGCAACACGTACTTGCCCTCCAGGGCCAGGTGTTGATGCTGCTGGAATTGAAAATGAACGTGAAACAAAAACATAACCGAGCAAGCTATGCACCGCCAAAAAAATGAAGCTAATAATTCATTAATATGTCTGCCTTTATTGAATTCCTGTCTGCAGCTAATCTTGAACATCACTCAGAATTAAGGCCAGCCCGTCTGGCTCAAACAGCTTTCAACATCTTCATTAAAGCGACATGACTCACTAATTACAGGTAATTACCCTTTAATGAACGGTTCAGATGAATGAGCAGATATGCAGAGCAGGGGCAGGCCTGAGGACATGTCGTTATTCATCCCTCACAGGCCGAGAGGACTCAGACTGGATGTTACAGATTCACTGTTACCCTATCGTGATGACAAGGCTGTAGACCTGAACCATGTGGTCGAAACAGGACAGTGAATATTCCATTTGAGCCAGAATGACTCAAGCTGGGATGTCTCCTTTCTCAGACAACTAGGATCACTAACTCATGGACTAAAACAAACCAGTTTTGTCAAACTATTTTGAAAGACCAGTTATCTTTTTCCATCCTATGATTTGGATCATTTTTAACCCATAAACTGCATTGAAAGTCCTGGCATACCAGTTTTGATCTATAGTTGAGGACCCACTGTTTAATATCAAGTGAACAAATATCTGAATTTCTTTACCTGATGTGATTTAATCTGATAATTTATACAGTCACTTTGAATTTTCATCTTCTGGATTCAAGAAAAGGCCCATTTGACAAGTAAGAAAATCTGCGAAGTGTTAAATGGTGGAATAAAAGTGTGTAGCTTTAGTGTTATAGTGCTTATTTCTAAACTTGAGTCTGACTCTGGTGTCTTAAAATGCTTTAATAATTTATATCTATCCTGGTTGCACCCAGAGAAGTAAATGAGCCACTATAGTCAGCCTACTTGGACTATTGATTACATTACTGTAAGCAAGCTCATAGTTCTGTTAACCCTTAAAATGTCTAAACCTCAAACCGCAGTCTCCTTTAAATCCTAAGGCAATGGGAACTAATCTGGACTTGGACTCCGATAAAGAAGACTCCACTAGGGCTTGACTCGAGACTTGGCCTGAAGACACAGACTCCAGGATGGTGACTCAATGACATTGACATTAGGGGTGTGCCATATCAAACTGTGAATGGTAATACCGGTGTATATTTTTTGGTGATATAAATTTGTCATATCACGGTATTTACACTGTAGGGACACGATGACGTTCCCTACTGCATACAAAACAACGTCGGAGAACGAGAGCAGCACAGCAGCAAAAAAAAAACACCAATAATAAAAATGCTGGTGTTTAGAAGCAGCATTCACTAATAATATGTTCTGTAATTTTTTTCCATATGGTCATAAATATAGTTATCGCAAATTGCCTTGAAATATCGTGATATCCTTTTGAAGCTATATCGCCCACCACTAACTTGACAATCACATGAATATTTCCCAGCAATTTGCACTGCAATTCCACAACAGCACCTGAATATAGCCCTGCCATCACTACGCCTTTGTACTTACACTCTGCACATAAAAACAATGTTGTATTAGCACAAGAGGATGGCGTGTGCACACATGGCTTGTTCACACCCCACTACTAAGCCTCCATGTGTTACACATTGCAATTGAAGCATAACAGCGGCATATATCCCATGTAAATGGCAGTATGCGAGTGCACCCTTCACTGATACGTTCACACCTAAAGGTTACCACATGTTTATCCTTTCCCAGTCACAGTGTGTGCAGTCACCACCAAGTTATTAATTTTCTTATTATTGTATCTCAGATTATCAATGGGTATTATCCCTGCTCTGATTTGTATGACGGTATAAATGCTGTTTATTAAGCAGCAATACAGGTTCCATTCAGCATCCAGTCTTCTAGTCCTGTTGCCTTCCTTAAGCTTCACACCAAGAGTATCATAGTCTTAACTTGCATTTAATTACCTATAGCAGACCAGGGTCAGTACAGCTGTGATGACTCTTGACACCCACAAATGTAGGTTCTTCCAGGGTCAACATTCAGAGGGAATATTACTGCCTCTGTCAAGAAGTGAGATTTGTAACACATTTAAGGTGGTAATGGGTTAAAGTAGGCAGCCTCTCTTACTGTGAAGGTGTAGGAGGTGCAGGCTGTAAACGCAGAGGTTGATTTTCTTGTGTCTTTTCCTTTCTCAGTAAACCAACAAGCTGAAATAAGACTGATCTTATGAGATGTTGACTTAAGTGGAGTTTCTTATCTCAGACCTGCAGAAAAAAGTCCCAACAATAAGACATTGTGCACCAAAATTTCCCCTCTTTTCATTCTCCTCTCACTCTCGTGCAAAGCAGCCTATTTTTACCGCTCTATGTGGCATCTCTGGGTTTTCCTTGTCACTGCGGTGCTTGCTGTCATCACTGCAGGTACAGCTGAACCGCTACAGTTACTGAAAAGAACCTAGCATGTGTGTCTAACTGTCTCTCTCTCTTAGAAGTGGTCACAGATCTTTGTCTTCATATTCAAGGCCGTGAAGGACTTGACACCATACATTTTGTTAACGAAAAATAAAAATAAACAATTTCTCTCATTAGATTATTAATAAATTGACATGCTGAAGGGGAAATATTGGAGGCATTTTTCATTTCATTTTTGTGGTCTCTGTTTGTCTTTACTCTGACGCCTGTAGGATTACAGAAATAACCCTTTGTTTACAATTCACTAATCCAATCACCACGCTAAAGTTCATTCAATTCATGCCCTGACAGTGACCCCCTTCCCCCACCCTTACCCTTCACCTCCTCCTCTAAAGCATATTTATCGTGATGCCATATGCCCCAACACAACACTGCGTCTTTTCTCTGGCTGAAATGTGCAGAATGTGATATACTGTACTGTGTGACACAATGGAGTAATTGTGTTTTGTCCCTCGAGGAGAAAAGTATGAGCCAAAAGAGGGGAAATATCAACGCAGGATGTGTGTTTTTCAGCCTTGTAAGACAGTCCAGTTTTGAGTGAGGGCAGCTTGAGGAGATATAAATGAGCAACTTGATGTAGCTGTGTTTCCTGACCTCTATTACAGCGGGCTTTTGTGGCTTTCTTAGCTTTTTAATGTCAAGCCGTATCACATTTTTGCAGCACTTTACTACAATAAACTTTAATAACCCCTCTGTCTGCAAGGCATACATAAAGCCTTTAGGTTTCAAACTCTGCAAAATCAGTTCCAGATGTATATGTGTGGGTAAAATTCTTTATGAAAGACAAATATACGTTGGGACTTAAAACGATAAACAATGAAATGCCAATAGACTGCATGAAGTTAACGGTCCTCTTTGTGCAGTACCTCTCCCTCTAGCATGACACACAGTGCCTCTTTTGTTCTGCCACTCATTGCTTATGTTACTGTAGAGCACTAATGCACACAGATCGATAGCATACTTTCCATTTCAACACGTTGGACTGATGTACGGACACGCAGTTGGAATTGATCCTGTGCTGTCAACACAGACTTTCAGGTCTGTATGTCTTTTTCCTGCTGCAAAATAAATGGTCTTTGAATAAAAAGCTTTTTTTTTTCCCACAGCATGTTCACAATCTCAAACCTCTTTCCAGCTTGACATCTGTGTATCAGACATTGTAAAACAGCGTTGCTGATGATGATGTAAGGCAAGGTGGGTGGAGGAGAAACAAGATCAAAACAGAGCATCTGGCCAATTTCAAAATCGCTCGGTCACTTCCAAACGCCTTCTTTCACACATTTTAGACATTTATGATCAGGGGGAAAAAAGCGCACCAGCTTGAATCAAAGAGACAAATTCTGGACAAGCTGTTAAGTCATAGCAGCCGTAAAAATGTTAATATACCCATAAAATGACCAGTCTGGAAGAAAAAAAACACACAATGCATGTCGCCTGTCAGTCTAGAACAAACAAACCAGCATAGCTGATTTCCTCCCCCACAGGATGTCCACCACATGCTAGCAGGTTTTACAACCATAGCAGAAAGGTGCAAAGAGATCATGCATGTTTCGAGTGAGCAGATCTATCAATCTGCACTTTTAACAAGCTCTGAGAAGCACACAGCCTGACTACAGTCTGAGATCTTTACTTAGATGAAGACCTGAAATTGAAACTGACTGGTGTCACTCAAACAGGTCAAAGTCTTCATGAAGAGACTTTTTTGTTTCATCTTGAGTTTACAGCTAAATGTGCAACAATCTCGCACAGGTATTTGTGTTTGCAAACACTTACATTTTGCAGGAAATCAAGGACAAGTGTTTGATTTTATTTTCATGCATTGTGACAGAATTCTGTCAGAGCAAAACACCTTCCTGGAGTTCACCTGTAAAATGTCAAAATATGTCTTGTGCGTTCACAGCCTGCTGCAGGCAATACAACATGTCATTAAACCTCAGACAATTAAAATTGTCTGTTGAAACCTCTGATCCTTCCTGTTCAAGACTGTTTAAGAACACAAAGACAACACCAGGAAGAATTAGAGTAGGTTTTTCCCCCAGCTATCGCGGCCTCATAAACTGATACATTGTGGGAGGAAACTCTTTAAATTTTGTGAAGCTCCTCAGCCCACACAATACAGTAGGTGCTTCTGAGACCAAGATAAAATGTTTTCACTGATAACAATAAAACAGCTCTTCTTGCTTCGATGAACCAAACCATCAGCTTCTGAAAGGCAGAGATGGAGAGAGAGAGAGGAACAGAGAAAGAGAGAGGGAGAGCACTAATCTCATTACCTTCTCTTCCTGGCATGAGAGAATATTCATCTCTCTGTGGCACGAGGGTGACAGAGGGAAAAAAAATTCAATCGCACATCCCACCATTTCATTTTCCATGTAATTAAATCAGTTAAATGTTATAAAAACATGTAAACTCCGTCAATGACTTTGAGCCATTTGCATTTTTAATCAGGCCAGATTAATTCTAATAAGCGAGCTGGGCTTATGCGATGACAGAGCGGCCCTATTGTGTGTCTGTCACACTCATTTAATTCTGTCATTATGTCCCATATCCTATTATGCTAATTGGCTTTTTATTCTCAATCAACAGCCAGCCAAGGCTATTAAGTAATAATCCCTGACTATTGCACTTTTCACCTTAAAAATGTTACAAGTTGGCCACCTTTAAAACAACAACCACATGATGAAAGAAGGGGGGAAATGCAAAAACAGAACAATGCATTGGCTTTTTAAACCAAGCTGCTTGCTCCAAATGAAAAATGACTGTCAAGAAGCTGCATGTTGACACTTGGCATCGGGCGTAAAGCAAACACATTAGATGGAGGAAATGGGTATCACCATCTTCCCCCTGCAAGGTAACTAAGCAGAGAAGACAAATGTGTCTGATGTGCTCAGCCATTTCCTCTGCTGCCTCTCTGGGGAGTCACTCGAAAACGAAATCTGGCCATGCTCTTTAATTGAAAGACTCTGCAGCAAACAAACATGGAAGCTGGAGCGCTAAGGGGAGAGATTTGCAGCACATCAAAAGTCACAGACCAAGAGGTATTATGATTTAAGATAAAAGACATGGACCATGAACAGAGCTGCACAGTGACAGCAAAAGAAATACATTATCTCTACAATCCTTAATAAGAGGTTGAATCAGGTGATCATAATATCAAAGCTGCAAAAGACATGAATGCAGGTATTAGTTTTATTTTCATTGACTAGATCATTAAGCATTAAAGTCACTGAGTGTAACTTTCAAAATGATACAACAAAGAAGTGTAAACTTTACTTAAAAAAATCAAACTTAGATTTTTAAAGGTCATGTTTTAAGCTTAAAGCTTATAGAAAATAAAAAATAAAAAACATTTGTTATATCCTGAAGAAAGTAGTCCTGATCGCTTCAAAAACAGCATTTGCAAAATGAAGCATTCAGATAAAGCGTGTGGTATTCATGCAAAGATGTAGGACAACAAAATGCCAACAAGTCACATCAGTAGTCACCATGCAGGACCTGTGGTGGCAAACTTGTGGTCACGGGATGTTTTCAACCCAGTTACAACACTTCTGAAAAATGTTTGTGGCAAATATTAACTTTGAGCTTTAACCTCAGTTTCTGGTGTTACTTGTTTCTCACAAATATGCTGTATTCATCATTATTTTCATTTCGACTATCAATGAGAACCTTTCATTTTGATTCAAACATAATGGTACTCTTGCATTTATTTTTTAATGTTACACACCTGATTTAAAAACAAAATGTCTTTGTGTTTTTAATGTCAGCTCATTTTAGCTGGAGAAGCAAACTTTAAAAAACCTAATCCAAATCCATTGAAATACAGTCACAGTAATCGTTTGACTGTTTTAGTATCAAACTTTCTTTAAACTTCTATTAAACAGACACTCCAAAGAAGTCTCTTAATTATAAAAGTAAATAGTTTTCTTCACTAACTTTCCTTCTTTATTGATGTCAGACATTTCTCGGTTAACGTCTATTCTGGAAAATTTGAACTAAAGTCAACTAGAGGGCAAAGAAATTGTTACAAAGCCCTCTCTGCAGAGTTATTATAAAACCCCTATATTTGTCAGTGACATTGTCAGTCCTTTGTCAGACACAAGTTCAACAATGGAAAAAAAATGTCATCCAATGAAAATGTTCTGTAAACAATGCCAGGAAAGTGTGGGGGTCTGAGGGGGGGTTTGCTTATTTTAACAGAAGCCACCCTCTTGCGAGTGACGGTTGGACCTCTAATATTCACACTTTCACACTGGCTGCTCCGTCCTCGACAAAACGCCGTGTTGTCATCTCCCTCATATTCTTAACTCTAAAATTAGCCATGCAGTGTAGCAGACTGTCAGTGCTGATTCAGTCAGAAAGGTACAGCTCCAATGTATTAATTTTATGAACACAAGCAGAAAAGTGCTTTTCTAGGTTTCAGTGCTCCTGACTTTGCCTCCCTGCTTGTGTCCCTTTGAGCAGCAACTTCTTTTTCACCGAACAGACTTTTACAGAGATATTTGTTGGTCTGAAAAAGACAGATGCAGAGAGTGTGACCTCTCTTATACTCCTTTTACATGTTCTGATTCATCAAACTGAGAAGAGCCAGTTTCTCAACTCTCACTCACTGATGTTATGAGTAAGTCAGAAATGTGTCCTCACTGCACAGCCGTTTTTTACTCCCACAAGTCTTTTCACTTTTACTGCTCTAAAGACAAGATTTAATAAACCTTTTCATTTCACAGTCAGACCTCATGAAAGTACTGCATGGCCTCACAATTTACATTTTACTCACTATTTATCGTAAAGGCGACTTAATAAGTTCCCTCTTGAGTACACACAAGGTGAGCGTTACTATGGGGACACAGAGTGCTCCACTGTGCACCGCCGCACTGAGGCCTGCTCCATTGTGGCGAGAGACAACAGCTGTCTTTACCTTTGGCAGGCAAACAGGCTCATTAAGGGCGGCCATGTTTGTTTTTGTGCCCGATACCTAGCCCTAAGCAAACAGTGCCATATCTCCACTCCACAGAACCTTGCAGTCGCAACATTTCCTTCCCTATTGTGGAGGGAGGCCCTGGCACGTTTTTCCCCCCACGAGCAGGGATAGAGCTGCATGGCTCTCCAAGAATGTGTGCTTAATTGAGAAATTTAGCTGAGGCTGAAGCTGGTGAAATTCTAAAACCTAGTGAGTACTGCTGCAATGCTGTGAATATTGTGTGTGCGCTGTAATGTAAGTCATTATACTGCCTGATATCACATCTTGTGGTATGTCACAACAAAGCCCTCTTTGTTTGTTGTGCCGTAGATGTGATAAAGGCATCATTATTTGCTCTCCTCACAGCCAACAGTCAAAAATCTGCAGTGAAAGGTTTCATTCGCATATTTTCTCCTCTCTCAGCACTGTCTCTGGCTTGAGTGACAAGGCAGGTTAAATTCATAACGCTTTGACAAAAATTCCATTTAAGAAGGAAAATGGCATTGAATGTCATTCCATTACTGCAGACGACAAACATGGGAACGCTTTGACCCAGAGGCATTCACATTAACTTATACAAAAAAGCACAAAGACGATTCTTTGGCTCTCCTAGTTTATATGTACAGTACTGGAGTATCTTCAGCCAAAATACACTCACTTATTTGATTTCATCCCTTTTCACCGTTTGTCAAGCCCAAAGTCACAATGCATTGTGAAATGAGTTCTTAATGTGGAGTAATGAGGCTGTCATGGCAGAGCACTCTCTGCTTGTTTGAATTTGACTCATGTCGTAGATTCAATTAAATCAGCTGAAGTCAAGCTGGCCTCGGGCCAGATCGGTAATGGGTGACCTCATTCAAACAATGCTCTGACATATTGAAACAATAAGAGGAAGGGCCTTGAGTCAGACGCAAAGCAAACTCCACTCCACAGAAGATAAGGTAGAAAAATGACAGTGAAGTCACCAAAGTCTTTAAAGATTCATGTAGTCATTTGTTTTCTCAGCTGATTGTGTAATTATTATTATCCTTAGTTTTTGTTCATGTTGTTGCCCATGTAACTCACACGAGACAAGCTGACTGCTGTGTTTGTGTGTCCTTGTGCTGTGAATAAAACTACAAACGTTACCAACACTAACAAGGAAAAGTGTTTTTACTCTATGGCCAAGATTCTGACCCACATGAGGGTGAACTTTGTCCCCCTCTTTCTTTGCCTGTAATAACTGAAAACAAAATTGTTCCAACTTTACAGATAAGGCTAACTTACAGATTTTAAACACAGCTGGCTGGGTTTATCTACTGGAGGTTTACTTGTCCTAAGAAGTCTAAACTGATTTATTTGGATGTTGAAATGCCTGGAATCTAAATCATGACACAAACACTCCCAAGGCTATGTAAACAACCTTTCTGGTTCCAGTCTGCAGCCATGCTTTCTGAGCAATAACTCGAGTGCCGAGGGCAAAAGCACTTCTCACTTTTCGGACAGGTCTCCGCTGTCACACAGTTATTAAGAGAGGGCACTTTTCAGTTTGTATAAAAGGGAGAAGATATCACTAAAAGCCTTATTTTTACATCACTCAATCAATTATGCTACTGACTCAAAATACATTTAAAGATTTATCATATGCAAATGTAAAGTTTGGAGAAAACAGAGTACATCCTGAGCGCTTTGTAGACTAAACAGAAACAAGGTAACCAAATCAAAATGGAACGTCTTGCTTTACTCACTCCTTTCTTCATTCATCGAGGCAATACCAGTTACTGTAAACAGATAAAATAGCACCCACACACACACACTCGCACACTTCTACACACTAACACACAGTTACTGCATCTCATTAGGCAGCATTCCCTCTGGCCCTTATTCCATTAGAAATTAAAACTCGGGACAATTAGTGGCAAATTGGTCCCAGCTCAAGGCTCCAAGACGACTTAATTACAGGCTCATCTGAAAAACTGTGCCATGACACTGTGCTCAAGCACACAGCGAATACCTGGAGTCATGGTCAGTCAAAACAGAACTAAAAGGACTAAGTATTTATAGCCGGAAACAGCAGCACTGTTTACTGAAAGATAGTAAGTAGGTCAGCACAATACGAGAGCAATTTCAATGAGAGGAGGTGTTTGTGATAACAGAGATGTCTCTTTTGTATGCAGAAAACGTTAATAATAATGACACCGCACAAAATGTAAGTGCTACACTACTGCCGTTGTCTGTCAAAGGTTACCAAACCGGATGGGGGAGGTTAAAGGTCAAATGTTGGCAAGTTCAGATTTCTACAAAGAGAGGGGTTGTTTCTTTTGTTTGAGAGAGTTTGGATTTCCCTCTTTCCTCTCTCCACTGGCTCTTACACTGATGCCTCTTCATGACCTTTACAGCGAAATGAAATTATCAACATAATTATTTGTCATTTCTTAATAATGAATTTGAATGTCTGTGATCAGGTCACATTTTCACTGAATAAACTGAGTTGATATTCGCTCCGGGGTGGCTTTGTTCAGAGCTCTGCTGATGAAGTTTGGCAGTGAGAAGTAAGCTGGCAAGGACTTTTCCTTTTTAGATAATTTCCTTTTACATAATGTTTTGCACTTGTGGCTGATACTGGAGCGGGATTATCAAAAAGACAGATGTTTTTGCAAACAGTATTGTTTAAGACCAAAAAAATCCAAAGCCGCTACTTGAACATAAATCCCTTTTTGTAAGCTAAGAAACTGCAACAAACCAGAGTTTACAAAATGTGTTGTAGTTACATCCCAGTGAATAATTCTGAGTAGCTCTTAATCAATACATAACCTCATCATTACCTGAACAGCTGTTAAAAGAAGCTCTTTTTATGCGCACTTGTTTACGACTTTCTTTCAAATGGAGGCAGGTAAGCACATTTTTGTGCAAATTTTCAAATTTAGGATTTTAAAGTGGACAAGATTAATCTTTTATTTCACAGCCCCCTACTGTGATGTGAGTAGACAATACAAGGGATTTTAGAATGGAAAAACTCTTAACTATGATGTTTTCATTGTAGTGATACTTTATTCAAACCTGAATGAAGTATCACTCCAATATAAACCTATTGAGCCCATAAAGGTAGGTATTCAATCAAAACCCTGAAGGAACAGGGATAACTAACTTATAGTTTATCTGCTTCATCACTCTGCTTCTGACAAGGACACAAAGCACATTTTTCTGTAATTGAACCAACTCTAGTTTATGTAACGACTGACCGTTCTGCCCTTCAAGCTAGAGAGGGAGAGAGGGAGAGAGACAGAGAGGCCCAGAGAGTGATTTGATCACCCCATGTACTCGCTCTTTGTCACGTGACACCATGTCCCATTATATTGTGATGTTGTCATAGGGGAAGAGGAAATGAAATGCCTTCAAGCTATATGGGAAGTGTGTGTGTGTGTGTGTGTGTGTGTGTGTGTGTGTGTGTGTGTGTGTGTGTGTGTGTGTGTGTGTGTGTGTGTGTGTGCTTGTGTTGTGATTGAGTAGTAGGTAATTCAGAAGTGTAAAAGTGAGCGTTTGTGACCCTGTTTGCGTTTGCCAGCAAGTTGTCTTTAAAATTGTGTTGAAACTTTTTCTGTTGTAAATGGATGACAAATCAAAGCTCTCTCTCATTGGCCCAACAGTAGGACCTTGTATTTGTTGTTACAACTTTGCAAAGGGTTAGACTAAAAATACAGAAAAAAAAGTTCAATAATTTAACAGAACTACACAAATGATTTGTGGTGGTATTATGAGACTTAAACAGTTTTTAGGATTGGATAAAACAGCATGGAAATCCAACAGTTAGCATCTAAACAAACCAACACTTTGTCTGAAGGTCATAAAAATCATCCTATGAATACATGGGGTGTAAAATGATGTAAAAGAAACACTGTCATCCTACAGTATAACCTGTATTAAAGTAATTCTAACTTGTACCCGCAGAGTTTCTAGGACACAGTTCCTATTTAGAATGAGCGTGTTGTGTACCTCACTAAGGTTATACCACAGCACAAAGTGACAACCATCCCAGCCAATCAAACCAGCAGAAACAGGAAGTGGATGCGGTAGATCTCAAAATTCCCCAGACCTCAAACTGACACGAGCCAAGCTTTGGCCTTGTGAGTCTAATGTTTGTCCCTTTACATATCTGGTTTAGCAGAACAAAAGTGATCTTCATGCTGATTGTGATAATAAGCCACTGGTGTTTGTCTGCACCTCAACCCTTCAAAAAAAAAATAATAATATTTTTTTTCAGCCCTGCCAGTAAGCACCACTTTGAACACAGCTTAGTTTGCATTTTGAGTCACTTTATACAAATATCTTGAGTGATGATTGATGAGCCTTTTAAAAGCTTGTGTCCTGTACTGCAGCGATGTGAACAGATATCTCTGTGGAATCCTGTGCCATTACGTCTGGATAAATGATCATTCAGAGGACTTCCTCTGGAGTCTGTGAAGAGTCTGAGGAGGTTAATGGGTTCAATGCCACAGCGTGAGAATAGATAACTGCACTTTACAAACTGCACTTTGTTGTTTATTATTTATAGTTGGTGTCTATGACAATACTGATATCATGTGGACTCATAATGATAAGATTTAAAACAGCTCATTTATGGACTGTCCTCCTATATGATTCATATATTGTGTACTGTAGGCTGAGGTTTTATGGGTTGTCACTAAGATACAGAACAGATAACTGTCTAAATGGTTGGTCTATATTGCTTTTGTGTCTTTCTTTTATAAAGAGGGGATTTTGTTTAAACCACCAGGCGTGATCAAAACTGAAGAGGAAACCCTACACACAGCGCTGTGTGTTGGAGTTGACATCTGCTTTTTGCACCTGCAGGATCTTTTTTTTTTTTTTTAAGTGACTTTTTTGTTGTTTTTGCTCTTAAACTAGGACAGATTACATTGTTCTTTTCCATCTAAAATGGTGACAATATACAGGAGAGTCTCCTTTAACTCCACTAAGGTCACTTATATAAATATGTGTGTGCAAAGATAACTACAGAGTACATGTAGTGAATTTAGACACATAGAATATGGAAATGTTTCTTGGTTTTTGAGGCTGGAAAAATCGGGGACAATGAGTGATGAAAGATGCAGCTTTTCTTTCTTGTTCGACATGTCCTCGTGTCAGTTGAGAACTTCCTTTGTGTGCATCTGTGTGTTTGCGGGATGTTGCATGAATGGGTAGTCAGCGTTTAGGGTTCAAAAGAAACAGCAGCCTGAGCTTCTGTCTGTGTGAACACCAAGGCTGCGGTGCTCTGGATCGAGTGCCATTGTTTTGGTAATAGTAAACCTGGGGCACTTGCCAGAAGGCATTAGTCATTCATCTAACAAGTTCCACAAAGCAAACCACAAAGTGCTCCACTGTCGACTTCCTCTTATTGAATTCTGAGCACATAAGCACATTTCCAAGTGTCTTACAACGAGGTAGAAACTTTCTGATGACTAGCTACCTGAAATATGGCTGCCATGTTTGTTTACTTGTGCTTTCCCTCACAGGAATTTGGAGGCATGTAGCTCTTTTTTTTTTTTTTTTGGACTGAGGGGAAGATTGAAGAGGGGGAAGAAGGGAGGTGGGGGTTGAAAGGCGGATAGGAGGGGATTAGGGCGGAGTGCAATTTTTCAGTAGGCCAGGCATACGACATGATCTCTAATTACCCACAAAGCACTGTGTAACCTGAGCCCCAGATTAGGCTGCATTATCAGGCTTAATAAAACATGACCATCTCTCAGTTTCACTCCCTTTCCCTGCCCTGCTGCTGCTGCAAACATTTGTTCCTGCTTATGACATGTCCCGTGTTTTCAGTGAGTGAGCACCTGTACCTGTTGCTTTATTTACAACAGAAATTCATGAGAGCAGACCCGTCAAAAACCATATTGATGAGTTTATGGCAAATTTGGGACTTTAAATTATTTGTGAGGGGTATGCATTAGACATTTTCACTGATTTGGGTCATAAGCTGTTTTCCAAATGATGGAGATTGTTCCTTTTCTCCATCAAAGGAGTCATAAACAAAAGGACTCCAATGGTTTATGGTGGAAATATTTGCTAAAAATATTTAGCAAATGTTTTGAATTTATTATATATTTTGAGCAACATGTAACAGGTTAATTTAAAAAGTCTAAGGATGACAAAGCTGAAATTGTTTCAAGACAGGACAGGCAAAGATTTGATTGTACAAAACACACAAGTAGTCTAATCACCTATTGGTATTGATACATTTCAAGCCCGACGATGGCAGGTGCCAGGTTGGGTGTGCTGAGTCCAAACCAAGCAGTAACCTCAAGTCTTGAGAAGTGAAGCTGATGCAAAAGTGCTTAAAACTACTCTTCCTTGGGTGTTCACTTAAGGTCGGCTCCATACACACCAGAAACCACTCACACACCCACTTAAAAAAAGCCCGTCTTCACAGAAAAAAATTAAAACAGAGTTGACACCCAGGTTGGATAAAAGGTTAAGGCTTGGATGGGGAAATTGTTTCATAAACAATTATTTTGGAATTAATAAGGTTGAGTTTTGCTAAATTAGAAGCCAATCTTACTTGACTGACTGGCAGGAACACAGTAGCTGTTAATGAGGAGGCCAGGCGCCAGCCTCAACTAAATCTCTTTGTCTGTTGTTAGGTTGAGCAAAAGTAAAGCCAGGGTTTCAAATATGGTGAATGCAAATAATAATCTTCAAAACTCTACTTTACAAACAAAAGGGTAATGTCACTGAGACTATGTCCATGTTTGCACAGGCTGTAAACATGTTTAATTTTCCATAACATTGGTATTTTACAGCAAGATAAGACCTAGTGGAGAATCCTTGGCTTTTGCACCTCAGCACTGCAGGTTGTCACTCGGTCCATGCCTTGAGACTTCCCCCTTCCAACCCCCACTCCCTCACCAACCAGCCCCCTTGTCCAACATGGAAAACTTTACTCTGTGTGTGACATGTGTTAGGAGCCACAATGGAAAGTTTTAATCGCAGCGCATAAGAAAATTTCGCAAAAATTTCAGGAGTGTCAGAGACTTTCGCTTTATTATACAACTGTGATTGATGGCAACTTACAGTGACTTAATAATGAGCTCTTTTACCTTTTTACTGAAGTATGGTTACTAAAACTTGTACTAAAGAATAAACCCCTCACTGTGTGTTTCTTTATCGTGACACTGATTCTTTCAACCAGCAAAAAGGATTCAAACAGTTTTTTCTGCTATTAAGGTGCAAGCAGCACACACAAAAGCTTAAACACAATTTTACATACACACTCACTAACTTGGTTCACAGTGGGCTGTGCCAGTAAGTGCTGCTTTAGGCTATGGTTTTCACTACTGTCTACTGTGTTATTAACAATTCTATAAAAAGATCTGCTCAAGTTCCCTTTCCTGTGTGTTAACAGGCCTGCAGAGCCGCTGTGAGCTTGTTGAAGCCTTGTTAAGAGAAAGGCAGAGTCCTCAACAGCAAAACATAATTGTCCATAAATCATAATTCTAAAGTTTTGCTTTTCTTCCCTTTGTTTGTTTTTCTTCGCAACATCACTCATCGGCATGGCTTGTGGCCAACTTGAGACTAAACAGTTTGAACACAAGGAGATGGCCTTCAACTCCAGCTTTCCCTCCTTTTTCTCAACCCACAAAGTCTCCAACCTCTCTTTAAACGTCTTTATCCTTTATCTGTTCATAACTTTTAGCAACTTTTATGTTCCATCCTGAAATTTCCACATTTCAACCCACATCTCATAACATTACAAGTGCCAAAGCCACTGTATCACCACTGTGTTACACTTCTCTTCTTTCTGCCCACTGTAAAAGATCATGGGGCTCATCATTAGCTCTCAAAGAGGAAGAATGAGCCACAGTTTGATTACCTCAGAGGCTCCGTGGGCTCCCGCAGTCTCTGCTGACTGAATTGGTCGCAGACAATTACAGCTTTGCACAGGCAATTATATCTGCCTGCTAAATATGTCACACATAATAAACACATGCTCCTGACAGACAGGGGACAGGGGGAAGCAGTCACAGCCGTGGAAAGAGAGCAAATTCAGGATCATATGGATTTATCAGCCCTGTCTTCCTCAATCGGAACCTTCTCACAGTCTAAATCAATGCATGTCAGGGAACTAATCAAGACACCAGCGCTTGGGTTATAAGTCAAAGATCTGCTAATAAAGCTAACAGTTCTCTGATGTTCACAGTTGAGGCTAAGTCGGGTGAAAGTATTTTAACATTTCTTCAAGGAAGTTCAGAGATGATTTTTGCTAAACTGTATCAGAGTCCACACAAGTCCACACTTGTACCATTAATTTAATTTTCCTATAGATGCTGTCTCTTCAGGCTGTAGAGTAAACATGGCACTGACACCAGGCTGATAATATTTGTAAAGGATATTCAGTGAAAACAAGGGAGGGAAAGAGCCTTACATCCCAGGAATTGAGCTTATACCCTGGCCTATAGTGTTTGCACAGGACATACCTCAGGAAGCTGAGACAACTGGGAATGTTTGTCCAGCTTCAGGCTTCTTCCATGCATACATGCATATTTACAGTACATACTGTATGTAGAGTGCAGACATGCATACAGAGCATATGTACCCACATATATTAGTATGTATTGTATACTGTAAAGTCTGACATGATTATGTATAAATATTGGAGCCTATAAAATGTCAAGAATAGGAGAAAATACCTGTTAACATGCAAAATGGTGAAAAAATTAAAGCTCGTATCAGGAACTTTCTGTTTGTGTTGAATTTGGCGCCCCATGTGGACAAAGTGGCAAACCTTTGATTGTTGCTGATTTTGCCTCATCCTCAGGAAAAGGTGTTCACTGACTTAAAGATTTCCTCCTGTTGTCTGTATTACAATGAAATGTATCTCTGTATTGTGAATTTTTGCAGTGGGGAAACAAACAAAAGTTGTTCCTCAGTGTACCTACCCCCTCACAGCAGCCATAAAAAATTACATTATAGAAAATGTTCATCTTGTTGTTGATGGTATTATTTGCTTGTACATCATAGAGACACATCACTAGTCATTTCAGTCTGTTTATTAATTAATCCAAAAGTCCTTGCGGAGGCTTTAAATAACATTTTTTAATCCTCAGAAATGATTCCAGTAATTTCCAGTAATTTCACCATTTCAACAAAGAGCCCAACTTAGACAGTAACACAACAATAATTTCATCTACTCATCATTTCAGCACTTGACTTTATTGTATCTACATGGCCTATAAGAAGACCCTTTCTTGGCACTTTTTCACTCCTTACATTTGTCCTTGTTTACCATTTTCACAGACGTACTGGCTGGGCTCTGTACAAGCTTAGATGTACAATTTCTGTGTTGTATTGCTTATAGTAGCTCTGGCAAATAGTCCTCTGGGGGGTTTCCTTTGTTTTCCATTGCTAAACAAAATAAGATCAGAGGTCTCGTGTTATAACAGCTCAAAGCTCTAATAATGTTATCAGTGCAACTGAGCTTAAGAGTATAACAAATATGCTCTAGATAGATAGATAGATAGATAGATAGATAGATAGATAGATAGATAGATAGATAGATAGATAGATAGATAGATAGCCCCTGTGGTTTCTTCTTTACAGTCATTAACAAATATAATCAACATTTAACTAAAAACCCAGGGGTCTACTCTGCAGCAGGTGTTAGCGCTGTTTCTTTTTCTTTCTTTCTTCTTCTGCAGTAAGAATGAGAATGCCGTCGCACTGCCCCATGGGAAGGCCTGGGCTGACTAATGTAAGCACACTACAGTGGGGCGGCTGGTCTTAATTACGGTAACAGACGCTGAGGGGGACGCACTGGTGCCCACCAACGAGCAAGCAGCTTAGTAGCACTGCCTGGGCCAATAATTAGCACGTGGGTACACACACACACACACACACACACACACACACACACACACACACACACACACACACACATACATACATACATACATACATAATGCCTTTTTCATAACCTACATCAGGCATAAACACTGCATTTAAAAGCCAAAGTAAGAGACCAGGTTATTCAAACAGTGGGAAATCTTTTCATCAGCTGTCTTATTTCCTTTTTCTACATTCATCCCTGTCTACATCCATAAGAAACAAACAGAAAAACTGTCACAGAAAGTGACAAAGTGACAAACACCAGTAACTTGTGGTTATTTGAACTAAGCATTTTTCACACAGTTTTCTATCTAATAAGAAAAATTATATAGCAAGAAATCATCATGCCATATGCAGCCTCTGTGACTCAGCCATGTCAGACCCAATCCTGGTTTTACTGAAATGATTTCAAATGGTTGGAATCCCCATTAAAAATCTCCTGGGTGTGTCGGGGCAGGGAGAATATGATTTAGTGGCTGTTTTTGCTCCTGCTCACTGTGTGTCACCGGCCCTTACTGTGGTATGCATGGCCTTCCTCTGCACAGGGCTATGAAAGCAATTGTGATTGTGATTCTGTAGTCAGCAAAACGCTTGACTGGCCCCGAGTTAGCATGCACACACACACACACACACACACACACACACACACACACACACACACACACACACACACACACACACACACACACACACAACCCCACAGATACACACATGCAGAAACACACTGTCCCCATACTGGGCCACTGATTACTTCAACCCATTTGACTCTCACTCATCCCTTGATTCTCTTTCTGCCTCTCTGTCACATACCACAGAGTTTGTCATTAGCTAATAGCGACAACACCACTCAACATGAAAATATACTCCAGCCTGCTTTACAGAGGCTGCTTAATTTGTCTGCCATGTTTAAGTACTCAAGGTATTAAAAATAACCCTAAGACATGCAGCCAAAACTAACATCAATATCTTTCTGCTGCTTCAAAAGCTAGTTTCACTTCAGGGTGATTGAAACTGGCTGAATATGTTAATGCAATGTAATCAAACCTTTGCACAGCATACACAGGGCTGCTCTGTAATATGAAATAAAACTGAGATAAGCCATTCAAATGGAGTGCATCATTCCCTGAGCTTATCAGAGGCAGAGGAGACCACCAGCTAACAAAGCCTGCTCTTCAGTCATGCCCTATCTAAGCAGATATCAGTTGTTGGGAGGATATATGAGCTGGGTGGGGCCCTGGATGTATAAACACAGGGCCTGCTCGCTCTGTACGCCATGCTAAGTGCTGTACTGTAGGCAGCAGCTCACCTCAGCAGCAGCAGCAGTCGATGTTTGATTAAGGTATTCAAATAAAGGAGCAGACACTGTGTTCCCATTTCACAAAGCAAACTGAAGGGTACTGACAAACAAGTAGAAAATGCAATTACAGCTGAACATGCACTCTAAGCTACCATGCATTTTACTTATTTGATGCTTCTCACAAAATACAGTAAAATGTAGAGAGTATTTGCACGGTATAGAAAGGTATATATATGTAGCATGCAGCCTGCAGCAGACAACACAGAAACATGTCACAGTTTAATATTACCATCACCACACTAAACTATTCTCACAGTATTGTTCTGAGTAATTTCTCCTCAGCTGCAGGAGAGCACCACAGTAATAAAAGAGCCGCACACTCAGAGTGAAATAAAGTGAGTATTGAAAGTATTGAAGTAGACATCTTCAGGGTTATTTACGGATCTCCCTGAATCGTCTCAGTCTGTACTTGAAGTACCTTCTCTGCTCATTTTATGCATCTCTTTCTCTGCATTCTTCATCTTTTTTTTCTGTTTTCTGAACAGAGGGATTTTGCTGGCAGAGCACTTAAGCTATTTAAAAAGTCCATGACAAATGTTGGCCAGAAAATGCAGGACGAGATTCACATTGTCTCCTTACAAAGTTCTTTTTTAAACATTCAAATAACAGAAAAGATTCACACTGGCACCTTGAATAAGGTGAAAGGATGAATATGTACGGTTGCATGTGTGGACATTATGAATGAAATAAACTGCAGCTCCAAATGAGCAGTGTGGCAAAAACTGACAGCAAAATAAAGGAGCAAACAAGTTTCCCGCAAGAACTCGCATAAAGTTACTAATTACTCTAACAAGGTTTCTGTCTGCGCAGGGAGTGAGTCGTCAGCACACAAGACAGGTTTGCAAATAAACAGACAGTAAACTCCAACACAAACACATAGTCATTATATCCAATTACACTTGTGTGTGACTGAGATTAACACTGTAAACTTACCAGTAATAACAGGAGAAATGTAAACTCAAATTACAACTTGCTTTAAGACATGGCTTGAAAAGGCAGAGAGGAGAAATGGTATAAACCTAAATATTGCAAAAGCCAGAAACGTATTTTTACTCAGCGTGTTTGGACTCTTTTTCGAAAGAATATTTTCAAGCTAGAGCAAATAAATACAGAAAAACCAAAAAACCCAAATAAATACTCAAACTACGCCTATGAAAACAGTTGACCTCAGTGCTATGATTTGCCTTTTGCATACACACGGCTGAGCTGAATTTGAAATCATCTATCCGAGATGTCAGAGATGATCACTGGTGGGCAGTTTTGATCTGTAGGTGCAGTATCTACATAACAAATCGGACATTTCTTCGATCATGCCACAGCCAGTTTGACAGAGGTTTGAGGAGGGAAACTTGACCTGCTGCACCATGTTAACAGGACACCAAATGATCCCTGCTGCTCCTGGCCCTCATTTCCATTTTCAGTGAATGCAGTTAGTGTTACACATGTGATGATAGCAAATTATCCCTCCCCTCAGTGGAAAGAGCTCCCTCAAGCAAAGGGATTCTGGGGGGGAGGGGTTGGGTTCAATAATTCAAATGAACACTTGTAATTTTGAGCGATGCCACACTTCTCTATTGTCAGTGACAGCACTTGATGCCACTTTCTCCCTTGTGAAAGCACTTACATCTTTTCATATCTTGTGGCTTTGTTTCCAGAGTTCATGCAGTGTGTGGATATCAGCATATTCTTGGGATTATCCCCATTGGAGGATGATCCTAATTCATCTGACCTACAAAAAAGATAGTGCAGAGGAGATAGTTATATGAGCCTATTTGTGTGTCACAGGTGCAAACCAGCCTCGCCATTAAATGTTTTATATGGACACTATTCCAGCTGTTACCTAAATCAATTATGTCGTCCGTCTTTCACAGTTGACACACAGTGTCACCTTAACGAAGACTTTAGTTGCCAAATTGTGTTCTTCAGACTGGGAGATGTTTTGTCAGTTGATCACTGGAATGTTCCGTCCTTTGATTAAGAATTTCCATTGCCCACACAGTGAAAGTCAAACTTCCCACAAACAATATTCCCCCCACTCTAAAACCTGAGAGTCAAATTTATCAGATTAAAGTGAGCACAAGAACTTCAAAACATCTCTATCTCACTACAAGTCCATCTACAGCAGGTCAACATCCAGAGCCTGTTGATTTGTAACACCACAGCTACGGTAAGTGAACATAGCATGGTCTGATTCTGTGATTACAGATAGGTGAAGTACTCATGTTAGCAATTTTATGCCCGTTTAATATGGTTATCTTGTATTTTTGACACTTTTAGTTCTTGTTTGTACTTTTTCTGTGTGATTGTGTTTTAATCCACTATGACAAGCCAAATTGAAAACATCCAAAGATCTCTGTGTTTCCCTGTCCCTTAGGTTCTTATAACAGGATTACCAAACACAGCTTGTTTGTCACAGGGTATAGTGATTAATTTGATTTCTAGGAAAATGTCAAACTACAATTTATTTTGTTGTTCTGAATGCCACCTGCGCATTTGCAACAGAGTCAGATCAGGTCACAAGCCAAAAAGCTGCGGGGTGCCAAAACTGAGAGAGTGAGAGAGAAAAGAGTGATCACTTGTACCGGGCAGACTTTGTGGTTTCTCCTTACAAAGTAATTAACAGTACATTACTGGCACACATCCATTTAATCGCTGAACTCCCAGCGGAAAAGCATGTAGGCTATGAGAAATCATTGAGAGGGAAGATAATGTTGGAGCAGAAAGCAGAGTGGGGCAGTATGGATTCTATACAGCCCCTGGTATTCCACATCGGGTCGGACACTTAATGCCAGCTTTGTGCAAAAACACAACTGCACGAGTTCACCGGGGAAATAACATAATAAGCATGTTGGCAAGAAGAGGAAAAGTTGGACTACACGTTTCTTTCAACAACAAAATAGAATGATTGCAGGTTTCACTTTTAACCAACAGTAAATACAAATCCTGCATCCCACTCTCGACTAAATTAAAAGCAGCTCAGGTCACTTGACTTGCTGACATTTGGCTTTTTTCCTTTTAAGAGTGCAGCTGCGTGTTTGGAGCAAGTGTGCGCCCGTGGATAAAACGCATCCAAAGCATTGCGTAAATGTTGCAGGCGCATATACAGACAGGTGAGACATGAAGCATTTCATTGCATGAATACACATTGGGTTTTTTTTGTTTGTTTGTTTGTTTTTTTGTTTTTACCTTGTTAGAGTGGTAATAGTCCAACGAGCTCAGACAACTTGGGTCAGTTGGTAGGGAGCATGAACCCACATTAGCCGGGGGCGCAGGATAAAATCTCACGTCCATCTCAGGTTGTGCGGGACTGAAGGCATGAAATCACTTTCAGCGTCTTTGACTCACTATTGTCTTAGCAAACACAACAACGCCGAAGCAGGAGAGAGTGAAGACAAAACAAAGATACAAGTGGTGGAGTTTGACTCGGTACTCTCTTCCCTCACATCCGTCAGCGTCCGAACTTCAGCAGCAACTCTGGTGATGCGCAGTCCTCCTCGGGATGCCAAACACTCACTCACTCACTCAAAGCGGGAAGAACAATTTTCATGAAGAGACGCACGTGTTGGCAAAACTATCCCGTTGATTCAGGAAAAAATAAATAAGCAAACCACCAACTTAGATCCTCTTATTATAAAGTATTTTTAACCGACTGAACGGCAGCCCATACGTGTGCAGTCTGCGTTTTCCCACCGCTCTCAGGACTCCATACAGGCTTTGTTATGGAGGCGCATATTCTTGCATTGGTTCCAGTACAGAAGTGGTTGGACTTCCCTCTGCCATGCGACCTCTGCCGATAATAAACGGGAAAGAGGAACGGAGGGAGAAGGGGGAGGGGAGATTGGTGGCTGCCTTGGCAACCGCTCTCCTTTCTGCAACTGCGCGCTTCTGATTAGCTGGAAATGTAGTAGTGTGCACGGCTGTGCATTATACAGCGCTCTCTCCTTCCATCAGCGCTTCATAAAGGCTTCCATTTGGGTTATTGTGCCAAGGCGTATAGAAAGAGGTTGCAAGGAGTGTCACTGTACTTTCGCTGTGTTTTTTTTTTATTTGTTCGCTATTTTGTTTTGTTATTTGCATTAAAAAAAACCCTCAAACGATTGATATTACCTGACTTGACCAAACCTGCCACAGTCGACAGTCAAAAGCAGTAAGCAACACCTCTGTAAAGGCCTTTGTTATAATACTCCTGCTCTCATACACGTTTACTTCATCATGTGAAACTTCTACCGGGTTTATTATAAGAACAACAAACAAACGTTGAAAATATGTCAGAAAAAGAGACCAAAAAATGCTGTTTATAAGGAAAAAAAAAACAAGAGAACACCTTCAGTCTTTCAAAGTGAAGTTTGCCAGGTTATTATTTCTTGTTTATTAGGCTCATCATTTATTATTAACCTTCACTTTCATTTTGTGGATGCATTTAAATTTTACTTTAAAAAAGTAACAAATAGAAATAGTAAGACAAAGATGAGAAAATGTTCAATGAGAGAAAATAGTAACCACATACTCTAAAGTGCAGAGAAACACTTTCAACTGTGAACACCCTCAAAAGTGTGTAAAATACAGGCCTAGTCTTCTCTGAATGGAACATGCACAGGGAGGTTTAATCTTGTATTGCCATGCAGTTGCAAATGTGTGTGCACATAGAAGCCGCGGCTGTGCGAGCTGCCTCTGACAGCTCACTGAATGTGATGGATAGCACACCCTTGCCCTGTGATGTGCATGCACATTTGATGTTGAAATGGCCTATCCATGGGACCATTGTCTTTCAATCATGTCAAGGCAAAGTACAGAACAGAGCACATTTTCTGCTGCCTGGCGTTATTACTATGCTACAGTTTACAGCACAATCCATGCTCCATGGCTGCACAGAAATTCTCTTGATTCTCTCGGTGCTTTTCTTTTTAAGACATCTAATCCTGTCTGCTCTCTTTATCAGCATTTAAAACTGTGATGAAATATTCCCTTTATCACACATTAGCAGTGCTGCAGACAGGCCTATATTAGGTGGACCTGGATGTGAATAAACCAATGTGCAATATTGAGAAGGGTACAATTGTTTTCACACAAACCATGACAGCAGCATCTGCCCACTGCTGCAGCTCTTATGTTCTCAACCTTCTGAAACATAGAAAAGCTGGTCATTATTCCAGCAGCTCTATTATGTTACAGTACAACCTCTTTATTTCACCGTACAGGCCTACACTTCCCTGGTAGGCACAGCCTGCCACACTCTGAAGCCCAGCACACAGAGGGTTAACCACATGGCTCGGTGCCATGGCTTCATGGGAATGGAATGTGGAGTGCTGTGTGTGCAGGGCTCTTTTCCCAGCATCCCTCACTGCCTAGGCGCATGCTAATGATCAGTATTATTGAAGCACAATTGATGGGCTAGCAACCAAACAAGAGAAACTAATTACTACTAAGGCTTTATTGTCCTTTAATTACTGAAGCTCTATGGCAATTAGTGCCGCACAAAGACACAGGCCTACTTTAATCTAAAATAAAATGTGATGCAGATAAAAAATTTGGAAGATGAAAGGTAGATAAGATAATTTGGCTGTCAGTTTCGTCCTGCAGAAATGATGGCTGATTTTAGGAAAGCATGAGAGAACAAAAGAAATGCTGTGGGGATTGTGAGTCTAAATCCAAAAACATCCAAAAACAGAGTCATAACGCAATATTTTTGTGACCTTGAGTAAATAAATCCCCTGAAACATAAATGCTAAATATGCCTGTCTCAAAGTCACAGCAGATGAAAGTATATCAGGCCTTCACTTTGTGATGTTCCTGAATAAGGACTCAAAAGCTGCCAATACAATAAAGAAAAGCCACTTATTGTTTTTTTTAAGAGTTTTCTTTAATACAACTGAGCAAACTGAGCAAAATCCACAGTGGTGTGCACATTGTTTGGAAAGTTTAAGTTGTACTTGGATGATATTGCTAGAGTACAGTTCACTGTAAATGGCATTATTGTGACTTTTAATCAACACAAAAGGTTGAAAGTTGAAAATGTTTAATCTGAAGCAATATTCAATTTGGAGGACTTTGTTTTGACATTTTTTTCCTTTGAGCAGGTATATCTTTTATTGTGAAAGCAAGGAGCGGCAGTTGACTTAACCAACTGCATTCAACACATTTATACAAACCTATACATCATTGGAGCATTTCGAAAAGTTCAAATATTGGCTTTGCAACAAAGATTTGTGTGACAGCAATCTTCTGTAAGCCTTTGTGCATTTGTACTGTGATATTTTAAATCAGTGGAACTTTTTTGCCAACTTTCTCACAGAGCTTAATGCCAAAACCAGAAAATGCATATCCCTCATCCAGCTGACAGATACGACAGTGGAAAAGTAGTTGTTACAAGTACTCTCTTTATAACTGTGTGTTTGTATGTGTATGTATGTAGGTATGTATATATGTTTATATATACAGTAGATATATGTAGGTATATAGGTAGATATATCTATGAGTATATATATGAGACTTTATACATATATGGATTTATTTATAATTATAATAATCCATACGATAATGATTAATAAATAATATGAAGGATTTAAATAAGTTAGAAGTTCGATCTATTTTGATCCTAAATTAAATTATATGCTTCCTGTTTCCTCTGGTTGCTGCTCCTTTTCGTTCTGTTCTTGCTTTGCTTTTACATTGGAATGCTCAGCTAGTCAAACGTACTAGTAATACATACTGAGTAACTAAACTAATTTTGGTAAAACATGAGTAAATAGGATAGGCACCTACAAGCTTCGAGCTTCTGCCTATTCCTTTTGATCACCAAACAGTGTTAAAGAGTGTTACAGACTGCTTTTCTTTTGTATATGTATGACTGTATTTGACACTGTGATGATGATCAAATAAACTAAACTAAACTGAACTAAACTTCTTATAATAACTTCTGCAGAATTTGTTCATATTTTCAGATTGCAAATAGTCTGACTGGCAGGCTTTGGATGATTGGTCTTTTGGAGTGTTAGAGTTTTCAGTGTCATTTCAAATATCAATATTCCAAAAGCTATATATATATATATATATATATATATATATATATATATATATATATATATATATATATATATATATAATAGTTTTAATAGTTTTTATATAATCTAAGAACAACAGAGGAATATGTGTCTACATTTACCCAAAAACTAATTGTGCATGACACACCCACAGATGTTTATGACATCTTCGCCTTTATCTGTTTATGCAAACTGTAACGCCTGAAGGAAAATATGGTTCAGGACATGCAAATGTTACATTAGGTTAACTTAGTTTGTCTATCAACTCAGAATATTCTAGAAACACACATGATCCACAAATGAGTAGCATCAGTCTGTCATAAATTCAGTGCAGCAGAAACAGAAAACAGCCATTTTATGCTAACTCAGTTCTGAGATGAGCCACGAGGTTAAAACACAATAGAAAAAGAAAAGAATGTAAAGAAAGAGAAAACTTTTTCAGCTTTCTAACTGACTTCTCACTGCCAAACTTTATCAGCAGAGCCCTTTTAAACACCAACACTTCTGGTGAGTGCCGAATATTGACATGCCTATTCGTGTGGAAAATTCAACCCAAATATAGAGACTACAATTCAGTATAGAGATATGACTTTTTTATAATTTAACTTTACTGCATAGAATATGAGAATGCATCTGTGTAGAAATGAGACTGTTTTAAAATCAGATACAAACTCTGCACATTGCTTTACAGACACAGCAACACAATTCTTTGTATTTGTGTTTTTTCAGGTCACATTAAAAAATAAAAATAGATCTTCTCATTTTCATTTCTAAGTTAAACACACTTCTGAATAGTTAAGTAGTTGTCTGCCAAATGGAACTGTTTATCCTAAGCACATACTTATTGTCTGCAGAGTATTTGTCCTGTAGTAATGAACTTTACAGTGAGCCTGCAGGTCATTTAGGACTAATTGTCTCAGTGCATTAAGATACATGACATCTGAGAATGATGACTGGTGGTCCTCTCTTACTGCTGTCTTGAAGACTGATGCAAAAAAGTCCAAATTACTTATTCTAGGATTCTGACTTTTACCTGAAGAAGACTGATCTGACTTTTTTTTTTCTCTCTGACCTTCGAGCCCTGATCAGGTCATGCTGATCCTGCTTAACTTTGCAGGGCATGGGAACCAGCTGTGTGTCCTGAGTGTGTCAACAATGTGCTCCAGGAACACAAACAATGGTATAGATAATGATTCTGGGACCATTCACTGTGTCGAGAACAAAAGGACAGAGAGTCATTTTCTGTTTGTCATTGAAGCCATGATAAGAAAATGAAACATAAACCTGTGACTCTCTTTGAACAGTTTTAGCTCAGATAGTTGTTGAGATCTTCGAATATCCTCAGCGCAGCTCTGCAAACAAGGAGGTCATGGCCTAGTTTACCCTGAGGTCAGCTCTCATACTCTGCTGCAGGACTCTAAGCCTGTGGCTCTGAATCACTCAAAGATTTGTCCATGTGTGCTTTTTTTAAAATTTATTCAATACATGGAAAATGCTTACAGAAGTCAGACATAGTACAGTAAATCTGAGAAGGAAAATGCTTGATTGTTATTTGACTGACGTCATGTCCTCATTGTGTCATCCACTTTGTAAATCACCCTGAAGCATAATTAAGGGAAATCACTGCAGGGCTTACATGCATTGACTCTTGATTTGGTAAAAAGAGACATGTATACCTTTCCCCTCGTGAAGGGCTGCAGGAAGACAGAGAGGCTCAGTGAGAAGAGAGAGCACACTTGTCAGTCTGACCACGTTTCATTTAGCACTTCATTTCAAGGAAATTCTAGAGACTCTTCTAATTGCCTATAGCATTTCAGCTCTCGTTTGAGAAGGAATGTATTGCATTC